CCACCTAGTCCCCCACCTAGTCCTCCGCCTAGCCCGCCACCCAGCCCACCACCCAGCCCTCCTTCACCTTTGCCCAGCCCCCCAAGTCCGCCAAGCCCGCCAACACCGCCCCCCGTTCCGCCTAGTCCTTACTCTCCACCAAGCCCCCCAAGCCCGCCCCCAAGCCCCCCACCTAACCCCCCTCCAAGCCCACCGCCCAGCCCACCGCCCAGTCCTCCACCTAGCCCCCCTACAAGCCCCCCACCTAGCCCACCTCCAAGCCCCCCACCTAGCCCACCTCCAAGCCCCCCACCTAGCCCGCCACCCAGCCCACCACCCAGCCCTCCTTCACCTTTGCCCAGCCCCCCAAGTCCGCCAAGCCCGCCAACACCGCCCCCCGTTCCGCCTAGTCCTTACTCTCCACCAAGCCCCCCAAGCCCGCCCCCAAGCCCCCCACCTAACCCCCCTCCAAGCCCACCGCCCAGCCCACCGCCCAGTCCTCCACCTAGCCCCCCTCCAAGCCCCCCACCTAGCCCACCTCCAAGCCCCCCACCTAGCCCCCCTCCAAGCCCCCCACCTAGCCCCCCTCCAAGCCCCCCACCTAGCCCGCCACCCAACCCACCACCCAGCCCTCCTTCACCTTTGCCCAGCCCCCCAAGTCCGCCAAGCCCGCCAACACCGCCCCCCGTTCCGCCTAGTCCTTACTCTCCACCAAGCCCCCCAAGCCCGCCCCCAAGCCCCCCACCTAGCCCCCCTCCAAGCCCACCGCCCAGCCCACCGCCCAGTCCTCCACCTAGCCCCCCTCCAAGCCCCCCACCTAGCCCACCTCCAAGCCCCCCACCTAGCCCACCTCCAAGCCCCCCACCTAGCCCCCCTCCAAGCCCCCCACCTAGCCCGCCACCCAGCCCACCACCCAGCCCTCCTTCACCTTTGCCCAGCCCCCCAAGTCCGCCAAGCCCGCCAACACCGCCCCCCGTTCCGCCTAGTCCTTACTCTCCACCGAGCCCCCCAAGCCCGCCCCCAAGCCCCCCACCTAACCCCCCTCCAAGCCCACCGCCCAGCCCACCGCCCAGTCCTCCACCTAGCCCCCCTCCAAGCCCCCCACCTAGCCCCCCTCCAAGCCCCCCACCTAGCCCCCCTCCAAGCCCCCCACCTAGCCCGCCTCCAAGCGCCCCACCTAGCCCGCCACCCAGCCCACCACCCAGCCCTCCTTCACCTTTGCCCAGCCCCCCAAGTCCGCCAAGCCCGCCAACACCGCCCCCCGTTCCGCTTAGTCCTTACTCTCCACCAAGCCCCCCAAGCCCGCCCCCAAGCCCCCCACCTAACCCCCCTCCAAGCCCACCGCCCAGCCCACCGCCCAGTCCTCCACCTAGCCCCCCTCCAAGCCCCCCACCTAGCCCCCCTCCAAGCCCCCCACCTAGCCCGCCACCCAGCCCACCACCCAGCCCTCCTTCACCTTTGCCCAGCCCGCCAAGTCCGCCAAGCCCGCCAACACCGCCCCCCGTTCCGCCTAGTCCTTACTCTCCACCAAGCCCCCCAAGCCCGCCCCCAAGCCCCCCACCTAATCCCCCTCCAAGCCCACCGCCCAGCCCACCGCCCAGTCCTCCACCTAGCCCCCCTCCAAGCCCCCCACCTAGCCCACCTCCAAGCCCCCCACCTAGCCCCCCACCTAGCCCGCCACCCAGCCCACCACCCAGCCCTCCTTCACCTTTGCCCAGCCCCCCAAGTCCGCCAAGCCCGCCAACACCGCCCCCCGTTCCGCCTAGTCCTTACTCTCCACCAAGCCCCCCAAGCCCGCCCCCAAGCCCCCCACCTAATCCCCCTCCAAGCCCACCGCCCAGCCCACCGCCCAGTCCTCCACCTAGCCCCCCTCCAAGCCCCCCACCTAGCCCCCCTCCAAGCCCCCCACCTAGCCCCCCTCCAAGCCCCCCACCTAGCCCCCCTCCAAGCCCCCCACCTAGCCCGCCACCCAGCCCACCACCCAGCCCTCCTTCACCTTTGCCCAGCCCGCCAAGTCCGCCAAGCCCGCCAACACCGCCCCCCGTTCCGCCTAGTCCTTACTCTCCACCGAGCCCCCCAAGCCCGCCCCCAAGCCCCCCACCTAACCCCCCTCCAAGCCCACCGCCCAGCCCACCGCCCAGTCCTCCACCTAACCCCCCTCCAAGCCCCCCACCTAGCCCCCCACCTAGTCCTCCGCCTAGCCCCCCACCCAGCCCACCACCCAGCCCTCCATCACCTTTGCCCAGCCCCCCATATCCGCCAAGCCCGCCAACACCGCCCCCCGTTCCGCCTAGTCCTTACCCTCCACCAAGCCCCCCAAGCCCGCCCCCAAGCCCCCCACCTAACCCCCCTCCAAGCCCACCGCCCAGCCCACCGCCCAGTCCTCCACCTAGCCCCCCTCCAAGCCCCCCACCTAGCCCACCTCCAAGCCCCCCACCTAGCCCCCCTCCAAGCCCCCCACCTAGCCCCCCTCCAAGCCCCCCACCTAGCCCGCCACCCAGCCCACCACCCAGCCCTCCTTCACCTTTGCCCAGCCCCCCAAGTCCGCCAAGCCCGCCAACACCGCCCCCCGTTCCGCCTAGTCCTTACTCTCCACCGAGCCCCCCAAGCCCGCCCCCAAGCCCCCCACCTAACCCCCCTCCAAGCCCACCGCCCAGCCCACCGCCCAGTCCTCCACCTAGCCCCCCTCCAAGCCCCCCACCTAGCCCCCCACCTAGTCCTCCGCCTAGCCCCCCACCCAGCCCACCACCCAGCCCTCCTTCACCTTTGCCCAGCCCCCCAAGTCCGCCAAGCCCGCCAACACCGCCCCCCGTTCCGCCTAGTCCTTACCCTCCACCAAGCCCCCCAAGCCCGCCCCCAAGCCCCCCACCTAACCCCCCTCCAAGCCCACCGCCCAGCCCACCGCCCAGTCCTCCACCTAGCCCCCCTCCAAGCCCCCCACCTAGCCCACCTCCAAGCCCCCCACCTAGCCCCCCTCCAAGCCCCCCACCTAGCCCCCCTCCAAGCCCCCCACCTAGCCCGCCACCCAGCCCACCACCCAGCCCTCCTTCACCTTTGCCCAGCCCCCCAAGTCCGCCAAGCCCGCCAACACCGCCCCCCGTTCCGCCTAGTCCTTACTCTCCACCAAGCCCCCCAAGCCCGCCCCCAAGCCCCCCACCTAACCCCCCTCCAAGCCCACCGCCCAGCCCACCGCCCAGTCCTCCACCTAGCCCCCCTCCAAGCCCCCCACCTTGCCCACCTCCAAGCCCCCCACCTAGCCCACCTCCAAGCCCCCCACCTAGCCCGCCACCCAGCCCACCACCCAGCCCTCCTTCACCTTTGCCCAGCCCGCCAAGTCCGCCAAGCCCGCCAACACCGCCCCCCGTTCCGCCTAGTCCTTACTCTCCACCAAGCCCCCCAAGCCCGCCCCCAAGCCCCCCACCTAACCCCCCTCCAAGCCCACCGCCCAGCCCACCGCCCAGTCCTCCACCTAGCCCCCCTCCAAGCCCCCCACCTAGCCCCCCTCCAAGCCCCCCACCTAGCCCGCCACCCAGCCCACCACCCAGCCCTCCTTCACCTTTGCCCAGCCCCCCAAGTCCGCCAAGCCCGCCAACACCGCCCCCCGTTCCGCCTAGTCCTTACTCTCCACCAAGCCCCCCAAGCCCGCCCCCAAGCCCCCCACCTAACCCCCCTCCAAGCCCACCGCCCAGCCCACCGCCCAGTCCTCCACCTAGCCCCCCTCCAAGCCCCCCACCTAGCCCACCTCCAAGCCCCCCACCTAGCCCACCTCCAAGCCCCCCACCTAGCCCGCCACCCAGCCCACCACCCAGCCCTCCTTCACCTTTGCCCAGCCCTCCAAGTCCGCCAAGCCCGCCAACACCGCCCCCCGTTCCGCCTAGCCCTTACTCTCCACCAAGCCCCCCAAGCCCCCCACCTAACCCCCCTCCAAGCCCACCGCCCAGCCCACCGCCCAGTCCTCCACCTAGCCCACCTCCAAGCCCCCCACCTAGCCCTCCTCCAAGCCCCCAAACTAGCCCGCCACCCAGCCCACCACCCAGCCCTCCTTCACCTTTGCCCAGCCCGCCAAGTCCGCCAAGCCCGCCAACACCGCCCCCCGTTCCGCCTAGTCCTTACTCTCCACCAAGCCCCCCAAGCCCGCCCCCAAGCCCCCCACCTAACCCCCCTCCAAGCCCACCGCCCAGCCCATCGCCCAGTCCTCAACCTAGCCCCCCTCCAAGCCCCCCACCTAGCCCCCCTCCAAGCCCCCCACCTAGCCCACCTCCAAGCCCCCCACCTAGCCTCCCTCCAAGCCCCCCACCTAGCCCGCCACCCAGCCCACCACCCAGCCCTCCTTCACCTTTGCCCAGCCCGCCAAGTCCGCCAAGCCCGCCAACACCGCCCCCCGTTCCGCCTAGTCCTTACTCTCCACCAAGCCCCCCAAGCCCGCCCCCAAGCCCCCCACCTAACCCCCCTCCAAGCCCACCGCCCAGCCCATCGCCCAGTCCTCAACCTAGCCCCCCTCCAAGCCCCCCACCTAGCCCCCCTCCAAGCCCCCCACCTAGCCCCCCTCCAAGCCCCCCACCTAGCCCCCCTCCAAGCCCCCCACCTAGCCCACCTCCAAGCCCCCCACCTAGCCCGCCACCCAGCCCACCACCCAGCCCTCCTTCACCTTTGCCCAGCCCGCCAAGTCCGCCAAGCCCGCCAACACCGCCCCCCGTTCCGCCTAGTCCTTACTCTCCACCAAGCCCCCCAAGCCCGCCCCCAAGCCCCCCACCTAACCCCCCTCCAAGCCCCCCACCTAACCCCCCTCCAAGCCCACCGCCCAGCCCACCGCCCAGTCCTCCACCTAGCCCCCCTCCAAGCCCCCCACCTAGCCCACTTCCAAGCCCCCCACCTAGCCCGCCACCCAGCCCACCACCCAGCCCTCCTTCACCTTTGCCCAGCCCCCCAAGTCCGCCAAGCCCGCCAACACCGCCCCCCGTTCCGCCTAGCCCTTACTCTCCACCAAGCCCCCCAAGCCCGCCCCCAAGCCCCCCACCTAACCCCCCTCCAAGCCCACCGCCCAGCCCACCGCCCAGTCCTCCACCTAGCCCCCCTCCAAGCCCCCCACCTAGCCCCCCACCTATTCCTCCGCCTAGTCCCCCACCTAGTCCTCCGCCTAGCCCGCCACCCAGCCCACCACCCAACCTGCCTCCTCCTGGCCCACCATCACCGCTACCATCTACACCGAGTCCTCCGCCACTGCCAGATAGCCCGCCAAATCCGGATCCAACCCCACGTCCTCCTAGCCCTCCTTCACCTTTCCCCTATCCGCCCAGCCCGCCGTCGCCGCCTCCAGTTCCACCTAGTCCCATCTCTGCCCCTAGCCCGCCTAGCCCTCAGCCTAGCCCCCCGACCCCAAGCCCGCCTCCCAACCCGCCTTCTCCTCCTGGCCCACCATCACCGCCTCCATCTCCACCGAGTCCTCCGCCACTGCCTCATAGCCCGCCAAATCCGGATCCACCCCCACGTCCTCCTAGCCCTCATTCACCTTTCCCCTATCCGCCCAGCCCGCAGTCGCCGCCTCCAGTTCCACCTAGTCCCATCTCTCCTCCTTACCCACCTAGCCCTCCACCTAGGCCCAGCCCAAGCCCGCCACCCAACCCGCCTTCTCCACCTGGCCCACCATCACTGCCTCCATCTCCACCGAGTCCTCCGCCACTGCCTCATAGCCCGCCAAATCCGGATCCACCCCCACGTCCTCCTAGCCCTCCTTCTCCTTTCCCCTATCCGCCCAGCCCGCAGTCGCCGCCTCCAGTTCCACCTAGTCCTATCTCTCCTCCTTACCCACCTAGCCCTCCACCTAGGCCCAGCCCAAGCCCGCCTCCCAACCCGCCTTCTCCTCCTGGCCCACCATCACTGCCTCCATCTCCACCGAGTCCTCCGCCACTGCCTCATAGCCCGCCAAATCCGGATCCACCCCCACGTCCTCCTAGCCCTCCTTCACCTTTCCCCTATCCGCCCAGCCCGCAGTCGCCGCCTCCAGTTCCACCTAGTCCCATTTCTCCCCCCAGCCCGCCTAGCTCCCCGCCCCCAAGCCCGCCACCCAACCCGCCTTCTCCACCTGGCCCACCATCACTGCCTCCATCTCCACCGAGTCCTCTGCCACTGCCTCATAGCCCGCCAAATCCGGATCCACCCCCACGTCCTCCTAGCCCTCCTTCACCTTTCCCCTATCCGCCCAGCCCGCAGTCGCCGCCTCCAGTTCCACCTAGTCCTATCATTATCTCCATCCCGCCTAGCCCGCCACTTAATGAAACTCCTTTCAGCAGGTCGTCGCCGTCCCCTTCTCCGCCCGGTCCTCATCCTCCGAACCCCTCCCTGCCTTTGCCTCCCAGCTCGTCTCCACAGATCCAACCTCAAGGTTCTCAATTTATGTCCCCTCCCCATTCTCCTCCAACCCCTGGCCCTAAGTCATTCCAACCGCCTGCACCTCCCGACGCTTCTCTCCCATCCCCGCTCCCTCCGTCTTTTCCACCCTCTCCAGCACCCCCGCCCCGAGCTCCACCGCCACCTCCTCCAACGCCTCCCTCACCACCCCTGCCAGCAGCAAAGTATGTTGCTGTCTCCATCTCCATCTTCTTCCCCTACATGTCCTGCAGCGCTCTCCAGTCGGACGCATTCCTGCAGCAACAAATCACCCTGGACACGAGGACAGCCGTGGCGGCTGCCTTGGGGGTGCAAGCCAAGTCCGTTGCTCTTCTGAGCTTCGCATGTGGCACCAACAGCAATAACAGCGCCAGGAGCGGTACTAACAGCTCCACTTACAATGGTGGCAGCGGTACGACAGCCACTCGAAGGAGCACCGCTGGGGAGACGACTCAGTTGGGAGCTCAATTGCTTGTGCGAGAGGAAAAGGCGAGCTCCAGGGGAGGCATGAGCAAAGATGGATGGGGCGATGGCGGGGACCAAAAGGGAACATCACAACAAATATCTCCTGACGGCTTGAAGGATGCGGCATTGATGTCTGCACGAGGAACAAGCCACGCCCCTCGAACCCGCCGCCAAGCTCTCGACTCCGCCTCCTCCTCTTCGCCCCCATCCCCACCCGTTCCGTATCCTTCTCCCATCTATTCCTCTTATTATCCCCCCTCTCCTAATGCCGCGGTGAGCGGCGTTACTCTCCGCATTCAAGCACTCCTGCCAACCACCACACCCCAGAACGAGCTAAACTCCATCATCACCCGCATCTCCGACCAGCCAAGCAACGTCTCATGGCTCTTTGCGACGGCGCCGGCGCTGATAGCGACGTACGGCACCCCATCTGCAACCGCAGTCAGTGTCAATGTGACAGGGGAGAGTGCGCTGACGGCCGAGTGTCCTCGGCGCCCCGATGTCGTACTGTACGCGCCGACGTACGTGGGTCGGTGGGACGCGCCGCTGGTGCTGCGATTCGCTGGGGCGTTCAGCTTTGGATCGGCATGTAGCAACAACTTCAGGTAAGATAATTGCTCGCGTACGTACGCTTGCAGGGAGAGAGGAAAGGATATGTTACATTGCAAGACGGATAAGTCAAAATGGGGGTGTGGATGACAGCATTGGTTGAGTGAAGGGCTTTCAGAGGAAATCAGCGCACCCCTGGCTCGTTTCCTCCAATCATTATTACTTCAAACCCCCACTAATGAACGCCTCCTCCTTCGACCCACGCCCCGTACAGCTGCGTTCTCGGCACTAACAACCGTGGACTGCTTCTCAATGGCTCCCTTCAAGTCCTCGACATCACGTCCTCCTCCACATCATCCACCTCAAACTCCTCTTCGTCCCCCACCGCCTTCCTCCTCAAACTTCGCGCCCTGTCCGAGGGCACCCTGCAGCTCCTCCTCCGTAGCGACCCCTGCGCCCCCACCACCACCTCCACATCCTTGACCACCGTCTCCACCTCCTCCACCATTGCAACCCTCAATCTCACAGCGGACTGGACCCCACCACGATGCACCCTCACCGTCGCCTCAGCACCCTCACTCGCCAACGCCTCCTTCACAGTTGCTGCCGACTTCTCTGAACCCATTCTACCCGTGCTTCCATCCGACATAACCACCTCCTCATGTCGTATCTCTTCGCTGACGCGCCTCAGCCCTACCAGGATGCTCCTTACAGTGGAAGGCAGCGACGCGGGCGACACCGCCGAGCTGCAGCTCTCCAGTTTCGCATTCTCCGACCTCGCGGGCAATGCTGGAATAGCCTCAAACCTCCTGCAAGTGGTAGTACCTTCGAAAGCGGTGGCCAAAACCGCAGCTGCGGTGTGGTGGAGTGGCATGTTGATGACAGCGGCGTCAAGTGCGGTGTGCGCGGCCACAGCAGCCATGCTGCCAGGCTGGGCAAGTGTCGCATGTGCGGGTGCGGTGCTGCGAACCATGGGTCATCTCCAAGTGCTGTCGTTTATGGGCGAGGGCTTGGCTTTTCGAACGCCGCCGGCGTTTCAGGCGGCAGCTTCGGCTGGTGACTGGGCAGCGCTGGACTGGCTGTCAGGCGGCGGGGCGGAGTGGGCAAAGCACTTCAGCAAGCGGCTGAGTCGCGGGGATGGGCCGCCTCCGCCTCCGCCCCCAAGGATCCAGGTACGGCCTTTCGGGCAGACGGGTGCGTGGCTAACGGCCGAGGGCTGTTTCAGATCAGGGAAACCATAATGTTCGAATACCGTACCCACCGGCCTTCACTGTTGTACCACGCTGTAACATTTTATCCTCGGGAACCCTTTGGAATCCTCACCAGCCAGCATCACAAGCATGCTGTCCGTATCCGTTTCGGATTGCCTGTTTCCTTTCCTACCTCCTTAAATCCCATTTCCGCAGAGTTTCACCGGTGGCTCCGAGCAGTACCTCCTAGATACCGGTCTCTTGTCCAGCACCCCCTACCTGTCGTCCATGTCTAGCAGTAGCGGTGCAAACAAAGCCACATCTGCAGCCGTACAGACCCCAAGCCTGGTGTGGAACTACACATCAGCGGCCGATACACGTGCTGACGTGGAGGACGCCTGGCGGAGGCTGGGCAGCACGATTGTTCTGACAGGGGTGCTGGTCGGGGCGGCGTTGCTGGTGCATGGCTGCGCAGGCAAGGGTGGCCTCTTGCTGGGTTGGGGTCTATCTGGGTGGCTACATCGACTAAAACTACGCAAATACGTATCTTGGAATGCTGCTGTCTAGAGTGATGGGCCCTAGGCAGCCCTGACGGTCTGGCGCTCTCATGCAAAGGGTGAAACTAGGGAGCATAGCAACCGCGCTGCAGAACTACCTATCAGAAGCACCTACGATGGTGGCTTTGCATTTACTCGGCTGGCTCTACTCTTCCTGGTCTTCTCCTCAATGCGCATACAATTAAACTCCTCCCCCACCGACCTTGCCCCTCCCTTCCCTTCCGTCTCTCCTGCTCCAGCCATCGCACCCTCAACCAGTCGACTGTCACGGCTCACCGGCTACAGCCTTCACGTGGTCTGGCCAAAGCCGCTGCTGGTGGTGCTGACTCTAACAATCCCGCCACTGCTGTTCGCTGCTTGCGGCGCACTCAGCCATGAAGCTGCTAGCGGCAGCGGTGCCTCAGTGTCGGTTGGGGCGGGAGCCGTGGTGTTTGTGGCTTTGAGCTGCTTTGCGGCTCTGGGAGTGCTCACGTGGCTGGCGATTGTAGTGCTGCGGGCGGCACCTAGCAAGGTAAGGGCGGGAGCAGGAGGCAGGACACTTTTAACGTAACGCGCAGCTACTTAGGGCATGTGAGAGGGCAAGAAGTTGGATAAGCGCGGGCCCGAAGGATTACAATGAGTTTAAGCGATTATTGGGAAGGCTTGCAGAGGAAGGGCGGTACAAGGGAGGCAGAAGAGGTGGATGAGATGGATGAGCAGGATGAATGTGCACACTACGGTACCCGCATAACACCCTCCACCCTGACGCCAACCCCCATTTTCCTGCCCTTCTCACTTCCTTCCCACTCCCCGCTCCTCTGTGTCACACTGTAGCTTGTCGCAACGACAGCAACGACGAGCCTCTGTCCGTCAGGCCAGCCAATGCAGCCGGAACCGCCAACTGCAGCTGCATGCGGACCACCTGGAGATCCGCAGCCGCCCCAGCCGCCTGTGAACGCAGACGATGGAGCCTCGGAGCCCCCTGGGTGCATTGCTCCACTGCATGCTGCCTCGTCACGTCAACCTCCTCCCTCTGCCAATCCTGGTTTGCATCCTTCCGACGCTTCTCGTCCACCGCCAGACTCCGGCCCACCGAACCTACCAAATCAGCTCTTCACAGCGCGCAGCGTGGCCCCGCCGACGGCGGCCAGTGGCCCACCCATGGGACCGCGGCTGCTGGCTGCAGCACCACTGCAGCTGATGGACGTAGACGATGCTGACGCTAAGTCCGTGCAGCCACGGCACGGTACACCTCCGCTGCCAGAGCCACAACTGATGCCAGCGGCACCCCGTCGACCGCAGCCCACGAGAACCAGCCAGCAGCCGCAGATGCCGTCGCCGCCGTGGCCTCCCTTGCTGCCCCCACCGGCACCACCGCCGCCGCCAGTGTCTCTGCTGTTGCCGTACGGAGCAACATCTGGTGCAAACGGCGGCAATGCTGCTAACGACGGCGTTGCCGCTGGTGTTGGTCTGGTAGCAAGTGGACGACAAGCAAATGTACGGGAAGACGTTTCTTTTACGCCTACTACCGCTATTGCTACCGGTACTGTTGGCGTCAGCGTGGACGCTGAGCAGGCGGCAAGGCTTTGCTGCTGCGGGACGCAGCAACGTGCGGCTCTGCAGCCGCAGCAACCCGTGGGCCACCTAGTCAACGGTGTCCCATCGCCGAGGGCGGTAGCTGCTATGGAGCGTAGCCTAAGGCCGCGTCTGCCGTCGCCGCTGTCTTCACGATCTGCTGCGCTGTCCCCGGCCGCTGGATCGGTGGCGGAAGGCGTGGAGGGCACCGACAACGCTGACGCCAGTCTGAGCCCTGCTGACGATCCGCACATGTCGGACCCTCGGTCAGCCTTCTGTGCCGCATTCGGCTGGCTGGTAGCCGATGTGGTGGGTGACACGGAGCGAACTGTAGCTGCCAGAGGCGGCCAATCCCGCTTGCTAGCAGCGCACCTGCTGTTCCTGACGCGTAGCATGCTGCTTGCAGCGACGCTGGGCGGTTGGGCAGCGTACACGACCCATGGGTCTTTGCTGCAGTGCGTAATGGCCCTGGTGGTAATGGCCTCATGGGTTGCGTACCTAGCAATCGTGCGGCCTTACGTCAGTTCATGGACGTTGGCGGTTGAGTTGGGCTTGTCCGGGTTAGAGGTGTTGGTTGGGCTGATGGCTGTGGTGGCACAGGCAGGGCTGCGCAAGAGCCCAGGGCCGGTGGATGTGGCGGTAGCGATGGTGCTTCTGGAGCTATGTTTGGTGGCGGTGATAGAGGCCGTGCGAACAGTGCGTGTCGGGATGTGCATCTGGCGTAGGGTGCGGGGGCCGGTGAAGAACGGAAGCAACGAAGCCGAGGCTGTGGGTGTGCATGGAGGAGGGCGGGAATTGCATGTTCCTAGGAACGCAGTGGCGCCGATTGGTTAGTCACACCTAGAATGTTCCAGCAAAACGAACGTGTTGAATGGCGCCGAACTGCTCGCGTGATAAGTCGCATGCGCCTGCTAGGGTACGGCAATATAGACAGCACAGTGTGGGACGCAAGTCTAATGCGAATGGCAATGTCCATGTCAGTATTTATAGTATAGTCACGATGAGTTGTTGTCCTTCACATGCCTTTTGTCTTTCAATTAGTACGTCCATGTTGTATCGCGTGTCCCTCTTGTCGGGTATTTTCCGGTATGTTGTTCCGATGTCTTGTGCATTTGATAAAAGTATGGGGTTTTGTCCATCATCCCAACTTCGTGTGCCATAGCACAACACATGGCCTCACGTTTCACGGCATGGCCGTCTTTCGGACATAGCGTACGGCTAGTTTGCATAGACCCAGGGCATTGTTCGGATGCAGGTGTGCAAAGGGAAGTATGGCACTTGTTTGTTCACGTGGTATGCCCTTAGCTGATGCAAGATGCGTAGGACCGGTAGTCTTGTAGAAAGACATTACTAAAGTCGTACTTGTGCGCCAGGTTCCTTGACGTGGTTAAGCCCCGCTGTCTTTTCCACGATTCTGCGGACCTGTGCGTTCTTGTGGAACATGTTAATGTGATAGGCGTCGGGCATTGTGTTTGCTAGCGCTTTGCACTTAGCACGGATGTCTAGTGTTTTGTTCTTCTCATTCCTTGCATTCATTGCGTGGGCTACACAAACATATCGAAATACTGCTGTCTTCGTGCCGCAATGATGCCACACATACATCCTGAGGAGTGATGTTATTCATGTGGGGGCGCCATGCATGGGCCCCTTTAGGTGTACTAATGCTAGCATCAGATCGTGCTGTACCTGCTCTCGCTGGCTACAAGTACACACATATGTCTTGTCAGGGACAGCAGTTTGCCCTGACGTGTCCTGTAAAGTGCTAATCGTCAATTTGTCATGCTTCCGAACCCTGTCGGCGGGCGCCAAGCCCCTAAGTCAGCGTGGCCTTGCTCTTCCCAGGCGACCTCCAGACGCTCTCAGCTGCACCACGGCGACATAGGATGCGCTGCACGACCGTGGGCCCGCTTCTAGCCACAGCAAGATCCAGCCCAGCATGTGTTTGGCACGAACGCATACCGGTACATGTGCCCTCTTTGGGCGAACCTGGGCCTCACCGACCATGAGGGGCAGCGCTGAGGCACTCCCCGACCACCATACATCTCAGCAACTACCGTCACGGCGTCTCCTATCAGTGAAAGTCTATTGGAAATCTATCCTCGCCAATCAGGATTAAGTACAATGCCAAAGTCCTCAGTCCCTGCGGACATGGACCAAGGCATTGGGCAACACAGCCGCTAGAAGCGAGCCCAGGGATTCACCACCGCCTTCCTCTTCTCCACCACCACGATCAGCATCTATTGCGGCACCACCAGCCCTCGCGACCGCGACCGCCACCCTCCTGCCCTCACCTACCATCCCTCCCACAGCGCCCCTGCATGGCCCATGCCCCACCACCAAATCCAGCTCGACCAGATTCCCCAACTTGCCAAATGCCTGCCGTACTTGCTCCGGAGTGATCAAATTGTCGTACCCAAGGTGCAGGCTAAGCCTCCTCAAACCGCGCAGGCAAGTAGCCCTCAAAAGGGTTGCAGGACTCAAACCGCCTGCAGCATGCGGCGCGTGCCAAAACAGGCTCCTGAGGCCTTCCAGCGCGCCTAGCGCCTCCATGTCTTCTGGCTCGAGTACGGCGGGGTCTCGCTCCCTGCCAGTAAGTCGCCGTTGTTGTTGATCCTGCCGCTCTTGCTCATGCTGCTGCGTGCAACCCGAAACCCCTGGCTGCGACGGTTGTTGCTGCTGCTGCTGCTGTTGATGCCCCGGATGTTGCTGCTGCTGCTGTAGCCCACGTGGTGTTCGCAGCGAGGGAGTGACTGCCAGGGAGGCGTTGACGGACAGGTGCTGCAGGGAGAGCCAGGTGGCGGCGATTGCGGCCGCTGTGGCGCCAGGTGCGGCGCAGTTGCTGAGGGTTAGCTGCGCCAGCCCCTCTCCAGCCGTCAGGGCTAGGAGGTTGTCGACACGACAGAACTGAAGCTGCAGGTTAGCCAGGTGAGGCAGCAGCGGAGATACCGGCCGGGTTGGTGCTACACCGAAGGAGTCGGACCCCTCTCGCCTACCCTTTGTCATCGTCGCCATCTCCTCACCAGCACTCGACGCTACTGCTGCAGTTGTTCCTGCTGCTGCGTCTACTGACTCTCCTTGAGCTTCTGCTAACACCTTCTCAGCTTCCAGAGTCCCGGTGGCCGCAGCAGCGGCAGCAGCAGCAGCATGGGGCACATGCAGATCAGCATGCGACAGCTCCAATCGCGTCAACGACGGCGGCAGCCAAGCGGCACATACGGATCGGCTATAGCGCGGAGGACGGCAGTTAGGCAGCAACCGCAGCACAAAGTGCTCCAGCCGCCTGCATCCCGCCAGTGCTGCTAGCCCCGCAGCAGCACCACAGCAGCTGCCGCCGCTGCTAGGGGCATCAACGCTAGCAGCAGCAGGAGCACCGTAAAAGGCCGCGCTACCATCACCGCATGGTTCTGATGACGTGGACGCTTTCACGTCACATGCAACCCCTGTTCTACCAAGCTGGGGCTGATCTCGTGTTGCCTCAGGCGTGGTATTCGCCTTAGCTTCTGTCGTACTCATCATCATCACGGCACCCTCAGCCACCAGGCGTTGCAGTCGGGGCGCCTCCTGTGCAAGAGCTGCGGCCAGGCCGCCAGCTAGATCCGGCGGCGGCGCGCCGCCGTCGCTTCGGAGCAGCTGCAGGCTGGTCAACGCGGCCAAACCACGTAGCCGCAATTCGCAACCCCGACTGAAGCTGGTGGCGACGGAGGTGGAGAAGAGCCGTAAGGCGAGGGAGCGCAGCGCTGGCAGGGGCGAGAAGTCCAGAGCTAGCGGCTGGTGGCCGCAGCAGGAGCCATTACCGGCAGATGCGTCGCAGCACAGCACCAAGTCCAGACTGCAGATAGAGGCGAAGGGGAGACCTTCTCGTTGGCATGGTCTGGTAAGGTTTGGGAATGGGTCCGGGGGGTTGTGGCATGGGGTGGTGTCGCAGTTGCTGCCAGCTGCCGTACTGCCGCCTCCAGCGCTGGGACCTGGAAACCGCCGGCAACCACCATCTGATTGGCTGCTGCTGCTGCTGCTGGTGCTGCTGTTAGTGATGGTGCTGTTGCGACTGGCTACCTCAAGGTGTGCCAAGGCCGCAGCGGCGGCATCTGCTGCCTGCATCTGCCCAGGTCCGCGAGCTTCTGCGAGCGGTAACCCAACAAAGGCACACTTATCAGCGTTCGCTCCCTCTCCTGGGCGTACCGCCGTGGCCGCTGCGGGGTGTGCAGGAGTCAAGCCCGCAGTACCTGCGACATCGCGGCTGGCGCCGGCAGCACCTCCTCCTGCCAATCCATGTGCCGGTAGCAGTCGCATGCCGCATTTGGAGAGCTGCTCCTCCACCGCATCCAGTACGTCTTGTGTTAAACTCGTAGCCGCACCGCCGCCTCCAACGTAGCTGCGGCTGTCAACCTTGTCATACGCATGGGCACCGCTGCAGCCCTTGTCGTCGCCGCCGCCACAACGCCCCATGCCGCCTCTGCTGCTGCTGCTTCGTTCTCCCAAGCCACCACCCCTATGACTGTCCTGACATCCCCCGAAGCTGCTGCCCTCAGCACTGCTGCTGCTATTGCTGCGGCTCATACTGCTAGCCCTGCTACTGCTGCCGCTACCGCTACCGCTCGTACCTGTAATGGCCATGACATGGACGCCTAACTCCACCACTGCAGCGCAACGTGTATCCGAGGGTTCACCGCCAGAGGCACCCGCCCCCTTGCAGCCACGGCTGCTACCGGAGGCTTCGCCTGCATGCACCCAAAAGCCTCGCTGCTTGTATGGCAGCAACACCTCAGCAGAGGATAGATAGTCGCAGTCATCCTCTGCGTTCAGGAAGCTCATGCTGATGTGCGACGGCAGTGCCTGGGCTCCGGAGCCGGCTGCTCCACTTGCTGCTAGTGACGCCGCGGACAGCAGGGCCATGACTCCCGGGTCGTCAGCCGGGTTTGGCACGTCATGCAGCTGAAGGTACGATAGTAGGGGAAGCCGTGATGCTAGCGCATGTACGACCGCTGCGATGGAAGTGCTAGAAAGGACGCTGGCGTTGCCGTGGCTCGCAGAACTAAGCATTCTGGCGGCAGCGCTGTCAGGGATTGCTGGGATCGTGCTGGGGCTGCTTAAGCCACCGGGTAGGTGTGCGGTATGCGCTGTGTCAGATGGTGACGGCGGCTCGGGCCATAGGTGCAGCTCCAGAGACTGCAGGCGGGACAGTGCGTCCCATGGAACGACCCAGGACGCCTGGCTGCATGTCACCCTGCTGATGGAGAGATGGGTGAGGTGGGGCAGGTTTCCCAGGGCGCGGATAAACGCGTCATTCCAGGGACCAGAGCGAGCCAGGTCCAGGGAACGTAAGTGGGCTGGAAACCCGACAAAGCCGGCATCCAACTCCTCAGCATCCGCAGTGCGGCTGCCGTCGTGGTGTTCCAATATAAGCCGCGTAACCTGAGAGCCATGAGCTGCTATAACTCCTAGGTGTGGGCTGAATGCTTGTTCGTGGCCTAAGTCGTGAAGCACGATGGCACCGAGGGATGGCAGGAGCGCGAGAGTGTTGCACGTGTCTCCAATGGGCTGCTGCGCGTAGATTATTCTCTTTGGAGCTGTAAATACACGTGCCCATGACTTGCACGTTAGGCGCGCCTGCTTAAGGTTCCTCAGCGGAAGCCTAGCCGCGATGAGCTGGAAGAGGTGCAGGCAGCGGAGGAAAAAGCCACTGGTTAGGTAAAATCTATTTCAATTTAGCAATAGTACTCTTCATCGTAATGCGATCCAGCGGTAGTTCTGGCCTTAGGGTGTACTTGCCTGAAGGACATCGGCATGTAGCAATGCTGCACTGCAGACGCCGTCGTTCATTCTTACAGGTCCGCCGCAACGAAATGGATATTCATTCAGCTTAGATAGTTACTGGACGAGCGCTACTGCAGCGCGCATACATATGACTAATATACACGCATGGAGCATGTACGGAAAACGGAGTGCTAAGTAGAGTTACGGCGTGTCGACATGTCCTTGCACCCTCGCATCCCTTCATGCGCACAAGGCACAGCCACGCGTCGGCTTGTGCCAAACAGCGCAGGCGACATCAAAGCAGAAGAACCATGTGGTGCAGAACAGGAACACGCCTAGCCCATTAACGCATACCCCGAGCGTCCTAAGCTATGTACAGCCGTTTTAGCCGTCGTAACACCTGCTATTCGCGCTGCCGCGCGTTAAACCACCACACCTCAGAACCACGGTTGGTCTACAGTAATCCCGATCACGTCTCGCCTAGCCCTTAGCTCACGTGCTGCGGGTCCAATAGCGACGACAGCTCAATCAACAGTCAGCCGTCATACTACCGAAGTGTTACTAACGAAGCAGTTGCGATTTCTTAGTCTTGCCACTTGCAGCTTTGTATCACTGTCGTAAGGTTCGGCCGCCGTCGTCCTTTCCCCAAGCCTACATGAAGCCAATGTGGCCGCATGGCCACCCTAGAGGTCATGACCCTCCCCTATGCGCCCATAATCCCACGCAATGCAAGCTATACACCCCTTCCCTACAAGCCGACACACGCACCACACCGACTACTACCCTACCCTTCCAGCTACCCTGAACACCGCTAAATACGCCGCTTTCGCCATGCAGCGGTATTCTGGCTACCCACTAAAGAACCGCCCTCCACCGTCATCCGTGCCCCATCCGGCCACCCCATCAACACCACGACCACCCCTCTCACAACTCTCCCGCCGCCGCCGCTTATTGCGACAGCGAGAAGCCGCCGCCCGTGAACCGCGGCTGCGTGACGTTGGGCTGTGCGGGCGCGGGCGCCTTGAGCGTGCGCTCCCGCTCCAGCTGCTCTCGCCGCTTGCCCTCAAAGTACTTGCGCTTCATCTCGTTCAGCTCGCGCACCAGCCGCTCAATCTCGTACTTGTACTCGTTGACCTGCGCCTGGTACATGTTGAGCTCGCTGGCCATGGCCTTCATCTGCTTGGTCTTCTCGCGGAGGTTGGCCTGAGGTTGGAGGGGAGGGGAGGGGAGGGAAGAGCATGAGCGGATGGGTTAGCGCAGGCAATAGGAGCGGAGGAGGCGGGATAGGGATAGAAGCAAAGGGTGTAACACGAAGGGCATGCATAGGAAGGAAGAAGGGACTGCGGCTTGCATCCTCCAGGGACCCCGGCTTTGCAACAGTATCTCCTGTCTCCAGCAGCCTTCTTCCCGACCCCGCCCAGTCCGCCGTAACGCCCACACTCCTGGACCCACCTGGTAGATACTGAGCTGCTCCGCAACCTCCGGCCCCGGCTGCCGAGCCAGGATGTTCTTAAGCTCCATGTAGAGCTTCTCCTTCTCCTGTAGGGGGAAGCGGGTTACGTAGGGAACACACACCAATGAACCGCTGTACGATAGCTGACCGGGTTAGCAAGTACGTGTCGCCCATTAGTGTAAGGCTCCACTGGAAGAGCAGCACCCTTGCGCACACATGCGCCTTTCCTTTCCTCACCCCTTCTAGCAGCATCCTTTCCCTCCGCAGCCTCCCCTCCTCTCGCCCCTCCCCAGCCCCATCCTCCCCACCCACGCACCTGGATGAGCAGGTCCTTCTCAACCACCTCCTCCGTCTTGGCAATAAGCCGCTTCTGCAGCGTCTGGATCTTCTGGATCATCTCATACGTGCCCGGATCCGAGCCCTCCAGCTTGCGCCAGCGGTGCACGTTGAGCGGGTTCTCCAGCTCCTCCGACAGCGCCTTCACCTTAGTGCGCTCCTGAAGCAGCTCCCGACCCAGCTGGTGAACCTCGCGCTTGAGGACGTCGATGTTCGCGACGGAGGACTTGAGGATGTGCAGCTCGCGTTTGAGATCCGCCAGCTTGACCTTGAGCACGCGGATCTCGTTGAGCCGATCGCGGTACTGGATCTGCCCCTTGGAGAGCGTGGATTGCTGGATCTTGATTTTCTCGTACAGCAGCGCGAGCTCGTCGTTGCGTCGTACAAGTTGCGTGCCCAGGATGTCGCGCTCGTTGACCACGATGTCGTACTCTTTTTTCTGGCGGATGCGCTCCTGGTCGGCTTCGTTGATGATGTGGTTGAGCTTGTCGATCTCGGCCTTCTGGGAGGAGATGGCGGCGTCGGCCTCCTTGATCTGCGCTTTGGACTTGTCAAGCTCGGCGCGCAGCAGGTCCTTCTCTTTGATCACCTGAGTGGATGGATGGGTGGGTAAGTTAGGATGTTAGGACTGTTAAGAGAATGCTAGAGGAAGGGCTGGGGCTATAGGTTAACAGAGGGTTGTGGTAATGGGATGGCGAGCGGTGGATTGGTGGGAGGGGCAGGGTTAGGCCATTAGGAGGAGCTTCATTGGCACTGACACGTGGGATCGGAAGACGCCGCAACGGGACGGAAGCGCTGGCAAGGCTGCAGTTAGCTGCACCCAGCGGCTCGGGTCCAGTCCTCATGGCCGCTCCTACCGCAGGTGTACGGGCTGCTCCTGCCGTAAATTGCACGCAAGCAGCCATGCCCGCACGCCATATCCCTACTCCCTTATCCTAAAACCCCTTTCCACCATCCCCTCAGCCCTTCCTCCTCCCTACTCTCCCCTCGCCGCTTCCCCTCACCTTCTGGTGGTCAAAGTGCTCCTTCAGCAGGTACAGGTCCTTGCCTGTGATCTCCTCCTTAAGCTGCTCAATCTGGTGCTGCATGATCTTGAACTTGCGCTTCATCTCCTGGATCTCGTCCTGCGCCTCGATCAGGTTCTTGCTGTACAGGTTGCGGTCCGCGCGCACCGCCTCGTAGAGGTTCTGCTGCTGCTTCAGCTTGGCCTCGCCCTCCGCGATGCGCTTCTGCAGGTCGATGATGGCCATCTCGCGCAGCTTCACCTCCTCCAAGGCCTGGGATGGTGCAGGTGGAGATGGGGATGCAGGTGAGGGGGCGGGTAAAGGAGCGAATGAGCAGGGTGCAGAAGAGCGAGGGGGTGCGGGAAAGGGGATGGAGGGCAAGGTGCAGTGCGGGAGTTGGGATGGTGATAGGTGCCCGGACGGGTGGGCTGCGGAGCGGTGCAGGATAACTTGGTGATAAGTAACTGTTTTACGGTGGACGCGTGGGAAGACTGGCTAGCGCAAAATAGCAAGGCATCACACAGCCCAGGTAGCAGCGAAGCGCGGCTGGGTTTAGTAGACTCGAAATCAGTCAGGCACGCCAGTTACAGGAAGCAAAGTCCTACATCTTTCCGCACGCATGCACGCAACCGCGCGCCCATCCATCCCTTCCGCGCAGCCCTCCACACACCTGCATGTACTTCGCGGACGCCTCGCTGGCCTCGATGCTGTACTTCTCGCGCTCCTTCTCCAGCTGATAGATGAGCTTGGACTGCTTCTGCGCCTCCGTCTTGTAGCCCTGGATCTCCTGCTCCAGGTTGCGCTTGGTGTTCTCGTTGATCTTGATGAGGTCGATCTGCTTCTGTGTCGCGTTCTCAGCCTGTGGAGAGGGTAAAGGGAGGTAGGAAGGGGGAGCCGGCGGCCGGGCAGCGGGGTGCGTCAGGTGGGGGCATGGTGAGGTGGTGGAGCATTGGGAAGCGATGCATGGGAAAGCCGGAAGGACATTGCAACATGGTAACGTGAATGCGCGCCTCGTGGGTGGCTTAGCTGGGAGACAGCTTAGATGCCCGGCTGAGAAGTGACAGCCGCAGGCTTTGCCAGTGGTGGCCGGCCCGAACACAGCCCATGGGCATCAACTGCTGCAGCTACTGCCACATCCGCACAGCCGTAGCTAGCAGCAATACCCATGCTTATGAACACATGCAATGAGTACCGGCTACCCCGAATTCCGGCCAATCAAGTTTGCCTCCTAACCAACCAGCGCCAGCGGTCAAGTGCCCTAACGACGCCGATCCGGCATGCGGTCCCCAACCCTTCCATACACCTAGGCTTTCGTGCCATTAACACATCGCCGAACCAGAGCCAAATGGACTCGGCCCCAGCACCCTCTTCCCTTACGCATGCTTCACATCATCATAGCCTCGCGTAGCAGCAAGCAATCCCGCAACCATGCTGCGTGCAAACCCACCCATCCCAATGCCACCCCGCCCAAACCCAAAGCTCCCCCACTTCCAACCCCAACCCACCTGCGACCGTAGCTTCGTCAGCACATCTCGCTCGCGCATCAGCTCCTCCAGCTTCTTCTTCTCCGTGTCCACCTCCTTCTGCTTCGCTTCCAGGTCCCGCTCCAGAGCAGACAGGTCGGCCCGCAGCGTGTCGCGCTCCTTCTCCACCTCCGCGCGCTGCTCCTCAAGCTGCTTGGTCTTCTTCATGGTCTGCTCGCGTAGCTTGTTCACACGCGAGGCCTCCTGCTTGATGGCCGCGATCTCCTCCTCCTTCACCTTGAGCTCCACCTGCTTGGCGGAGTTCTCCGCCAGCAGCTGCGTGTTGGTGTGGATCTGCTCCTCCAGGTCGTGGTGCAGCTTCTGCATCTTCTCGTTCAGCAGGTTGTACTCCTTCTGCACCTTCTCCGTGGCCAGCTTGCTCTCACGCAGCATCTGCTCCAGCTTGGCGACCTGCTCCTCTGTCGTCGTCACCTGCACCTGCTTCTGCTTGATCTCCGTGCTGCGCACCTCCAGCTGCTGCCGCAGCTCCTTCATCTCCTTCTCCATGCGCTCCTTCTTGCGGATCTCGCGCTCCGCCTCCGCCTTTTTCTCCGCAACCGCGTCCTTGAGCTGCTGGATGTCCAGCTCGAGCTGCAGCTTCTCCGTCTCCGCGTTACGCAGCTTCTCCTGCGTCTCCATGAGGTCGCCGCGCAGCGCCATGATCTGGTCCACCTGCGCGTCACGCTCTCGTACGAGCTCCTCCTTCTGCTTAAGGAGCTCGTTGAGCGTGGTCTCCTCGCCGATAGCCAGCCCCGCACCCTGCTCGACAAGCCGTGTCAGGTTGGCGATCTCTATTTTGAGCTGCTGGATGGTCTCCTTCGCCTTGGCCTCCTTCTCGTGGCTGGCGTCCACCATCTTCCATGCCTTCTCGATTTCCTTTTTAAGCGCGGTGATGGTCTGCTGGTCCTCCTCATTGAGTTTGAGTGCTGTCTGCACCTTGGCAGCGTTCGCTACAATTTCCGCGTTGAGCTCACGGCACTTCTTGATCAGGCGCTTTTCGCTTTCTGCAAAAGGGGTGGCGCGGGAGAGTAGCGGGGGCCGTGTTTGAGGTTGGGCGGTGGCGCAAACACATGAGGAAGGCCTGGCCAAACCCCACCCGTGGCCCCAGCCCATAACGCCCTTCCCATGCCGCAAAGCTTACCATGGGACTTCTTAAGAGCCCTATGGAGCTTCTCATATTCAATACGGAAGCGCTCCAGGCTCTTGTCGCCCACGAGCTCTTGAAGCACCTGCGACAGCCGCGGGCAGGAGAGATGCTCGCACGGTATTCGCGAAGGGCAAGCATAACTAGTTATGGATAGTATGTGGGATCGTAAGGGTGCCCGTATGCATCCTGCCAAGCAACATTCCCTTAGCCACTGCCGAGGATGTCCGCGGGAACTTAGTTCAGGCGCACCTCCTGGAAGTCTCGCTCCAGCGCCTCATAGGCCCTATTTTCCAGCTCCTCGCTGGGCTTTGAAGGCGTTCCGTCGTCCGCCATTTTCTATTACTGAAAAGCAACTACAACGAAAAAAGCATTAAGCTAAGTTTCTCGCTCTAAGTATCAAAATTGAAGGAATCCCGCTAGTAAAGTGTAAATAATGCTGAGACACTTTTTCTATAGGTTGTACTTCCCTTGCCTTGCCTTCCAATGCTCGGTTGGTGCCGTACTACTCTTCAGCCCAGCGCACCATCTGCTGCACAGACGACAGCAAAGTAGGAGCCTACCTCATAACCCTTGTTGGTAGTCATAGCGTTAGGCTGTGGCCACGGCCCATCTCAACCCACCTTATCCTGACCCATTATGTCGACGGCCGTCAAACTGTTCACCAGGTATGCCGGACACAGCGCTTTCTGGCATAACCTTATAAGCAATTGACGCGATGAGGCCTTTAAACATTGGGCTGTGCCATGCGCAGAACCTCATGCCCACCCTCAACGTCCGGGAGACAGCCATGCCCTGAATTGCGGTTAGCGTTTACTGGAGCATGGCATCGTCGGTCATGCTGCCGAGCCCGGTGAGGCATATCTGTCCTAGCGCCTGCGCGTTTCCCTACAGCAGCGGTAGACGGGTGTTGCCTGTTGCAGGGCTATAGCTGACAATTATCTACCGCCGCGGCAACCCGACGAGGAGTACATGAAGGTTAGTCCCAAGGGTTGTATGTTATACCATAGCAGGGCTGAAATGGTAGGGGTCTCAACCCGGGGCCAACTAAGGAGGGCAAACAACTCTCCTGTGTTTCCTTGCATCTTACAAGACCCCGGCACCGCTAGCGCAGCCCTCAAACCAGTCTGGGCAACACATGGAGAAGGGTTCCAAACACGCCTTCAAGGTTTCCCTTTAAAAAACTGCTTGATGTCCGACAGCTCTGCGAGCAACAGCCTTGCGGGCGCCTAACACACCAACACGACCGCCACAATTGGCCTCAAGCTTCCTCATTTGCGTTTCTTATCCTACTAGTACTTTCTTCGGCTCGCTGAATGGTAGAAATCCCATCACTTGCGCAGGAATACGCGGGTCTCAAGAACCAGCTCATGGACAACACGCGCAAATGCGGGGCTGTAGTGGCAGCGTACCTCCTGCTGACCGTTGACGGCCAGGTGAAGCGTCCTTTTAGGGGCCAAGGCTGGGAGCGATCCCAAGGGAGGCTGACCGGCGCATAGCGGCATCTGAACGTTTCGACACGGCAGCCTCGCACTGGGCTGGCAACAGCGGTTGGGGAACACCAATTTGCCGAACCATGCATTAGAGCTTCGCCGTACTACATGTAGCGTATGGCATGCAGCAGCATGCCTTCAAATATGCCACCTAAGGCATGCATCAACATGCCGTACGGTCAAATTCTAGTGCTTGCACCGGTCCTTACGCTATGCTGCCATTGCCATGGCGCCTGCCCTATCACCAGGCCGCCCTATGTGCCCTTCTCGGCAGCGCCGCCGGGTACGGGTATCTAGCGTTGTTGTACCGTGACGTGGACAGTTACACAGGAGACACGTTCGTGCCCATGGTGGAAGCGGATAAGGTGAGGTTGTGCTGTTTGGGGACTCGTGCTTGAAAGCTGCAAGTGCTGAAACGGGGATATGGCCGTTTTACATGCGCATTGCGGTAACATTCTACCGTATTGCTTTACGTCTCCATCGGCGCATGCGAAGGAGCCATACCGGTATTCCGCTCCAGCGCTGCACCTGTAGCTTTTAGCCCTCCCTCCACACCCTTTCGCTTGTTTCTTCTCCCGGTTAACACACCACGCCCGTGCTGCACAACAACTTCTAGATTGAGAATACCTGGTTGCGACGTCTCGCAAAGCTCGGTTGCGCCTATCGCCAGGCGCTGCAACCCCGGCTGCTGGTGCCCGTCGGGTTGGCCTGTCTTGCAGCCGCCTATAACCGCGTGGCGGGCCCGGATCACTCGTTGGACCTCCTACACCAGGGCTGCTTGCTGGGCGGTTTCTTGTCGTACAAACTGGCCCTGCTGGTGAAGCTGGTGGACGAGCTGACGCCAAAGGTGCGGTTGCTCTGGGTCCTCGCTCCATTCTCCTGATCGGGTATTTTTAACTACGGTAATCGCTGTGTGGGTCGTAGTGGATGTTGAAGGGCTAGTCAAAGGCAATGCGTGTGTTTAAGGGTTGTTGTTAGGACGGTACGGATTCTGTACCTGACGGGGCTGGCGCCTGGGAGGACGCTTGGCTGTTGCAAGGGCCGCGTGCGCGCACAATCGGCACAGTGGGTACAGCGCCCCACCAGCCCACAACCGCGGTGTTCGTACGCTAGAGTGCACTCTGTTCCTGCCGCAAATGCTCTGTCAAACCGTGCCGCTCCGCTTCCATGCAGACGTACGTCGACGCGTTTGAGAGCCGGCCTCGCGTTGAGCCCATAGAGGACGAGCTCGACATGTTTGGCCGGCCCAAGCGCCGCGCCATCCGCATGCCCACGGAAGCACTGCCCGAGGGCGTTGAGGCCGAGAAGGTCCCGCTGGCTGGGCTTATACTTTCGATGGAGGGAGAAGAAGCAGCAGCGGCGGGTCAAGAGGGTGCGGACCAGCGGCAGTCAGCAGCAGCGGCACCTAAGCGGGTGAGCTAGGGAGCCTGAAGACGGGCGCAAATGGAGGCAGTGGTCGGCTGGTATAGCGCCCGTGCTAATGGTCTGGTTTCCAGGGTGGGAAAGTTGGTTGCAGGTGGGCACTTCTAGGGATTGTGCACATGTGCGTTGCTGGTTGAAGAGCCGTGCAGCGATGAGGGGATGCGCTTACATGTTGTATGGGCCTCGGCTGTTCAGCCAGGGTGGGAGCGTGTTATACTCCCAAGTCATGCGCCATAGACACCTGCATGGAGATGAGTATCTGCACAGGACTGGAGTACGATTGTGGATGGGATGCGCTACCTCACTTCTCCCATGGTTGCAAGCCGTGTGCCATTCGCAGTTATCCTCAAGTTTTCCCCAAATGAACCGAATGCGTTGGGTGCGTTGGGTGATGCTGGTTGGCTGGATGGAGGTTTGTCGAGGGAGGTAGCTTAAGTCTGTAGAGGTGCTGGCTTGAGACGTTGGTTTCTTGCCGTGTAGGTGCATAAGCTCCTATAAAGGATGCCCGAGGCAACAGGAATGGTTGCAAGAGGGTTCCGAGCGCAATGGAAGGGCGGGGCGGCTTCAGGGTGCTGCGCGGTGGGCAGTAGCACAGGCTATCTGCAGGGCACCGTAATGTTTTGTTGTATGTTGTATATTTCCGGACGCTGTAAGCCAAGCAGTATGAGCATTGAGGGCAGCGCAAACGAGTGGCAGGCTGAGTACGCTCATGTACGGGATAAGTAGCTGTGCATCCCCGCGCGCATGCCAATACAATACCAACTTAACCTTGCATTTTGCGCTTATGCCCAAAGTTGTTGTCAGCACAATCCTGCGGCGCTCGCAGAGGCTTGGGGGCACCGGAATGGTGAGGAACTGTCTCCGCGACGCCTGTGAGAGGACGAATTCGGATACTTTGTTTTTGGCGGGCCTCATTGGCTGAGAATGCTGCCGCTTACGCACCAGGATGGCTATTTTTCCATGCACCATTCCGTACCGGGATACGGGACAGAAATACCAACCGATTGGGACAACACGGTGTACGTGCAATCAGTAGGTTTCACATGTCTGTAGTAGGCTGCGGGCAGAAGGGGTACAAGACCCCCATGGGCAGACATGGCAAGGTATGCCCACGCAAAACTTAGTATAGTGACTCAGGGAGGTGTGACTGCATCTTCTGTGACTCAGGGAGGTGTGACTGCATCTATTGGAACACAGTGCGACACAGCTTCGCCCATGATATGTACTACATGCTGCTGAGGGCAGCCCAAGCCTCAACAGGCTTGGTTACCGTAAGACTCTGGTGGGCGCAGGAGAAAAGTTAAAGGCATGGTTTTGAATTAAGACGTATACTGCTTACTATACAAGATTTGGCATTTCTATATAAGCAATTCAGATTCTGGTTCGTCGTCATACTTCGCCATCATCGACGAAAGAAGCCTTCTCCGCGCCAATTACCAGTTTAGCCTGTAATTGCCCTATCTTAACACGATTTGCACAACCCGATGCTTAACGAGGGATGGCTGGTTTCGTCGAACGCGGCGAAGCATGATTACGCTTGCGTAGGAGCGCCAATCATTGCTCAACAAGCGAAATGAATAGAAGTAATAAAACGCGACTTTGCACTTATGTACTGCTGGCAGCGCTCCTGGCAACTATACACCGATAATAGGCGGGCTGTAAACAGCGAAGCAAGGGGCGCAAAAGAAGATAACCATGCCTACACTGCGAAAGCAAACACTAAGATGCATAACACCTAAATTGTGTTGAATAGTTGTGGAATACTTCATGCTCTAGGACAGGAAAGTTTCGCCCAATTCGCCGTGCGGGAAAGTGTACGTACATGTTTGCCCTGTTGTTTTGTTGGAGCTATTGGGAATAAAATAACGAAGTATAAATGTAGGTAAACTTTAAGGTGCCCAAATTGCTGAGCCTAAAGCTCCGCGAGTATGGCCGAACTGTACGGCTGTTGTCTTTGCGCGATAACACGCGAATTACTAGCACCAAACCTAACTCACAATCATTGGCCGAGTTTCGTCTTGCTTGCTTTCCCTGCTTAAAGCATTTTTCCTTGTTCACTGTACCTACTTTCAAACGGACCGCTTTGCCACACCGATTCTGCAGCACTTTTATTATCCAGAAAAATGATGAACCAGCTATGGCATAACTAGCCAACGATATAGGGGGTTCGGCCCGAGCTTTGACACAACTGTGCCCGGCGGCCTTCACAGGAAGCAGCATGGTTTTCTCATGTTGCTTTGGTGGAGGCGGTGGAGGTGTATCATCCAACGTGCGGCAGCAGTCTTATGGGCCTAGTCCGGACAAGGTCATAGCTGTGGCTAATGCGAAGGTGCAAGAGTTCACTGATTTGCAAGGCGGCACAAGTACAACAGAAGGAACAAAAGTACATGACGGGAAAACGACTTCGTTTAACGCTGTGACCCCATTAGACTCAAACGCCGCATGCCAAGTAAGTCTTCGCAATTCTCTTGCGACCGCCCTAGAAGGCAGCCATGGCGATGTAGCCTCTTTGCTTAACCTTGATGCCCTACTGCTTAAACGGCCACTCCTGTCCCCGCGCTTTTCTGCTTCCTTAACGCGAATGCACACCCTTCCATTACGTTACTTCAGCAGCTGAACGTGCTGAATACCTCTTTGGCTGGTTTGTGTGGAAGCTGGTATGAACGCATCTCTTCTGCAGCGTCGCGGCTTACCAGCGTATCAGGTGCAGCTCTTTGCTCTATCTCCATCCTCGACGCTGCTCACGACCGCTTCACGGTGGTGCACGTCAATGGAGAGGACATAACGTGCTCGGTTATAACGCCTCCTGGATCGCATCTTCCGGCCCTGCAAGTAGTTGCACCGCCTGAAGACCTAGCACAGCCCGAACAGCTGAACGGAGGCACTGGCCTGCGCTACAACAGCATGCAGGTGTTGCAACTGCTTCAGGTGGGTACTTAATCTCGCGGCTTTTTAACCATCCCGGCTGCTGAGGCATTTAAGGAAGTCCCTGTTGCGAGCACCATGTGTTACTCCTAGGCAGACAGCTTCACCCCTCAGCGACAAACATCATTGACCATCGATTGCTTCATACGTTGCCCATCCAGACCCCGCTTCTACATTCATACACGAAGCCGCTGCGAGCTGCCCGCGATAAGGATCAGCCGCCGCACGACTGGCAAGCCATCCACGACACCCATGGGTTGTCAGAGTTCTGCGCCCTACCCTTGACCCACAACAAGTCGGTGGTAGGGGCCGTCACCCTTGGCTTCCGAACGTCTGCGGGTGATGGCCGGCAGCAGCCAAGCAGCCCAGCGCACGCCGGCGCAGCTAGCCCAACAGTGCCCATAATGGCGTGCGAAGAGCAGTCCTTGCAGACGCTAGGACTGCTGCTGTCAGTGCTGCTTGTCAGCCGGGACATGCACCTGGCACAGGAGGTGACAAACTGGGGCACATGTGCTTGCAACCACGTGGCAGTGTATGGTTTTGCCCTTTAGCGGTATTCTGTGGTGCCGAGAGCAGTAGTTCATGGTTTAGAAAACTGGACGTGTGTTAAGGAACTGGCTGAGATTTCGCCTGCTGTTCCACGCATGCTGTTCCTGCAGGTTGCCGGCATTCTTGGCAGCGTCTATGAGGCCCGCAACATCCAGCAAGTCGTAACAACGATCACGGGGGGAGCAGAGCAGGTCTTGCAACTCACAACGCGAGTAGCAGTCGCAGCCAATATGGCTATGCTGGTTGCACCAGCCTCGGGCAGCGGCAGCAGCTTAAACAGCGCTGGGACAGCAACGTCTTCGGGGCGTGCCATCTTTTTTGAGGAACGCAGTGGCTCTAGCGGCAGCACCGTGGGCACGACCGGGTCCCGCTCCATGCCTTGTCCTCCTGATGGACATGGTTCTAATCTGGGCACCAGCGGTCAAGGCCAAATGCCGCGCTCGCGTATGCAAAGGTGTGGGTTCATACTTTGCGTACGAGCTGAGCTACAGTGTAGCCACGCGTGGGCTGTTGTCCTGCGTTGTCGGCATTGTCTAACGCCTCGTGTGTTTGGGTCGTTCGGGCTCGCTGTGCTCTTTGCATTAGTCCCAGCGAAAATTGTGCCCTGTTATGGCCGTGGCAACCCTGCAGGGCGCATGTCGAAGGCGGTGGGAGCGCTGCTTCTAACAGCTACCAGTCATCCACGGCCAACACTGTCTCGCCTCGTGCAAAGGGCTCCGCAAGCGGTGCTGGGGCAGCTATGCAGCATCCACGGAACGCCTCTCAGGACAGCACAACAGCAGCAGCGATGAACACCTCCTATGGGGGCTTGCTGTGGCAAGAGGGCCTTGTACAGGCTCGAGCCATGGGGCTTCGCCACACCCTACTAGCCAGCCTCCCTGTGACCGGCACAATCGTAAACGACTGCGCCTCATACATGCAGCAAGCGGGCTGCCCCAAACGTGACCTGTACCTTTTATCCTCATGCCAGGGAGGACCGCCTGTTTCCCTCGTCGTTGCGCCCGCTCCTCTCAAAGAGGGCGAAACCACGCAGCTGATCCTGTACGTGGCGGTCGGGACGCGCCTGCCCATGGAGCTTCTGGGCGAGCTGCTAGCACAGGCTCAGCTGCTGGCGGTTCACGTGCTGTCGCCTGCATTGCAGCACAAGCTCTTGCATGGCAACCTGGCGGAGGAGTGGGGACTGCTGCTGGGCAAGTGCTCTTCGGGCCGGAAAAATGGCGGTGCTGCCACCTCCGCAAGTGCGAACGCTGCTGCGGGTCCTGAGCAAGAGCAGAGTGGAGCAAACGGGGCGAACGGGGCTGGCATTAAGGACGGCAAGGGCGAAACCCTCGGCCCCGGCAGCGGTGCGGGCGAACGCGCCATCAGCCAATGCGGCAGCATAAGAGCCAGTGAGGAGAACAGCGGGCGCCAGGCGCAGCAGACCCAAGGGACATCATCGGGTCAGATGCCGGTTCTGCCGTCCTCGGAGGGGGCGGGGGACATGGCGCCACCTCAGCCCTATGGTGACGCAGGCACTGTTGGCGGTGTCAGGATAGTGAACGAACCGCCCACAGCTCTGCAGCCGCGGGTACCGGTGCTGAGCACTGCCGTTGGCGGCGCCTTTGCGGGCGATACACGCACGCACATGGGCATGCTGGTTTCCTCCTTTAAGGACACGATCAACGCCCTGCAAGCCACGAGGTGAGGATGCGCAGGGAAGCGTAAGGGTTGTACTGCATGCAAAATGCTGAGCGGAGCCCGTTGTGCTGTAACGACTTTTGGTATGCTTTGACTTTTGGTACGCTTTGACTTTTGGTACGCTAACGGGTAATGTGTATGTACGGGTTGCTTTGCAATGGAGTACTGTTTGACCACACATCACTCCCACGGCAGATCCGAGGAGGCGGAGGAGTTGTCGGTGCTTAAGCTTGGTAAGGTCTTGGGCCGAGGCGGTAGCGGCCTCGTCTTCCAGGGCTACTTGCATCTAGGGCTGGAGGTCGCCGTGAAGCTCTTTGAGAACCCGGACGACACGGATCCGGACGCCTTGTCAAACGAGGACGCTCCTCCCCAAAGCATCAACCCCAATGCATCCGGCGGCTCCGACGCTGCCAATGCCTCAGCTGGGGCTAAAACGGAAGCCTCCAAGGGCGAAACGTCGCCGCAGAACACAGCAGCCCCCGGCGAGGGCCAAAATGACGCTTCTGCGGAAGGTGGTGCTGCAGGCGACGGCGCCAAGCCGAACGCAAACGGCACAGGCACCAAGACTGCGGCGCAGATGGCCAAACGCCAGCGCGACCTTCTGCGCAACGCACTGGAGTTGGGCCTTACGTCTTCCATGTCGCACCCCAACATCGTGCAGGGCTACTGCCACTGGGTGAACGTGGTGCTCATGCAGGACGCCTCTCTCAACCGCTGCTGGCTCATGGGCCAGGCAGAGTACATGGCGCTTGCGCCGCCTGGCTCGCCGCAGCCCCCGCTGTGCTCTGCGCTTGTAATGGAGTATTGCGACATGGTGGGTTGGGAAAGACAGCATCGCGGGTGGTTAGTGGGTGTGTTGGGGAAGGGTTCACAACGCTCGCATGGAGGGCCATGGCAGTGCACCCGTACACGCCGGCGAGCGCCTCGATAAGCGGCCGCGCCTGCTGACAGCGATCATAGCGGAGATTACTTGAGCTTTCGTGATTTCGACATGTCGTATTCCTGCTGTGGGCCAAGGTAGCCGGAGTGATGACCTAAATGCGTTCCTGTCTGCAGGGGTCGCTCATACACGCCCTCAAACGCGGTACCTTCATGACGGTGGACAGCAAGCCAAACATGGAGGTGCGTGGTCTGACGCCACCTAAGGAAGGGGCGGCCCGCCTTTGTTTCGCCTATAAAGAATGCCAGCACGCATGCGTGCCGCAAGTTTTGCGACCGTTCTATGAATCCTGCTTGTCTTTACCTCCGTGACAAGGGGCTTCAACCCACATCCTAGCATGATGCCGCACGTGCGCCTTTAATGCCCCTCTGCAGTTTATCTACATGTGTCTGTTAGAGATCGGGTTGGCGTTGCGCCACTTGCACACCGCCAAGCTGGCGCACTGTGACCTCAAGCCGGGCAACGTGCTACTGCGCTCCAGTCCGCGTGACCCCCGCGGCTTCGTCTGCAAGCTTGGCGACTTTGGGTAAGGTGCCCGGGTCAGCGCGACATGCACGTGGGTATGCGGTTGTTGATGGTTCTTGCCTGCTATCTTAATGGGGTAAAATGTCGGTGTTCACGAAAGCCTCTAATGTGGCTCAATGTGCTGGTTCGACTAAATTGCGTCCTCACTTGGAAATATCCACACCGTGCACAGATACGCTGCAATCCTCAAGGACGGCTTAATTCCTGGGCGGCCGGCGGTGCTACCCGACGAGGCCTGTGGCACGTTGCAGTACATGGCGCCCGAGCTCTTCGTGGCTGGTCGGCCCGTGGACGCAAGCATCGACATCTACGCCTTTGGTGCGTTCCGCTTCTTGGGGAGCTAAACAGCGGCACAAACTCTGACCCCCATGCCGTGGCCTGCGTAAAGGCTACCGGTACTCCCTGCTGTTGGTGGTCGGCTCACCTGGCCCTTCCGGCATCATGCGTACCTTTTACACATGCGTCTTGTCTCGGTTAAGATTTTTAAGCCATGGCATAAATATCGCCGTTCTTGTCGTTCCTCCTGACAGGCATGCTCATGTGGGAGCTAACCACGGGCAAGACGCCGTACAGCGAAACCGAGTACGGCAGCCGAGCGCTGATGAAGGCCGTGTATCATGGCAAACGCCCCCTCTTTCCGGAAGGCACCCTGCCGGCCTACAAGTAAGGAGCAAGTGTTAACGCTACTGCTTCCGTTGACGTTAATACCCTCCCTAGCACGCGCGCTAGCAGCCATTTGCGGGGGCTAGACACCCTTGCCTTTGGCCTCGCCCACACCATGCTAAGAGCGTGCAGGATATTGCACTGTGTTTCTGACCAACGTTAGTCCCAACGCGGCTTCACGCATTTGCTTACCTTTTACCGCTGCCCGTGTCCGGCGTGTGTATGCCGAATCTGCGCTATCCTGGTGACTCTGAAGCTTACTGTGTGGTCGCACAATCTGCGCTATCCTCGACAGGAACCTTGCAATGTGCTGCTGGTCTGGAGACGCCAACCTGCGGCCCAATGCCAACGTGCTTGTAAAGCTGCTACGTCAGCAGCTTGAGAGCTACAAGCAGCAATTTGGAAGCTCTGGCTCCAACTCGAGCCTGGGTATCCGGGTTTAAAGGTGCTCGGATTTGCGGCAAAGGAATGCGGCACAGCAGGTGCATGAGGTGCATGTAAGTGAGGCCTGTCTGGTTGTTCTGTTGCCTAATGCTTCGCCATAGTCACTTGGAACCACTCACAGCTGGAGAGTATGCTATGCCCACCCTGTGAACATTGGATTATTAGCTAGGTTCATTGTTGTCGTGTTCAGCCCCACCAAGACATTCCATGTCAGTTTCTATGTTGTTGCCGTTGCGTTGAAATATTACAGCTTGAACCTACTCCCAACGGGTTGGCCCCTTCGGGCAGTTCGGCAACACTCTGGGAAGGGGGAGCTACGGATTAGGCCTTGCTATATGACGTACGTATAGTGCCGAATTTTATGAACGTTGCCAGAAATAATTGCTATGAGCAGCTTTGCTGCCGCGGTCATGGTTTTGTTGTGCTCTATGAGGTTTTGTTGAGGCCATGGCACACGGCAGCGCACGTGGATTTGGTTTCTCATGTGGTGAATATTACAACAACGCTGAGCAACAAGGGGCATATGGCCGTGTGGGCAACATATGAAGTATGGGTTGTAGCCGTTGGATGTTGCCTGAAGTATGGGACTGGTTATCTTCATTTTGATAGGTGTTTATGGCGGTGGTCAAATGCATTGGGAAGGTGGTGATAATGCTTATCTTCTGGATATCTATACAGGTTAGGCTTGAAAAACCACGCGTCGGTGTTTCTGAGTTGGATGCTGGTGACTTCTGAGCATTTTGTTACTCCTGGGCTGCCCGCTTGGCACGTGGGGCACCTTCAAGAACCCGCAACCTGCGCACAATCGGGTTTCTTCGGGTGCCCCGCGTGCTCTTGTGATCCAATGCATGGTATCTACCTTGCCACCGGAGAAGCCGTCTTTTCACTGACAACGTGCCCAGTTGTGCGCCGCGCTTGAGTTATTGGCCTCTTATGCGTGCGTTTTTTATCGCTCGGTGTAATGATTCCTGCAAGCGCATATTGTTTATTGCATGTGGTAACTGCAGGTTGTCCGTTGGGCGGTATAGATGATAGGTGTTAGGGGGAGTTGCTATATATATGGGACAGGAGCTGCGTGTTTTAGAACAAATGCTGAGGGTGCCTCGTGAGGGGCGCATCCGCCTGCTTGCGTGCGTCGTTGCCTGTTGCCATCTGCTGCATGCAGGGCACGTACCGTAAGTCCATAAACGAATGCGTGAATTGTCGCTGCGCCGTTGCTGTGATTGCCGGTTTGTGCCGTATCCAGGCAGGGCATTTTTGATGGGTCAGCGGAGGTGCACGGGATAGCGGTAGATTTATACGAAAAAACGTTTTGAAGTGCGCATCAATTTGGGGCCCGTGTTGCCGTGATCGTGTCCTGGAGTGCGTGCGGCCTTCTGGTGCCGTGCATAAAGCCATCTCTACCTTGTTGGGCGTGGCTTTAATGCCCTGTTGGTTGTTTGGTTCCATTAAGGTTGGGGTGCAGCGCTAACGTATGTTCACGCACAGTCGCTTGCATAAGACATGGGCACACGGCGTGACTTCCCGGTAGTTAGGTTAAAGAGAAGCCACGTGTTCGCCTGCCCGCAGTAGATGAATACGTTGTTGTATGGCCTTGTACACGCGTAAGTGGGATGGTGACCATCTACGCCTGTACGCCTGCATTAGCTAGGGTCGCGGTATGAGGGGGCAATGCAATCGAGCGCCGCTCTTGGTCGCATAGAACCGCCATCTCACATGTTTAATCCACATCTAAGCACATGGCCCATTTCGAGATAGCAGACACAATATAGGTTTAGGCGTGTAGATGTTCGCCAGCACTATTACACGAGGGCTCGCAAGTGATTGGATATGGTACCACACACGACACACCGGACTAACGAGCCACACGTGCAGGTCTGCACTACACAGGTGAAGCCCATCGCCGCCTGTACAGCACGATTGTAATGCACATTCAGATGCGAGTTGTGGAGCTCTATTATCAGGCATGGGAGCTTGCAGAACTTGCACGGGGAGTCGGCCTTTTGCGTGGTATAACCAGATCCAACCCGTCACGCTGTACCCAGTCAGGCACGGGACAAAATAGAGGGCATGGGAGCCGGATGGGTGTCCAACAACCTGATCCTAGGTAAATGTATTATATAAAAGTAAAGCGCACGCCGCTGCTTTGTGTTTGGTAATTTGCCTTCCAATGCGGTAGTTGAGCCGCATCCTACCCCGAACTGTCCAATACATGGCTATTAGATCTCAAGTTAGTTTCTCTGTTTTTGAAGGATCCGCTTGGGATCGCGAAATTAAGGGTAGGGTCGTCCGCAATGTCACTGCCACAGCAAGCAGCAGCTCCTTACGGCCGGAAAAGCCGTCGTGACGGCGCAATTGAAGGTTGTTTCATAAGCTTTACTTCTGGCTTTACTGCGGTAAGTGGCGTGGTCTTTGGATTCGGCGTGACGTAAAACGCGGCCACCCGTTCTAGCTCTTGTGCAGGCGCGACCTCCACCGACTCACCGCCAATCTCAGTCCATCTATACCAACCAACGTTTGCCCACCATCAGCGCGAAATCAGACTGCCCTGGTGCGTGGCTCAAATGCGGCTGCGCTTCGCGCAATCCTGACCTGCGAACAAGCGCTGTGCTGCGCACCACCGGAAATGCAGCTCTTGTAGGGCTAACTTGCAGAGACATCGCGTCGACAGATACTGTGCTTCAATCTCGGAGCTCACAGTTACACAGTTTGCACCCACCGGGGCAACACAGCTACGATGCGGAGCTCGATGTGGCTTTTAGCCCCGCAGCCAGCAAACCTGAGCAATGTGCGAGTCTACAAGGGGCCCCTGACCACGGCGCTTCGACGACGTGCAGGGAAACAGCGGCTCAACAAGCAGACACCAGCGCGCAGTGGCGAACAAGGAAGCAGCCGCTGGAAAGGGCCACGAGCCGAGTAGATGATTCGGACGGGCTGCGAAGCACAGCTGCCCGTAAGAACCAACGCAGCTGGCTTCCAACCCCGTCTGGGTCGGAGGTGCAAAGCCATGATGCTAGGGCTTTGGCCTGCGATGTACCAGCGCCAGACGCAAAAGCACATGGTATAGGTCGCTACCGCCGAACAATCATCGGCGCCGGCGCTGCCATTGCAGCAGCAACCGCAGCGGCGGCGGATGGGGCGCTACCTAGCAGCTCGGTAGCTTCCCTCGCCCTCGTCTTCAATGAGGGAGCTTTCGCAGACACCCCACCGGACACGAAACCCAAGCACGCTGCCGCAGCTGCCACCTCCTCCTCTCGTCCTGCAAGCGGGCAAGACCCGCTTCCTCCAGCATTGCCTGCTCACGTGCCTGGACCTCATCCACCAACATCACCTACGCATGCGACTGCCCGACCCGCCTCAAGCCGTTGCAAACAGCACATTTGGACCCGCACCTCCCCCTCCTTACCTTCCCCACCCGCGACCGCAGCCCCCGCAGCCTTCACCCCACCGCCGCCTCTCCCCGTTGAAGTACGGCGGACCGACCTCGTCACGCCGCGGAAGCTCACCTACCTCCTCAGCAACTCCTCGACACTGTCAGACCTCGAAACCTACGTACAGCAGTACGGCAACCACTTCAACCACTTCCATGTCAGCTGCTGCCTGAATCGCCTCGCCAAGGCTGCCGACGTGCAAAAGCCCAACATGCAGCCCGTCCTGCATCGCCTGCTGACTCAGCTTGACTCCATGCTGCTCGCACGGCTGCAAGACTGCGGTACCCGTGAGCTGTGCAACGCGCTATGGGTGTGGGCCAAACTGGGTCACGTTCCCTCGCCCGATACGTGGCACGCCGTCCGCACCGTGCTGTTCAGTACGGATGCAGATTCGGATCCCCTGGGCTCGTCCAGCCAGCCAGCAGGTGCAATTGGAGGCGGCTTTCCGGCCGAGTGGACGCCACAGGGCATCGCCAACGCCGCTTGGGCCCTGGCGCGTATGGGATGCGCTGACACGGTGGCCTGGCGCCGTCTTGCCGAGCTCAGCTTGGGCTCCCTGCACGCCCTGACTCCCTTCGACATCGCCAACCTGGCGTATGCCTTTGTCGCCGCACGCCAAGACGACACCCACCCCACACATGTCGCCCTCATGCGGGGTCTGGCGGATGCGTCCGTGACCCAGATCGACAAGTTCTGTCCACAGGACTTCTCCAACATGCTGTGGGCCTACGCGCGTATCGGCATGCCGCAGCCGGCGCTGCTCGCCGCTGCCTCGCCCTTGATCTGTCGTACGGCGGCCAGTTTCGGGCCTTCGGGTCTGGTTCAGATCATGTGGGCCTACGCAAAGTTGGGTGTACGGGACGTGCCGCTGCTCGCGGCCGTCGTACAGGAGCTGATGAAGAGGCTGCCCCGCTTGGATGCACGCAACTTGGCGCTGCTGTGCTGGGCGCTCGCAAGAATGGTGACCGCGGGCGCCTCCACCGCCGCTGCCTCAGCCACCGCTGGCGGCGACGTCAGCGGCGGGCGCGATGTCATGGCCAGTGAGGCAGCGTTCGTACCGCAGACGCTTGCTGCCAGGGTACGACGCGGGGTGGCGGATCCGTACTTGAGGTGCTTCCAGGACTCTACAGCTGCGGCTGCGGCAGCGATGGGGGCTTCTGCAGAGATTCCCAGCACGACCGACCGGGGCAGTACGACGGGCCGACACCATGGCGGGGGTGATTGTGGCAGCCTCTTCCTGCCCACCGTACGACAGGCCGCCCTGGCGCCCGAAATGGATCTGGATCTCGAGCTGCCTTCAGAGGCAGGGACCGCGGAAGCGGGTGTCGTAACGGCTGCAGGATCAGCCACGCATTCGGTCGGACCTGTGGGGGCTGGTGGCAATACCCGTGGGACCGCGACCCATGGGTCGGCGGACAGGACATCCACAGGCTCCTGGCGTTCCGATGCGGAAGCTCTCGCGCTGTCAGAGCTCGAAGTATCCGCAGCCATTTCAGCTGCCAGTGAGGCCCTGAAGGCTCAGCTGCCGCCTGGGCTCCTGCCGGACCTGGTGTCGGCGGTTCAATCCCGGCTGGAAGCACTCGACACCCGTCACTTGGCGATCATCCTCTGGTCTCTAGCGACCCTGGGTCACAACGACAGCGCCCTCTTCACCGCCGCCGCCGCCATCCTCGGCCCACGTCTGCGTGAGGAGGAGGTAGCTGCGCAGTGCCTGGCGCACATTGCATGGGCGTATGCAGCTGTACGACATTACGATGAGGCGTTGTACGACGCGATTGCGGATGCTGCCATGCAGATGTGCTCCGAAAGCAGCAGCAACAGCGGCGGTAGCAGTAGCAGCAGCAGCAGTGGCAAGAAAAGCAGTCCCGGAGAGGTTTCCCTTGCGCTGGCGAACGTGCTTTGGTCGCTCGGGAGCTCGGGGCATTACGCGCCGAAGCTCTTCGCGTCCGCATCCCGCGTTGTGGTGGAGGCGGTTGTAGCGGCTGAGGGAAACCCCGCCGTAACCAACCAGCTGGCGTTAGTCATGCTGGCTTGCGCCTACACCGGGCATGAGGACCAGGAACTGTACGAGCAGGTTTCGGCGGTGCTGCGTACGGCTGGGCCACAGGCGTTGCATGATTGGAGCCTAACCAACATCTGTTGGTCGTTGGCGGTTGTGGGTCACGTGGATTTCGAGCTGCTGACGGTGCTGTTTGGTGACGTGGCGATGCAGCGGGCAGACCGGATGGGCTCGCGGGGCTGCACGCAGCTGTTCCATTGCTGCATGTGGCTGCAGGTGGGGTGGGGTGGGGGGGTGCACTCTAGGTGCAGCAGGGAGGAGCAGGGGACCATCACATGTAGAGGGCTTTCGGACTGGTCATCCGTTTCCTCCTTCGAACTGGTTTTGCCAAGTCCACCACTAGTGCCCGCGTGTGTGTCTTACGATTCTCCCCTTTGGCGTCCCCTCCCCACCGCCGCTTCAGGACCTGGTTCCCGGCGGTCGGCGGCTGGCGTCGCTGCTGCCCGCGCGGCTGCTGCAGATAGGTCGCGCCACCTTCCTGCAGCTCGCCCGGGACTCGGTCATCTCGGACTTCCAAGCGGAGGTCTTCAGGTGGGGCGTGTTGAGGATAAGGAAACTGAAGAGGCACCTAACGAGCTGTGCGACAAGGCTTCACCATGGGGGGGGGGCGGTGCTGGAGTGAGAGGGGGTGCCAGACACGGGGAGGGATGCCCCGGTGGTGCGATGCGTGCGGCTGGATGTCCGCGGGGGATTCCGGTAGTGGGCGCACGTGCGCAGGTGCGCCAGGGAAGGGGAAGCGCTGTTCCCGACCTGGCTTGGTGCGATGGCAAGAAGGCAGCACGCACCTGGAGGCCCCTGGACCGCTCCTCCCTCCCTTACCCTTACGGGCCTTTCCCTTCCCCGCTCTCCCTGCACCGCCGCTCCCCCACAGGACGCTGCAGTCTCTGGGTCTGTCCCCCTCCATGGAGGTCAAGACCGCCGACCGGCTCTTCTCCCTGGACACCCTGCTGCTCCTGCGCGGCGGCGCACTGCAGCTGGTGGTGGAGAGCAACGGCCCGCAGCACTACCTGCGAACCCATCCGGGGCGCTTCGCAGGCAGCACCCGCCTGCGCTGCAGCCTGCTGCGCGCGCGGGGGCTGCAGCTGCTGCACGTGAGCTGGCGGCAGTGGCATGTGCTGGGCGGGGATGGCAGGCGGCAGCGGGCGTTCCTGCGGAAACAGTTGAGGGAGTTTGTGAAGCGGCTGGAGGGTGAGGGAGTGGTGGCGGAGGGTGCGGAGGGGGATGGGTGGATGCTTGAGGAGGAGGAGGAAGAGGGGGAGCGGGAGGGAGAGATGGGGTGGTTGGCGGAGAAGGAGGGGAGTCAGAGAGAAGCCCGGCAGGGGGGGAGAGGCTGGTTTGGGTATGCGAGTGAGGGGGAGGAGGAGGGGTCGGTGACGGAGTGGCTGGTGAGGGAGAGTCCGAGGGGGGACAGCCCGGCGGCCTGGTTTGGCGGCGAGGAAGGGGCTGCGGATGGGGAGCACTACCGGGAGCTGTGGGCGGAGGTGGCCGCGGAGATCGAGGAAGAGCCCCGTTGAGGTGAATGCCGTGATGGTGATGAGGGGACAGGGGGGGGTAGCTCGGGAATATCCGAGGGCCGCGTGCGGGGCGCCAGTAGTTAAATGAGAGGTGCACGCTGGGTGTGGGCTAAATGTTTTATTGTGTTTCGGCACGCACCACGCAGAATGTGGAATCGACGGAGAGTACAGCAACGAACGAGGGGACTACAGTTGGTTTTGCTGGTATCGTGGTATGTAGGAATGTAGGGTAGCACACCCTTTTTGTCTTACGGTGTGACTGTAGGTGCTATGCTGTTAAGTACATCAGATGTGCTGCGAGGTATGCACAGCTGCTTTACTCCTGGCGGTGTGTCAGGTGTTCCCATTTTTGACGCGGGCTGAGAGGACGCGTGACGTTTTGGCTAGTGACTGAGTGAAGTTGAGTGGGGGTTATCCTAGTGGCCTCGTGGCCTGCCGCTGCCGCTGCCTGACGTGCGTGTGTACGGCGACTGACGAAGTGACGATGCAGTGCAATGTGGGTGGACTGGGAGGCGCGGGCTGTGCTTACCTCGCTTGCTTGTGCGCTGGGCTGGATGGCTTACCAAACTGTCGAATCTTTGGCGAAGGTCACGTAACGAATGCAGCAATGGTTTCAGCGGCTATGGATCGGGATGCTCTTATGCGATCTCCGTAAGGTTTTGATGCAATGTTCCTGTCATCATGTCACCCGTGACACGCCTCAAGCAGCTCCCCAGATTTCCTCCCTGTTAACGCGCATGTCGACGACCTCTTTTCCCGGTCCCCTCCTCCTCGTCCTCCTCCTGCTCGTCCGCCGGCACCGCCGCCACACCCCCGCTCAACAGCCCCTGCAACTGCCCGCCGCCACTGCCACTGCCCCGCCGCCCTCCGCTGCTGCCACCCCCGCCTCCACCTCCACCCCCCGCTACCGCCAGCGCCAGCCTACCGCTGCCTGCACCAGCCCCAGCCCCCACAGCACCGGCAGCATCTCCGGCGGCGGCTGCGGGCGGAGGTATTTGGTGGCTGAGCACCAGCAGCGCCAGCAGCAGCAGCAGCGGCATCACGGCAGCGGGCAGCCGCACCAGGGGGCCGTACAGCTCCCCGCCTGCACGCAGGTACGAGGAGGAGGAGGAGGAGAAGGGGCCGGCAGACAGCATCAGAGCAGTTGCCATGTGTGCATGCATGCGTATATGCGTGCGAGGAAGCCATCACAGGGCAGGAACAGCGGGGGCAGCGGCGCGCACAGCCCGCACCATGTTCCCCATGACAAAAAACGAACACGGGCCGGACGCTGCAGGGACCACATGTTTCTCCACCATTTCACGATCACCAAGGGAGCACTGCAGCACTAAGTTACCGGTACTGCATTGCGGTTGTATCAAGCCCCCCCAAGACCCTGCACAGCTGCCGCAGCCCACGCTTCCACCCCCAGCGTGCACCCACCATGCAGCCCCTTCTTCATCTGCAGGAAGGCCACCTTCTCCTGCAGCCCCGCCCCCACCGCCGCCAGACCCGCCAGCCAGGCGGCCATGCCCGCGGCCCGGTGCAGCGGACCCAGTGCCAGCCGCTGCGGCAGCGGCAGGCGGGGCCACAGGTAGGCGTAGGCTCCCAGCAGCACCTGAGGAGGAAGAGAGAGCAGGGCAGCAGGCGGCGCGAGAGGGAGGTAGCGGGGAGAGGTTTGCATCAATATCCACTAACCACGCCTTCGCCAGCCCCGCCCGCCACCTCGCTCCCTCTTCCCCGACACACGCCTGCCCCGACAAGTACGGTACATTCCTACTCGCAGCCAGGTTTCCTAACCCACCCACCCACCCACCTGCCCCCCAAGCAGTCCCAGCGCCGCTATCCCCAGGTAGCTGTGCGGGCTGTACCAGTCGGGCAGCGGGGCGGGCAGCGCGGCGCGGTGCGAGCGCAGCACAGCCGCCAGCCCGCCCGCCAGGCAGAGCAGAGCGGCAGCGTGGCAGCTCACATGCAGCAGCTTGCGGGAGGGGCTGCGGGTGGTGGGAAGAGGAGGGCGGGGGAGTAAGGAGGAGTGGATAAGGGAAAGGAGGAGTGGGGACAGGAGTGGTGGTGGTCGCGGCAGTAGGTACAGTGGTACGAGTGTGAATGCGTGTTGCTGTCTCACCGGGGTAGTGCGGCGCCTGGCAGGGGTGCTTGGTACGACAGAAGCGCCTCGGACATCAGTACGGCAAATCCCAGCGTCATGAGCTGCAGAGGAGGCGGGTGTACGGTGCAGCACGTGAGGAGTGTTGCTAATGGGCATGGACGTTGGTGAGAGGACTTTGGTGCGCCGGGGAAGAGGAAAGGCTGAAAGTGGAACTGTATGTGGAAGGAAGAAACAGGAGCTGCAGCTTGCCGTTGTATGTCTACTTGCGGGAAGGGTGCCATCGTCGTGGGCAAGACATTCATTAAAGCCCTAAAAAGATTATGCGGAAGGACGCCAAACGGCGTTCGTTACTCTAGTTCACAGAGCGTACCACACAGCGGTGGTTGGTTGTCCGCTTACAACGGGATGCCAGTTAAATAGCTTGCTCGTATCGTTCGACCCATCGGCATGTCCCTCGGGCCCAAACGCAACCCCGCCTAAGTAAGCATGTACCCAATGTCCGACGAGTATAAGGATAACAAGACTACATATCCGCGCCAGGTGTTGCGTGATCCGGGGTGGAGGTGGACCGATGGCCCAACGAGCTGGTTGCACGCTAAACGTTTCTTCGCCCCCACCCATTTTGTACTCCGTATGTTAAGGTTGTGGGCCACTCGGCGAGCAATTCCACACGGAACACACTCAGATATGCCCGGATCCAATCCTGCACGGCATCCCGCCAATGTCGCTGGTCGGTAAACCCGCCCAAATGCATGCTGTTTCCAGCCCGATACGGTAATCATAGCCTAGAAAAGCCTACCTAACCTTGCCAAAGATGGAGCCAACTGTGAAGATGGACCTTCCACTGATGATTGCCACAACTGTCCTTGCCGCGGTGTTTATCGCATTCATCATCCTTCGCCAGAAGTTCCGCTATGGCAAACAGCTTGAACAGCTTACTCCCAAAGCGAAGCCGCGCACCTTTGGTGTCTTCACGCTTGAAGAGGTGGCAAAGCATGACAAGCCAGACGACGCATGGATCATTGTTCAACACCTGGAGACAAAGGAATACCGCGTGTAAGTTTGCCGCCAAAGCGGTCAACCGACATAGAGTGCTGGCTTGCTTTGCAACCTTACATACATGGGGCCACAGACCCGCTGTTGACGGTCCTGTAGCTTTTGGCCATAGGGAGGGTGTCGTATGCCAGGATGTTATGCTTTCTTGGGTTACTCCCTCCGTGGCCCTTGGCCTTTCTGTGTGCACGAGCACGGTACCTATCACGCCTGTATCAGCGGCTGCGGTTGCCATTAAACACGGCCGACAGTCCCAAACCCACACAACTCACACCCCACCTGCTTTTCTCCCGCACCACACCTGCCTTTCTCCTTTTCATTCACCTCTGCCGCACCTGTTTCTGCCGTACACCGACAGGTACGACATCACGACCTACATCGAGGAGCACCCGGGTGGTGACGCCATCCTGCGCCACGTGGGCGGCGACACCACGGAGGGTTTCCACGGCCCGCAGCACCCGGTGACGGTGTACGTGCTGATTGAGGAGTACTGCGTGGGCAAGCTGGCGGAGAGCGAGGCGGCCAAGCTGGGGAAGTGAGGCCAGGGGTGAGGTGAAACGCGATTGATGAGACGCGGCAATGGAAGCAAAGGAGAGGAGAAAGGCTTAATTCGCGACCGGGTGCTGGAATATTATGTTAACTGAGACGCGAAGAATACTGACCCTGACCGTACCGTACGCTGGGTGTATGCGTCGAGGAGTAACGGGTGAAGGAGGGAGGTAGAACGAGCGAGCTGATGCTGTAGCAGCAGGGTTGTCCAGGGCAGGAGCTGTATGTGTACGGCAGCAGGGAGGTTGCTGGGTGCACTGTTAGTGCCTAGATGTTGTTGCCTGCGTGCTTATAGGCTTGTAATGGCTTTTGGGTTTCGCCGCCATGGAAGCTTCGTCCTTGCATGCGATTGTGAGCAGCTGTTATTGGCCTATATAATGAGCTGGAACCTGTCCAGCAGTATACTTCAAAAAATTTTGGAATGAGTGGCAGTGCCTTAGGGCTGTCCAAGCGCAGGTGGAGTGTTGCGATCCCGGACTGATTGGCCTGCTATTTTTTCACATATGGGACCCTCTGCACGGCTCTTGCAAAGAGGCCCAAACGTTGCACGGCGGATGGGGGACATGTTGCTCTGGTGTGGGGTGCATAGGGTGAGAGATGCTGCACTAGGCCCCAGACGCCTCGTCTCGTAAACGTTGTTTTTTACTGGAAAGGCTGGAAGTAATTGTGTACATGGGCGTCCCAAGTTGATAACCAAAAGGCAACCGAGGGCAACCAAGCGAGTGCGCAACCGTCAGATTCACAGGCCCCTGCAAGCCCATAAGAAGTTACGCGATGCGCATAACAGTGGGAATGTATACCGGTAATTCCTTATGAACAACACTGTCATATGCAATCCAACGCCCCATATCTCTTCAGCGCACATCTTTCTTCGAATCGTCCCAATCCACACGAATCACCGCCAGCCACACACACCCGGACGAGTTCCAATCTTCACCGCATCCGTTCACCACGCTCCTCTCCGGCTGCAAGTCCAATTGTACCGTGTCCCACCGACCCACGGGTCGCCATGACCGCATCCCTACCGGCGTCATCGCTGCAATATACCTATGTTCCAACAATGCTCCTCCCCGCCCATGCGTGAAGGATCCTCCTCCTTCTGCTGCTCCTCCTTCCCTTATTCGTTCAGCTCCCATGCAGGAGCCACGGAACACAACACCCTGCCGCTGCAGACCGCCTGCCTCCCGCCCGCAACCGCGCCACAACGCTCAACCGCCCTCTCCTCATTTGGCCCGGTCGGCAAAGAACGTGTCCCAGTCGCTAGGGACGGACAGCGGCTGCTGTGGCGGTGGCGCCGGCGCAGCGGCGAAAGGGTTGCTGCTGCCACTGGGGCCACCCACGGTGCCTTGCTGAGGCGGCGCATGCAGCCCGGCGGGATGCCGGTACGCTGCCGTTGACGGCATGGCTGCACCGCCGCCCGAGAAGGGGTTGTTGTACGGCAACGCTCCGACACCGGGGTGAGCAGCAGCAGAGCCGTACGGCTGTGCAGCTGCGTGACTGTATGCGCCGTACTGGTGGTGCTGTAGCGGCTGCTGCGCAACATGCGGGTGCGGTTGTTGACTGTATATGCCGTACATTGGAGGCTGCTGCTGCTGCTGTTGTGGTTGTTGCTGTAGCGGTTGGTATTGCGGTTGACGAGGAGGAGGTTGTTGGTGCGATGTCGTTGCTGCTGGGTAGGCAGGCGGTTGTTGCGGGGCGGTGTGGGGCGCCGCTGCCCCAGCTGGAGGCGAGCCCACAGGGTGCGTGGGGACGTTGTCGGAGGCCGCGAAGGGATCTGCCGAGGGGGCGCGAAGAGGCACAGGGAACCGGAATCATGCACAGGAACGGCTTGTCATGCTCTACACACACGCCCCTCGCCGCCGCCTACCGGTACTCCCAAACCAATTCTTTCGTCATGCTTGAACCCTCCTCCTCGTCCCGGGCACGCAACCCTCCCCCCTTTTGCCCCCATCCGTCCTACCGTACGGCGCCGCAGCGGGTGCCGCTCCCCCCAGCACTGGCGGCGGCTGCGGCAGCGAGCAGAAGTCGTCCAACGAGATGAGGTCCCCCTGGGTGGAGGCGCCCGCCGCTGTTGCGGGCGCTGGTGCTGCTGCTCCGCTAGGTCGTCCTGCAGCCGCTGCTGCTGCTGCTCCGCCGCTGCCGCTGCCAGCTGTTGCCTGCTGCTCCAACTCCAACTGGTTTGAAGCCACATCCTGCGGAAGGAGATGCAGGTTTACGTTTGGGGCCGCCAGACGGCCATTTACACGCCGCACAGCATGGCAATGACCTAATGGACCTGCCCAGTTCAATCCGACCCCTTATCCATCACTTACCTCCTCTTCCAGCAAGGTTGGGTTTGCCAAGTCTAACCACACAAAGCCGCTCAACCCCCCCGTCCAGACCTCTTCTCACCTTGGTCAGTTTTCCTTATCCCCCCCCCCTCCCTCACCTTCTGCAGCGCCAGCGCCCCGTCCAGCAAGTCCACCGCCTCCAGCGCCCGGATGAGGGTGGCCTCCACCGCGGGGTCGCTCATGGACTGCATCTGCTCCAGGTAGGCGTCAAACAAACCCCGCAGCTCGCGGACCTGGGGGGGAGGGGGAGGAAAGGATGAGACAGGGTGAGGACAGGGTAGGTGGGGCCGGCAGGCAGGTTGGCAGCATGAAGGTGGGGTTGCGCTCGCACGCCCTCCCAAGGTGACCAGGCAGATGCCGACACGGGGGGAGAACGCAGGATGAGGTAAGGGTGGTGCCGCCCTTGCGGCCTACTCTTTTCCCTCTGACAACGCTACGCATGCTTCGTACCATTTAAAATTTAACACTCCCCTGCTCTAACATAGCGTCCCTCTCTCACCCCTACCCAACCCCCTCACCTCCGTCACCAGCTCCTTCGTCAGCTCGTTCTCAAACTCATCTCCGCCCGCAGAGGGCCCAGCTCCCGCCCCTTCCCCGCTGCCTCCTGCCCATCCTGCCGCCCGCTGCTCCGCCACCAGCATCTCGCTCAGCAGCTCCGTGTTGGCGTGCGCCTGCTCGATCAGCTGCTGCACCTCCGCCACCACACTGCTGGCCTCAGCGGAGGCTGTGGGGGAGGGGGGGCACGGGAGGGACGGGAGGGGCGGGAGGTAATGATGTTTGGGGTACACGAGGGACATGATGGAAAGAGTAGAGGGGATGCAAAGCACGTCCGAACGCCGGTGTGCAGTTGCATGCATGCGGGGTCTGGCATCATGCCCACACGGGGCACAGAAAGACCATCATGAGGATGCATCTACCTTCCATGCAGGATGCACCCCTTCCTCCCTGCAAGCGCACGCTACTCCCGCACCACCCCCACTTGCACCCCGCCCTACCCGCCGCATCCACCGCCGCCATGGCTGCATCGGGGTGTGAGAGGGAGGGGTGGCCCGCCAGCGCGTTTCCCCCTCCGGCGCCGGTGCGGTGCGCGGCTCGGAAGGCGCTGGTGCCCGCCCGCCCGTAGGAGCGCAGCAGCTCCTTGGCGGCCTTGCGGGTGGTGCGGCCTGCATGGGAGGGGTGGAGGGAAGAAGAATACCCAATGTGTGGTGTGATAGTGGTAAACTAGCTGATGGAGAGGGAGGGGAGAAGGTGGGGTGCATGGAGGGGTAGCAGGGAGGCAGGAGGTTACTGGTTACACAGGCATCCAACGCAATGAATTGCGAGCTTCCAACCGTGGGACCGTAACCCTCTCTCGAGGTATGGGCTGACAATGCGCTGCCTGGGCAGCCGAGAGTACCGCACCGGCCCTATCGTCCCCAACCACAGCCCACTATCAACGCGTAGCCCCCTGACCATCCCATCCACACACCCGCACACCCGCGACCTTAGCCGTGGTTTCCCTAAAGTAGTTCCCTTACTAGCACCCTCTACCTATCCCACCCGCCTCCGTGCCCCCATCACCCACCCGCCTCCGTGTCGATCCGTGCCGGCCGCGTCATGACCGCCGCCACCTCCCGCAGCAGCTCCTCCTGGTGCAGCCCGATGGCGCCGCTGCAGTCGCGCATCACACGGCCCACCAGCTGCACCGCCAGCCACTGCTTCTGCGGGTTGTCGGTGCGCAGCCGCTTCTTCAGCAGGTTGACGATGTCCTGGCGAGGGAGGAGAATAAGAGTTGAAAGGAAGGAGAGGGGACGGAAAATAAGAACACCCAATGTGTTGAATGAGGGGAGGGAGGGAAAGGCGAATTGAGGTGGTGGTGGTGGTTGGAACAGGTGGGATGCCAGGGAGTGTAACTGATGGAGGGGGAGGTTCATCTAAACGGTGCATCTGCAAGTTAAGCGTGGATATTACGAGCCGAGCGGCTTGGGACAGGCTGATTGAAGGAGTATGAGGCTTACCTTGCTGTCCTTCCCGTTGGCGATGTCTTGGTTGATGGTATCCACAACCTGCATGATGCGATAATGCCTCATATGCCATAACATAAAGAGTATGCCCATGTGCCAAGCAGTTGCCACATAGGGCGAGTGTGGGCAACGGCGACCACGCCATGAAGTGCCCCTATGCTTATCGGCTGCATGGTGGCGCCGGTGCGCTCATGTAACCTGTTAAGTTATTATTGCCCTTAAACTTAACGCAATTGTGTAATAAGAGGATAGGCCAAGGCGCACGTTGAGCCAACCAACACATGTGCCCGTCTGCGCCCTGGCTCCTATCTCCTCAGCAGCCTCGCCAAGCATGGAGGTATCGCTGAGCACAGACTCTCACCTGCGAATTCATTTCTTCGCTGGGCTGCAACAGGTCCTTCGCCGTGGCCTTTCGTAGCTGATCGAGGAGACTGTCCCCCAAAAGGTTATCGGCATACTTGGGACCCTTAAGTCGATCAACCACCCCAAGGGTCAAGTCCCGTATCCCTTCCTTAATCTTGGCAGCCATATGTGACGGAGGGAAGCTGACCTCAGACTGTTGGAAGCTTGGAACCCTTGTGGCTAGCCTAGCTTTACTCAAGTAATATGAAGTAGTATGCAATTGTAATGCCTATGAACGACCAAAAAGGACAAGAGACAGAAGCTCCGAGCTCAAGAGCGTGTGCAAGTCCACGTTTAACAAGGTGAAAGGCTCAACCGAGTAGCTAGCCTATCCACATGTCAGCTGACAAACAGAGAAGCTTGCAAGTTCAGCGACTAGCTGTGCAAGCTAGCCTGTACTGCGTAACCGACGTCGACAGCCCCTCAACTTCCATCATGACGTGACATGAGGCCGATTCCGATCCAGGGCCTGCAAGAAACTGTAAAAGCACATATAATACCTTCACGTTTTTACTTCTTGGAGGCGCTTGCCCTTTTTCAGCAAGGCTTTCCCTGTTAGTTGCCCACTTGTCTGTAAAGCTTTGGTTTCCGCCTTGTCACTTGCACTAGGGAATACATTAATACTTTGCTGCACTACGGTACATAACAAGCAATCGTTGCTGTTGCCGCCAAGCCGCCAAGACCCGCCGTCGGAAAATATACTAGGCACAGTCGCTCTTGTTCATAGCCATTGAGCTTCAGTCACGATGGCGACCCGCTGTCAGTTTGAGAACAGTAACGACGTGGGCGTGTTTGCCAAGCTGACCAACGCATACTGCATTTGCGCTTTGGGCGGCGCCGAGAACTTTTACAGCGTCTTCGAGGCCGAGCTCAGCGACCATATCCCCGTGATCAAGTCGTCAGTCGCAGGCACGCGGCTTGTCGGGCGACTGACAGTGGGCAACCGCAATGGCCTGCTCCTTCCGAACACCACCTCAGATCAGGAGCTGATGCACATACGGAACTGCCTCCCGGATGAGGTAGTCGTGCAGCGAATTGACGAGCGGCTCTCAGCGCTGGGCAACTGCATCGCCTGCAATGACTACGTGGCGCTCATACACCCGGATGTCGACCGCGAGACTGAGGAAATCGTGGCCGATGTGCTAGGCGTGGAGGTATTCCGGCAAACGGTAGCAGGCAATGTGCTGGTGGGCAGCTACTGCGCCTTCACCAACCAGGGTGGGCTTGTGCATCCCAAGACCAGCATCGAGGACCTGGACGAGCTCTCCAGCCTGCTGCAGATTCCGTTGGTGGCAGGAACTGTGAACCGCGGCAGCGACGTGATCGGCGCGGGTCTGTGCGCCAACGACTGGGCTGCGTTCTGCGGGTTAGACACAACGTCCACGGAGCTGTCCGTCATCGAGAGCGTGTTCAAGCTCCGCGACGCGCAGCCCATGAACATTGTGAACGACCTGCGCGCCAGCCTGATCGACACCATGGCTTGAGAGAGAGGCTCGCGGGCTTGCGGCACGGGGCACGCCGCTGCCAGGGTTCGGGTTCGCAGTAAGCGCACGCCTTGGTGGGAAAGGGGAATGTGGCGGGATGGGCTCGGTATTGCTGGGGTATGAGTTACGGGGTCTGGGACGCAAAAGGCTAGGGGGGTAGTGGAGGAGACCGACTAGAATGGGGGAGGACTCGTGTGGGTGAAGGAGGCTTAGCGCGCAAGGATGGGGTATTGTAGATGAAGAGTTGTTTTGATTGACGTCGTTCTTAGTGTACAGCTCCTGACTTGGCTTCCGCAAAGCAGCTGCAATGCGCTTGTTGTGGAGAGGCTGCATCCGAATGCTCTTGTGCACCGCACCATCGTGCGTCGGCATGTGTTGGTTTGGTCATAGGCTCCTTTGTTGTAGAGCAGAGCCAGCACGAGTTGTTTAGCTATGCTTTAGTTGCTGCCACAGCAGGTGGTCGGGGTGGCTTATGACGGCCTGCCTGCGCACGGGGTTCGACAGGGTTGGCTGACATTCATAGACATGCAGGGGCTATGCGCGCGGAAAGGGCTTCTTGACAACATGCCCCCCTTTGCGTACGGGTAGTGGTGTGGGACTCGTGGATTTGCGTGCCGCCGTACGGGACAAACGGCACGTGGTGCGGCTGACAGCAAGTTGTTCGGTACGGAACTTGCCTACCCTCCTGTGGGTCCTTCTCCACATGAAAAGGCTGGCGGTGTAAATACAGTACGGCGACTGGGGATTTTCCCGTGCCAAGTGGGGTTCCAGTGTACACAATGAGAAAGGCCGAAAGGCGTCAGGGCATGATATTGTGTTCGTTTCTAGGTCCTTAACTTTGCAGGGCAGATGAAACCCATTAAATTGCCGCCGGGAACCTCCTGCGCAGCATCCTAGCTATCCAACTCCGCACCCACCGCCTCAGCTTGTTTCCGGTTAGCCAGGGAAGCCCGTTGCTCTCCTTCCCTCACGCATGTCAGCATGTTTGCCGGCTAGTATATACTGTTCAGAGTCATCAGACGCGCTCTCCCATGCAAACACATGGCACCAACGCGTCTCGGCTTCCTTCAAACGGCCCCTCCAGCATGGGGCCCTGTCAGCCCCCTTGTCGCTAACAGGGCCCCATGCGCTCCATGCTTGCCTCCATTGGTGAGGCTGCCCCAAACCAAACAAACAGCGCCGGCAGCGCTGTGCGTATGCGCCTGGCCTGCCATGTACCGGACGGCCGAAGGGTCGCCTATCGTATGCATCGCGCTACACCACCTATCAGCCTATCGGGGGGATCGGCCACTACTTCAAAACCCCCCGGGCAGATGCTGCCGTCGGGAACCCACACCTGCCTAACGCCGCATTGGTGGGCGTGTGAAATGAGTGCAAGAACAAATACTCTACATGTGAACGTAAACCCGCCAGGACTAGCAAACAACCACGCCCCCAGGACGCAAACGACATGTTGAGAGCCTTGCCACTACGGCCATGTAGCATACAAACGTAACGCTTACAGGGCCATGTGAGGGCCCCGCTGCGCCGTCCGGCACGCAATGCGCGCACCTCCTGCCTTACTGGTATATGAGCATACGGCTGGGAACACTCGGCCATGACCCATATGCAGAAAAAAGCCGAAAGACCCCAGGAACAATTCCCTCTCCGCGCTGCCAAGCGTCCGCACCAGCCCCGTTCAGTCCGCACTAACCGCTCTCTACATCTCTGCTGCGCCTTGCAACAGGCTACAAAACACTAGAACCCTCTCCGCCCGGCACATCCGTACCGCGACTCAGCGTTTTCCATTTGAAATGCATTCCTCCTGTTACAGCGCCTTCCCCAAAGCGGCCTTAGCAGTATTACCCGCTAGCCTTCACCCTCCTCCCCGACCCTCCACCAGCCTCTTCCTCCTCCTCCTCCAAACCCCCTCCTCCGCCATCCCCACCCTTACAGCACCCGTATGTAGAGCTCCGGGAACTGCCCCCGGTGCTCCGACGTGCCGTTGGGCGACTCCCAGGGGTGGAACCGCACCGACACGCCGCCCGCAATCACCGTTTCCAGGCAGTCCTCGCAGCAGTAGCTCTCCGAGCCCTTGATCAGCGCCGACAGCATGTAGTGCTTGCCGGGCTGCAGCGGAGCGGGATCGGGCAGCATCAGCCGCAGCACCGAGCCGTCGGTCTTGGTGAAGGACTGTGCGGCGGAGCAGCAGGTGGCCAGCTCGCGACTGCAGGGGGGCGGGGGCAATCGCCTGATGGGTGTGGAGGTAAGGCAGAGTAGGCGGGGCAGGAGTGGAAGGAGGAGAGGGGCTATAGGAGGTGCGCGGTTGGCGGCGGGTTGAAGGCCGGAAGGCGTGTAAACAGAGCAGGGAGCAACTTGATGGAAGGCGGGGTCCATTCTGCTCCCACTTCACACCTTGGCTGATACATGTACGTCCTCCCAGACCGCGGTATGGGCGCATTGCCCACCTCCCAGCTGCACCCCTCCTGAAGTGTGCCCCACACACCTCCCCATCCTGGCTGCCCCGCACCCCCCTTCACCACCGCGGCTCAGCCTATCCACCCCCTCACCCTGCTGGCCCCAGCGCCCCCCATCCGTTGCTGCATCTATCATTTATCCCCCCCTTCGATATGTCTGTAACCCCCCCTCCCGCCCGCCCCCACCTGAAGTCCTGCGGGTCCACCTCGTACAGCTCCAGCTCCACCGTGAGGCCGCCCTCCGTGCCGCACAGCCCCACCCCCAGCAGCTGCACCGGCTTGTCCACACTGAACACGATCTCGTCCTGGCCGTCCTCGTACCTGCAGCAACAGCAACAGCGGCGGAGGCAGCAGCAGCAGCAGGGGTGGCAGAGCCCAGGGGTAATGTGTAGGGGGTTATGGGGGCAAGCGCCCGGAGGTGCGGGAGACAGCCGGAGGACAGCAGGGTCAAGAGAGGCCCGGGCAGCAAGTAGGGAGGAGCAGGCAGCAAGTGGGAGCTGTGGCACGGTTGGGGCGCTTGGAGACATAGACCGAGTCACGCATCGAGGTCCAGAGAGGGCAAACTTGTCAACCCGTGCCCCTTCAACACCTCCTGGACCTCTCCCGCCCCCCTTGCCACGTCCCTTTCGGTCCGCCCACAACCCCAACAACCTTCCCATGCCTTTTTTCTCCTCTCCACTGCCACCCTCCACCATGTCCCACCCGATCCACAACCCCAACCCCTCCCCCGACCCACACCCCAACCCCAACTCCAACCCAACCCGACCCACATCCAGGAATCCTCCACATTAAGCACCGACGCTCGCGCCACCCGCGTGATGTTATGCGGGAAGCGGTCGATTGCGGCCATGAGGCCCGTGAGGCCGTAGTAGTTGGCCTCCGCTCGCAGCTCAAGCAGGTACTTGACGTCGGCGGGGGAGGGCGCGGCGAAGGGCGCGGAGGCGGCGGGGAAAGATCCCGAGCTGGAGGCGCCGTCTGAGAACGACAGGGAGGTGCAGGGGTAGTTGAAGTGGCCGTCACGGAGGCTGCGGGGGAGGTGGGGAGGGGAGGGAGGGAGGAGGAAAGAGGGAGGGGAGGGGGAGGAGGGGTTATTGGTTGCGGCATGGGAGGACGGAGGTGAGACGGGAATTGAAGTAGGTGAGAGAGCGGGAATGGGATGGAATAAGAAAGCACGCAAGAGGGTACAGCAAGCAAGAGGGTAAGGCAAGCAAGAGGGTGGGGGGGGGGGGTCCTCACTAGTTGAGGATGTCGTGGAAGTGGCGGCCGTCGCGGTCGATGAAGTAGCAGCCCTCCTCGTCCTTGGTCAGCTTGTGGCGGCCGCTGAACATGGCGTTGAAGAGTGAGGGGTTGGGCGCGTTGCGCAGCGTGTTGACGGAGGTGGTGAACTTGAGTCCGCCCACGTTGAGGGTCACCTGGAGGGGTGGGGGTAGCGGCATGTGGAGGTGCAGGTGGAGGGGGCCGATGGAGGCATGCGGATGTAGGTGGAAGGCCGATGGCGAGCTGCAGGGGTGTCGCATTTGGTCTACCGCTGCGAATCGTCGCCGTGGGGAACGTTAAGTTAGGGCGCAAGTAAGCAAGGCCATGTGGGTCGAATCTTAACGCCGCCTCGAGCTCCGTCGGGTGCATCCGAGGGCCGGTCTTTTTTGCGCCCCCAGCCGCAGGAAACCCATATCCCGTGCAGTCCCAACCCTCTTCAATCAAGGGAGCATTCCGTCCCGGCATACCCAAATCAAGAGGCCACATCCGTCACATGGGCAGTCATCTTGATTTGGGTCAACAGCAGCACCCATCCTAATGTGGGTTATCTTCGGACTACTGTTGTCGACTACTAAGGAAGAAAGGGTGCGGGCATGGGCTGACACCTGCTGCCCATGTGACGGATGCGGCCTCTTGATTCGGCATACCCAGATCAAGAGGCCACGTATTGCCGGTTTCCTAGTTGGTCTACCCTGCACAGACCCAAGGTTGCTCCTTGAAAGCTATGCCCTACAGCCAAGCATACCCCACGTTTAGCAGCCCCTGCTCTTGGATCGGCCGTGCAACACCCTAACTTGATCTGGGGCAGTGTCCTAGTTAGGCCTTGGCCGTACTCCACTGCATCCACACCCCTCAGGCTACGCAAAGAAGGAAAGGGCGGGGAGGCGCACCCATCGTACCTGTTCGACGTCATTAAGCATAGTTTGTACGCGTTCGCGCTCCTGCTCCCATGCTAGCCGTTCCTCCTCCAGCTGTCGACGGGCTTCCTCCAACGCCTTTCGCTCAGCTTCCGTCGCTGCTACGAGGTCGCTGATAAGAGAGTTGAAGCTTGAAGCCCCAGTCTTAAACCGAGACAGCGCCAGGTCCAAACTGCCGCTGCTGGAGGCAGGGGGTGCTGCCTGTGCGAGGGCTCCAGGACTTGAGCGCGGCGATGTTCTGGGCTCTGCTCCTGATTGCGGTGGTTCCTGCGTTGAGCCCATATAAGTATCCTCTTTGAGAGCGGTATACAGGAGAGGTCCTGCCAAGCGAAACTGTTATAAAGACAAGCAACTTCCTTAGTAGGGGTAACTCCGAAAGCCTATACTATTGCGCGTCACAACTTGCCTGCTTTGTAGCCCAAACAGAGTTTCCCTCCTTCATGGTTGGGCTCATTCCCTTACAAGGCACCTCTCTCCGTCCAATTACAATATTGTTATGTACATGCCTACTTCCAGTGCTAACTAAATACTACTCTGCCAAGGCAGCAGTGGACAAGGCAACATACAGAAAAGGATCCGGCACAAGCGCAGGTACGACAGCACAGCTAAGCATTTGTCCGCTTCTTCCCAACAAAGAAATATGATGAAACATACTGAGAGGGTCGGACAGACATGCGAGCAGGTTATGCCTCTGGCTAGGTACAGTACTGTAGAGCCAAGCTGATAACCGAACCAGACAGAATATTGTTTTGTGGGTTTCTGGCTAGTATCCTACGAGTGTGCAGCGATTTGTTTTAACATTGCGCCATTGGTCACGTTACTTGCTTTGACTTAGGCGGTGGGAAGAGGATGGGTATGATGGACAGGGTGCCCCTGAAGAGTTGCGCTGCCCTTTGGAATGCCGAGATGCTCCCCGGTCGTGAGCAAGCGTAACGGATGCTGCCTTCCGTTTCGACGTCTTCTAAGATGTCGCTTTTGGCAACGACCCTGGGGCCTACACTGCCATCAGCCCAACAGGTGCATGGACTATTAACCGCTATGCAGTAGTAGATCCATGAACTGGACACGGTTCTAAGCCGCTGTATAGAGGCTAGTTAAAGCATGTTTAAACGGACACAGCATGTTGTGGCTTTGTGAGCCCCCATGGACCCGTATGCACTACCAAATTGAGGGCCCGGCATTCATATGGAGCCCAGAACAGCTAATAGTGGTGTTAACGTCAGTCCCCCGCTTAGTGCTGAAAGTGTCGGGGAGGCGATGTTGCCGTTTGCATTTCCCAACGCTGGTGGACTATGTGTGTCATAGTTTGACACTCATCAACGTGGTTGTGATAGTGCCTGTGGTTGGGCGTGGCAATCAGCAAATGCCTAGGCAACGCGCCCTGTCTCTGTCAAGAGGCCATCGTCCTCATGTGGACAGCGTGGCAGGGCTGCCTGCAGACCATGCAAGCATACCCATGTGTAGCCCGAAGGTTGGTGGTGCACCTGCATCCTTGCTTATTGCATCCACGCAATTCCTGCAGGGCCCCGTAGCAGTCCACATTCTTGGATTTCGGAGCCCAGCCCGCAGAGACGGCAAGGGTCTATCGCTACCATGGACAATTGCACAACTCGGTCAGGACAGCTCAAGACGCCTTTCGAAAAAATGCCAAACGCAATCGAGGCTTTGTGCATGTATACACGGGAGGATTTGTTGTGCTTATCAGGAACTGGCAGGTGCTTCGATCATGTGCGTGTGCTGCCGGTACAGTACGACTGTGCATGGTCAGGTTGATCTCCTTTTCGAGGAGAGTGAATGTCTTAGCTAATGAGTCAATAGCAATTCGCCCAGGTTGCTAGTCGTAAACTGAGTTACATTATCTCAATTGCCAATTCCGGTTTGCTTGCTTTTTGCACTCCTAAGGCACCTGTCGCGATGCGGACGTTAATACCCCAGGAAAATGACGTATCAGTATTACCACCTTTATTCCCAGTGTTCCTGCTGCATCGGCGTCCGCCCTCGATCACGTTTCGACCGCGCGCTGAACTCGACCCATCTGCCGACGACCTAAGCTCACGGCGTAGCAGCAACGATGCCAGCAGCACCTCAGGCACCGGAAGCAACAAGCCTTCTGATGTGCCGATAAAGTTCACCCTTCCGAAGAGCTTTGGTGGGGGAATCGGGCTCGGCATCGGCGGCGGTCTCTTCGTAAGTTAGCTAGGCATGTTGGGCTTTTCGCGCTCCTTGTTGAAGTAAAATCGCATGTCTACGCAGCTGGGCGGTACTGGCTCAGCAAAGGCGGTGGCACTTTGGCGGTTTCCCGGCAGAAGGCGTCGCGGTGAGTGCTGACCTGGCGTTATAAACAAATTGGGTCACCCTAGCTCCGCACCTTCTCCACGGTAAAGCCACATTTATCAACACATGAATTGCCTTGTTACGTTGCAGTGGTGAAGGACGCGGATAAGAAGCGCATCCTGATCGGCATGTCCAACACGGGCGGTGGCCATAAAGCCAGCGCAGAAGCCATCCAAGCGGCTTTCCAGGAGCGCTACGGGAGCAAATATGAGGTAAGGTTGACCTATTGCGCCGTCTCCATCATTCTCGTACACCCCTAACAACGCCTGCTCAAGCCCTAGTATGGGCGAGGGCAGGAAGGCATGGCACTGCACCCACTTTGTGTACGACAGCTGCCCTCCACGACATCCCGTAGGCCCTCTTCGGATCTGGTCCCAACCCCACAGCAACCCCAGCCCCAACCCAGCCCGCCATGTCTTCAATGCCCTCCTTTTTAAGTCCCCATCCCTCAGCCCTCCCGCCCCAACCCCACCCGCCGCTCCCCAATTGCCTCCTCTCGCACCCCAACGACGCATCGGGGAACTTATCTTGCTCCTCCTACCAACCCTGCTATTCCCCTGGCAACTCCTTTGGTTCCCATTAGGTCGGGCTGGTTTCTCCTGACCCCCCGAACCGCCTCCCCACCCGATTGGGACTCGTTGTTTCACATATTTAATGTTTTACCCCACCCCCCCTCCCCACCCCCCCTCCTTCTCCTCAGATCTACATCGTGGACCTGTGGAAGGAGCACACGCCGCCTCCCTTCAACTCCCTGCCCGACTCCTACTCCTTCCTGGTCAAGAACTCCTTCCTGTGGCGCCTCACGTACGGCCTCACCAACCCGCGCCTCATCCACGTGCCCTACCTCTCCTCCGTCGGCTGCTTCGTGGCTCGGGGGGTGGGAGAGGCACTCGACAAGTACCAGCCGGACCTAGTGGTGGGTGGGGAGGAGCAGGAAACTGACAAGCTGGAGAAGGGGTGGGGGTGGGGGTAAAGAGGAAGAAACGGACGACGAGCTGTGAGGTTGGGGTGCGGTTGGGGGTGGTGGGTGCAGGATGGCAGGTGAAGGAAAGCTGTAGGCTACTGCGCTGCTGTAAACCTCCTTGTTAACAATCCGTTACCGCGCCTATCCCTGCCCCTCTCTCCCGTCCCCCCCCTTCCTTCCCCCCCCCCCTCCCAGGTCTCCGTGCACCCCCTCATGCAACACATCCCGCTGCGAGTCATGCGGCAGCGCATCTCCTCCGGCGCCATGCCGCCCACCAACTTCGCCACCGTGGTGACCGACTTCACCACCTGCCACAACACCTGGTTCAGCCGGGACGCCACGCGCTGCTTCGTGCCCACCGACTTCTGCCGCGGACTGGCGTTGGAGAACGGACTGGAGGCGGAGCAGATCATCATGCATGGTGGGTGAAATCATGCATGGTGGGTGAAATCATGCATGGAGCAGGGGGAGCGGAGGGGAGCTGGAAACAGGAGCAGGGGGGGTCAAAGACCATACCAAACCATAGGAGACCACAAGTTAGGGCAAAGCAATGGGGATAGGAGTTGGCAGGGCGCCACAAGACAAAGTGTTGGTTAGCATGGGGGGCGGCGGAGGGGTGCTGGGGATTGGGGAGGGATGGGGCGGTCCAGGGGATGAGAAAGGGGGTCCATCCTGCTCACAGCCTACCTCCCCCTCTTCCCTCCTCGCAGGCCTGCCCATCCGCCCCTCCTTCAGCCGCCCGCCGCCCCCCCGCGCCGCTCTGCGCCGCTCTCTGGGCATGTCGCCCTGCCTTCCCGCCGTGCTGCTGGTGGGCGGCGGGGAGGGCATGGGCGCGCTGGAGGACACTGTGGAGCAGCTGGAGGCCAGGCTGGGGGACAAGTGCCAGGTGGGGGGGCCCGGGGGGGGGGGGGCGGGGGAAGAGGGGAAAAGAGAATTGGAGGAGGGGGAGGGGGGCCGAAGGAAACGGAAGCATGTGACAAGGGCTCCACCAGGGGGGTGCGGGGGGTGGGTGGGTGGGAGGGCTTGGATTGGATTGGACGGTGGGTGTAAAAAAGAAATTCCAAAGTGTGGTGTGATAATGATATAAGTTGCTGACAATCCCTGGTGGAATGAACCGTGAGTCGAGCCGAAATGGTGGTGAAAGCAAAGCGAGCTAAACTTACCGAACTTACCAATTATGGAGAAACCTTACCATAGGCTTGGGCATGTGTGGAGGCTACTGAAGGTGAGGTGGAGACCCACCGCGCCGTGGGGCATACGCCAACAGCAGGAACAGCACAACACGAGCACTCATAAAAAACAACACAGACCGACACATGTTAAAACACGTACCTAGGTACACAAAGAGGTGTGTACCGGGAAACCACGTGAAGGGCCAGCCGCCATGTCCAGGGACCAATCCAGAGCGAGGCCAGCCAGGGACGAAACATGTGGGAAGGTGGAAAGGAGGAAACGTTGGTAGTAGTACTAGGGAAGGAATAGCGGAGGACGGAAAAGTGCATTGTAAGAATAAATGAACCAAAAAGCCTATATCACGCGGGACGGCACTATTGAAAAACGGCGCGGTGGGTATGTATGAAATGGCTGGGAAATGGACGGTGGGTGTAGGAGGTATGGGATGGGTTGGGATGCAAGGACGGCTCTCTCAGCATGGGATTCCTGCCCCAAGCCTCTCCCTCCTCCGATGTCTTCCTTCCCCATATGCCCCCTTCCTCTCCCTCCTCCACCTCCCTCGCCCTCTCCCTCGCTCCCCTTCCCCCGCCCAGGTTGTTGTCATCTGCGGCCGCAACCGGCGGCTGCAGGAGCGGCTGCGCGCCCGGCCGCAGGGCCCCGGCCACCTGCTGCTGCACGTGTGCGGCTTCGTGGACAACATCCACGAGTGGATGGGCGCATGCGACACCATCATCACCAAGGCGGGCCCCGGTACCATTGCGGAGGCGCTCATCTGCGGTCTGCCCATCCTGCTGAACGGAAACGTGCCTTGTCAGGTGTGTGGGAAGGCGGGCCATTTGCTAGTACTACTAGTTCTAGTACAGGTAGCATTGGAGAGCAATAGATGAGGGAAAGACGGAGGAGGGGAGGGGGGGGGGCAAGCGGAGGGCCCGGATCCCTCGGTTCAAATCGGTGTTCACCTCCTCCTTTCTTTGGGACGCACGCGATGTGGAGGAGTAGGGGTACCGGTGGTGGTGGCAGACCTTCCGGTAGAATTAGTTGTCGGAACAAGGGGGAGAAGCCAGAAATGTGAGACGCTCTACCTTCACCCCCACCCCTCACCCGCACCCGCACCCCCACCCTCCCCCACCACACAGTCCGACAGTTGTTTCCCCTCTACCCCACCGCCCTAATGCGGAACATGTATCCCTACTACCTCCCCCCACCGCCCCGGGGGTCCGGGATTATATGGGATTGGGACTCGTTGTTTCACTTCTATAATTCCCCCTCCCCACCGCCCCTTCATCCCTATTACCCCCCCACCGCCCCCTGCAGGAGGAGGGCAACATTCCGTACGTGCTGGAGAACCGCGTGGGCGCCTTCGAGACGCGCCCCGACCGCATCGCGGCCATCATCGCCTCCTGGCTGCTGGAGGGGGGGCGCGAGATGCGGCAGCAGTTCGAGGAGATGAAGCGCAGGAGCAAGGCGCTGGGCAGGCCGGAGGTAGGCGAGCTGGGGAGAGAGGGAGGGAGGGAGGGAGGGAGGGAGGGAAGGGGAGGAGAGGAGAGGGGTACATTCAACTAAGCGGCGGAAAACGTTGGATAGGAGTGCGGTGGTGTGTGTGTTTGGTGTGATCCCTCGTGTCTTTCCCGCTTGCTCCCGTGCCTACCGTACCGTAGTGCCGTACCTTCTGCTCGTCAACTCCCCCTCCCTCACTTAACTAGCGACACCGCCGTATCGCTGTCCTCGCACACCTCTCACAATCTGTCCTACCGTACTGCGGCTGTACGGCACCGTATCGTACGACACCGCAGGCCGTGTACCGCATCATGGAGGACCTGAAGGCGCTAGCGGATGAGCCCTTCTTCGACTTCGGACCGGCCACTGCGGCGCTGCTGGGACGCAACGGCAAAACACCCGCCGCTGCCACCGCCGCCGCGACTGCGTAGCATTAGGTGGTTACCGTACGGCAACAGGTGTTTGGTTGTTGTACGGTAGTAGTAGTAGTAGCAACAGCAGCATGCATATGGTATGGCGGGAAGTTTGGTGTTGTGGTGGTGTAATCGAGCAGAACGGAGGAAGTCTGTGAAAGGGTTGTTGAGGTTGTGTGGAGGGGTTGATTAAAGTTAGCGCAACATTCGCAGGGGGCTATACTCCCCTGCGTGCCCGCTGCTGTGGCTTGCACTGTTGCATTTAGGTGAGAGAGCAGGAGAGCAGGGAATGGAGAGGGAGGAACTGAGAGAGCCCCGCGATTTATATTTTAGTAAAATGGAGAGCGATAGAAATAGAGGCTGCTTTAAGGAAGCAAACAACGTGCCTGGAGTTGGGTAGCGTGATTGGGCCTTTTTCCTGGGATGCGATACGGTGGTGGCATGATCCGACGATTTCCAAAGGCGGCGTCTTGGTAGCCGGGCAACAAAGGCAGTGGTGTGTGTTTGCGCCCGTACATCGAGCGTGCCGTGTAGCTTACAAGCGATGTTCGTGGAAAAGCCTCCTTGCCTTTTTCCAACCTAGACATGTGTGTTTTAAGGAAACTGGCCGCGAGTAAGAACGTACTGAATTGTCGGAAGACGATGTCCCAGCCAGGTGAATGCAAGGTGAATGCATGGGGTGTGTCCTCGTGTGCTATCGGGTTGACTGGACGCCTATCAGCTGGTGTGCTGTACGGCCCCGATTAGCGTCTGTGTGCATGCTCTAGTACCGTACCATATGTAACGGTGGCGTGCAGGATGTGACGGCAGGTGCAGGGATGTGCTAGCTGGGGTGGAAACCGTAGCGTTCAGGCCCGTGGGTACACTGTTGCAGGAGCGGTGCGGGTTCTGACAGATCTGAAATGCATCCCGGCTGGTGTGAGGCTGGCGGGGCTTAGTGTGTACGGTAGCGGCATGTGGGGCTTGATGCATGTCGTTCGGGCCTCTTACCTCGTTTGGGCTTGGGTTTGGGCCTCTTACCTCGTTTGGGCTTGGTTAGGAGAGGGAGGCAGAGGAAATGGGAACTGATGCCCTTGCGTCCATTTCAATGTTTCCGTAGCCTGATTCGTAGAAAACGTATACGTAGTATACGGTTTCGGAGGAGCGAAGAGGAGGGCAGCATAACACGGTTTCGTGGTAACGCTCCTGGCAGGGCAATGTTCTTTGACTAACGCACTTTAACCGCTTCTAAACGGCCGAGCGCTAAATGTTAAGCTTACCGTGCGGCGCTAAGGAGGGATGTCTCCTTGTGAAGAGCCCTGTCTTGGCCCTAGCAACCGAGTACCGGTAATGAGGGCAAGTGCCACTACACGGCATTGCACGCCATAGCGACACGTGTGTACCTTCTTGCGTGACACTCAGACGCCATGTGCGATCCATGTTATGGGCACCTCCGGGCTTCCCATGGGTACGGTGACACTTCGCCTTGGGACCAGAGCAGACCGAATAGAACTGCCATATCTCCCAGCAATTGAAAGTAACGTGTAATTATTAAGTAATGATGTGGAGATCTCAGAACGTGGCTAGTCCGTCGACGAGCGATGGAAGATATTTGGCAGCATGTCCCTTGTCTTTCGGGATGCAGAACACGGCTGGCTGCCGGCTTAAAGCGACTAAAGCTGGAATGGGCAATTTTGCAGGGAGAGCTGTAGCGTACGTATCTGAAACAGGCATATGCCCTGGCGGAAACAGGCATGTGGCGCGACTGTGGCACATGGCGAAGCAGCAGCAGAGGAGGCGGGGATGGGGTGTGGGATGCAGCTTAGGATCAGGCAGGTGTGGGAAGTGGCGCAAGGGACAGTGGCCAAGGGCGTGGGGTGACAGGGGAAAGAGGAGGCCAGGACCGGGACGTGGTGATGCTAGTTTGGCTTCCCAAAGTCGTATACCGCCTTCCCATAGGGTTCCGTGTTTTGTATTGCATAAAATAACGCTTATGCAGAGGAACCTAACGGCCTTGTCCCGAGCGGTTTTTGCAGTATCTTAAAGTTGTAAGACATGCTTGCCGGTCGGTGGGTGGTCCCGAGGCCTTTTATTAAGAAAGTTCTTGCCAACACGCTTACTCTGTTACAAAGGTCAGCACACCTGGCCTGTGAACCCACAGCTGAAGGGCACCCTCCCCTTTGTGCCTCCTCCTGCACAGCTGCACTCATCCTATGCAGGCTATAGTCATCTCAGGTGCGAGTCGATAATCCAGCCGGTACAAAATCCACAGCAGGTAAACTCCCTAACTTAAAACCTGTATCAAAGGCAACACCCCTGTACCCTGTAAGCTGTAACCATATACCTACCTCTCACACTCGGCGGTCCAACACCCGTTCTTGCTGCCCCCAAAGCACATACACGCACCCGTCCCCAACCCCAAAGCGAATCTACTTCTTCCCCTTTTTCGCAGAGTTAGTGCTGATATCACACACAATCCATGCAGTTGATACTCCAATATATTCCACAAAGCAAACCCGCAAAGCATGCTTTGTTCATACCCGCAATTACCGTCGCTGCCATCCAGTCCATTTCTTGGTCGCGGTGAGCCGCATGAGCAACGATAGCTATACAGTTACTGCCCAGGGAGTCCCAAGCTTTGCACAGGGAGTCCCAAGTGCTGCTCAGGGAACCCCAAGCACTGTCATTGTCCACGGTACCGTAGGCTGTGCAAGCCAAACCCGCGGGTATGGCGAGAGCTAGACGACCGAGCGTTGCTAGCCGGAAAGCCATGACCCTGCAAAAGAAAGTTAAGTAAGGAAAAGATATACTATTGTTACTTGCTTAGGAAGAGCATCGTTTGTGTAGTAGCAAGAGCAACATGTATGAATAACTTTTATAGGGTAAGTGGGTAACATTATTGCAACAACAACAGCACCCGCCGCCCATGAAAACAGTCCAGAACCCGCAACAAGAGAGGCTTCAGCACAAGCCAAGTAGCAGCTAGCTAAGATTGATAGTTAAATGGGCATTACGGTACTTCATCCCATTTATCCTCATGTCTGCAACTGGGTGGACAGCAGTTCACCTGTTTGCCAAAAGCTAAATCCCTGCCTTCAGCTCCAAGGCTCAAGCAGTTGCCCTGCAACAACAGCAGGAACGCAGTGAGCGTGAACATCCCAAAAATCACGTAAATATTACTAATTAAGCACCTCCGGCAATACCGGTGGTATGCGAAGCCACACACCATTGCAGACCAAGGTTTATGTAGCCTAGGCTCACCTTGTCACCTAAAACACGTTTACTTGTGGTCTACCAGCACGTTTCAAAGGCCAGAAGGACTTAGCAAGAAGTCGCGTCTTCCAATGCTATTGATTAAGCCCTATATTGTGTAACGAGCGAAACGACAGTAAAATGTTTGTGGGCAAGCCCACTAAGGCCCCTACGTTTTTTGCTGCCAGGGGTCCTGGAGCTTTCTCTGAAACTTTGACAGACTGCTCCTTATGGAAGAATGCCATACATGAAACCTTCCTTCGGTCAGGTGATAAGGCAAATGTTGCTGGGCATGCTTATCGTAGTACGGTGTGGTTAGTTCCGAAGGCACGACATCATTTTGCATCGGGCTGCGACGAGCGGAAGGCACCAGGTCGCTAAGCCTCTCTATGTGCAGGTAAAGGACGCGATTTTCAAAGAGAGGCACGCATACTTCTCGACGCATGGGTGCTTAAACGGCAGCACGTATGGGCCCCATATTGTGGCTGGACGGATTGCCAAAAAAGCGCTGTAATGTTTAGGACAGCCGCAAGGATGTGCCCGCCTAGGACGTGCATGCCTAGGCACGTGTTTGTCAGTTGAATGCCTGGTGAAGGCTGCCTGCATGATCGAGTGCTTGGGCACAGTGGGGATGCCTATATGCATGGACGCTGTGGGTTGGAGATAGGCAAGCGGTGGTAGTGGGTTGCAGCGCACAGCGGGGTGATGATGCATGCACGCATGCCTGCTGGACGTGGTGGGGACGCATGCTCGCCCCAATAGTGTGCAGGGCGGGGATGCATGCTGGCATGGTTGGGGACGCCTTGGCAAGGCGGGGACACTGGGCGCAAGTGTGCTAAGAAAACTGGCCGCGAGTAGGAACATACTGTGATTGTCGGCGCAAGTGTGCCTGCGTGCATGGGTAGTTTCACAAATGAGGAGTACTCTTACAGCGGTGCCTCCACCAAATGAGTGCTAGTCCTTTGGCAGCTAGAGAAGGCACGGAGATGCGCACACACACATGCCTTCGGTCCGTCCGTTTTACGAGAGTGCTTCTCACGTCCGACTTACTACCAGCACCAGTACCGGATACTTCTACATACGCCACCATACTCCTCGGCTCCTGTGGCGTTTCTGTGGGAACTTCCTCTTCCGGCAGTCACAGTACGTTCCTACTCGCGGCCAGCTTTCTTAACACATGCGTGCCCGCCCATGGGGCTTTGGGCAGGGCGCGAAGGCTGCGTGTATTGGGGGCGGTGGTTGAGCAGGGCGACGTCGCCTGCGCATAAAGGCGCCGGTACGCATCCCCGCATGGGCGTCAGTACTTGGCAGGCCAGGGAGGGCGCGGAGATGTTTGCCCTGCAAGGCGGGGCCGCTGGGCTCAAACGTGCCCCTACTTGTGTTCGCTCTCAGTTTGCGCCGCCGGTCCACACGTTTCGCTGGGACACGTGCTGACCGTGTCCAGCATGGAGCTGCTTACCGCAAGCTACATATGTGCGGCCCGTGCGTGCACACCTGCGGATCTGGGCAGGGGAATTGTGGCCACATGCACGAATGTAATGTAAAATTGCCGGTAGTGTGGAGTTGATATGAGCCGGTATTGGGCCACGTGGCAAGACTCCCAGTGTGTGTTTAGTGACGGGAACCTCCTGTGCTCCTTGGTTATGGTTGGAGTGGGGACTACGGGACCTTTGCCAGTAGTGCGCCTCGAGGCTCGCTGGGGGGTTGCTTGCCGCCTGCGCCTGTGATTGCAACATGCGGCACTCATCATAGCCGACATGTATGGCCGGCGCATGGAAAGCATCGAGAAGATCTCGTCTTCCCCTATCGGTAACAGGACAGCCGTGACCATGAGCCGGATGTAAGGCCTTAAACGTACCGGTAACACCCCAACCAACGTAAGCGCGCAGTCCTAACAGACAATGCCGCACCTGAGCCATCTACGCATGCCACCTAAGCCAACCAGCTTTCCAAGTCCGCCACAATCGGCGGAGTACCCTGCTAACAGCGCTGACACCACATGTCGCACTGTCTCTCAAACCTAGCCGGCGTGACATCCCCACCCTCGTTACGGTCAAAACAACCCAAGGAAACTGAAATACTTGATGCTTTGCTTGTAAGCCCTCCTGCGGTTGTCTGAACCCAAATCCCAGCCACCCAGCCAGTGTGTACTTAGCATGCAAGCAGAGGTTCAAACGCCCGTCAATTGCAGCACTTTCACGCCCCAAGTGCCTCCCCGCAGGCGCCTCCGCTGGGCCAGCTGACCCAGCATCCGGTTTGCTGGTGCCAGATAAGTCCATTTGCTTGGGAACACGCCTTCACCTCTTAATACTCGAGCAGGGTCTCGACCACGTAGCTCATGATGATGGCAGCGGGGATCTCGGTGCCCAGGTTTCCGATCTGGGTACCAATACCCGGTCGTACCAACGAGCATGCCGCCGTGCCGACGGAAACCACCATCCAGATGATGCCGCAGCGCGCCACCTGTGTGCGACACCAAGGCAAAAGGTCTTAGGTTAGTGCTTCTCCTGGCAATGACGCTGACATGCAAAGCAGCATCCATGACAGAGCGTATGTGCTCTTCAGACCCACGTGCGGAACACATATAACCCCATAGTACCAAACACGTTGGCTATAACCCCCAACTGGGAACGCCAAGGCTGATCACAGCTCCTTCGCGCAATTTCTCCTCCAACGCTGTCCCTCATCGCCCCAGAGCGCACACCCCACCCCACCCAGCCATGCACCCTACCCACCTGCAGCACCACCCCACGCCCCCAGTACGTCAGCTTCTGCCACTTCGTCTTGTCCTTCCGCTTCCAGGTGCGGTGCGTGTGCTGCAGCACGGCCACGGTGCAGTCCGCCGCGTAGAAGAGCACGGAGGAGTGCAGCGTGGCGAACTGGTAGGCCGTGAAGCGGCGGCTGAGCGAGGAGGTGCGGTGCTTGGCGGCAAGCACGTCGCGGATCCAGGGCCGGGCCTCGCGCAGCAGCGCCTGCGGGGCAGCGGGTGCAGATCGGGCGTAGCGGCCGCAGTAAGTTTGTGAGGGTACGTTTGAGGAAGGGCCGGCGAACTGGGCAACCCATGTGGGTCGTATACAACAATCCTTGAGCGGCAAGCCCTAACAGATGGGATAAAGGAGCAGGAGGGCGCGGTCCTGCAGCCTGCACACACCTGGGCACGGGCCGGCGGCAACTTCGCCGCCGCGATCTGCTCGTACACTCGCCGAGTGGTGGCCACTGCCAGCTCCCGACCGAACGAGTACACGCCCTTCCATGCGGCAGGGGTCATGTCGGGGAAGGGCGGCGGCTCCGGCACGTCTTGACCCTGGCGGGACGCGGAGGGTGGAGTTGGGGATGAGGGGAGCATGTTTGGAGCAAGGCGAACAGGTTGCGGAAGGGTGGGGATGGGAGAAGGGTTGGGAAGGCCCCGTGGTGCCCGATGGATAGGGGGGCGCACCAACGGTTCTTTCTGGAAAGCATGTGCATACCGGTACGGTAGCTGTACGTAAAGCTGCATCCATGGATGGGCTGCTGCAGCCAAAGCGGGCTTCACCCAGCAAGCCCCCCTCACCTGCGCCTCTGCAGCGATGGCCGCCTGCTCGTGCTCGGCATACTCCATCATGTAGCGCTGGAACTTGATGATCAGGTGCATGGCCAAGCTGCGGCGGGGGGACAGTAGAGGGGCGAGGGAAGGGGGGCCAGGGGAGGGTTGTAGGTGCTGCTGGGATCCATTCACACCGGCAGACCATGCTCTAGGGCACGGCTTACAACAACAGAGGGGGTACGACATGTACGGGCGCCCTGGTATACAGAAACATCCCGGTGCACATACCCTACAGGGTGCCTGTTCGTTCCTCAGCCGCCCTTCTGTAAGCCCCCGCCCAAGCCAGGCCTTACTTCTTTGCCAGCATCTTGGAGAGGCTCAGCGGGCGGTACAAGCTGAGGATGCTCTTGAGCTCCGGAAGGGGCTGTCGGGAACATGGGGGGCGCAGAACAAAGCTACTTATTGGCGTTGGCTAAATAGCTGGACCCAAGGGTAAGCGACTCACGTCGATGCCAAAGCGCAACCCTTCATTTGTACACAGGACAGTAGCAGAGTTTGGCACTCGAGCACGGCAGGAGTTTGGCACTCGAGCACGGCAGCTAGGGCAAGGGCAAGCACAGAGACAGCTAGGATGCTGCACTAAGCATCGACAACTGAATCCATGATTTCGGAGCCAGAGATGTTGCATACAAGGTAGCGTAGGCGCTTGCGCGAGCGCGCCGGGAACAGGTGAAGGTATGGTGGGGAACTGGGGTTGTATAGGTAGGGAGGGGCTTCCGATGGCCTAATGAAACAATATGACTTGCGCCGCTGACCTTTGCGCCGGCTGGGCTACCATTGTCGACGTCCACTGCTGGGGCCAGCGCGCTGGCCGCGAAGTATGAGGGTTGCAAGGCGTATGCTGTCAATGGTGCTGCTACCGCAGCAGCCGCCCGACCGAGCGCCGCAACTCCCTTGGAGCCATAGGATATTCTCAACAAGGGACTGGCAGCTGCAGCTGTTGCAGCGGCAGCAGCGATGGCCAATTTGTCTTGTCCCAAGTGCAAACTTCCATCGCCCCAGTTCAACAGCATCGCCAGCCCCACAGGCTGGGCCGAGTGCGCCATCGTAAACGTATCTATTAGTATGCGGTTGTCTATGTCCTACTTAACGCCCGTCCAGGTACCGGATATGAAGGGATGCGAGAATGCGGCGCCCCAACGTGTTGTTTTATGTACTACAGCCGTAAGTGAGTAGCTGAAAGGTTGCAAGGAGTTAGCAAGCGCTCCTCTGCCTTCCCCATACGGCAGTACAACATGGTTCCAAAATGAAATCCGCTTACGAAGGTTCCTTTCCTTTCCTTCTCGCTACTTATGGTATTGTTTGGCATTTTTATCCCTAGCTCAGACCATGACCAGACCAGACCATGACAAGTCTGCATTACCAACTAAGGCGCACCTTACCTTTGAAACGAAATAAACTAGGATAGTAATTTGCGTCTATATCTCCATATGGGCATTAGAGCCTCAGGCGAAGAGATTTGACAGCTGGCAGGCGAATGGGCAGTGTGGCAGCTACCCTGCTTTGGGGCCTTTCGCTGCTAGTCATCATACATTCATCTAAGGGACAGAGCAGCCTCGCCATATCTCTACAAACTTCATGCGCTCCGCTGAAGTTCTTTGACATTTCCAGTCTGCAATGCAAAGATTGCCCGTCGGTGCGTGAACGCATGGGAAAACGTGTGACCCAATTACAACAATTTGCAATTAATAAGTGGCGTTGGGATGCGTACGCAGGGGACATTCCCAAACTCCGCCCAGACGGCCTGCATCACCTGTGACGCCAGCAGCGGCGCCGCGTACAACTTCCAGTATGGCTACTCCATGAGCCAGACGTGGTGGCCTGCGCTGCTGCAGTCAAGCACTAGCTGTGCCTGCCAGACGACGCCTGAAGGCTCTACAACGGTTATATCAACCGCTACCTCCAACGGCACACTCTACCAGCGATGTGTGGTGTGTCCCAGCGGCACAACAGCTAACTCGCTTGGGCAGTGCGCCCCCAGCGGCTCCAGCTTATCGCTTCCAGCTACAACATCGCAGCAGCTTTCTCAGGCGCTGACGCTCCTCGGCGTGGGCCTCTCTGTGACTGCTGCAACACAGGTACGTCCTGCACAGTACAGGGGTGCTGGCGCCGCTGCCGCATGCTGCGGGTTCTAGCGCCTAGGTGTTTAGGCCAAACTGCCGCCAACCACGCTCCCACTATAAGCAACGTGCCGGGGAGCTTATGGTGTTGAGCGAAACAGCGTAATACTCGCTGCGTGCATGTCCCCACACTAAAGCTGAACGCTCTTACAACCCCGCCATCAGGCCTTCATCGAGGTTCCCAGCTCCGTCCCCAACAGCCAGCTGCAGCTGACCATCCAGCAGTCAGAGCCGCTGGTGGACCTGCTGGGCCCCTCCGCGCTGGCCTGCAGGCAGGGCATGGGCGCGGACAGGGAGGCATGCAACGCCGTGGCAAACCTCTGCGTGCTGACGTTGTACGACAGGTGGGTACCGGTTAAGCTGCTTATGTGTCAGGTGGGTTCTTTGTATGACAGGTGGGTTGGGGAAGTCACAGCCAGAAGGTGAGCTTATGGGAAGGGACGACTTACTGAATGCGGCGGAGGTCGAGGCTTGTATGTGCTCTGTCAGATCGGAGGCTGCGCGAGGGGGTAATTCAACTGGGTCGGGTCCACGTTCCTGCCACATCCCCTTTGCTCTTAACCAAACCATCCTTTCCCCCGCCAAACACCCCCTTGACTCCCTCCCTGGAGCAGTACCTCAGCCGCATGCCGCATGTACGACGCCCTCGTCAACGCCTTTGCGGCAACCACCACAACCTACTCGCCGCCGCCGCCTCCCAGCGGTACGACAACCACCACCCGCACCACCGTCCGCCGTACCACCAGCTACCACCCCGAGACGGGCGCCATGCCTTGGCTATACTACGGGGGCAGTGGCTACGTGGACGACTCGAACATGGACCTCAGGTGGGGTCGGGAAGCGGGTGGGATGGGGGCTTGCCGCTGGTGCCTCACATGGGGGCCTAGCTGGCGCGGATGGTTACAGAAGCGCTTGCGGATGACGGGGCTACCCCTCGGTGTTCCATACCAACCTCGTGTGTCAAGGAAACTGGCCATGTGTGAGTACGGCCTATCTTTCTGCCCCGTTCCACAACGCTGGCTTCCGCCTCCACCGCCGCCGCTGCCCGGCTCACAGGGTGATGTTCTCCAAGGGCAGTTTGGCCCAGGGCAAGGTCTCCTCGCTCACCTTCATCCTGTCCTCCTACCTGCTCAATGGCACCTGGCTGGGCTACAACCAGTGGACCTCGGAGTTCCAGCTGTGCGGGGCGCCGCAGAACGATGGCTCGCGCTGGTACAGGTAGGGCCAGAACGATGGCTACGCTGGTATGCAGATGGTTCGTAGGCGCGAGTCAACCCCAAGGACCCAAAATGGCATGACCGTGGCTTTATCGGGTGTTTGGCGTACCTGACTGTTCCCTGTGCAGTAGCGGCTGTTGCTAAGCAGGTAAACCTGCATCCGTGCGCTTCCTCCTCCACGTTCTCTCCGCACCGTGAGCGCAAATACCCATGTTTGCGGTTTCGGATGTGTCTCCCCTCCCGCGGGTTCTCATGCCAGGATGGGCTGGAACTACGACAACAGCTGCAGCCTGAAGCTGGAGGGGCTGCTGGCCAGGGCGTCCGCGGGTCTGACGGGCGGCGCGGACACCGTCGTACATGAGCTTTTCCTGCAAGTGCGTGGGATACGTTGAGGTGTAGCGGTATAGGAGGCTAAGGAGGCGCACTGCGGTACTGAGGATGTTTTGTCGGCGCCTTGCCCAGCACGTGGGCTGACCCGAGAGGACTTGACCTGGCATGCGACTACGTTTACCCCTCGTGCGCTAGTCCGGAATGTTGCCATGTGGGGTATCTAAGCTGCCCAGGCCCCAGCGCTTGACCCTTGGCTCCGCAAACCTGCAACCCCCGTTGCCGCAAACACTCCCTTCCTGTGCAGGTGGGCAGCCAGTCGCTGTACCCCATCCCCGTCAAGGTCACCAACAAAGACGTCATGGACGGCAACACGCAAGCAGACACAGGTAGGCAGGCGCAATGCTTTTCCCCCGGTATCCCCGCCCGTCCATTACCCAAATCAATACCGCGTAACAAAGCTTGGAAGGTACGGCCTGTCCGCTCAGGCCGTGATGCTTGTTCGCCTCTCCCATCCATCCGCTGCTCGTGTGGCAGCAAATCTTCTTACTTCACCTCTTCTTGCCCCGCCTTTCCCTGCTTATCCCCGCAACTTCTGCCTCCCCGCGCCAGGTGCCGTACGGCGGTTCTTCTTCGTGGATGCGCGGCTGGGCTACAGCGCCCAGTCCAAGCAGCTGCAGGCGGTGCAGTACCCCTCCAGCATGCAGCTCGACATTGTGCTGCGCCGCTCGCCTCGGGACTCGATCTACGTGCCGCAGCTAACCATCAGGTATGTGCGGAAGGGAACTCGGAAGGTGAGCCGCCCAGGGCCTAAGAGAGCCCAGTCCTTGCAAACACTACCGATCGGAAGGCAACCTATGTACTCTGACTTGCAAGTACTTGCGGGTCTGACCCAGGGTTTGGGACCTTGGACCATGGCTGATCATCTTGGTGTTCCCCCCGCGAGTGGACCGCAGCCAGTTCCGTCCCCCTCGCGAACCTGACTCCTTACCGGCACACCCGAACCCCTCCTCCTCCTCGCCCGCCTTGTGGCTGCGGCGCCCGCAGCTACAACGCCTGGCAGACCAGCACCCTCAGTACCGTCAACCTGGAGGGCAGCGCAGCCATCGAGGAGCGCGAGGTGGCCTTCCGGGTCGTCTACTCAAATGAGGAATCCCTCAACAAGCGCTTCTGGTGCGCTTGCTGTACTGCTGTTTGGGGGCTGGATGACCGGATGAGAAGTACCGGTGGTCGTTGTCTCGTGTTCTGCGACGGGTGAAGCCATTTCTCTCGTTTCCTTGTGCGTGTGTGTGCCTGGTAGCGCGCTCTGGGTGCTAACACAACCCTGCTTCGTCAATGAAAGGATGAGGTCCTGGGTGCCGCTTACTCCGCTCCCTCAGGTACGCGTGGCAGACCATCCTGATCGTGCTCGAGGTGGTGGGGGCCTTCCCCGCCATGCTGCTCTCCATCTTCAGATACATCCGCAAGAAGCGGGAGCAGGCGGACCTGGTGCGGCGCGGGCCGGGAATAACACATGGAGTGGGGAAGGGAAGGGGACAGATAGGACGTAGCGCAATTCCTGAAATACGGTACAGGCGCAATGGGGCGAAGGGCAAGGTTAGGAGCCGAGGCGCGGGGCTGGGCAACCATGGCTGCTGCAGGAGTTGCTTAGAAGCGGGTGGACTGACTGTCCCGCGGGACTCAGGTCTCCTTCGCGCTCAAGCCGCACGGTCCTGCATCGGGCCCTTCCTTAGCGGTTCAAGCCATGCAGCGGTTGCCTCCCCTGTGGCGAGTTGCCACTGCCCTTACCCCCCAACACCTCCTCTTTGTAGGACTTCCTGGTGTACGCGGGCGTGTGCGTGGCGGACTACGGCTCCTTCGCGCTGGCCATGGCGCTGCTGGTGGTGTCGCTCTACTACCTCATACTGTACAAGCTGCAGGAGGAGGTGGGGGGATGAGTCGCTGGGTGGGTGGGGGTGGAGGCCCTATAGCCCAAGTAGGGTTCACATGTGGGGTTCCCAGTTTTAGTAAAGCTGGTAGAATGGCGGTGTGCGCTTGGACGCAACACCGAACGCACCCCATGGCGGTCCTGGCGGTCCTCCCCCTTCCCCAGCGCGTTGCGAGTATACACTGCCCTCCACTACTCTATACACTAACAAAATCCAGCCTAATGCAGAATCGTCATCCCTATTAACCCTACACACTACCGGTGCACTGCCACCCTGCTGTAGGTGCTCTTCCTGATGCTGCAAGACAGCGACCTGTACAACTTCAAGGTCACCGTCATCCTGGCGGTGGTGGGGCAGGCGCTGGGGCTGCTGTGGACGCTGTGGAGACAGGTGCGTGCGGCGGGGCGCTGCGGGCCGGGGCGGGCGGCTTGCGAGGTTTGGAGTGAGGCCATAGGGATTGATGCCCGTGCCACTTGATACCGGGCGCACGTAATGGCGCCTCCGGGCTGCTAGGCTAGAAAAGCTGCTACCTTTTTACCCATGGCGTGTTTGGAGATGTAGAACCGGGGTTCGGACACATATGCATCAAGACCGCATATGCAATGGCTGCATGCTGCATGTGCGACCTGCAGCAGGGAGGGATCATGTGTCCATGTGTGGCTGCCGCCTGCCTGCCGCAGGTCCGTACCGATGTGTTCTTCATTGACTGGGAGAAGGCGCGCAAGGTGCTCAGCAAGGAGGGTGAGTGTGGCTCTCGGTCACGCCATCGCCCCGCTTTCGCTGGAGCCGCGTGCCGGTATTCCCTGGCTTTGCCTCTCCCTGCTTCCACTCAAGTCACAAGCTGAGAACAGCCGCACGTCTTCGCCTCCTCCTTTTCCCCTCTCGCAATTCATGTCCCTCATTTTACCTCCCACCATCCCCACCACCTCCCCTTTGGCTACACCCCTGACGCCGGACCCACTGTACGCGCATACAGACTTTACCTGCAATCCTACCACCCCTCCCGCTCCCACTCCCGCTTCCCCCCCTGCTCAGGTACCCGCGAGGAGCCCGCCCCAGTGAGCTGCTGGCGCATGCTGATGGTGGCGAACGAGTTCAACGAGCTGCAGACCATCCGAATCACCACGCCCGCTTTCACGCTGCTCATGATGGTGCGGTCGAGGGCGGTTGAGGGGCGGGGAACACATTTTTCACAGATTCTTCGGTGCGCGTAATGCTCTGCTTACAAAATCCGCCAAAGTTGGAATGGTTATGCGGAGCGGAACATGGCTTCGCAGCCCCAAGCACGCCTGGCGTCCCAAATGCCCACGCTTCTGTATACCGGTAGTAGGCCCCTCTATCTTCTGCTCCCTTCCCCTTGACCATTGCCCATTTTTCATGCCCCCGCCTCTTATCCCCCCTCTGCAGGTGATGATCCTGGAGGGCGCCAACGTGATCTCCTCCGGCTCCGTCACCCCCGACGCCGCCGACTACCGGGATTACTGGGGCGTCACCAGCTCCATCGTGCTGCGGTTCGGAGTGGAGGCGGCGTTCTTCCTGGTGCTGTTCCTGGGGCAGGTGGGGGCCGGGGGGGGGTGGCGGAGGAGGAGGAATGAGGGGCGGGGAAGCGACAGGAGGTGGGGTGGGCGAGCTAAGCAGCGGGTGCTTCTTGGCACCACCACATTGGCACGGTGCCCGCCTCCACCCCACCTATACCACCTCCAAACATACCCCACATGCTGCACCCGTCCCAACCCCTTTCCTTTCCTCTTTACCCTCCTTTCCCCCATCCTGGCATACCCACAACAGTACCTGTTCAAGAAGAGGCTGTACTACCCCTACGTCGCCAACCCCGTCACCCAGTTCGTGGACCTCATGTTCCTAGCCAACATCTCGGCAATCATATTCGACGACACCCACTCCGGCTACTACATCCACGGCAGGAACCAGGCGCAGCACTCGGACACCACACTCAGGTACAGCCGCGCGGCAATACACACAGCGCAGTACGACACACACTCGTGACGCATCACGGGGTATAGATTAAAACCCCGTGTGTATGCTAACCAGCCAGACCAACCCGCGGACCCACCCGGCCCGGCCCATGATGCATGGCATGGGGCTCAGCCACGCCGTTGGGTAGTCATTCTGGGTATCGGTAGTAACATGCCCCCCTTTCCTCCTTTCCCCTCGCTACCCAACCCCATCCCATCCCACCCCTAACAGGGACCTCAACCAGGAGCTGCTGAAGGAGGAGGAGGGCCTCACGGCGCAGCGCGGCCTCATCGCCTCCGCCGCCAACCCGCGCCTGGCAGACAATCAGCTCTTCCTCATGTACGTCACCGACCCCATCCGCAAGACCTACGACGCCAAGATGCTGCAGCTCGTGAAGCAGGTGAGCGTGTAACACGGCTGCTGCTGCGGCGGCGGCGGCGGTGGCGGCTCTAATGTTGCGGACAGGGTAGCTTTGGTACCGGGTGCTTGGAAACACATGCTTGTGGTTTGTGGGAGTGCGTGTTGCGGCCTGCCGAACAACGTGAGGCCTGAGTCCTGACTCTTGGCATGTACCCACGCCGCCGCCTCTTTCGGGCCCCAGGCCACCAACGACGCACGCAACCGCAAGGGCACCGTCAGCACCTTCCTGCGCGGCAGCGGGCGGCAGCGCGAGAACGTGCTGAGCGCGCAGCAGGAGATTACGCTGCTGTTCAAGCAGATGGTGGATGACGTGGAGCGGAACCATGGGTCGCAGGTGGGGCCAGCGGGCGTATGGAGGAGCTTGGGGTGAAAAGATGGGAGTCGAGGAGGGGGATTAGGTAAACGGAGTCGCCAGACGGACCATGACCATAGCATACCACCCAAGACCATTACGCCTGGGCCACATAAGGCCTTGCAAACCCAGACCATTAGGGGCATGAGGGTAATCGCAGCTAGCAGGGCTGCTTGCTTCGAAGCCTGTAGACAAGCCCATGGCTCTTCAGTTGCGGCAGTGCGTCAAGTTCCGAGACTTCCTATTCACACTGCATGTTATCAAGCTGACAGCTGGGCCCTTCCACTCCGCTCCCCACTCCTCCCCAAACCCCCCCCCCCCGCCCCGCCTCAGGTGGTGGAACCCACCTACTTCCAGAGCGCGCTGGAGCTGCCGCCCGACAACGCTCTGCACAACCCCGCCTTTGTGCACGACTACTGGGAAACCTTCACAAACACCATGTTCCTGGGATGCGAGGTGAAGGGGGCAGTGGGGGGCTACGGCTGGCAGGGAGGGAGGGCTGCAGCACCGATGGGAAACACCGTTTTGTTGGCGCACATGTTACGATACAGGCACCGTGGGTTCGACTGCAGAGACTCGAATCCTAAGCCGCAGGGAAGCATATCCTTGTCACAAGCACCTCTTCGTCCCGGGCGTATAAGGGCTTTCTCCCCAGCCCATGTTTTACCACGCATCACACCTCCTTCCTGTGCCCACCCCCCTGTTGTTGCCCCCCACCTCGGCACATGCTGCTCTGCTCAGGTGCGGCTGTACGTGTTCGAGGCGCTGTTCTTCTGCGCCGTCGACATGGCCCTGCGCAACGTGGCGGTGTCGGCTCTGCTCACCTTCCTGATGGTGCGGGCGGTGGCCTACCTGCGAGGCAGCTTCGGAGAGGACAACCTGTCGCAGAAGACGCTGGTGGACCGGCACTTCCTCATCTGAGCGGGGCTGGGGGAAGGCGGGGGAAGGTTGGCGCAGCTTCCCATGTGCATGAACGGCGTGCGTGCGGTGTGCGTGCGTGCGTTGCGGGGAGTAATGCGCGCTGCGCGCTGTCTGAAGGGGGAGAATGTGTGCCCCAGAGCGAATGGAAACGTACTTGTTACAGGTTGTTAGGTATGTGCAGTTGGCTGTGAAGGAGGTTAAGACGAGGGGTTTGGCTGAGTGGGTATTTGGGTTTGTGGCACAGCAGTCGTGACCGGGTATCTGGTGGGGCGAGCTTTCTTCAACGTGATGAGAGATTTGTGACGTATCTTTCTAGTATGTCTCGGTTTGTGGTCTATCTCGCATTTCAGGATCCTGTACTGTGCATAGCGTGTCAGGCCACTTAGCACGAGGGGTGCGTGTGATTGCGAGAACTACCTACGCCGCTGCCTATGAGGCCAATGCTGGCAGCATATACACTGCAATAGGTTGGCTTTGTGTGCATGCTACTCCAGCTGAGTATGCCCAGCCAAGTTTGGGCAAGGCGTACCCGCGTAGAGGAATAGGGGATAGGTTAGGTCGTAGGGGTAGGACCAGTGATAGTGGTGTCAGGTGATTAGGGTTATAATGGAACAAATGACTTGTGTAAGGACAGCTGTGGGGGGTTATGCACTGGTGCATGCGGCCAGGAACCGCCATCCGTGTGGCATTGGGGTTTTGCTTTTGTGAGCTGCCATACTTTGCTGTGATTGGCCCATGGGACGGGCGACGCCAAATAAGACGTCCGAGGCGGGCATGGCAAGATGAGGGCACTTGTGGTGCTTATGTAATGACTGTTATGGGGTTTGGGGAAAACAGGTGCTCGTACATCCTGCACTGGCCTTGGTAGAAACGGTATTCGTCAGAATTCGGTTGGCAACCGCCTAGATATGCTTTCTTCGGCTTTCAGCAGAGATAAGGTGTAACAGGCAAAGTAGCCTTAATCTTAATAATTTCATACACAATGCAGACCCTGCGAACTGGATTCGGAAAGCCGGTCGCTGGCCGCGCCTCGCCTCGACCCTTTTCACCACAGCCCAACACACGCTGTGCGCGACGCAACCTTATCATAAACGCACAAATAAAGCTCTACACAAATCCTGGGTCGCGCGGCAAGATTGCCGAATGGTACGCGCTTCTGGTGGTTAGCTGTATGTGGTTCTGTCGCTTCGGCGCTGGCGCAGGCATCTCAAATGGGTAATTGCGACGCTGCGGTGAACACATGAAAATCAATTTGTTTCTTCCGTTCCAGGTACCTAGCAGAGCTGGGCGTTCCCCATGAGTGTGTGTTCCTGGACATGAGGCGGGGGGAGCACAAGACGCCCGAGTTCCTGGCAATCAACCCCTTCGGAAAGGTACGGTACCCAACCGTGCAACGGCAGGTGCCCTCCACGGCTAAACTTGTGGGCCAACTGCCCTGCGTCTGGTGAAGGGTGGATGGGCACCACAAGCCATCACGAACCGAATCCGCCCTGCCGCATGGCTTCCGGCTCCCGGTTCTTCCCACCTCCCATCCCCGTCTATCACCCCATGTCTGCTAGCTGTTCCCCCGCCCCCCGCCCCCATCCAGGTCCCCGCCCTGCTCGACGGCGAGCTGCCGCTGTTCGAGAGCGGCGCCATCCTGCTGCACCTGGCCAACAAGTACGGCAAGCTGAGCTGCGACGAGCTGGGTACGGCAGCGCAGTGGACGCTCTTCGCCAACTCAACCCTCTCAGACGCCTTCTTCAACGACCGCCAACGGTGCGTGCAGGGATGCTGCCGGTCATTAAAATACCAGCGCGTTAACTAACTGCTGCGGCAGGCGAACCTATGCGCGCTATGCCCTTAGCTCATGCGCCCCCACGTCTCCACGGTGGAAGAAAACTCCATCCCCCCTCTCCATACGGTCAGTTACCGTTAGTTCATTTCTTCCTCTTCCTCCCCCACCCTTCCGCCCTCTGCCGCCCAGGCCCACCCAGATGCCCCTCATGCTGCGCACCCTGGACCAGCTGCTCTCCAAGCAGCCCTTCTTGGCGGGTGGGGCTTGGGGGCGGAAACATAAACACAAGAGCATAAGCTGTGTGATGCTGAGGCGGAGGCACAGGAGCATGCTTACCGGTAGTGGGATACCCTGTGATACCGAACAAACGCAAGCGAGGGTCTCCTCAACCCTTTTGTACCCTCTTACTCCTGCTCAACATCCCGACCCACAGCCGTACCCACGTCCCACTCTGCTCCGCTCCCCGCCCATCTCCCACCCTACGTCACAGTATCACGTTGTGCCCCTTTATCACTGCACATCATGCCTTGTTCCCGATATGCCGTACTTTTCACCAATTCCGTCCCTATTTGTACCTTCCGCCATTATTCCATCCCCATACACCCCACCGCGCCGTCCTAGTCGTGTCGTCTCGTGTCTTAGGCTTACCTTAGTACTTCTTTGTTCGCATCTTCACCATCGTCCTCTTTAACTTATACTTAACTTCCCCTTTCGCTTTCCTTGCCTCATTCCGCATATCTGGCTCTCCGCTGGACATCGCTATCCACTCGCCTCGACCTAACTTACTCCATGGTCCTGGCGGCTTGCCATGGACATGTCTCATGGTGCACATATCCTGTGCACGCAGGTACGTGTTTTATCGTGTGTCAGTCTGTGTTGTTTTTCATGCGTGCTCGTGTTGTGCTGTTCCTGTTGTTTGCCTTTGCCCAACGGCGCGGTGGGTCTCCAGCTCACCTTCAGCAGCCTCCACACATGCCCAAGACTATGGTAAGGTTGCTCCATAATTGGTAAGTTCGGTAAGTTTAGCTCGCATTGCTTTAACCACCATTTCGGCTCGACTCACGGTTGATTCCACCAGGGATTGTCAGCAACTTGTATCATTATCATACCACACTTTGGAATTTCTTTTTTACCCCCCCTCTCCTTCCCCCCTCTCCGAATGCGCTCACTGCATGAGTCGGGATATGGGATTGGGACTCGTTGTTTCACATATTTAATTTTTTCCCCTCTCCTTCCTTACCTGTACGGCAAAGGCCCCGATTTCAGCGTGTCCGACATCGCAGTGGGCTCCTACCTCCTCTACCTGCCGCTGTTCTTCCCCGACATGGACCTGTCCGCACACCCCGCCGTGTGGGACTACATGCGCCGTCTAGCGCAGCGACCCACCTGCCCCGCGCCGTACAAGCAGGCCATGCAGGGTGGGTAAAGAAGGAGAAGAAGTGGGGGTACGGGAATCAGTACGGGGATCGCAATTCCTTGAATTGGGTGGATTGGGGCGAAGAACGGGAACCCACCATATGCGGCGCTGGGTGGTATGCGGGAAGGGCGGGGGGATGGTTGGCAGCTGCTTGACTGGCGGAGCAGCTGCTTGGATGGAGGGGTGGGTCGTAGGGAGCCTAGGACCTACCCCTAGCTGGCTGTCTTTGGTCAGGCGGTGGTCGCTGCCGCCGTCGCTGCCGTCGGCGCTGCCGCCATCGCCGGCGCTGTAGGCTCCCTGCCGCCGTGGCTGTGGTCTTGTTGGCGGAAAAGCAGGAGCGGTGACAGCAGGTGATCGCGGGAGGCATTCTTCACCGTGTCGAACTTGGTGCCGGTAGTCACTGTTGTCGTTCCTGGGCTGAGGCTGTCCCCCAGCACCAGGCCAGGAGGTGCCGTACCGCCGGCGAAGCCCAGGAAAGCCCCCGCAACCCCGCCGGCCAGAGGGCCGCCCGCCTTGGTGCCCACTCTTGAGATCTCGACTCCAGCTGATGCGCTAGCGCCGCTGCGGATGCCGGTCAGCCGTACTGGGCTCCCGACTATCGGCGGCGCCGTCTGATTTGCAGGGGCGCTGCCCGCCGCTCCCGCATTGGCGGTGGCTACCGCCGCCGCCGTCGGCGACGGGCTGTCGTAGCCGGGACCTCGTTGGCGAAGGGGTAGGAAAGGCGGCAGCAGGGGGCTGTACCTCCCGCTGCCGCGACGAGGCCGGTGGCGGTAGCCTCCGCCAATGCGGGAGCGGCGGGCAGCGCCCCTGCAAATCAGACGGCGCCGCCGATAGTCGGGAGCCCAGTACGGCTGACCGGCATCCGCAGCGGCGCTAGCGCATCAGCTGGAGTCGAGATCTCAAGAGTGGGCACCAAGGCGGGCGGCCCTCCGGCCGGCGGGGTTGCGGGGGCTTTCCTGGGCTTCGCCGGCGGTACGGCACCTCCTGGCCTGGTGCTGGGGGACAGCCTCAGCCCAGGAACGACAACAGTGACTACCGGCACCAAGTTCGACACGGTGAAGAATGCCTCCCGCGATCACCTGCTGTCACCGCTCCTGCTTTTCCGCCAACAAGACCACAGCCACGGCGGCAGGGAGCCTACAGCGCCGGCGATGGCGGCAGCGCCGACGGCAGCGACGGTCAGCTGGTCAGGCTACGCTTTTCGGTAAACCTCCCCTCCCCTCGTCTGCCGGCAGAAGCGCTGGATGCCGCAGCCCGACGCCAGGGGGGCGGCAACCCGGTTAACATGCTGTCCAACATGTTCGGCAAGCGCTGAGACACTGAAGGATGCCTCATGGTACCACATGCCAGGGAGGGCAACACAAACCAGCTAGAAGCCTGTCCAGCCAGATGTCTCCGGAGAGGTGTTAAACCGTACGAGAGAGGTTTTACACGGAAGAGGTGTTATACGGATGAGGTATTAATACGGGCGAGGTGTTATACGTTCACGTGACGTCGGTTGTGAGGGAGAGCCAAGCTTGCTGTATTGCTGGCCCCGGGCATACTGATGTGTACGGCGTCGACCATGATTGCTGTACGGCGCTGGATTGGACGAGGTTCAACGGCCTCTGACGCTGTGCTGTTATATAGTAATGTGAGCTTTAGCAGAGTACCGTATACGTTGGTGACCTTACTAACTTCAGCGCAGACGACAGGGCTGCACACCTGTCCTGCTATTCGGTGGTCCAAGGACCGAGGGAGGGCCGCAACACAAGTGAGCTGCTGTGCACAACTCCTCACATGCACGCATTCCTATCCCGCGCGCACCCACTGACCCACTGACCCACCACCACCACCACACCGCAACACCGGTCACACCGCGAATGCCCAGTCCTACAATCCCCACCAACGACCCAGCGAGGAGCTGATACAGGTACCCAAGTGACCACTCCGGGGCGGATGCGGGCGCTTCCGGCGGCACGGGTCGCAATCATGCCGGTGGGGTGCGTGAGGATGGTGGGGGCGGTGGTGGTGGGGCCTGCGGCTGTCCGGGCGGCGTCACGATTCCCTCCTCCGCGGTGCCTCCCACCCCCTTGCCGCCCTGCACCAGGCCATCCGCCAGGTCCTGAGGGGGGCGGGGTGGGGTGAGGTGGGGGTGCGGGTGGGGTAACAGCGGCGACCGCAGTGGGCGGGAGGAGCAGGGGGCCGCATGCAGTGAAGGCGGGTGTGGCGGGGTGGGTGGCGGGGTGGCCCCCCACCCGTGGTCGGCCCCACCTGGAACGACACGGTTGCCGACCCGCGCTTGGCGGCCTTGGGCTGGTGGGCGGCGGGCGACCAGCCGGTCATGAAGATAACCTGGCAGGGTGGGGTGGGGGGTTGGGGGGTTGGGGGGGAGAGGTAAGTGGTAATCGAGGGGTTGTGGGGTAGGCCGCTTGACAGCTTACAGGGTTACCGGTGAAGGGGTCCGCGGCTGACGAGTGGGAGACAGGCCCCAGCCGCCCCACCGCCCTCTCCACCCTTCCCCCCTCCTCACCTCGTATGTGGCGCTGACGCTGCCGTCCTCCCCTCCGAACATGGACTGGTACACCGCAGCGGCCTGGGGTGGGGGTGGGGTGGTGGGTGGTGGGGGGAGGAGAGCGATGTTGAAGCCCACCGCGGTTCGTTACTCGTTCCCTCTTTACTCCCCACCCACCCCCTCCAGCCCCGCCCTCTTCCCCCACCCCCCCCCCCCCCCCCCCTCACCGCCAGCGCCGAGTCCCGGTGCAGGCTCCTGCGGCGCTGCTTGGAGGCGTTGCTCTCACCCAGGGACTGCAGGGGGGGGGAGGGAGGGGGCAGGTTAGATGGGGGAGCTGCATGCATGGGGGCACCTACGAGTGGCAGCGCCGCAGCTCCCTCCCCCCCCCTACACCGCATACGGTAACCCTCCCCCCCCATGCAACCCCCCTGCACCCGCACCATGCAACCCCTCCCCCCCCTCCCCCTCGCCCCCCACCCTGAGGTGCTGCACCAGCTCCAGGGGGGAAGGGTAGCCGATCACGAAGCGGTCCACGTCCACAGTGGGCAGCCGCAGGTCGGCGCGGGTCAGCAGGTTGCCGGCGTCGCGAACCTGCGGACACACCGGAGCAGGGGGGGGGGGTAAAGTTAGACCAAGTAAAAACATAAAGGGCGGAGGAGGGCGGAGGGGGGCCGGGAGAAGAGTAGTACCCAATGTATTGGATGAGGCTGGTAAACAAGACGAGGGGAGGAGGGAGGGGCGGAGAGGGCAGGCGGAATGGGTGAGGCACAGGGAGGGAGGGAGGGAGGGCGAGGGCTAAACCGACCACATGGACCCGCAGCATCAGCCAGCAGTGCCCCTCTGCCCCCCACCCCTCCCCATCACACATTGGATATCTTCTTTTACCCCCCCCCCTCCCCCCCCTCTCCCCCCACCTGCGCCAAGGGTGACACCACCGCCGACACCCCGCCCTGCCGCTCCATCTGGGCTAGGGCGCAGGAGATGCGCAGCTCCTGGGAGGGGGGGGCGGAGGCGGGTGGGCGGGTGGAGGGGGGACGTTGGGGCGGGGTTAAGGAAGCGGGGCTCAGGAAGCAGGCAGGAATACACACACATTGGGGGCGGTCGGCAGCCTGCTGAAGGCTCATTCCTTCTCAGCGTCTGGCAGCTGCAAGCACCCGATTCCCCGTCCCCCCCGCTTCCTATGGTTCGGTATGGTCTTTGACCCCCCGCCCCCCCGCACCCCCCCGCCCCCCCGCACCCCCCCCCCACCTGCAGCGTGTCCCCCCCCAGCAGGGCCGCCAGGAAGAGGCCGTCAGGCACCAGTGCAGCACGACACTGGGCCATGGCACCCTGGGAGGGAGGGGAGGGGAGGAGAGGAGGAGGAGGAGGAGGAGGAGGACAAGGAGGGAGGAGGGGAGGCAGGAAGGGGGGCAAGACCATACCATACCATAGGAAACCACAGGTTAGGGCAGAGCAATGGGGATAGGGGGCGGCAGGGTGCCACATACAGAGTGTTGGGGGTGGGTGGGTGGGCGAGAGAGGGGTGGAGGGCTGGATGGGCAGGAGCAGGAGGCCCGCTCTTCTACTCTTTGCGAGCCTCTTACATCACAACGTCTCACAACGCCCTGTGCGTCACATCTAGAATGTCACATCTAGAAGGTCACGTGTAGTGCTCGTCAAGACATGGCCCCCAGTACGACAATGAACGACAAGCGTGTATGTAGCGGCGCGTGTAGCTGTCAGCCCGGTGCCTCAAGAGCCGCCAACTGTTCCGAGCCGCCCCGCCCCACTGCACCCCACCCCGCCCCTCCGTCCGCATCAAACAAGCGGCAAGGAGGAGGGGGAGGGGATGCAGGAGGCGGGTTGATGTACCCCCAGTGAGCCCCCCGCGGACAGCGCCACTGCTTGCTGCGGCCCGCGAGCGACTCACTGGCCCCGGAGGGAGGGGGGAAGAGACTAGGCATGCTTCGTATGCGTGTGTGCTTCAAGGCATTGTAAAGTGAAAGCATGCAGAGCATGCGCAGTGCATTCATTGTAGCCGCAGTACGGCATACGTTCGTACCCGCGGCCAGTTTCCTCACCCCCTCACCCCCCCGCCCTCCAGCACCCAGCTCACCGGCAGGTCGTTGGCCCAGTGCAGCCCCAGACAGCTGATGATGACTGCAGGAGGGGCGGCAGGTGGGGAGGTGAGCCGGTGACCCATGGGTCATGGGACGGGGACGCAAGGGAGCGCCTCAGGGATCGCCACATCGGCAAGCTACAGCATGCCCATGTGCTCCTCCTCGTAAGGACTCCCCACCTGGTCCCCCCAGCCCTTTCCCCAGCATCCACCCCTCCAGCTCCCCCCATGACGCATTGTCACACGGTCAGTTAGTTGTTTCCTCTCCCCCCTCCCCCTCACTCACGGTCTACGCTGCCCGGCGCCAGGGGCAGCTGCTCCTCCTCCCCGCGCACGTACAGCAGCTGAGGCCAGGGGCGACCGCCGGACTGGCTGCGGGCGGCAGCCTCCTCGCGCTGAGGGCAGGGAGGGGAGGGGGCAGGGGCAGGGGGGCAGGTAGGTAGGCGGGGAGGGGGAGGGGGGGTAGCGGTGGTGTCACAGCAGGGGTATTTATTCACACAGCACAGGGAAGAGCTCCTGCTTTGCCCTAACCTGTGGTTTCCTATGGTTTGGTATGGTCTTTGACCCCCCCCCCCCCCACCCTGATCCTGTCCAGCATGTGTTGGCTGGGGTCCACCACCACCAGCCGCTCGATACCCGCGCGCCCGCCAGCCAGCTGCTGAACCACGGGGAGGGCTGAGGGGGGGGAGAGAGGGAGGGGGGCGGGAGGGCGGGAGAGAAGGGAGCAGGCGGCACATGTGAGCACCGGTGCGGTCAGGGAGGTCACCAGCAGGGTCGCCAGCTGCCATCCCGACGAAACATAAGCCAGCGTAAGAGGGGTAACAAAGTTGAAAAAACAGCATGCTCCCACACTTCAGTGGCTCCCCTCCTCATCTTTATCCCCCTCCCCATACAGCCAAATGCAGAGTATGCATCCCGAGCTCCCGCAACCAACCGCCATGCAGCTCGTCAGTCCCTTCCTCTCCCCCTTCCCCCCCCCACCTGCCCCCCCAAGCACCACCGCCGTCCTGAAGGCCCTGCCCCGGCAGTCCTCCAGCCGGTCCAGCAGCCGCTCGCTGACCGCCGCCTGCAGCGGGTCGGAGGGAGGCAGCAGGCGGGAGGAGCGGTCGCGGTGCAGGCACTTGAGGCGCCTGGGGGGAGGGAGGGAGGGAGGGAGGGAGGAGTGGGCTTGGCAGCAGGGGGAGGAGGGAAGTAGCGGGAGCGAAGGGAGGCCATGACACCACCCTGTGCCTGTGCCTGTGTGGTAGTCGCGCGGGATGTTCAACACAGCCTGTTCATTGGAGCTCCTCCCAGGCTGTCCGGAGCAACTGACTGGCTCCTCCGAAGCGCCCTTCCTCTCCACCTCCACCTCCCCCCTAACCCCACCCCCACCTGTCGAACACCTCCATGGGCGCACCCAGACCCTCATCCCGGGCTGCGAGGGAGGGGCCGCGGCGGGGGAGGTCGCCACCTCCACCTCCGCCTCCTCCGCTGGCGCCGCTGCTGCTACTGCCGTGCAGCTGTCGTACGGCAGCAGCAGTAGCAGCAGCAGCGGGGTTCCCCGCGGTCGCCGGGGCTCCCCAGGGCCTGAGCTGGTGTGGCACCGGCGCTGCTGCTGCTGCTGCCCAGCAGGGTAGCGCTGCGTGGTGACGGGAGGGCGGTAGACCGCCGCTGGCCGCTGCTGCTGCTGCGGGTGTTGATGACGGCGTGGCGGGTGAAGGGTCCTGGTAACGGCAGCTGAGGCGGCGGTAGACGTTGCCCGGATGGCTCCTCCCGCCGTACAGCCACCACGAGCACTGCGACGTTGTGCGGCTTGGAGGGCTGCTGCAGCTTGTGATGGCATTGGTGATGTCACGGTTGGGTGCAAGACCGTGGTGTGGCTGGGCAGCACTGCTGGCGGAAGTGGAAGCCGTACGCGTGTGTGATATGGGCCATGCCGTGCTGGCTGAAGCTCCTGCTGGAGGAATGGCGACGTCCGGTCTTGGTAGGAATGGCTGCCCGTACTGCCCATCGGTTGCGCAAGTGGCAACGCATTCCGTAACGTTCCTATTATTGGAGCCGGCTACATCAGAGCGGAATGCCGTTACACAGCTGCTAAGTGTCGGCCGCAGACGGCCGACAACCCGTGTGAGCTGGTGCATTGGTTAGTGATCTGCGGGCCACGCGGCAACTGTTGCCGCTTGTAGCTAACTAGTCAGTTCTGGCTCATAGTAATATTGTCCAGTACCACATATTACGCTTGAGTGGTAAAGCTATGCTTGAGCCGACAACGGCTTTCATACGATAGAGGGCATGCGCGAAAACATGAGAATCGTACATGTGACTAGAGGAATCCGATAGAAATGTTCTGCTTACAGTGTTATAGCGAAACCTGTTGTCCTTAAGCTCACTAATACCTGGTCGCACGGCAAGTCGTGCAGCCAACAAACGTAACCAGCAGCAAGAGCTTTCCACTCTCAACTAATTTCTTTTACTTTATGGCAATTGGTTTGTATTTATTATTTTAGACGCCGCCTGTCGCGGGCGGGGCTACGATGAACCGGCTGTTCATCGTGTCTCAGCACCCGGCTTTGGTCCGCGCCGCGCAGCAGACTTGCACAAACGTTTCAAATAACCTTGCTTCCGTTTCGACCTTTAGTTCTCTTCTTTCCGGCAACTGGTTTAGTACCGCGACAGCGGCGCCCCAACCTGCTACCTCTGGCGACGACGCACAGCGACAACCTAGCGTAGCAAACTCAGCCTCTAACGCAGGCCAGCTCCTAACCAACCGGCTGGCGGCAGCGTCCGCGCATACCGCTGCGGACGTTGCCGCCACGCCGGCAACCTCATCCTCATCATCGCTACCAACGCCACCATCCCCGGGCTCCCTTGCTGCTCAACCCCAACCGCTTGACCACGATGGCGGCTCGGGCGCATCAGCAGCAGCAGCACCCCTGCCGGAGCTCCAACAGCCCCAACCGCAGCCCGGTTCTGAGCCGCAGCTGCCTGGCTCGCTGGCGCAGCAGTCGGCCCCGCCGCAGCTGCTGCAGGTGGTTCCCACCCCCGAGGGCGCCCCTCGCGACAAGCTAATGATGCGGGACTTCATCCAGAACTCGCTCTACCACCCGGTGAGGGGGCTTGAGGGCGCGTCTAGGTGCATCTTGGGTGTGAGGGGGAATGCGGTCGGTGAGGGAGTGCTGGCAGGCAGAGGGTGGGAGAGTGGGGTTGGCTGCCACGTTTTGGCACCGGGAGGGAGGGCCTCGACAGCGCGAAGCATGGGTAGGCTTGGCTGAGGAGGTGAGGAAAGGAGAGGGGAGCAGGGGAGAAGTGAGGAGAGGAGAGGAGGGCATGTCCAGGGAGGGTGTCCCTAGGGAGGCAGCGGGCAGGCAGGGAGGCAGCATGGCGGAGCATGGCTGGGCGGACGGTGGCAGCTGCTACCCTCAGCGGCGCCTGGCGGTGTACCCGGCGGCGCTGTGGAGAGAAGGGCCTCATGGGGGGGGGGGTAGCGGCTGCAGCGGTTGCTTGAGGAGGGGACCGGCGGGGCAGGGGGCACGTAGTGGGCCGCCCGCGGATGCTTGGGGCTTGCGGGGTGTTTGGGGCTGTGAGTCGGGCTTCTGCTGACCCGAGACGGGTCGGCGTGCGAAGGGGGATGGGAGCATGCAGCAGAAGGGGCGATGGACGGTTGCGTGAGGTTGTGTGTGTGGGGGGGGGGGCGTTACCAGCCCCGTTTTGGCGGGGGACGCTGATGGCTGCTGCGGCTCCTCCCTCTCCTCTCCTCTCCCCTCCCCGAGTGCAGCTTTCTGTCCCTCCTCGTTCCTCTGTACGTGCCCTGTTCCACGTCCCCACACTCTCGCGGCCTCGACGCCCTCCTCCCGCCCCCTCCCATCCCTCCCTCCCTCACCCCCTCCCCTCCCAGACGCTTGGCTACTTCAACGCTCCCACCCCGCCGGTGGGCAGTGTGGGCGGCCCCATCAACTACTGGAAGATCTACTGCCGCGACGAGTTCAACATACTGGTCAAGAAGAAGTACCAGGAGCTGGAGGTGAGGGGGGAGGAGTCACGGAACTATGGATGGCCTAACTGTGAATGGCTTGACGAACCTGCCTACCTGTCGAGGACGAACCCGCACACCTCCTCACACGAACCCATTTCCTCCCCTATCCCGCCCCCCAGACCTCCTTCCTGACCCCCGCCGAGCTGTTCAGCCCCTGGTACGGCGCCTGCATCGCCCGACACATGGTGGAGCACCGCAGGTGGGGGGGAGGGGAGGGAGGGAGGGAGGGAGGGGGTGTGAAGCACAGTCCCAGTAGGGGAGGGGGTGGGGGTGGGTAAAGAGGAAACAACTCGGGGAGGGGAGGGCGGAGGGATGTGGGGGTAGTAGCTGAGTTGGGTGGCAGGTGGGGCTGGTGGGACAAGAGGATGGCTGGTACACTGGTAGCCCGCCTGCTGCTCTGGGGGTCTGGCGTCTGGGCATCTGGGCCCACGACCTCTACCTTACCACCCTTACTACCCTTACCGCCCTCACTCGACCCCCCCCTACCTCCCCCCCCCCCCAGGCACCACCTGGGTATGGAGGGGCAGCCGCTGGTGGTGGTGGAGGTGGGCGGAGGGAACGGCACGCTGGCGAGGGACATTCTGGTGGGTGGGGGAGGGTTGGGGGGAGGGGGGGGGGGGAGGAGGGAGGGAGGCGTTAGGAGGGGGGCTGGGGAAGTGGGTGGGCAGGAGAGGGGGAAGCCGGGAGGAGCCGGTGCTTGGGTGGTGGCTTCCTGGGACTGCGGCGGTAAGGAGACTGCGGCGATAAGGGGAATGCGGCCGGGTACGGGGTAAGGCAAGCGACACGAGTTCCTTTGCGTTTCTTATTGGGGGAGTTACATGCACACGCACCTAGCACCATGCATGGCTCACCTGCCCGCAGCCAGTGTTCTTGACACATCCCCCCCCCCCGTGCCGTGTGGCACCTTCCCTTCCCCGCCTCTCACACCACACATTGGATATTCTTCTTTTCGCCGCCTCTCCATCCTCTCATCCACCTCACCCCTCCTCCCTACGGGGTCCTCCGGCGGTCAGGGTCAGCGTTTCCGCGGCTCAGCTTATCTAATCCCTCCGCCCACCCCTGCTCCCCCCCTTCCCCCCCCTCTCCCTCCACCCTCCCAGGACTGGCTACGCGACAACCGGCCGCAGGACTACCGCCAGACCTCGTACACCTGCCTGGAGATCTCCACCAGCCTGGCAGCCCGGCAGTACGACAAGGTTGTACGGCAGGGGGGGCACGGCGGGCACTTCCACCTGCGGCGGGGCAGCGGGCTGGACCCGGCCACCTGGGGGGGTGAGGTGCGTTGGGAGCACACGTTCGTGCTGATGATGGAGGTGCTGGACAACCTGCCGCACGACAGGGTGTTTCGCAGGCGACCCAGCGACCCCTGGCAGCAAACCGTGGTGCGCCCCCTCCCCGCCTCCTCCTCCTCCTCCTCGCCCTCCTCCTCGCCCTCCTCTTCGCTGGAGTCGGGTCCCTGGGAGGAGGTGGGAGAGCCGCTGACCGACCCGCTGCTGGCGCGCACGCTGGCCGCCGTGTACCGCCCGCCTACCCGGGAGCAGCAGCTGGACGAGCGGTTCAACCGGGTGCTGGACTTCATTCTGGCTAGGGGTGAGAAGAGGCGGGCGGAGGGAGGGGGGAGAATGAGGAAAGAACAAAATGAACGAACTGACCGTGTATGGAGGGAGGAGGGAGGGAGGGAGGTGGTGGTGAGAAGAGCCGTGAAACCCAGCGGGTTGAGGAAAAGCTGCCGACGCTGGCTGGCTGTTGTGGCCTAAACAGGCTCCTAAGAAGCATACACCGCGGTAGCTCCTCTTGCCTCACACCACCACCACAACCCGCCCCTTCACCCCTCTCCTGCCCCCGTTGTGCTAAGCCTGTGGTTTCCTGTGTTCTGGTCTTTCTTGCCTCCTGCCCTGCCCCCTCACCACATACCATCACTCCCCCCTCCTGCCCTCCCGCCCTCCCGCAGAGGCCCAGCCCACCAGTCGCGACGAGGTGCTGTGGGTGCCCACCGCCGCCGCCTCCTTCCTGGAGCTGCTGCACACCCTGCGCCCCAACCACTCGCTCATTGCCGCGGACTTTGACAAGTTGCCGGACGTGCAGCTGCCGGGCAGGAACGCACCGCTGGTGGCGGAGAAGGTGGGGGGAGGCTGTGGGGAGGGGGAAGAAGGGGCGAGAATTAAGGAGAAACTGACGAGGCAACTAACGAGCTGTAGGGAGGGGGAGGGAGGGGGGTCAAAGACCATACCATACAATAGGAAGCCACAGGTTAGGGCAGGTAGGGGGGCCGGTAGGTAGAGAAAAAGAAGCGAAGCACTGGAGAGGAAAAGGAAGAGGGAGAGGAGGAGAGAGTTTCCCGGTTCGGCCTTCCGTGCTGGTTAGTGGTGCTCCTCGCCTCCCAACCAACCCCTTGTTCCCGCCCCTCCCCGCGCCTCCCCGCCCCTCCCCGCCCCGCCTCCTTCCCCGCTACCCCAGATCGGCGGTCGCAACATCGACCACCCCAGCGTGCTCGTCCCCTGGGGCAGGGCCGACATCTTCTTCCCAACCGACTTTGATGCGATGTGCAAGCTGTACCGGGCCGCGGCGGAGTACGTGTGGGGGCCGGGGGGGATAGCCAACACCACCACCGCCTCCACCTCCACCGCCTCCTCTGTGTCTTCTACCGCTCCTGCTGCCTCTTCCACCACCACCACCAGCAGCAGCGGCACCAACAGCACTACCAGTATTGAGGGCACCCCGGCAGCGGCGGGTGCGGAGGCAGCGGCAGCCGCAGCGGCAGCAGCAGCCCGAGCAGATGCCGAGGCAGCCGCTGCTGCCGCCGCTGCTCTGGGCGATGTGAATGCGGAGCACTTCCGTCAGGGGGCGGTGGTGAAGCGGTACCGGGAGATGTTCAACACCGCCACCATCTGCGCGTTCAACCCCATGGTGGATGACTTTGTGAACGCCAGGTGGGGGTTTCAGAAGGGGGGTGTGGGGGGGAGGGGGGAGGGGGAAAGGGTGGTAATGGGATAGGAGTGGGGACGGGTGCCCGCCGCCGTTGACAGCACCACCACCACCACCACCATCACCATCACCCTCCCACGGCCCACCCCCGCAGGTTCTTCTTCGGCGACTCCAAGAACCGCCTGCCACCCGGACAGCGAGCGGCACTGCTGCAACAGCAGCAGCAACAGCAGCAGGTGGGGGGAGGGATGCCGGGGTGTGTGTGTGCAGGGGAGGGGTGCACAGGGGTGACCGGGAGAGACGCATGCACCGCGCCACGTGCCTTCCCCTAACTTGCGGTTTCCTCTGGTTTGCTTTCTCTTTCTAATCCTCATCCCTCCCCCTCCCCTCGCTCTCCCCCCCCAGGCCAAGTCCCGGCTGCCCAGCGCGCCCGCCTCCCTGGCCTCAGGCATCAAGGCACACATCCCCGCCGCCCCGGCAGCCAAGGTGCGGGCCCGGCTGCAGCAGCAGCAGGTGCAGCAGCAGCAGCAGGAGCCGGTGCTCGGGGGCAGGAGGCAGAGAGGAGGAGGAGGAGGAGGAGGAGGAAGGGGTGGAGGGGGGCGGTAGGGCGGATTTGTTAGTGCGGGAGGGTGATGGGTATGAGCAGGAGGGCGTGCGCAGCAGCGGGGGCGGTAGCAGTAGGAGGCTGAGGAGATGTGTGGCGGGATGGAGGAGGGGCGGTGAGCGGTTGGCGTGGAAACAGCTGAGTAGCAGCTGAGTAGCACGGCACTCGTGTGGAAGCTGGGTAGGTTGCTTCACGGCTGCTGCGGAGGCACTGGCGCCTTGGTTGCGGTGGTGGTGGTGGTGGTGCTTAGGGCGGTGGGGCGTGCGGGTTGTCCTAAGAGGGCTACGCTTTGACCGCTGCTTCGGTGCATCTGGCTGGCTGGCGGCAGGGGCAGTGCAGAGGCCCTGAGCAGCAGCGGCAGCATGCAGACAGACAGACAGAGAGACACGGCGGTGATGGTGATGTACTCGGACCGCGCGGCATTACCCAGTTCTTGTCGTACGACAACCTTGGCAGGCTGTGAGGGGAGACAGACGGAGACCATGGGTCCAGGGAGGCGTGGAAGAGAGGCTTCGGTCGAAACAAAGGTCACATGTTGCATGCACGGAAAGCCGCCTCTCCCTTTCCGCTCCGCTCAGGCAGCGCTTGCGAGGTCGTGTGTCAGCCCCTCATCCGTATCACGTCGTCTAGAGTTAGCCCCGAAACGATTGATACTTCTTGTTAGAGCTGTTTGGGCGCAGCGACTGAATCGGGTTTTTCGCCCGCTTTCGAGTTAAGGGCATGCATGCGCGACGTTCCCCAAAGCGCTGCATCTCTTTGGAAAACTGGAGAACGCGAAAGCCAGACGTCGCTTTTGGGGCTGCATATAACGCTCCTTATGCATTCAAAGCAGGATTGGGATTAGGTCGATACAAGGCTGCATTCACGTAGGTGGCTGCCGACCCGTTGGGTCATTCGGATGTCATCAGTCATCTCCTTGGATCGCCGCTACGAAGCGATTCCCGCACCACACATCGCACATCCCATTCCAGATGTCTTACCCCAGCCCCTTCTTCTTTGCTGCCATTGTATTAATAGACCTACCCTGACTGTGTGACATTACTGCTCCTCCTGACTAACGAGGTTGCTGCCGCGTCCTGCCAGCTGCTGAGCCGCGTAGCGCCGCACGTAAGAACATTGGGCAGCCAAGTCCATCTTTTTAATCCAGCAGGGTGTAACAAGTCTTCACCAACACAATCATCTAGCCTTCCCACAGTCCCAGCCCTAGCCCAGTCCAAGCCCTAGAACCCTGCGTCAGCCCTCATCCATCGCGGTAGCCTCCCACTCCCAGCATCCCTACCCCAGCGAGCCACACACACACACACATAGCCAGTTATTTTAACACACACATAGCCCACCCTTGCGGCCAGCCAGCCGCCAGCCAGCCAGCCAGCCAGAACACAGCCAGCCTCAGCACTACTACAGTAAGAGCGTAGCACCCACTCGCCCACCCGCCCCCGGCCCCGGCCCCCCAATAATGGCCTCCGGTTTGCTGCTGGACTCGCTGCTCACGGGTCTGCTGCCCGAGGGGGTGCGGCGCCGCTTCTTCTGGCGGCCGCAGTACGACATGGCCGACCAGTACGGCAGGGTGTACATCGTGACGGGGGGGAACTCGGGGGTGGGGTTCCAGGTGAGGGGGTGGGGGTGGGGGTGTGGTTGGGGTTGTACGTTGACCAAAGGAAGGTAGGGTGGGTGGGAGGTGCGTGTTGGTCCTTGTGTGAATCAGAGAGACGGAGAATGGAATTACGTAATTACGTAGTGGCAATGTAGCACACTACCTCTGCTCATGCTGCTGCCGCCTCCTCATCCTCTTCCACACACACACACACACCCCAGCTGGTCAAGTGGCTAGCCGCCAACAACGCCACCGTCATCCTAGCCACCCACAACATGCCCGGCGCGCGCAAGTAAGGACGCCAGGGAGGAGGGAGGGGCTCGCGGGAATGGGCGGAAGGGAGAGGAAGGGAGGGGACTATGCTGTGACGCCTCCTGCCGTGCTCCTTCCGTTTCTCGTTCCTTGCTTAACCGCTGGCGCCCCAGCCTGCCCACCCACCTACCGTTAACCTACTGGTTGCCGGCCTTCCTTTATCCTCTCTCTTTCACCCACCCACCCACCCACCCACCCACCTATCCGCCCCCCCATGCATGTCACGCGCCACAGGGCCCTCCGAGACATCCAACGCGACCTGCCGCACGTGACGGAGGAGCGGGTGCGGCTCATGCACCTGGACCTAACCTCCTTCGCGTGAGGGGGGCGGGGAGGGGGGAGGGAGGGAGGGAGGGCTGGGGAGAGAGGGGAGGAGCGTATGTAGGGAGGGCGGTTGGGTGTCTGTCGGGGCATGTGGCAACGGGTGGAACCGATAACGAATACTGTATATGAAGACCGTAGGGTTTGCCAGGCCTACCTGAGCCGGCCGCTGTCCCCAGCAATGCCCACGCCCAAGGGCCCAACTACACCACCTGATCTCCACCTCTTCTTCCCCCCTGCTCCCCCCTCCCCCTCAGGAGCATCACCAAGTTCACGGCCAACTTCCTGGCCCTCAGCCTGCCCCTGCATGGCCTGGTGAACGCGGCAGGTGGGGCGGGGGGGCGTACAGTTACATACCGTTCGGAGCTTCTCCTTAACTCCATAACCCACCCGCCCGCCTGTCCACCCTCAGGCGAGGCCATGGGCACCCCCGGCCGCGGCGCCGACGGCAAGCTGCCCAACCACACGCTGGTCACCAACTACTTCGGCCCCTTCTACCTGACACACCTGCTGCTGCAGCCGCTGGGCGCCGCCGCCCCCTCGCGGGTGGTCAATGTGTGCTCGGCGCTGGGGGAGTACATGGGAACCGTGGACTGGGAGGACCTGCGGTGCGGGTGGAGGGGGGGGGGGCGGGGTGGGGGGGGGTAGGGGAGGCAGAGAGAGGGGTTGCGGAGGGCAGGGATGGCCGCGCGATGGTGCAAGTGAGAGTAGGGTTGCTGACTGTCGGTAGCTAGCCTCACGCAGCTGGGCCGCTGCCCAATCGTTGCCTAACAGCGCGTGTCTACGGGTCCTGCCCCTTACAAACCTCATCGCCCCGCAGCCCCACCTCACCTCCCTCACACTAGTCCCCTCCCCCCCGGCAACAGCGGTGAGAAGCTGGCGGGGTCGGACCCCCTGGCCGCCTACAACCGCTCCAAGCGCTTCATGAGCATGGCTACCCGGGAGCTGGCGCTGAGGAGCAGGGGAACCGGCACGGATGTGTTTGCCGTACACCCAGGTGGGGGCGGATGTGTTTGCCGTACACCCAGGTGGGGGCGGATGTGTTTGCCGTACACCCAGGTGGGGGCGGATGTGTTTGCCGTACACCCAGGTGGGGGCGGATGTGTTTGCCGTACACCCAGGTGGGGGCGGGTGGGTTTGCCGTACACCCAGGTGGGGGCGGATGTGTTTGCCGTACACCCAGGTGGGGGCGGGTGGGTTTGCCGTACACCCAGGTGGGGGCGGGTGGGTTTGCCGTACACCCGGGTGGGGGCGGGTGGGTTTGCTGGGTGCGGCTACGAGTGGGCGTGCCGGGGTTGCATGGCTCCCCATGCTCTTCCCTCCAACCCCGCTACCCGCTTTACTCCTAGCCAGCCATCCTGCAAACCTTATACAAGCAGCCCGCCATTGCCTGCGGTAACCCGGGGCACAACCTCCCAGCCATCCGAACAGCATCCCTGCCCTCCCCCTCCATCCGACCCCCTTCTCTGCACCTCCCCTCCCTCCCAATTCCCTCCCCCCATCTCCTTCTTTTACCTCTCAGGTTTCGCCGCCACCCAGCTGTGGCACAAGTCGCTCCGCAGCTACCCTGCCGCCCGGCTGTTCAACGTGGTGGAGGAATGGTTCGCGCAGCACCCCTTCTACGGAGCCCTGCCCGCGCTGTTCGCACTCACGGAGCCCCGACTGCAGGGTGAGTGGGGTGGGGTGGGGCGGCGGGGTCAACGGGTGGCGGGGGTCATTGATGGGGGTCTTGGGGACTGGGAAGGGAAGGAGGGGGAGAGGATGGACGGGCGCAGCTGACCTGATCAGCCTTGAAGGCCTTCCCCTGCTTGCTTACAGCCTTCCCAGCTTTCATCTTCCCGTCTATCCTTCCTCCTCCCTGCGTTATGCTCTCTTCCTCACAACCACCTCTTTCTTCCCGCCCCCATGCAGGCCGCAGCGGCCTCTACATCGGGCCCCCCCTGGTGTGCCCCCTGGTGCTGCACACACGCGCCGGGGACTACTGGCTGGGCGAGTCGCGCAACGACACCAGCTGCCAGCAACTGTACGACGCGACCGTCAAGCTGGTAGCCAACATCCTGGGGGATGGGCTGGGGCCGGGAGGGGGGGCAGCGTGGGGAGAGGAGGGGGCCGCAGCAGGTGCGGGTGTAGGGGTGGGGGCGTGATGGGATGCCGGTAGGTGGACACATGGCGGCTGCGGTTGGGATGAGGGTGTTGCACTGCTTGTTGCACAGCTGTCGTTTTTAACGAGTTGCCACTGTCGTGTTGTAGAGGGCGCCGACGGGTATGGGTGAAACCGTGAAAGTGGGTGTGCAGGATTAACTAGGGAGCGTAGAGGAAGAGTGTAGAGGTTGTAGGATGCTGAGGCGGCTGTTGGTACCGGGTTGGAGGAACGTTGGGGTTCTGCCTTAGTAAGGGAAGTGCTAACTTTTCGCGATGAACTTGGCGCCCCATGAACCCACCCACCCACCCGTGTAGCCAGCGCCGGGCGCCGTGTAGGGACGGCTTTTATGGCACTATAGGTATGGGCTCGCCTTGTTTGGCTCGGTTGTACTTGTTCCTCAGCCTGCAGGCGCCACCGGGCGCCGCTCAGGGCCGGTGGCGCATCCCCTGAGGTCTAGGGTTCGGCTGAGTTCAGCCGTTAAGTTTGTTGCGTTGTCACCAACCAACCACGCGGGCGGCGCTGGGCGCCGGGTAGGGCCGGCGGCAGGTCCCGCTGGTGGCGACAGGTTGGGTGGCACGGTTTGTGTTGCCGGGGTGCACACGGCGGCCTTCTGCCGGGGATGCACCCGCGGGCTAGGAAGTGCAACCTTGCTTGGTTACTGTCGGCGACTTATTCAAGGGGGGTTCGTGAGTGGTCCCCGGTGGACCGGACAATGGGACTGGTTGTGGGGTTCCGCTGTAACACTGGGAGGTAGCGAGCAATAAGCGAGTTAGTCGCTGTACTAGTAGTTCAACTAATGCGTCTACAGTGCCTGCTACAGTGTGCTTAGGGTTTGGACAATGAAGTCTACCGGAGGCAGATGGCCGTTGACCAGAGCGTGAGAGCTTCGTTCCGCCAATCAAGGGCGCCTCGCTTGCAAGCAGGATGGAAAATGTTGCTTTCCGTGGACTCCGACAAGCTCCTAGTTGCCGGGTCATTTCTTTACTTGGGACATTTGAGAAGGAGGGAGCGACCCACGGGTCATAATGGGATGTAATACCACGCGAGTGTTCCGTTGGGAAAACATATGCTTATCCCAGGGAAAGCACATGTTTGCAGCCAGAAGGCCACCACCTGCTGTACCCTGCCGTACGCGTTGACGACAACAGCCGCATACCCGACTTCTGCAGCTGTGCTTTGGCTGTCCCATTCACTGCAAGTTGCACATGTTATTTGAGGAGGTGGGTATGACGTCGGCTAATTTGCATAATGTGGTTCCAGGGTGTATGTACGGTATGCGTGAGGTGCATAAGCCAGGGTAAGTCCCCTCAGTGCGGCTGTAAGGACGTGCAGCATGGCACTCTTCCTAATTCCCCATATGGGTAGTTTAAGGGAATCCTATTTACAGACTGGATTACAGACTGGTTCTGCTCCAGAACTATTAGCGACCTCGGTCACCCTCAATGCCATCCCATCAACGCGAGGGCGGGGTCACCTCGGGTGCCGGTGCTGATGCCTGCTCAAGTAGAATCCACATTACATGAGCAGGAACCCACATTACAAGCTTAGGCTGGGAAACACCGAGCAAGAAAGCAAGGGCAACGCACGCGAAGCCCAGATGCACGCACAAATGTCTCGGTTAGTCTAGGTCACCTCCAGCGGCCCCGTGTCCCACCCCGGGGTCCGGGAACCTACAGCCTCAGCACTCAGCACCTCACCTCAGTACAGTGCAGGACCAACGCAGGGTCCAGATATCCGCTGCAACCTCTGGTTTAACTACCTGGTTGATTGCTACATTCATGGCTTGATAGCTGGCCTACACTCCTACACCCTGCCGCCTACACCGGAACATGTCTCAACCCCTGCTAACAACACCTACACGTCCCTCAACCCCCGTCAAGGTACCAGTGCCGCATGTGACCCCATGCCGAAACCCAAGCCTCCTCCCCCAACGCCCATTCCCCCCGCTCCTCCCATCCCGCCCCCAAGCTCCATCGCCGCCAGCCACTCCCGCGCCTGCTGCTCCCGAGCACTCGCCCCTGCCACCCCAGCCCCCACATGGCCTCCGGACATGCCCACACCGCCGGCCCCTGCACCTCCACCTCCCATCCCGCCTCCCGTCCCTGCTCCCGCGCCGTTCAGGACCGTTAGGAACTGGCCGCACAGCTGACCCACGCGACCCAGGAGCCGCAGGGTTTGAGCTCGGCGGGCTTGGGCGGCGGCCGCGAGAGGCTCAGACGGGTGGTGGTGGACTAGGGCCTCGGACGCGGCCATGCATTGGTCCAGCAGGGCGGACAGGTCGCGCGGTCGGGGCCATGCGGGGCCTAGACTGGCCGCCTCGCCCTCGCTCAGCTGCGGGACAGGAAGGCAAGAAGGGAAGAGGTGGGCGGTTCCGGTCAGGTAGGATCCATGAACAGTACGAGACACAAAACCTACGCAACCACGCAATGGCATGGTGTACCGCTACAGTTGTAAAGCCAGAACTAAGGGTTGTACGACCCAACTCTAGGCCCACCTGTGGTGACGACGCTGCAAGGAACATCAACGCATGCGAAGCGCACGAGTAGAGCTTCTCCGCCATCTGCGCGCTGTACTCACTGCACACCCCACCAACACCACCACCACCCGCTGCGGCAGCAGCAGCTCCGCCTGCCGACATGCCAGCCAGCCCGCTGCCTGCCCGCACCGGCGTCACCGCAATGCCAGCACCCGGCGTCATGGGGCCGCCCGCTCCGCCGCCCAGGCCCTCAGACGGCCCTCGGGACGGGGTAGCGGCTGGGGTGCTGGGGATGCCTCCAGAAGCAGCCGGGATGCCGGATACACCCAGAGGTGAGGACGGGGCGGAGGGGATGGTGGCGGCGGCGCCTGCTGGCGCCGCGGCGGCTCCCGCCGCCGCTGCTGCACCTGCGGTGCAGACCTTGAACCAGCCCTCCGAGCAGGGCATGCCGGCTGCCGGCAGCGCCGCCAGGGCTGCCTCCCGGCCGGTGCGAGGCCGGCAGTCGACGGCGAAGGACTTGGCGAGGGAGGGCTGTGCCAGCCAGGTAAGCAGCGTGGAGAGGGCGGTCCTGGGGAAGAAGGCAAACGAGGAAGAAGCGGATGAGGTTGAGGTGGAAAGCCTTAGTAGCCGTGCACTAAAGGAATAGTAGGCGGACACTAGTGGCTCCCATCCTCAGCAACCACCGTCCGAGTGGGGACAGCACACCAGTGCACACGCAGGTGAATGTGCAACCACGAGGATAGCCAGCAACCTAGCCCACCCCATCCTCACCTGAAGTTGAGCAGCGACGCCGGCAGCACCAGGTGCCAACCCCCCAGGTAGGCGCTCAGCTGCACCAGCAGGAACAGCGCCGCCTCCGTCTCCACCAGCCCCGCCAGCGTGAGGGGCTGCAGGCAGTCGCCCCCGGGAGGCAGCACCGCCAGCAGCAGCCGGGGCTCCAGGACCAGTAGCAGGTCCAGCGCCTGGGGGGTGGGTTGGGTTATAGGGGAGGGAAGGGAGGTGGCACACGCGTCCGTAGGTTGCGTTGGGCATGCGGTAGGTAGTATGCGTATGCTAACTTGCGTGACAATGCCTCAGCGGCCCGGCCGCAGTTCCGACCAGTGAGCACCTCCTACGACAGCGGCCAGCCAGCACGCCAGCCCTCACCTCTCGCTCCACATCCACATGCTGGCCCAGCGTCCTCAGCAGCGCGGAGGAGAACTGCAGCAGCGTGCACCACTGCCGGTGCACGGGAGACCACACCTCCCCCACTGCCGCCGCAGCCCCCCCGGCAGCAGCAGCAGCTCCCTGCCCCGCCGCCGCCACAGCGCTTTCCGCGGCCAGACCTGGCGCCGCCAGGTATGCACCGCAGGTATCCGGCTGCACTGCACCAAGCCGAAGCGCAGATGACCCACGGGTCATTCCGCCCGTCATTGCGCCGTAGGTTATACCGTACGTACCATCCACACGCGGGCGGTACGGCCCCGTACCGGTAACGGCGACTACAGAGAAAGTTGCCAGCCGGCCTCCGGCGGCCGACAGGAGATGCCGGCCCGCCGCAACCAGCTGATCCACGACTCCTCTGTCGTACAACGCTCTTGCTCCGTCCGGCACCTGGGCCACTGCTAGCGCGAGTGACAGCATGCCCAGGTCCCCGGCGGAGACCGCCACGTCACTGCTGCGAAGGTAGACAGTAGCTGCTGCTGCAGCGGCTCCGCCTCCGGCGCCCGCTGCCGCAGCGGCGGCAATGGCAGCCGCCCTTCCCGCTGCTGACAGGATGCCCTCGCCCAGGTGTAGCTTCGCCAGCAGCAGCGGCAGCCAGTCGTGGGTGGAGAGGTGGCGGGTGCACTCCAGCAGCAGCTGAGTGGCCAGAGGGGAGCTGATGCCGCCGCAGGAAGACAGCTCGCAGAGCTGTGCGGGGTGAGGGGAGGAGGAGCGTGGCAGGAGCATGGCAAAAGGATGGAAGATACGGAGGAGAGAGGTTACGAAGCAGAAGCAGGGAGTGTAACAGGAGATACCCGAAGCTAGGAGCTAGGAGGTGTCATTGTACGCCAAGGAAAAGGAAAACCAGCAGCAGCGGCAGCAGTATCCCACCTGAGGCAGTGCGGACAGCAACGCGGCCGCCAGCGCCTGCCGTTGATCCTCCTCCGCAGCCGCCGCCGCCGCCGCAGCGGAGGTCGCCTCCGCCGGCAGCGGCTGCAGCGCCAGCAGCAGCGAGCCCGCCAGCGCGTCCGTGACCTGCAGCACCGCCTGACGCGGGCACTGCGGCAGTCCCGAGGTGGCCACCACTCGCGACCAGCTGGCCAGCTGCTGAGCCAGCTGGGCCACGAAGGGGAGGTAGGCAGGGTCGGTGGCGACGCCGCTGCCTCCAGCGGAGCCGGCCCCGCCAGCCCTGCCCGCCGTCCTCGGAGCTGTGGCGATAGGCGTTAGGGAGCCCAGTCCGCCCAGCGGGGAGCGTGCGGGTGTCGCAGAGGCGGGTGTGGAGCCGCCTGGCGCCGCCGACGTCGATGTGAGCGCCGGCCGTGCCGCTTGTACGACAGACAGCAGCAGCCGTGACGCCGCCAGCGCGGACGCCAGGTGGTGTGCGTGGAGGCGGCGGAGGCCCCAGTCGGGTTGCAGGGTGGCGCGGCTGTCTGGGAGGTTGCACCAGGCCGCCAGGGCGCCCACAGCTGCCGTAGAAGCCTCCAGTACGGAGCTCAGCAGGCCGCCACTGGAGGGGTTGCTGCTGGTGCCAGAAGTGGCAGCAGCGCCGCCGCTGGGAGTGGCGGGCTCGGCGCCGGTGGCGGTGGTGCTCGAGGGGGGGTCAAGGAGGGCAGCAGCTGCGGCGGATGATGAGGCTCCGGCGGGTGGTGTGAGGCGCCGGTCGAGGGCGAGCAGGGCGGTGAGGGCGCAGGCGGATTGGAGCAGCAGCGTCCGGGACTCCGCCAGGGAGGACCTGAGGGCAATCAGGGCAAGCGAGGTATGCAATCCATGCAACGTAGCTCAACATATATTAACGAAGCATCTTCTTGATGTTTCTACTACCAAGCCCTGCCTCCCGGGCCCCTCTCCTCCCCAACTTTCCACGTACTTCCTCCCACAGTTCAGTACGCCTACTCTCCCATGCTCTCACGTGTAGCTGACGTCGCACAAGGCCCCTGCCACCAGGTCCGCCGACTGGAGGTCCGCCGCCGCGGGCCCCAGCAGCAGCGCCAGCCGGGTGCGGCACAGCAGGTGGTCGGGGCCGGGCGCGGGGGGCAGCGGGCCGACGCCGGGCAGCTGGCAGAGGTCCGAGGTGGCCACGTGGCACCTGCATGCGGTGTGTACGGCAGCGGCCCGGTACGACAGTGAGTGGTGGGTGGGAGACTTCCATTTGTGAAGTGTTGTGATGGAGGGGAGGGCCAAACAACTAATAGGAGAAAGTGGCGGGGGAATGTGGGCAATGTGGATTTGCCAGGGGTACGCGTTCCCCAAGCGCCAACCTGAATGCAAGTACACCAACCCACCTGCTAACCAGAGATGCGCCCAAGCACTGCCGCTGCAACAGCAGCTGCGCGAGCGGGTGGCCGGGCGGTGTCATCTGGGCCATGCACATGGCTTCATCGGCCGATTGGGCGCCAGGCGACCCGTGGGTCAGTCCCAGTCCCGCAGCTGCCAGCAAATCGTCATGTACGGAGTGTATGTCGGCCACCGATGCGGCACCCTGGGACATCAGCTTGCGGACGCCGGAGAGCTCCTGGAAGGGGGCACGCACGGTGGGGTTGCGATAATGACCTCAACAACTTTCCATCGAAAGCGACCGCTCAACCCCCCAGCCACAAGCCTACCCCCCACCACTTACCTCCCGCAGCGCAGCCGCCACCGACACTCCGTCCACTACCCCGGGAGCCCCCCAGAGCTCCGCCACCACCACCGCCCCCATCTCCAGGCACAGCGCCGCCGCGGTGCGTTGCAGCGTGCCCACCACCTCAGCCTCAGCAGCAGCCGTAGGCAGGGGCTCAGCGGCGCTTCGAAGCAACCGCAGCAGCACACCCCGGCGCGCAGCCAGCTTATTCAACAGCGCCTCCGCACTGCCATCCGCGCTGCCGCCGCCCGCTGCGGAACCCTGAGCAGCTGCCGCTGCTCGCGACCTGGCAAAAGCCTCCACAGTCAGGATCTGCAGCACATACGCCTCACACAGCCCACGGTAGGCAGCCACATCCGCGGGTGGGCAGCTCCCGCCGCCTGCGCCCGCCTGGCTCGGACTCGACTGGCCGCCACCATCCACCACAGGCTCCAAGCAGACCTCCAGGCTGCTCCAAAACCCCTTGACACCCCGCAACACCGCCACCGCTCGGTGCGCTGCCGCCGGCTGCTGCCACATGGCTACCAGCACACGCAGCGCCGACGCCAGCACCTGCGGCTGCTCGCGCTTCAGCCGCGCCGCCTGCTGCAGCGTGCCGTACAGCCCGTCCAACGCATGCCTGGGCCGCCCGCCCCGCCGGACCACCGTCACCATTGCCCCTGACCCGGCTGCCGTCCCTCCATCAGCTGCTGCTGCGCCTCCTCCGCCTTGTTGCTGCTGCTGCTTCAGCTGCTCCTCCTCCAGGTCCGAGGGGAACATGAGGGAGTCCAGCAGGTTGCTCTGGGAGCCCACTGCGGCCGCCGCCAGCTGGGCGGCCAACGCATGGTGCGCGGGGTGCGCGGAGGCGCCGTCGCCCCGCAGCAGCGCCCGCAGACAAGCCTCTGCTGCGCTGCCTGCGGGCACCGCGAGGGAGAGGGAGACGCCGGGCAGGGAGCGGGAGACGGGGCGGGAGATGCAGGCGGAGAGGGAGAGCAGCGCGCGGAGGGCGAGGTAGCTGATCTGTGTGGTTTGGGCGGGAAGGAGGGACGAGGAAGGAAGGAGAGCGGGTTAGGAGGATTGTTTTGCTAACGATGCCTGGATAAATATGCCTGGATTTGGACTGCGACTCGGTCAGGTCTTGGTCCTGCCCTTGTTCGTCCCTGCCTCGGGCCCTGAGCAATTCCCCCCACCTGTCTCTCCGGCGGCATGCGGTCGCAGTCCGCCTCGTGGTATGAGGCGTAGGAGGCCAAGTGGGCCGCCGGGGTGGGGTCTTGGCCACCCAGCAGGAACTCCTCGAAGGGCTGCTCCTGCAGGTGGGGTGGACAGGGGGAGGAGCGGGGGCAGCAGGGAAAAGCGCGGGGCGTGAGTGGGGGGAGGGCAACAAGCGGCTTGGCTTCCCGGAGGGTTAACAAAAAAGCGCCCTGTGTTTACTACAACAAGCACAAACAGGACGGATCTAAGCCATAGCCTCGCTCAGCCGGACCCTCACACAGCCTGTACCCGGCCCCTCAGCCAGCACCGCACCCCCACCTGCGGGTGCGCCCCTGCGGCAGCCAGCAGCGGCGGCATGAGCTGCAGCAGCTCCCCCACGCACTCCTCCAGCGGGGACAGCTCGGGGCGGGAGGCGTCCTCCTCACGCAGCCGCTCCAGCACCCCCGCGGGCGGCGGCAGGCTGTGCGTCAGCAGCACGCCCCCGTGCAACAGCAGCAGCTTCAGCAGCGCTGCGGACAGCACCGACACATGCAGGCGAGGAGCCGCAGCGGCTAGCACCTGCTCGGGAGTAAGGAGCGGTGGCGCTCCGGGTCCTGTTGCGGTTGATGAGGGTGCCGAATCGTACGACAGTACGGCAGTGGTGCCTTCACTGCCGTACGTCAGACGGAGCAATGTAGGGCCGCTGGATGGTGGAGGCGGCGATGGAGCAGGTGGTGCAGCCACTGGCGCTGTGAGCTCTGAAAGGTCCGGGTCCGTCACGAAGGAGCCGGCGGTGAGGGCGAGCCGCAGGACGCGGAGTGACCCATGGGTCAGCGTCCAGCGTTCTTTGGCGTCCGCGTAACGCCACTGGTGCAGGCCCGGCAGCAGCTCATGCAACACCCAAAGCACCGCAGCTGGTAGAGGCACCGCCACGGACCCGCGTTCCAGCAGCCCAGCTAGCAGCCCCAGCAGCGCCACCGTGAGGGGATACCGACCCGTGGGTCGCTCCAGCTCCCGTTGCAGTGCTGAAAGCGTCGGCAGCAGCCCGCAAAAGGCGTCAATAGAGCGCGGCACCTGGAAGGCTTGCAGTGCGTCCAAGGGTACCGAGGCAGGCAGCCCCGCCAACAGGTCCGGACCGGGTGGGGACTGTGAGCACAGCAGCGGCAGCTGCGGCAGCAGCCCCAGCACCCGGCCCGGCTCCAGTGCCGCCATGGCCGCCAACAGCTGCGCGGCGTCGGCAAGCAGCCGCAGCGCCGAAGGCGCTGCGCCGCCCGCCGCTGACGTCGCCGTTACCGCCATCCTGGCTGCCAGCTGCGGTCCGATTGCAAGCACCCCCGCCACGACATCCGTCCAGGAGCGGGTGACGCCCGAGGCGAAGAGCACGGACTGCGTTAGGAGGTCGGCAGCCAGGGCTGGCTCCAGGCCGCACAGGGCGGCCAGCAGCGAGAGGGTGTCCGCCAGGTCGCGCAGCAGGGTGGGGTCGGCGCCCTCCAGCGGCAGGTTGTGCAGCAGGGCGTGCTCCAGGGAGGCGACGCAGTGGGAGGCGCGACCCAGCAGCAGCACCTGAGAGGCGGAGAGCAGGAAGGTTGGCGGCGGCATGAAGGCGGGAAGGGGTTGTAAGAGGCCGGCGCTTTGTGAACCCGCATGCAGCAGTGGAGCTATCCCAGGAAGCGCAGCGGTGTCAAGGGGACCTACCTGGCCCCTGCTCCTCTCTCCGCCGCCTCCGCTGACCTCCGCATCCCATGCAACGAGGATGTAGCGCCCCCGCAGCTCCGACAGCACCGCCGGCAGCGGACACTGCACGCCAACGCAGCCCTGCAGCAGAGAATCCAGGCCAGTACAGCGCATATCAGCGACGCCAGCAAACCGGGAAGTACACACTCGACGACAACGGCCCTGCCCTTTGCCTCTGCGGTAACCAACCCCACAGCCATCAGGCTTACACACTCCCTTTTTTCTTTTCCCCCCCAGCCCACCTGCGGCAGCGCCAGCCCTGGCACGCTGGGCGCCAGGTTCCAGGGCAGCGGCGCCATCAGCTCCACCTCGCCGCCCCCCAGCTGCCGTATCGCCCCCTCCCCCGCCCCGTGCAGCACCACAAGCGACACGGAGCGCTGCAGGAAGGCGTACGCAGCGCGCGCCGTGTCGGGTGAGGCAGCCGTGAGCCGCAGCAGCTGCAGCAGGTGCCGGGGTACGGCGGGGAAGAGCCGTGCGGCGGCGGCCAGCAGGGATCTCAGCGGCGCGGTGGCGGCGGAGGACTCGTCCCATAAGGACGCGCATGCGTGCGCGTCGCCTGCAGGGTGGAGTGCATGGGGTTGGCGGGGGTCTTGTGGTGCGCCATGGAGGGGTAGGAGGTATGCGGAGAGGTATCATGTTTCAGACAGGCCACTCTCCGGTCCCGCTTACCCCGCGCTCAAGCCTATCATGTGGTGTAATCCTCACCTTCCACGCAAAGCTTCAGCAGGGAGATCACGACGTCGTACATGGCCGGATCCAGCGTGTCCACACCCAGATCGAATGCCGTACACAGCACGCATAGCGCCTTGATGACCACCGAATGGTACACCAGCAGCAGCGCGCCACCCGCCGCGGAGCACAGCGCCGTCACCGCTGCCGCCGCCGCCGTCAGGCCGCCAGCTGCAGCCGCGCGCGTCTCGAGGTCCCTCGCCGCTCCATCCAGGTCCCGTATCACATGCCCCGCGCCGCCGGCGTCCAACAACCGCAGGCACCCCGCCCATGTCATCAGCAACAATGCCGTGCTAGGCGTGGCTGCGTACTGGCTGAGCTGATTCTGCAGGTCCATGGTCTTGCCGCCCAGCGGCAGCAGAGCCTCCACGGCACCACCTGTTGGCGGCGCCGTCGCCGTCGCCAGCTGCACATGCCCCGGCAGGTCCAGACAGCTCAGCAGCAGCAACGCAGCGAGCTGCTGACTCAGCACCGCGGGCGAGTCGGCGGCAGCAGCGGCCTCGCCCGCCGCAGTAGGCACGGCGTCAGCGGCTACACCGCCGCCTGCGACCTGTACGGAAACAAACACCCTGTCCAGCAGCAGCCTCGCCAGCGAATGGGCGCGTTCTGGCTTGCAGGTAACGCCGTACTGCTCGTACAGGAGCAGCAAGCAGTGCAAGAGCTCCAGCCGCTCCGAAACCAGCTGCTGCCGCATCTCCCCATGCGCGGCGGAGAGCCAGCTCAGGCTCGCTGCGCTGCCGCCCGCGAGGGCCAGGGCGCCCGCGCCAGCGGATGCCATGACTGCACCCCCTGCTGCTGCTGACCCTGCTGCTGCTGCTGCTGAGGAGGCTGCTGCTGCTGTTCCGTCATTGGCTTTGAGGCGGCGTGTGATGGCTGCTGAGCCGCCCTCCAGGTTCTCCCGCAGCCTGGACTGCAGCTGCTCCTCCAGGCCCGACTTGACGAGGCGGGAGAGCAGGTCGGACAGGGCCTGACCCGCCTCGTCCGGCTCGCCGGCTGAGGAAGAGGAGGAGTCGAGGGGGGAAGAAGTGAGGCGCAATTGGGAAAGGGATTGGGGTGTAATGCCAGGACGTAGCCGTGGGTAACAGAGTGGTGGGTATGCCGCAGGAGGTGGCTGCATGGCAATGCAAGGTAGGCCAAACGGGTGCTGCTGAAGCACGCAGGCCTAGCGAGTAACAAATGGCGCTGCAGGGACGTGTGGCGCTTAGGTAACCCGTCCTTGGAGCGGGCACCTTGGCCGCCTGGTGAGGTTATGACGGTGTCTGATTGCAAGATTTCTACCGTGTACCTACCCTTCAGCATTGCCACCTGGACGCACTTGAGCAGCGCAATGCGCTCCCAGTGGTAGTACCGCAGCACCTGCAGCGGTAGATCAGGAGGCGTCAATGGGAGGGTAGACAGGGTGCTGGACACCCGAGGCGCTAGGGAATAGGCTCAAGGGACCCCCTACATCCTAACCCCTTTCCCGCGGGGCTTGCCTGCAGGAGCATGTCATTGATTGCCATCGGATCATTCTCCGGCAGGTCGTCGGGTTTCAAGTCGGGTTCATTGTCCTTTAGCCAGCGCTTAAACAAGAGCATCGCTTGAATCTCATCCAGATCCTATGAATGGAATGGGTTTTGGAATGTTTAGAGTAACCACGATCTCGGTAAGGCTTACAAAGCCAGCACCCCACATCGGCGCAATTGGCGCCAAGTGCGGCGGCTTTGGCTCACCAGCAACCTGGCTGCCCGCAGCGCCAGAGGCCGGTGCTTGGCGGTGTAGACAAAGGACTTCCCCTTACTCTCCAGCTTAAGGTGCTCCAGTATTTGCTTCCGGGAGGCGTCATTGGAAGGCTTAAACTTGTGTGTGCCATACAGCAGCCAATCAAAGTGTTCATCTAATGCAGCCTTCGTAAAACTTCCACTCTGTAACTTGCGGTGGAAAGCTTCATGCGGCGCCCAAACAAGCGTGTCAAGTGGTTGTGCCATTGTTCGTGTTTGTCCCGCTCGCTAATAGCGCTGTGGTGTCAGTCACATGTTACTGATTTCAACGAGCCCATCAGATCGCAGCATGGATAAGCTTTCCAGCTGCAACAGCGGAGTTGCATGTTGGCACCGTCCGTATGTCCGGCAACCTGCTCCCCCTATCGCCCTATGTACGCAGCAAAACGTTTCCGTTTCCTGTAATATGTGCGTTCTATACAACGCTATAACGTTTCATTTATTGTTTTATTTGAGCGAAAGAATGCACCTCCAAATATAGCAGTTGCTCTTTCCAGCTTTCGGTGCGTAGAGGCGAGCCATGGCTTCCAATCCCCCAGCTGGATTGCCTGCAGCTTCTTTAGCCCCTGGTCTAGCGCGTAAAGTAAAGAAGGTATGTGCAGTGACCTGGGATCATGCATTCGTTACTTTGTGAGCCAGCTAACCCGGACCCTTTGTAGGTCTTGGACATCAAAACAGAGGCCCCGGAGCTATTAGGCTCTCTGCAGACGCTGTCGACCTTCTACAATGACAACACACCAGCAGCTCGCCGGGGCCTGCGCACGACCATCGAGAAGCGGGGCCTGGCCATCAACGACCGCTTCATCGGGGCAGCGGAGTCGGTAATCAAGGTATGCCTCAGACTCTATGCTCCTCCTCCTCCAAGCCTGTCCCACACACCATACCCACAACGCCCCCAACACAATCCCTTCCCCAACACCTTTCCCTTCCTCTCCTCCTTCACCACCTTTCCGCCTCCAGGCCCTGGACGATGTCCAGCGCAGCCTGGACCGCCTGTCCTGCTCCTGCTCCGCCATCTCCTCCGTGGTGTCCGCCACCAAGTCCTCCTCCGCCTGCCTGCTGGCCGACACGGAGCGCCTCAGCCGGGAGCTGGAGGGCGTGGAGCGCAAGCAGGGGCTGGTGGCGCAGTTCCTGGACACCTACCAGCTCACGCCGGAGGAGGTGGGTGCGAGGAGGGGTCGACATAATTAAGAGGGGAAGACATAATGAACTGATTCTATGACAGGGAAAGGAGGAGGTGGAGGCGTAAGAACACCGAACGCGGATATGGATAGGTAAGGTAGCCCCGGTCTCCCTCCCTCCCACCCTCCCCTCCCTCCATCCCCTCCGCCTCTCCTCCCCAGGTTGCCGCGCTGCAGGGCGAGGAGGTGAGCCCCGCCTTCTTCGCCGCGCTGTCCCGCGTGCGCACCATCCACGACAACTGCCGGCAGCTGCTGCGCACGCACCACCAGCGCGCGGGGCTGGAGCTGATGGACCTCATGGCGGCGCACCAGGAGAGCGCGTACGAGCGGCTCTGCAGGTGGGCGGGGGAGTGGAGGAGCTGAGCTGGTGGGCGGGAGGGCAGATGGGCTGAGCCGGTGTGTGGGGGGGTAGAGCGGCGTAATGAGCTACTAAGCATATGACAGGGCTTCACCATGGGGCGAAAGGGTGTGCGGGTGGAGGAAAGACAAGCAAATCAAGTGGGCGAGGAGGGGCTAGGAGGGAAGGGCTAGGAAAGGGGGTAAAAGGGGCTAAGAACCCGGCGCGCAATGCCGCACGGCGAATGACTAGTGCATGGAACCCTCCTTTCCGTACCCCTCCCCCTCTTCCCTTCTCTCCCCGGGTGTTTTTCTATGGTTTTAATTGGTCCAAAATTTGACCCCCCAGGTGGGTGCAGGTGCAGTGTCGCAGCATAGGCGAGTACGACGCGCCCGAGGTGGAGCCGGCGCTGCAGGCGGCGGTGGCGGCGCTGAGGCAGCGGCCCGTGCTGTTCAAGTACTGCGCGGAGGAGGTGGGTACTGGGTAGTAAGGAGGAGGCGCAGGGGTGCTAAGGAGATGTCGGGGAGGGGGGCGGCGCTAAGCGGAGGGGTGGAGCTGGGACTTGAGGGGTCTGCGAAGTAGACAAGATGCGGCCGTGGGAGATGCGCTGGCACTGACACTGTGACACATCAGACATGCATTACCCTCCCCGCTCGCCTCCCCGCTCGCATCGCCCCCAGGTTGCCACCGCGCGGCACAACTCGCTGTTCCAGCGCTTCATCACGGCGCTCACACGCGGCGGCCCGGGCGGCGTGCCGCGACCCATTGAGATCCACGCGCACGACCCGCAGCGCTACGTGAACGACATGCTGGCCTGGGTGCACCAGGTGGGCCGGGGGGGGGAGGGGGGAGGGGGGTAAGGAACATACCCAACCATAGGAACCCACATGTTGGGGCAAGACAATGGGGATAGGAGCGGCAGGTGCGGCGGGGGAAGGGGGACGGTGGAAGCCAAGGGATGCGGAGCAGGGATGGGGGTGGGTAGGGGGCTACTGTGGCTCGCGGGCAGCGGGGAGAGGAGGACCAAAGGGGGATGCCGGTGTTGCTAGGTATACTTCTCCTTACCTCCCGTTCCACACGTAAACGTAACTCCTACTTCAACCCGTCCCCACCGCACCTCAGGCCCTCGCCTCGGAGCGGGAGTTCGTGGTGGCCCTGTTCGGAGAGGAGGACCCCGACTCCGCAGCATCCTCACCACCCACACACCACCACCACCACCATCATCACGATTCCTCCTCCTCGGAGGCCGGCGGCGGCGGCAGCGCTGCCCACCCTTCCCACCCGCCCGACTCGCTGCACACCGCCGCCCTGCTGGACCGCATCTTCGACTCCATCTGCCGCCCGCTGCGGCTGCGCGTGGAGCAGGTGCTCATGACCTCACCACACACCCTCCTGGCCTTCAGCCTGGGGCAGCTGCTGGGGTTCTACCAGCGGCTGGCGGCACGCATCCTGGGACCCATGGGTCAGCTCAGTGCCACACTCGCCAGCTGTCGCGACATGGCCAACCGCGTGTTCTTCGAGCAGCTGCGCGCGCGGGGGGACAAGCTGCGGCGCAACCCGCCGCCGCCGCCCAAGGACCTCTCTCCCCCACCCCAGGTCTCCGAAGTCGTACAACACCTGCTGGAGATCCTCACCGCGTACGATTCCGCCATGGAGTCCAGACCCGCTCCCTCGCCTCCTCCTCCCCCCTCCACCTCCTCCTCTTCCGCACCCACCGCACCCACCTCGGCGCCCTCTGAAGACCTGGGCCCGGTGCTGACTGCCGTGTTGGACCCGCTCACGGAGGCCTGCGAGCGCTCCGCGGAGGCGCTGACACCGGATGCGCCCTCGCGGGTGGACGAGGTGACGAGGTTGGACCCGGCGGCGCACCGCGTGTACCTTATCAATTGCATGGCGGCGGTGTGGGGGGCGCTGCAGAGCCGCGCGGCGGGCAACGCGCGGGCGCGACAGGTGGGAGTGGCATGGGGGGGGGATCGGGTTAGGGGAGCACGTGGGGGAGCGGGTTTGGAGGTCGTGGAGGTGCCTTTAGTGGGTGGGGGAAGAAGGCTGACGGGGTTAGTCAGGGTAAGGTTTGATCGCAGGAATGTGACTGTTAAGGCGTGGGGGATCAAGATCCAGGTCACAGGCTTACAACGTCAGAGGACTTGCTGCGATCCCCGCCTCCTGCCCCCTGCCTCCGCCGGTCTGCCGCTGCTGCCCCTCAGGTGCTGGACAGCATCGAGGCGCACACCGCTGCGCTGGTGGGTGGCGAGGTGGGGCGGCTGCTGGCGCGGTGCGGGCTGGCGGAGGTGGTGGAGCGGCTCAGGCTCTACCAGCAGGCGGAGGGGGAGGTAGAGGGAGCGGCGGTGAGTGGGCGGGATAGGACTCGAGGGGCGGGGCTCGAGGAGGAGGGTGAGGCGAGGTAAGGTGAGGTGAGGTGAAGCGGGAGCCCAGGGAAAGCCAGGGAAAGCTCAGGTGGGCTTAAGAAGGGTGCATGCAAACAAAGCTGTAATGCTGAGGATGCTGTGAAAGGGCTGTGGGGCTCCGGTGCGTTGCCACATGCGCGATATAGCACCCCAGCGAGGAGTGTCACGCTGTTACCTCCCGCCTCCGCGTATTCTTAATTCTCCTGGCGTCCTCCCTCGGCCTCGTGGCATGCAGGGCCGACCGGAGGCAGGCGGCGTCACTGCTGGCGGCGGTGTGCCCGCCAACGACCCCGCGCTGTCGCTGCCGCGCCTGGCGGAGGCGCTGCGGGCGTTCTTCGTGCTGGTGTCCAGCCCGGATGCGCTGCCGGAGTTCCATGCCATACAGGTGGGTGGGTTAAGAACCTCAGATGGGAAAATGAATCATGTGGCTCTCACCATGGGTTCCATGTAAGTCGGGGCCGGTGGCGCGTAGGGAGCACGTTGGCAAGCCGGCTACATGGCTGGGCACGGGTGTCCTTGCCGGGCTTCGCTCAATCCTCGTTCTCACAAAAGCATGCGTGCCCCTGTGCTAGACTTTCTTTCTGGGGTTGTTTCCGTAGACCCATCTGACACGTCAACACCGTTAATCCGCTGTGCATCTTCCTGCACGGCTGTGTACCTTCCCCCGGTTGCAGGTTCCCCGGTTGCGCGCCGACGCGGTGTCGCGCGTGTGCCGGTCGCTGCTGGAGAGCTACGAGCTGGTGTACGGCACCATCGAGGACCCCCGCAGCGGCTACCTGGAGCAGGGGGGCGCGGCGGCGGTGAAGCACACGCCGGCGCAGGTGCGAACCATCCTAGGGGTGATCTAGGGCGAGGTGGCGGGCGAGCGGGTTGCGAGCGGCTGGTGATAGTGATGGGAGGGGGCGGCTTGAGGTTGGCCTGGGTTTCGGTGGTGTGTTGGAATGGCGCTGGTTTGATGCTGGCGCGTTTCGGGTGCCCGGAATGAGAGGTTGTCAACGTGTTAGGGGGTGGGTTTTGGTGAGGCATGGAGGGCGGAGGACGGGTTTCTGACTTTGCGTCCGTAGTGATGAACGTGTTGCATGTAAGATACGGTGGAAGTGTTGGATCCCACTGGGCAAGGAAGTTGCTTGGCTTGTAAGCTACTGCGGTAGGCAGCTTACAAGGCCACGGGCACGTTTGGCAGGCCCACGTGTGCAGTAGTTTGAGCAGATCAGATGGGTGAGATCTGCAGTTAGCCGCGACTGTTCAAGTACTGAACGCGACCCTTTTTCTGGCCTTCCGAGCCTTGCGCTATTACCCGTGCGAGGCATTGCAATGCTTTGTGAGGATGCCGGCGTAACCTTATTACAGGTAATTTCCAGGCAGATTTCCGCCCGTGCAACTTGGGACGTGCTACGCATGGAGGTGACAATACGCGTATGTCTACGCGTGAAATCTTCTTGTCCATGCATTCCAGATGCAGAAGGCCCTTCTTACCCGCATTGTGGTCCCGTTCACCAAGAAGGACGGAGCATTGCTCACCAGTTGCTGCGGCAGTAGGCAAAGACGAGGGCCCGCAGCATATGAGTGCCAATGAACCTGCGAGTTAGGCGTACCAGCGTACAAAGGTATAGAGGCAGCAGGGGGCCGACCCCATATGAGTCTTAGGGATGCGCTTGCGGCCTCACCAGGTCTGATGGAATGGGTCTTCGGGCCATGTACGAAGTCGTCAGGGGTAAGGCACGAACCCGCAGGGTATGCGCTGAGGTCCTGGCTCCACATGACTTAAATGTTGAATCCGCCATGCAGGGCAGTGGGCCGTGTTGGCATCAGATGCCGCATCATCGGGTCATCCGTTTCACACCTCATGTCGACATGTCGCCACATGTACGTAGGACCCTGTAGCCAGAAGACCGCATTCCGAGTACCTCCATTGTACTTAGTGAGCGCAAGAAATCACACTTCATAACTGCATCTAGCAAGCGATTCTTTAGAGGTTTTCCAAGCCATCTAGCCGATATCTATCCAGCGGTACCTGGCGGGCGTAGCACTTGCAGACAGATCTTCAGGAGCGATGCTTTGTGAGCGGTGAATGCTGCAATTCATGACCAGCGGGTTGCAATTGCGCGTTGCTGTACACGTAAAAATGCATTATGTAGACATTTTTTTGTTCCTCAACCTGACATCTTACAAGTCATACAACTATACAAACTGTAAATTCACTTCGGATTATCACAATGGCTCAAAGGTTAAACGGACCGGTCGTGTACCTTTCCAACCTTCCATATGAAGCGACGCACGACTCCGTAGAGGCGGAATTTGAAAAGGAGGGCTATGATGTGGTGGGTTTAGCTCTGCTTGGCGTGTTTGGGGGGCTGCAGTCAAAGTTGTCCCGTCTGAGTTATGCCGTCAGTCTCCAAGTACACCGCGTTTCTTTAAATAGTCGTGTTTCTTTCTGTTCTGCTTGTTCATATTATGGCAGGAGCGGATAGAGCTTATCAAGAAGGGAGCTGGGTCACGCACCAAGGCATGTGGGCTAGCAGCGGTCACCCTTAAGGAGGGAACGGATCCAGGTATGCGGTATTGATGCCCTTATGTACTTGGTTAGATGCTGTCTCAACCAAACCGGTTCATTTGGTGGCGTGTGCACCTACGGACATACCGGTGAAACGTTCCCGCGCATAGCGGATACCTTCTGGGTTCTGTACGTTTCCATGTTTACATATGTGAACGTAAAAGGCAATGCCGGTTTTAAAAACGCGCGTGCCGAAGCTCCTGGAAGTATGTAACGTTTCGGTTCGTTTCCTACGCAAACGCAGCCCTAAGGTAGGGAAAGGGCCTTTCAGACCCATTTAAGGCAACCCATGCGCCGTGGGCGTAAGCTATAAATGAGCCCTGCTAACTGCCCTGCTGGAGTTGACAAGAAGGTCACCCACATAGGGTCTCGCTTGCCCTCCTTCCTGGACAAGGTGTCACCTGAATGCATAGTCGCACGGGGCCCCATGCACGGCTGAAAAGTCATGGAAAGTCACTCCTCGAGGTCGTTCTTGACGTGACGGCGGTTGCAAACCCAGAGTGCAGCTCTGGCTTACACAGTCGCCGCCTGTATCCAAACGTTGGCAGGCACGCTTTCGCCATGCCTGTTCTTCCCTTTCAACAACAGTGGCACGTGGGAAGCACTCCTGCATGCAGCTCGCAAGGGTTTACACGGCTGATAGCGGCTCATGGGGTGCCTAAGAAACCCTCATACCCAACCCTTTACTCAACACCTCTCCTAGGTACGCCGCAATCACATGCTCCTCCCTTCCCTCCTGACCGCCGCGCTCTACCCTCGCTGACCCCACAGACGTGTGCTGCAAGAAGATGGACGGCAAGAGCCTGTTTGGGCGCCCCATGATTGTACGGAAGGACAAGTTCTGCAGCGATGACCTGGCGTACTCGCCCCAGGCCCCTGGTTCGTAAACCCTACCATGTGTCGGCTGACGCGGCAGTAGCAGCAGCAGCCACTGCAGCGGGCTCCTTACATGCCGAGCCGGGTGTCTCTGGCACTCCCGAGTGGGTGAAGGAAAGCGTGGCTAAGTAATGTCTGGTACTGTGTGTTTTGGTAACTGTACATTAGCGACAGGGCAGGACTGGGAGGTGCACCCTGGTTTGCCATGCAGAACGTTGTGGCAAGTGGCGCCGTTGATGCGAGGCATCACCCCATCATGTACATGGCTTTCACACCCACAATGCAATCAGCCATGGTACCGCAGACTCTCCTTTGCGTGAGGTGCTCGTACGTGGCCGAAGGTTGTGGGCGCGAGTAGTTGTCTTGTTTTATTAGTAACCGTGAGGTTTTGGTTATGATTGGAGTATGGGATGAATGTTGGAGACGGACGGCGTTGTTGGACGTTTCCCGGGTATGGTCCAGGGAAACGGGAGATGAGGGTGCGGACGAGGAAATTGCGGACTGGGGAATGTTCTACTTGCTTTTGGGCAGGCGACACTTCTAATTGGGCGCACACCGTTTGCATTTACACATGCTTGAGACCATTATTAGCACTTATGTCTCTTCTTCCCGTTCATCATTTGGTCGGTGGTCAGCCGTGGATTGTGGCGGATGCCAGCTTTTTGTGAAGTTGACGGCGCTGCCCTTTCTTCGCTCTCCTGCGCAAGGATGACGCGGAAGTGGCTGAAGTTCGATACCCACCCGACTGCGCTGTCTTTATCATGTGGGACATCGAGCACCGCCGCCGCCGCGGTTTACTTGCACCAGCGCGCACTGGCATCCGCGTGCAGCTGTTTGGATGCGGGCTTACACCGGATGTCGATTATACAATCCTGGGGGCATCTGGACGGCGGGGTTAGGATTGGTTTGGGTGTCCATGCGGAGTCGGTTTGGGCCGGAAGGGTTGATGGTTAGGGCCGCGGATCGGTGGAGGAGGGTGGCAAAAGGTCATGGAAGCGGAGTGGTGAGGGGTTGCGCTTGATTCATGGAGTACATCATTCATGGGGCTGATGATTCCTGTGCGGCCTGCCTTCTTTCAATGTGCACCGGTCCAGAGGCCCTTTGGCTGAGTTCGTAGCACCTCTACTGTATTGAATTGCTGCAACAAAACATACCGGTACGGGTAGTAGCAACCATGTCAGGATTGCGTTGGGCATGCCTGGGTAGCCAGAGGGGCTCTATCTTTCTTTGTTTTGCTCTTTGTGGATGAAGGGGCTCTTTGTAGATGTGAGGAATGTGGCGGGTGTGGGGGTGCAGGATGGCGTCGCATGCTGCTTTGCTGGCGCATTAATGCACCCGATTGGGGGATGAGAAAGCTCATACATAGCATGTGAGGATGCTGTCTGCCCGCCCGCTGTCTGCTGCCAGATGTGGCTTGCAATGCCGACGACCGGAGGCACACGGCAGCATGAGCTGGAGGGGCTCTGCACGTTTTGGGATTTCATGTGGTGTTGCATGGGGTGGGGCGCTGGTGTGGTACTTCACGAGCGCTTGGATGTGTAGGTGTTTGCGAGGCATGCGCCTGGTTGGCGCTAATGTGCAATGTTGGTGCCTTTACATAGACCATGCCGTACGGTGCACTCCTTCCGGTATATGGATTGGGACATTGTGTGCGTCCATGCAAGGCGTATCCTTTGCATAACCATTCGTTCCACTCATTCGGCCCTTCGTGCCCGTCTGTCCCTCGTTTCGGTTGCCAGCTCTGGTAATCCAAGCCAAGTAAACCAGTGCTGAATCCCAACAGCGCAGGGGAAGCCGATTGAGTCTAAATAACATCAACCAGCCGCTGCCGGCTGCCGAGGGCCTGCCGACCAGCTCACACCCTAATAGCAGCGCCCCCCAAGAAAAGCCGTACATAGCAGCGGTTTGCAGCCAACACTGCCCTCCCATGCAGTGCAGCCTTGTACGGCGCCGGCCTGCACAGCAGGTGCAGCCCCTTGCAGCCCCTACCCACAGCACTCCTCTCATGCAAGTACACTCTACCCCTCCTGCTTAGCTGCCACCGTGCATGCGCGACTGCGTCCAGCACCCGCAGCCCGCTATGCCCACCACTCTGGCATATTTCAAGCATCCCAGGTAGCGTATGCTGCTGCCGCCTTGCTACTGCACAGCCGCCCTGCCGCCACCGCCACCGCCTCGACCGCCACCGCTAGATTGCCTGCCGCCACCCCGGCCTCTGCCGCCGCCTCCGCGGGCCCCTGGGGGCTTCCCTCGCGTGGCCAGGGGTGGCAGCGTCTCATCGGGTCCTGCGCATTTAGGGGCGGTGATGAGCACATGGCAGCAGGGCGTAGGACGCATGCAACATAGGGATGGGATGGACGCATGAGCTTCATACACACATCCAGACACACAAGCATGTAAGCATCACGCTCAGCTTAGAAGCTGGCCCCCTTGTACGCGCTAAAACTTTCTCCCATACCATCGCAGCATCTTTCCCTAGCCCCATGATTGTTCTGCGCCCCATGCGCGCAGCCACCTGTGGGCAGCTTGCAGCTGGTCTCCTGCTCGATCCGCAGCTTGAGCTGCTGCAGCACCCTGATCTGCGCCAGCTTCTGGGGCGAGAGCTTGTGCCACAGGATGCCGGGCGGCTTGGGCAGGGAGGTGCGGGTGCGAATGACCTGACGGCGGGATAGGTGCGAGGGGGGTGGCAGAGGGAGCATAACCGTGGGAGGGCAGGCGGGGCAGAACGTTGATGCACCGGTATACCGGTATAGATCTCCGGTAGGAGCCCCATGGATATGGAGATAACGCAACGGCTGGTGACACGGTGTGAGGGTAGGCCGGGTTACCCAGCAGCGGGTCGGCCCCAAGTCACAAGCGCACCCAACGCACCTGTGTTGGCGTTACGATGATGTCTACCGGCACGTCGTGTTCGAGCATCTTGGCAACATCAATGGTTCCCGGCTGCAACACCTGCATGTGCACGAGGTGTGCGTCCATCCCAGTTGGTTACCGTATCTTTCCGAGGTGACCTCAACGGGGTCATCACGATGACGGGGGTGTTGGGGCCGGTCATGAGGCTCCTTTTGAGTTGAACATTTCAGGGCAGCAAGCAACGAGAGCACGGAGAGAAGCGTGCTGCTGTGCACGCCAGCGCAAGCCAGCAAGCCAGCAAGCAGCCGAACCTGGCAGTCATGCACGGTGGTTATCACCAGCGTGCTCTCGTCAATGGCGTCCATCCACCGCAGAATGCCGTACTCGAGCTCCGCAAAGCCCTGCTCCGAAACGGTGTACAGACAACAGGAACGGTACCGTTGGCGGACATGTGGTCTAACGGCTATCCAAACATCCCCTGAGCCTTCTCTTAAATCCCTGTCCTTCCACGCCACCCGGCCCCCATGAACATACCTCTCCCTTGCCCAGCCGCGCCCCACTGGCCGGGTCCACACACGAGCTGCCCACCACGATCAGGTCAACCTGGGGCCTCAGCGGCGTGGCAGTAAAGTACCGTAAGGGTTAATCACATGTGCTGGAGCCTTTAAGCTCGTCTGTTGAAAGAGAGCGTCATGCCGGGTGCAACAGGTGCAACGGAGGAGGGCTGCAAGGCGATTGCCAGTAGCCCATCCCAGTCTTCCCAGGGCACAAAGCTTGGCCATGGCCGGACACCAACCGTCTGCCTGTGAGTTGGCTTGCTGGCCCACCCCGCCTCCACCGTCCACCCTTTCACGCGGCATCTACCAGGTCCCAGCCATGCCCTGCCTCTCACCCTTACTTCATCACAACTGTTCCATGTTCCTCACCTTTATTTTTGTGTCTAGGGATAGCGGCTCACCGTACTTGGCAACACCTGCGCGAACAAACCGTACATGCCGTATATGCGTTACTGCTACAACCGTAGCAGCAGCAGCGATAGCAGCTCCTCGTCATTGACCACCAGCAGACCCAGATAAACGCGCCCCTGCTCGCCACCCTGCCTTGCCCGTGTCGTGCCCCAACGCTGGTTTGGCCAACTAGTGCCACGGGGTACGAGCCAACGATTGGGCACGACACCCGCGTCTCAGCCCTTACTTAGCACCCGGACCTACCTGCACTCGTGCACGCGGCCCCCGGACCTACCTGCACTCGTGCACGCGGCCCTCAGCTCCTCCGGTGGGAAGCTGCCTGCGGTGAGGCGACTGAAGAAGCCCGTGCGCAGTCGCGGCTGGGGCGTCAACAGCACCTTGCCGCGGCGTAGCACCAACTCCCGAACCTGACGCAGCAACAGCAGCGGCAGCAGCAGTTGGTCGCCACAATATCACAAGCAAAAGCCGCGCGAGTAATAACAAAGCGGACTCAGTCCCTTCGCATTACAATGTAAAGACGTGTACTGCACACATCAAGGCACGCATAGCCCACACCACCCCGCCTCGTGCCATGCATAACAAATACGTTGCTTCCTCTGTCGGTCTACCCACCATGCTCACCGCAGTGCTGTACCCAGGTACCCACCGTTTTCTGCGGTGTGTCGGGGTTGACCTTGACGCAAGCGGCTGCTGCGAACTCGGGCAGGTCGGCCAGGCGCTGAGCCGCCAGGTCGGCGTTGAGGAAGTTAGGGATGCGGTGGTGCACGGGTCGGGGGAACCTGGGGGGGGGGAGAGGGAGCGGGGCGTGATGTGGTTTTGCCCCGGTGCGTGGGACAGTAGACTGATGGCGTAACAGAGCCATGCGGTATACGGCCGGGTTTGTTGAAGCGCGCATGCGCAAGCATGTTGGCATGTGGCATGCAATGTTCAGATAAAAGGAATGTGGGATGTCTGGTAAGGTAGGAATGCGGCTGGTGGTTGGAGAAGGCATACATGTAGGCGCGAGGTGTAATGGGAACACATGGCCGCTGTGGGCTGTACGGCATTGTCACGGTAGGAGTAAGCGTACAGCACTGGAGTGGCGATACGCAAGGGCAGGTGTTGCTAGCTACAGGCTTCTAGTGAGGCAGACAGCGGTGGGCTCCACCTCGCGATATCATGTTGCTCCATGTAATCCCAAATCTGCCGCCGTAACGCCCACTTCCAGGCACCCGCCACGCTGCCGGGCTGCTGCTGCTCCGCGGCCGTGTCCCGGGACTGCTGAGCACGCATGGCTGTTCGGGCCTGCCAAACGGGTGAAAATGGAAAGGCCACAACCCCGAACAGGAATGTCACTGGGGTTGTTTAGGCACAGTAGGCCAAATTATAAGGATGGATGGAGGAGGAGGACAGGGCGCACCTCTTCGTCTAACCGCAAGCGCTCACTGTCATAAGCAACAGTGTCGAACGCTGGCTGTCTCGATTGAGTCGCCATTGTGGCAAGTGCCCGCCCCTTGCTAATGCGATTGCTGCTAATGGAGGTGAAAAAATGACCAATCGCGCTCGCTCTAAGCGGTGAAGCTGGGTACCAAAGGGGGCGATATACTGCATATACATCTGATGGCGGTGAATGACGCTTCGGCGATGACTGCCCTTGCAAAGGAACTCGTTGTGAGTAAAGCATGACTACAGGAATGAAGCCAGTTTAAGATGTTAACAAAGAAAACTAGGTATCTTCGCAAACATAAACAAGCTGACCGTTGGATTTCGACGCTATTTATTAACTGCCGACCGGCGTACGATCAATCCCCATCGTGTGGCGTTGAAGGAACGCCCCTTTGCTTGCCGTGAAAATGCGTTGCATTCACCTAATATAGTTCCTATTACTATACGACTTATTACAGCTGTCCTTCATTAAATAGGTGCAGTTGTCCTCAGGCACCTGCCCGGCTGTAGTAGGACTACTGCATATCGCCACAAGCATCAGGCGGCATTCCTCTTTCTTCTGTGTAACCACTCTAACTATTGTGCCACAGCCTCATATACCAGTAGACAGCTTCGTCGTCAAATTGGCATTTTGCCATCCCTAATGCAGAGCACAAGAAGCAGGTAGGGTCATATATCCCCCCCCCAAAATTTAAAGTCTTTGCTCTATACTCCTATGAAGCGCGCATCTAATGGTGGAATGGCTGGTCGCCTCCATTGCAACAGCCATGGGCACACCTTCCCTAGGAATGCACGGATGTCCCAACACGACGGACGCGACTTGTGGTCAGAAGCCATGCGGCTATGGAAGGGAACGTGACCAGACTTACTTGCTGAATATGCTAACTGACTAAAGCTGCCGCAGGTCTAGCGTAGACTCAAGCGCCGACATTGACCAGCTTGCAAACCTTTAGCCCTATAACCAACCGTTTGCGGCCCGCACACCTTTGCCCGCCCTTAGACTCCCAACACCGCCCGCTTGCGGGTCGCTCCAGCCAACTGGACACTACAACCATGTCCGGAACCCTGTCGCATCACGCTTCGCTCAGTCACGTGCCCAGGCATCCAGCAGCAGTCGCAGCCGCATCAGCAGCATTCGCCGCAAACCTCCACAAGATGCTCGGTCGCTGGCGACGCCGGTGATGGCAGCAGCAGCTGCGGAGAGCGGAGGCGAATCGCTCGCCTTCAGCAGCAGCACCAGCAGCAGCATTATCGGCAGCGGCGGCGGGGCTGAGGGGCGCCGTGTGGTCATCGTCGGGGGCGGATGGGCAGGTAGCACTCAGGGCGGGTTCCCTCTGTTACCCTCCTTCAAGGGAGGAAGGCTAGCGCTGCTTAGGCATCTAGCAACTGACCGCGTCCTTTGTCATGCAAATTATGGTCGTTCCCGCCCTCCGCACCCCTCACTCCTGCTCCCTATCGGGCACATACTCAAGAACCCGACATGCACCCTCCGACCCTCGCCCTACACTCGGGTCCCCCAACTACACTTCATCTCGCCTCTACCTCCTCCTTCTCACTGCTCCATTCCTCTCTCCTCCTGCTGCTCCACAGGTTTCGGCGCCGCCAAGCACCTGGCGGAGCAGGGCTGCGACGTGACGCTGCTGGAGGCCGCAGCGCACCCGGGCGGGCTGTCGGGGGGCTTCCGTACGACAGGCGGGCGGGCGGTGGAGGCGGGCATGAAGGGCTTCTGGTACCAGGTGTGGGAGGGTGACTGGGACCCTCGCCAAGAGCCATCCCACCCCCGGATGTGCCCTGCCCTCCGCTACCTTCCCAGTGGATAAGAGCCATGTCGGTTGCAAGTCTTACCGCATGCCATGGATTTGCGGTTTCTGCTACTGGGGCTTGACAGCTCCAACTGGCATGGACGTCATCCCTTGCCTACGCGCGCTACCCCTACTTACCCTCCACGCCCCACCCCACCCCCCCTCTGCCTCCCTGTTTGCTATGGTTCGGTATGGTCTTTGACCCCCACCTGCCCTCCACGCCCCTCCCCTGCCCACCTGCCCCTGTGCACGCAGGTACGTGTTTTATCGTGTGTCAGTCTGTGTTGTTTTTCATGCGTGCTCTTGTTGTGCTGTTCCTGTTGTTTGCCTTTGCCCAACGGCGCGGTGGGTCTCCAGCTCACCTTCAGCAGCCTCCACACATGCCCAAGACTATGGTAAGGTTGCTCCATAATTGGTAAGTTCGGTAAGTTTAGCTCGCATTGCTTTAACCACCATTTCGGCTCGACTCACGGTTGATTCCCCCAGGGATTGTCAGCAACTTGTATCATTATCATACCACACTTTGGAATTTCTTTTTTGCCCACCTGCCCCCCACGCCCCACCTGCCCCTCCTGCAGTACCACAACATCTTTGCGCTGCTCCGGGAGCTGCGCCTGCCCGCCTGGCCGCTAACCGAGTGGACCCCCTCGGGCTTCTGGGGCGCCGGCGGCAAGCTGCTCACGGAGGCGCCCGTGTTCAGCAGCCGCCCGCGACTACCCACGCTGCTGGGGCAGGTGGGGTGGGGGCGGAATTAGATAAACTGAGCCGCGGAAATACGCACTTGGGGGAGGGTGGGCGGGAGGGCGGGTGGGCGGAGGTGTTGGGGCGCCAGTGTGGGCAAAGCAGGGGAGGGGGTGCTTTGGGCAAGAGGGAGAGAAGGGCAGTCGGGGGGCCCTAAGGGCATGCGCACGTGCGCATTACTGGACGTGCCTGTGCTGTGCTCGCTTGCTTACCCTACGCCACAGCAGTCACCAGTACCAGGTTTCGCACTCCTCACCACTAACCTCTGCTACTCTGCGCTTTCCCTGCCCCACCCCTCCCACCTGGCCCCTTCTCGCTCCCCTTGCGGGCAGTTCGTGCACACCTTCCCGCTCTACTGGTCGCTGCCACTGCCCGACCGCCTCACACTGCTGCCCTTCCTGGCCACACTAGCTGACTACGTGTCTAGGTGATCGCCGGCGGCGGGGACAGGGCAGGGCCCTGTAGTGATGGGAAAGAAGGGGCGGAAATCGCGGAATACAACGCATCAATATAGCCTCGTAAGCGCCTCCCTATCGACATTTTGTAGTGCAATGTCGTGCATGCATGCAAGCACGCAAGGATGGGGACCCTATCATGTGTTGGTATCCGCTAACCCCAGCGGCAGCTGCTGACGTACGACGGTACGACATCCTTGTTGACAGTGAGGAGGTGTACGAGCAGTACGACAAGATGAGTGCGTACGAGCTCTTCCGGCGCTGCGGAGTGTCCGCACGAGCTTATGATGAGTTCCTGCGGCCCACACTGCTGGTGGGGCTGTTCGCGCCGCCCGAGGTAAGCAGGGGGTTTACCGCTGGTGGCTTGTACAGCGGGGAAGGTAGAAAGGCAGCCGCCGCTAACAAGTTAATGATCTGCTGATGCAATTACCGTACCTGCGTCAAGGCGAAGCCGATGTACCGGTGCTTTCCCTATTTACCTCCTTGCGCTCCTGGCCCTACTCCCTTGCTCTATGTCCGACTCGCATCCCACCGGTAGCACCCTTGGTTTGTCCCTACTACTCAGTCTCTCTCCGTGCCTGGCCCACTACTCCCCCTGCGCACCTCCCCCCCCACACAGCTCGTTAGTTGCCTCGTCAATTTCCTTACTTTTTACCCACACACGCGCTTCATCTTTCGGCAATCACAGTACGTTCTGCCTCGCGGCCAGGTTTTCAACACGCTTTCCTTAACACAGGAGCTGAGTGCCGCTGTGGTGCTGGACACGCTGTACTTCTACGCGCTGGCGCACCAGAACGACTTCGACGTGTGCTGGCCGCGGGGCTCCGTGGCGGAGCTGGTGTTCATGCCCCTGGTGGAGAGGATCCGGGCAGCAGGTGGGGACAGGGGAGGGCAAGGGGCAAGGGGCAAGGAGAGAGGAGAGGGTGAGGCAAGCATGCAGCTGAGCCGTCGTGCGTGAGGCTGTGACTGTATGTCATGGTATAGAGGGAGGGCGTGGTGGGGGCGTGGTGGGGGTGGGGAGAGCTGACTAAAGAGGGACCGAGTTGGGTGAGAGGCATGTGGCTGGGGCATGGAGGTTGGGGTGTGCAGGTTTCCGGACGCTGGGATTTAGGTATGATTGTCGGGCAACTGGCCATTTCCGCAATTATCGTTTCTTGTTCCTTACCTCCTGCATGCTCCTCCAACCCCAGGCGGGCGGGTGCTGGGGTCGCGACTGGTGACAGGCTTCTCCACCGATCCCGAATCGGGGGAGGTGCGCAGCGTGGAGGCTGTCAACCGGGATACAGGTGCGACCCATGGGTCACTTTGGACTTACCTTGCGTTGAGTCTCTGGTGAGCACCGTCGTGACTGAAAGCCTTCCTCCTGCCCCCAACCCACGGGTCCTGATCCCTCAGGCGAGGTATTCAGCTACCCAACTGACGCGGTGGTGTTTGCGGTGGGGGTCGGCGCCATGCAGAAACTGGTGTCGTCCTCACCCGCACTGGCTAGCCAGGTGAGGTGTTACGGTACTTACTCGCACGCATCTGTCCACCTTCCCCATCACCGCACGTGTTCCCCTCTCTCTCCCGGCTAATCCCCCTTATTTCCCCGCCCTTCCCCTCGCCACTGCCCCTTCCCTCCCTTTCCCTCTCCCTCTCCCCCAGCCCGACTTCTGCGCCCTCATGCAGCTGCGCTCTCTAGACGTGGTGGCCACCCGGCTGTGGTTCGACCGCCGGCTGCCCACCCGCTACCCCGCCAACGTGCTGTCGGGCTTGGAGCCCTCCGCCGGGGCCACCTTCTTCAACCTCAACGAGCTGCAGGTGGACTGGGGTGGGAGGACGCACCTGGCGACTCCTTTCCTTGCTTTCTGGCTGTTACTTCTCCTCATTACCACCTCGGCCCCTCCTCATTACCGTACCACTGGACGCTATCCAATTCGTGCCTCCTGTCCAGCAGCCCTCCTCCTTCCGCCTCCCTAGCTTTAGGACTACCGAATTCATCGTACCCTGTACCCCCCTCCGTGGTTTCTCGCGGCTCAGTTTATCTAATCCCCCTCCGTGCCCTCCCTTCTCTGTTGCCTTTCCTCCACCTCAACCCGCCGCACAGGACGAGTACCGTGACGCTGCTGGTACGGTGCTGTCCGCCGACATCTACCACGCCGCCAGCCTGCTGCCCCTCAGCGATGAGCAGCTGGTGCAGCGGCTGCTGGCGGCTGTGAGGGCCTGCGAACCGGGATTCAAAGGTGCCGGAGAGGGGGAGTTGGGACCGGAGGTTACCTTGTCGGTGGCTCGGGTTCGGTCGTACCGTTTGCTTGACCTGTCCTGTGCTCCAAAACGTACAACAGAACAGCACTGAGACCATCGGTTGCAACGTGCTGCAGCATGTCAGCAATCGGATGTCCTGCTAGGATGTTCACATTCATTCTATAATTGTATACCGTATGTAAGTGTCCTTCACCTCCCCTCAGACCTCCCCTCACCTCCCACCCTGACTGTCAGTTGTTTCCACTTCTCCCACCCTGACCTGCCCCTCCAGTTGCCCGGCTGGTGGACAGTGTGGTGCTGCGCTACCCGCGAGCTGTGACGCACTTCAGCCCCGGCTCGCACCGGCACCGCCCCACCCAGACCACCAGCATCCCCAACGTCTTCATGGCAGGTGGGGCTGCCCTGCGTGCCAGCGTGCGTTGTGAGCGTGGGACGCGTTGCTCGTCTCGTGTGCGGTCCCACATGGCTATGCGTGTGTTTGCACGACGTGTCGAGCAGGCCCCAACGCTGGTTTTGCACGGATCCTGGACCAGTCCAACCAACTATCAGGTACCCAAACATTCAGAAAGCCCGGCGCATTGATAGCGCAGTCGATGCCAGACAGACATGCACGCCCCGACAGACAGACAGACCGTGACAGACATGTACGTGTACCCATGCACGCCTGCCCATGCTGCCAAACGCCCGCCTGCCTGCCAGGCGACTGGGTCAAGGGTCTTCCCCACGGCGCCAATGGGTTGTCCCAGGAGCGAGCCTACGTCACCGGGCTTTCTGCCTCCAACTTGGTGATTGCCAGACTGCATGGTAGCACCAGCAGCAGCAGTGGCTGGGACCCCAAGCTGGCTGTTATCCTAGATGTGGAGCCGGATGAGCCGCATGTTGCAGCAGCCCGGGCGGCAGCACGAGGGTTTCGGGATCTGGCATCGGCGGTGGGGCTGCGGAGTCCCCTCCTTTGAAACGCAAGGAAGCACCCAACTAGGACGAATGAGGAGCCCGATAAGGGGTTTGCCCTCGCTGCAGAGTTTTGCCTTGATCTTTGAAACAATTTCTTCATTGTCTACCTAGTCCAGACAGCGGTTTGGCAGTGTAGTGCTGTCGTAGCTAGCACGTACTGGTTATGACGCTTGTTAGCAAGGCGCATGCAGCCACTGGACACCGTACTTGGGGTGCTCTTTTTACTCATGTTAGCTTAATGCGACTTCGTGTAAGCGAATAGTGCAAGTTGGCCTACCCCTTCTCTCCATTGGTTGCGTTTACTCGGCTAGCAGTGATACGTAACCTACGCATTGGTAAGAGGTCTGAGCCGTTTTTGTGGCAGATCTAACACCAATTGTAAAGATTGCTTCAGGAAAGCGTAGCTAGAGGTGTTGGTTCAACGTCGGACACGAGTGTCGGAGTAGATAGCTATATGACTGATCTCGGGCACATGTGAACTACTGTTAAGCTCAAAGCTGTAAGCGTCGGAGGCTGGGCTGGTGGCTCCAACTGACCTTGTAGCGGATAGGCAGCGTTTGGTAGTATCACGGTTAAGTTTTACGCTGGAAGACGAGGACGCCGGGCACCGCCGGATGCGTCTATCAGCATTCTTAGTAGATACGGAGGATGCAGAGGAGTATTGTCAGAGGAGAGCCAGTTGCGTACCTAGCCCTAGCCAAGGCCCTAGCTAGTAAGACAGGAAAATGAGTCCTTGTGAAACTCCCAAGGGGCGATGCCCGTATACTGTTTACAGGAGTACAGAAACAAAGATTAAATCGCAATCTGCTTCTGGGACAAGGGATGATCGTACTCCCATACAAAGCTGGAAGTCGTCTTGTACCTTGAAATGTCCTTACACAAACGCGCTTGCGTTGCGTGGTTAATACTGCTAAACACTTTTGTTGACGTCCATGTCGTCCAGACGTCCTTTCACTGCGTTACGTCCCGTGCTCGCCACAAAACGCTGACTGTCGTTTCTGAGTTTCAATATGGAAGATATACATAGGGGTTGAGGACATTACTATCCTAGAACTGCGCCCAGCAAACGCGCCGCGGTACTCGTCTCAGTCAGGTCTCAGGTGGACCCGAAGGTCCCAAGCAACAGCACAGAAATCATGACAAGTATTATAGACAAGGGTGTTGATAGTCATCTCCGTGATCGAGAGCGGCTGTCTTTGGCTCTACCTCGCGCCGTCTACACGCACCAGTTCCAACGCGGAGTAAGTGGTCCTAATATCCTTCCTATTATGCGTGTGCCTGAGTGTCTTTAACGCGCCACTTGCAAACATCTGCAAACGGTGTATGGCCTTCACCATCATATTTTGCCCGTTACCCTCCACAGTTGACGTCTCAACTGAACAACACAGTGAATCCGCAAGACGTCATTTCAGCAGCCATAGCGTCTAGAGCGCGTGACATACACGAACAGCGCAAATGCGTTACAGAAGAGACGAGACGGGCGCAGCAAAGGCTCAGGCGCGCGCCCGCATCCTTCATCGCTGGCCGCAGCCGTCATTTAGGCAGCCTCCATGACGCCATCCTACACCACCGTGAAGACAATGATGGAACTGACAGCGATGGGCCCAGCGAGGACATAACGGGCTTCAACGACAATGATGATAGCGATGTCGATGACGGCGATTCCCCCAGTCATGCAGCGTCCAAAAACTACACGTCCCCACACCCGACGTATGGCACGGACACTAACCGCAGCCCATTCCTCAGCATTAAGAGCAGCTCTTCCCAAGTCAACGTCCCCAATACCACCGCTGCCACCGCCAACAGCGACGATGAAGTGAGTGAGCTCTCCTCTTTGCCCGCAGCCGGAGGCAGCAGCACGCCACGCAGCAGCTTGCTGCTGCCTTCGCTCTCTCTTGGCCGCAACACCCTCAGCAGCAGCTCCCCGTATCAAAACCGAGCATCGGGAGGGGGTTCTTCCTCCACCTGGTACATGGAGGGGCTACCCAGAGGCTCCCCCGTCCTTACCCGCCGGGGCCACATGTCCTGCAGTGGTGCCGCGCCCACACCTGCGCCTGCTGGCGGCGCCAGCGGCAGCGGCATCAGCAGTGTGGATTCACTTCCCCCCATGCAGCCAGGCCGGCTGGTGCGCACGCACATGAGCCAGAGCACGTCGGGAATTGCGCTCATGGGAACCATGGGTCGCGATCGGGACCGGGAGCGGGAGTCCCAGACATCTGCCATCGCTAGCACTGACGGTGCTGCCATGGGAACGCACGCAGGCAGCGGCGGCGGAGGTTGCATCTCCCGCACCGTGTCACGGCAGCTGTTGTCTCCCCTTGCTTCGCCGAGCAGGGCCAGCTCTGGAGAAATCCGCGAGCACAGCACCCACCGGGTTACCATCTTGGATACCCATGTCAGCGCCAATCTCGGCAGCAGCAGCAACGACAGCAACAACAATAATATTAGTACCGGCAGCAGCAGCATGCTCAACAGCCACGGCGGCACCCACCATCACCACCACCTCCCGCAACAGCAGCAACGCCGCCTTCACAAGTGCAGCAGCAACGCCAGCAGCAATAGCAGCGGGAGCAACAACAGTGGCAGTAGCATGGTCGGCCTGACGCCGCGGGTTAGGTCTTTCTCCTCCAACGGCTTCCTACTTAATGCGGCTCTGCGTGCCACGAAGGCGGGTTTGGAACCGGACCACTCGGCTAGGGCGCCGTTTCTGAAGCACGGGATGTCACCATTGCAACACGGTGCGTCGGCAAGCAGCCTTGGTGTTGGTGTTGGCAGTTTGAATGGGCTGTCCTCTGGGGAGGGCTCTGGCAGCCTGAGTTAACGGAAGAAGGGCCGTGAAAAGCCCCACGACTGTGTTGGCATTTGAGGGGGCTGCATGCGCACAGATACGCGGTGATAGCACAATGACGTGGATTTTAATGATTGTGTAAGGTTCGGCTCTTGAGCAAAGGTGTGCACGGTTGTTTTGCGGCAGATTAAGCGGACATACGGATGTGCATGTGTCTACGCAGGCGGGGCGACAGGCAGCCCTGCTTGTCTCGCTGCTGCGTATGACGCGGCTGCGGTGTGTTTTGGCGTGTCTAATGGCGTGCCTAGGTAATGGCTTGCCACCTTTGCGTAGCTGTGTTCAGACAGCTGGGGTTAGGTTGACCGCCGAATTGTATTGATGAGGGCTGTAGGAGTAAGCGCCAGAGCGCTGCTTGTGTTGGAAGCCACCTGACTGTGCGCGGGCAGCTGGCCCCCTGGAGAAATTTGATGCTCGCATGACAGCTGGTTGGTTGGGCGGCATTCCGTTAGGCTGTTGTGGAAGTCTTCTGTGTGGAAGTCTTCAGGGCCTGCATTGTGACATTGCGTTACCCTGTGGTTAGTTCCATGTGATATGAACGGTGATGGCAGTGATGCTTTCAGTATGTGTGATTCGTTAACACAATGAATGAACTGATGAGATGCGAAGACACCTACCTTGACTGGTTGCCATCCTTGTGTTGGGCTTTTAGGTTCGGCTGCTGACATGGCTGCCGTGAGGGCAAAGCTGGTCGCCTAGCTGCGTTGAGGCAAGGGCATCGTGTCGTACACGGGTCCGTATGGGCTGGAATGGAGCTGAGCATTCATCGTGTTTAAGATTTAATGCGTGTCGCGGTAATGCATTGGTGGTGGTTGAAAGGAAGGTAGCAGGTGAATGGGGTAGCGGGGTAGGTGGTTGGCCCGCTGTGTTGCGGGTCACACAACAGATGGTCCATGAAGCTGGCCAGCGTTGTAGGAGATTGGAGGCGCTGGGCTGGGTTTTGTAAGGGAAGTAAAGCTTTGGACGGTAATTCTCTTCCTGGGCCGTTTGTCCAGGCCAGTAACTAGCTATGCTTGATGCTTCTGGCGTTGTGAGCACATTTGTCACGGTCGGCTTAGCTGCCGGTAGGCCTTCTGTGGGCCGTTGTATGTGTCACTATCCACACAGGGCGTAATGCGAGGCTCTTGTGTCGTGTTGGGAGTGTTAGAGGTGTGCCTTCCTTGCCGGGAATTAGCATATTTGCTGGTCGGGACTTTGCCCAGGTTCCCTGGCCGCCTCCCTCGATAATGAGGAGGTATTGTATGCATGTATCATCATGTTGTATGCTTGCTGTATTGCACTGGGCGTCGGAGGGGCGAAGGCGTGCTTGCCGTATGCGCCTGTGTTGACCTATGAAAGAATAGTTGATGCCTTTATTTAACATTGCCATGTACACGCAAGCCATGTTGGCTTCATTCTCCAGACCCATGGGTCTTGCCTCACGGGAGGCTCTGCTGCACTTGGTGCATTGGGTTGCCTTGGCTTCCCCTGACGTCCTGTTTGGCACGTTCGACTTGGCTTGGTGTTACATAGTAGGAAATATTTGCTTGTAGGAGTTCGCAGTTGCAGTGATGTGTGTTGGTGATTGCGACTAGGGTGTTGTATCGCATAACATGCGTAATGTAGGACCTAATAGTTTTATGCAAACGAATTTATTGTGATATTGATCCCAGTTGCTGGAGGTTGCATTATGACCATTCTTAGCACACCTGGGTTAGCCCTGCTACCAGACAGTCCGTTCATGTTGGGAACTATGATATGTACGGCATTGTCAACAAGGGAACGGGCACCGTGATTTCTCCCAATGGGGACAAACGAAGTTGTTACCAGTTGTAACGACCTTGCCAATCGCACCTCCGCTATTTGGCGTCATGCCCTGTACTACCGTAGTGGGAAGAAAACTGGTGCGTGGCCCCAGAGTAATACGGGTGGAGCTACGCCGGTGTGCATAAGCTTGGGAGTGTGGGACACGGCATGTCAAGTTTTATTACTTGCAGTTTATAAGCCACTAAAGGCAGTCAAGAATCTTTTTCACTTTGGGCTACGCTTGAAAACAATGTGTATGTGGTATTTGCGTCATCTTCTTAAGCATACCGGTACAGGGGCCAAAGTTTGGTAGCGCACAGGTCAATACTGATGACGCAAGTCACTGCAATTGGAGCAGTACCATATTAACAGTACTGATAAGGTATGCAGCCTGTGTCGGTGCCTGTGCAAAGTACTTTTGCGATGTACATTAACAATAGCTTACTGACAACTCTAATACTTAAACTAGTCACGCTGCACTAGCACTTTGTTTGCGGCCGTCTTCCGCATAAAGCATGGACCGGGTTTTCGGCTGCAATGCTTGCCCGTTAAGGGGAAGCTCGGGATGGTCCTCATTATATCTTGTTGGAATACGATGTTGTGCTCACGCTTTTGCGAGGGGCCATATCCAGTAAAGTAATGTGATAAAGTCGACAGCAACTAACCGGCAGTTGGTGCCGTACAGAGTATCTGAACGACTCCTTGCCCTCAGTAACCGGAAGCCTCTATTGCAACTGTATAACACAGACAAGTGATGAATAATATTCATGGCAATACTTAACAATCTCTGCAAGAGCATAGGCAGGGGTATGGAGGCGTCGGAGTCAGGCGCCCTTCTTCTGGGGGGGCCATTTGGAGATGAGAGAAACATGTTTGTTCTCAAGCCGTTTACAACAAAAGCGTACAAGCAAAAGGTAGGCCTCTGGGCTTCCAACTGAACTTTTACAGCTCATATGCTGAGTATGCTTTTCAGCCGCGGCATTGATATCATGTAGTTGGCATTGACCTATGATCTGTTGATCCACCGCAATTCATGATCAGCTCCTGCGGAGACAAACGGGCGTACGTGTGTGAAGTTGCAAACCAATGTGCGCCTAGTGACCACAATTCTACGTTTTTGTCATGAGTACGATATTATATATTGGTTTCTGGCATCTCGCATTTAGGCATTTCAATGCCCGCTGTCGACCGTTCCCGCATGTCGTCATGTGCTGCCATCGGCCCCCCGCAGATCAAAGCAAAAGTAAGGGGTGAAGAGACCAGCATATCACCCGAATACATCCTGCAACAGGTAGGCTGCGGTTGCGGCTACCACGGTTTACTGGGTAAAGGCACTCGGACAGTTCGCGTGTTTCTTAACACCGCGCATCTTGAAAATGGCAACTGCTGCTTTCGAAGGAGTCACACTTTTACCTGAATCCGCTAGGGAGAAGCTGTGTTCACTGCCGCAAGGGAAACAGGAGTGCCTCAAGCTGCAATTGTTTCGTCCTGAGCTGTTCAACTGTCCGCACCCTCCCTTCACTTTACACACCGAATCCAACACCCTCCGCAGGCGCGCATGACACATGGACGGAACATGTTGGGCATTTGTACTGCAGCGGACCTGCGCCAACGCGCCGTACCTGCCAGCATGATTCGTCTTCAAGCGGAAAACTATGCCTGCCAAGTGCCACAGCCGTCATTCTCGGGCTACAGCACCAGCAGTGGTTTTGGCAGCGAGCATAGACACGACCCTCTTGACATGCTTGGCGAGGATTCAGGGAGACGTCGTCGCAGGGACACGACAGCAGCTTTTGCTGCTGCAGCTGCACCTGCGACTTCCTCATCAATAGCAGGAGCAGCGACCATTGTACCTGCCACAGCAGCTGAGGTGGCATCAGTTGCAGCAGCGACTACTGAGGCTTCCACTGGAAAGGCCTTTGGGGATGCCTGCAAGCAGCAAGATGGACAGGAGGCTAGCGGCGAGCCACTAGCTGGGTCCGTTGCCGGCGGGAGCAGCAATCCAGGGAGGGAAGGCAGCAGCGCTGGTGACAGTAGTGGTAGTGATGGCAGCAGCAGGGACACCGGAGCTGTGTCGGCAGCTGCAGTCGACACGGGGCTGCTGGTCTTAGGGCAGGAAGAGGAGGGAGCGGAGGCCGAACAGCAGCAGGCGGCTGGTGAGGAGGACTGCCGAGCACATGCGGCGGCGATAGCGGCAGCCGCAGCGGCGGCGACAGCAGTAGCTACGGCGGACGGTTCGTTCCCGTTGCTATCGCTCCATCATGAGGACCACCACCAGCAACAACAACACCCTCACCCTCATCCTCACTCTCACTCGCACCACACGCATTCCCATCAGCCCCATTCCCACCAACCTCATCCCCAGCCGCACCCCGATGCGGGTGCGGCTCGGCCACCGCAGCCGCCACCAGCTTCCTCAATCCCTGCCGCAGTACAGCTCGAGCACGGATCAGCGGCGGATGCAGCAACGCTGCCGGACTCTTGTTTTGCGCGACCGAGCATCGCCCTATCCGCCGTTGGTGTAGCAACGCCAGGGATAGCGGTAGCGGAGGCAGGAGCACCAGCCCCAGCCCCAGCACCGGCACCAGGCGGCGAGGGGTGCCGTGTTGACACCCTGCTAACGCAGCTACGTCAGTTCCAGCGGGGACCCCCGGCGCCTTCCTACCTGACCGGTGGCATGGAGCGACGCACCACCACCAGCACCGGCGGCGGTGGCCGCGGCAGTAGCACCGGCGGCGGGGCCATGACCATAGACCTGCCGCCGGCGCTGTTGTTACATCAGCAGCAACTGCAGCAGCAGCAGCAGTCTGCTGGACACGCTGTGTTGTCTGTGTGTCCGGGAGTCAAGGAGCCGTTTTCTCAGCATCCGTCTCTGGTGTCCTCGCATGCGTCGGCTCTCGGCGGACTCAGCAGCGCGCCAACAGCCAACAGGGCTACCTGGGACATGCGCTCCCCGGCGTCGACGCTGACGGGAACTCCCAGCGGCGGTGTGTACGGCATGGGCGGCGGCGGTGGCGTCACGGTGCATGGGAATGGCAGCGGCAGCGGCGGCGGCCGAGGGGTCAGCGGGGAGCATTTGGTGCGCAGAGGGCGCACGCACGGCCCCAGCGGCAGCCTCACGGGGATGCTTGCGGCGCCCTCGTACGACGCTGCGGCGGCGGCGGCGCGGTACGGCAACCCAGGCGTTGTGATAATGCTGGGTGGGCCGGCGGGGGTAAGCTCCAGCGGCGACGACACCGCAGATGGCACGTTTCGGCCCATTGCCTGCAGCGGTGCCGGCGGCGCCGTTGGCAGCGGCGGGGGCGCCAACCGCGGCGGCCGTACCCGACGAAGCGCGAGCACGGGTGCTGACTTTCCCTTGTACGGCGCTCGCTTCAACGGCAGCAGTGGCGATGGAGGCGAGAGTCAAGGCGTCAGCCACGCAAGCGCGCATGCAACTCGTGCAGCGGACCGAGCTCCTCGCAACCACCGCCGGCAACCACCTCGGCAACCTGCCGAACAAAATTCTGGTAGCCCTTGCCCGAGCAGCAACGGTCAGGCATCAGCCTCAGCCGCCAGACTCCCTCCGCATGCAGCAGCATCAGCCGCGTTTGGGGGCACACCAACGGGGGCATCAGCGATGAGAGCGTCGGCGGCGGGGGTGGTGACGGAGGCGGGACGTATCGTCGAAGTTTCCTCCATTGGCCGTACTCGACTCCAGGGAAACTACTCGGCTGACCTGACGTCTCGCGTGATCGCCCACGCTAACAGCGGCGGCGACCATTCAGGTCTGCTGCTGCCGGCGGCGACCCTGACTGCAGATGGCTACGTGCCTCTACCAACGCCTCCGCCCCCGCCGCCGGCCCCCGCAGCGCAGCTTCTGCCGGAGCTGCCTTGCGCTTGTACGACAGCAGCGACGCCGACGGCGACGTCAGCGCTGGCCTCCCCGCCCAGCCCGGCGGCGATAGCTCTGTTCCGAGCGATCACGCGGGTGGACCCCGTGGGCCATAGCGCGCTGGATTACCTAGGGCCGGTGTCCGAGGGCCCTGCAACCTCGAGGGCCCTACGCGGCCCGCCCTACGCGCCGCGCCTGCTGCCCCCGCACCACCAGCGCCACCACCAGCACCGCAATCACCACCGTCATCAACACCACCAGCACCAACACCAGCATGGGCTCACCTCCTACCATTCCGTGCCCACTGCGGCGATGGCGGCGGAGGCGGAGCGTTCGCCTGCTGCTGCTCGCGGCGTGCGGGCTAGCAGCAGCCAAGTGGAGGTGAGGAAGCGAGCGGCTGCGGAGGGAGAGAGCGTGGGGGGGACTATGTACTGACCCTGACGGTGGGGTAAGGGGGTAGGAGCTAAGACGGCAGTTGCTGGTTGCCTCTCCTGTTGCTGGTTGTCTTTACTATCCATCCATCCCGCCTTCCTCTCTCAACCCATCTCTTCTTCCCCAACCCTTCTCATCACGCCGCATGACAGCTGTGCAGCCACCCCACCAAGCTTCCCAAGATCAGCTCGGCGCTTGCAGCCGGGAGCACCTCCTTTCCTGGACCCAGGAGCTCCTTGTTGGGCCATAGCAGCAGCAACAACAACACCAGCAGCCTGTTAGGCCACAAGCCACAACACGGGCAGCACCGGGATGAGACACCAAACAGCACCCAGGGCGGTGGCGGTGGTGGCGGCCACCATGCCGGTAACTTGGTTGGGCATGTGCATGGAATAGGGATGGGGCTGGGAGGGGAGCAGCAGCAGGTGGTGAGTGGCTGGGGCGGAGGTGTGGCGGGCTGTGCGTCAGGGCAGGGCGGTGCGGTGGCAGGCGAGCTGCGGAGAGGGCAGGCGGCGGGGAATCAGGAGGATGGCCTGGCGTCTAAGATGCGAGGGCTGTTCCATTTGCTCAAGGGGTCTTGGCAGCAGGAGGAGCGCCAGGATTGACGCCGGGGTGTGCTGCTTTGGCGGTCGAGGTGTTGCGACGAGATGTGTTGTTTGATCATGTTCAGTAGCATGCAGAAGGTTTGAGGAGGTTGTGGGGGGGCGCAATACAGGCATGGGAAGGAATGTGACCGTGTGTGGTAATGAATATGACCACGTGTGGTATTGGATGTGCATGTGGCTGAGTCGTTGGTATATCATGTTTGAATGGGAAAAGCTAACCATGCGCGTGCTTTAGACATACTGAAAAGACGGTAATGAGAAGAAAACTGAACATGAGTGATAGCGGCCTAATAAGCTGCACTTCAGCTTCGGGGCGTGCCGCGTGGGTATGTGTTGGGCGGCGTTAGTTGACGATGAAGAGTTGAGTTGGGTTACGTTTTTTGGTTGAGCGCCTTCTGGGGCTCATGACTGTTGCATACGAACAAGAGTGCAGTTACCTGATACCCGGGTACCAAAGGTCAGCCTAAAAGAGCCGGGGGGAACAGTTGGGTGGCTGTCGCTAGGTGACACTGCTTGGCCAGCCGTTGCATGCATGCAGAAATGCACAACATGATAATGAAAGATGAAGAAGAAGTAGTGTTTCTGTATCTGTCATTATTCTCCCATTTGTACTATGTATTACCTGTTCGTACTTTGCCCCTTGGTAGGTGTTGATCGTGGAATAACGCGGGCCATGACACTTTGACCCTTGCTAACTGACTGGACGTTACATGAATGCGCACATGGCAGGAACAAGGCACCTGTGGAGGTACGACAAACCCTAAAACCCGCCTTCCGGTTCTCGTTTCTTGATGTTGGGGTTCGTTATAGGGCTCAACACGAAGCCATGCGGGCGCAGGCGATGTCCCCGTCTTGCGCTGCGTGCTATCTCTCTATCACTCCCTTTCCTCGGCTTGTGGCATTGACCGTGCGGCCTTCTAAGGCAGACAATGTGGTGCTGACTGGCATGATAGCGGTCGTCGCAAGTAAGGCCTCTCTGGTTGTGCTCTGATACATGCTGCATGCGTGCGCAGGGCGTAGGGCGCCATGCCTGAGGGGAGGCCAGTCACAGAGGTGATTGCGGGGAATGGCGAGTGGGGGGTGTTTGCGGCTTGGTCTTGGGTTTGTGTCGATGCGCAGCCAAGCCTGGTACGAACCCTCAGTGGCGGGGCAATATGTTTGGCTGTCTGGAAGGCAGCTACGCCGCTGTCGTACCCGGGGGGTGTTGGTAAAGCTTAGTAAGCATTGTTGTACACATTATGCATCTGTACCGCGCGTCTAAGTGTTGGGTGGACTCGTTTTATGTGCTAAGGCCAGGTGGAAAGGTGGAAACAATAAAGTGTTTGCCGCTGTTCATAATATGGAAGGAACTGCAGGCCTTGGTTGAGCGTGAAGACGGTGATTTCTAAGGAGCATCGAAGCATGGTATGGCGTTCCGACATGATAGACGCTTGCTGTTTGCGGCACCTTTGCGTTACTTTGCCGCCCTGCCTTCTCGAAACAATGACGGCGTGTGAGAGGACGAACAACAGTAACCGGAAAGCATTTTCTAACTTATATGCGCCGTACAATTGGCGTCAGCACATGCCCTGGACCTGCCTTGTTTTCTGCGTCTTGGTTCCAACTGGGCATGTGTGTACGGCACTCTTGGCTTGGAGATGCAGCGAACCAAGGAACTGTTGTGGTGCATGCGTGAGGGAATTAGACCCAGATCAGCCCCAGAGCTGCCTTTTATGTCCAATTTTGTACAGCAGGTAGCCCCCTTGGAGCCTGCCGAGAGATGAGAGAGCAGTGTGTTGGGACGCCATGTTTAGACGTGGTCGAATGTGTAGAGGACTGTGATTTGTGGTCATGGCCGCTTTCAGCGTGAAACAAAGGGCGACCTGTTAACTGACACGCTTGGGCGCACTTGTATCATGGATGGAGTGAAGTGAGCAGTGTTGCGGTGGGCAGATCCTCATTCCCTGCTCGGTAACAGGTGTGTAGGGGACAGCCTCTGACATGGCAGGACAGCCTCTGGCAGCATGGGTTCCGTCGACTGAGCCTCGTGGTCTACGGTACTGCTGTTAATAACTGGTTAAAGGTTGCAATGGTGCGCGCTGCTGTTAAATTTCGCTTGCCCCTCCCGTATCATCCGTGATCGTCCCATGGGTCTTGAGGTGGCATGTAGCTGGCCCCTCTTTCTAGGCGGCTTGGTATTTCTGCCTGCCTCATGTAATGTAGCAAAGGAAACAAAAGCGCTGACATGTTACCATTGGGATGTGCAAGCATGCGTTCGTTCAAGTAGCGCCTGAAGAGAGAGTGACAGGCGACACATAGCAGCTAGACGTTGCACGTAAACCGAGGTGTATCCTTTTCAGGCAACCCTGTTTAGACAGCATGATGGCTGGTATGCAGACTTCAGTCGCGGTTGACACCAAGAGCTTTGCTGCACAGCACAAAATGCAATCCTCTTGAAGAAAGCTCCAACGAACCGCCGCGGCGATTTGTTGGTTCCGGTTGGGTACGACAAATCCGAAGAGACGTTTGGGGCGTAGATTCCTAGCTCCCGTAGTTAAGCTTACAATTGACATATCTTTAATTGCCTAAGTAATTTGGATACTAAGGACAATTTAAATTTAGGCCTGCGGAACCAGAGTTAGAGAAGTCGAGTAGAACGGACACGGAGAACCTGCACTTTCAACGACGGCTTTCTGCAGCAAGTTTAACAACTATATAATCTATGAAGAGCGTTTACTGAAAAGGTAGGTCAAAGGCTGGAAGGAGTAAGATGAGCACGGGGTATCGACTGTTACGTGCGACAGATATCCAACTATGCAAGCGTAGTGAAGTCGCGGGTTGGGCTCTTTGCTTTGAAAACGATATGTAAAGGAATTGAGGATGTCGCCTAGGCTACGCGCCTGTCGGTATTCCCTTTCGCATGCTTACTTTCTTAGCCACTCACAGACTCACCGTTCCTTAAAGTTAATGGTCACCTCTGCAAGCTACAACGATTTCCACTATCTCCACTTTCCTTTCCAAGCGACGGTTGGTTTCACCCTGGTAACGCTGGCTAGGACTTGACGTCTTCTCCTCTGCAACCCTTTGCCCGTCTTCCCCTCCCTAGCGTGTCTACCGGCGGATGAAGGGCCTGAAGGACGCGAAAGAGGACTCTCCGAAACTGAGCACGCCAGGAGAGGTGTTCCGGCATACTCTGCGCTCTCACGCAGCCAACATGGCCTCCCTTCGGACGGGCGACGGAGACTGGGGGCAGACGCCTGGCAGACCCACGGGCCGCTTCCAGTATGAAGATCTCCCTCCGTACGACATCTCATACGACTTGGATGACATCAAGGACAATAAAGATGAAGACGTCGGCGATGAGAGCGATGAGGACGATGACAAGGCGGGGGGCTTATGGGCCAAAAGCGAGAAAGGCGACGAAGATGAAGATGTGGAGTTGTTGTCCGACATTGACGAGGATGCCCTGGAGGCGACCCTCGCAAAACGAACAACCGTCATAACCACCACTACCACCACCATCTGCAACAGCGACGGCAGCAACGCCAAGACCTCCGTCACAACCACCGGCTCCACTCCAACAGCCACCACCCGCAACGGTCGTAACCAATCTGGCAGTCGAGACCGGGACAGAGGCTACCTGCGGACCCCAGCCGGCAGGGCATCTCCCTCGCCCCCACCCCCACACCCTCCTGTTCCCAGAACTCCGAACAACAGCACCGACAACGGCAGCAGCAACATCCACGGCACAGGCCGCTGCGGCACGCCGAGTGCTGCCAGCAGTCATCGGGCCGCCACGTCCACCTCCACGTTGCCACCAGTCAGCAATCGAGGAAGTCACAGCGGAGGCCACACGGGCTGGTCGTCTAGCGGCTGGGATGGTGGAGGCAGCGGCGGCGGCGGGAGCAGCTGCAGCGGTGGTGTGCATGTGGTGGACCAGTTTAACATGGGCAGTGGCGGGGGAGGCAGTAGTGTCAGCGGTGCCGGCGGCGGTAGCTGCAGCAACCTGCCTCGTACTGAGCACATGTTGGCAACCCTCAGGGGCATACGCAGCCCCGCAACAGCAGCAGCAGCAGCCGCATCGCCCGCTTCAAACCCCTCCTCACCATCCTTAACCCAGATATCCGCGTCGGTCGCGGCGGAAGATGCCGCCAACCAGCGTGCGGCCGCCCAACGTAACCTAACCACCTTCCCCGGCTACCCCGGACGAGCCGCAGCGCATGGATTGCCGCTGCCGCCGCATCCTCCGCCCCATCCGCCGCCATCTTCACAGTCCTCCCAAGGCCCTCACGCGCCCGCCTCCCCCAAGCTCCCCGCCGCCCTCCGTGGCTATCAGCAGGCTCCAACCAGCCCCGATGGCGCCAGCGTGACAGCAACCGGCGCCTCGCGCTTCGGCAGCAACGGTGGCGGTCCGGGATCGCCGTCGCCCGCGCCGTCATCGCCTGTGTACATGCCACGTCAGCTGATGAACGCCGTGGCGGCGGTGACGGCGGCGCAAGACACGCTGTTTCGTCGTGCGACACCGCTTACGACAGCCAACACGCCATCTTCGTCTCCCAGCCGCCGGCAGTTCCGGTCGGGCAGCAACCCAGGCTGCGCCATGACCGCGACAACGGCTCGGCCAGACGCGCTGCTGCATGGCGCCGGCGCGAGCGGTCCCGCTGCTGCTTACCCATCTATGGATTCGCCCCAGTTCGACGGCAACGGCGGCGGCGGCGGTGACGCCAGCATGAGTGGAGGCATAGAGGAGGGCGAAGGAGTAGATGAGAACGGCGTGCCGTTGGTCACCCTGAGATCCGGCACCCCGCGCAACAAGCACCGCGGCGTAGCGGGCACCGCCGGCGGCGCCACGGGGCAGCCGCCGCTGCGGCCCATGGCGACGTCAGGCGGCGGCGGGCCCCCGGCTGGCGTTAAGCTGCCGCCGACGGTCGGCAGCGCATGGGGCGGCACCGCAGCCGCCGCCGCGCCTGAGTCCCAGACTGTCCCCTGGGGGGCGTCGTCGTCAAGGAAAGCCGCCGGCGGCAGTGGTGGCGGCGGCGGTCCACTTCCTCGCGCGACGACACCGCAACTGGCGGCGGCGGCCACTCCAGCCGCACCGGAGGAGCTCTTTACACTCGTCAGCCGCAGCCCGGCTCGCACTGCCGGACAGCAGGAGTGGGTGCATACGATTGAGTTGCCGCCAAAGGTTGCCACCGTGCCAGCCTTTGCGGTGGCCTCCTGTGGTGCCAGTAACTACACACCGCGGGGCAGCCCGAAGCTGGGTGCCGCGACGACGGCGGCTGCTGGGGGCGCTATAGATGGTAACGGAAAGGGAGGTGCCGACAGTAATGGATCCGGCGGCTTCGCCAGTGGAAGCTGCGGAAAGAGGGCGCCGCTTGCTGCGCTGCAGTTACCGGTTGCTATGGGACCCCCTCAGGTAGGTGCAGGAGGGATATGGGGTGTTAAATTTGGGCCGGACCGGCCGGTCATGTGCCGGACACGTGTATGAATCGCAAAGAGGGCAAGTTGGGAATAAGGCTGACGACCCAACAACGTTCCCTGCCGCAAAGGAACCTCCATAACGCTTAGTAATGCTGTCCAGTGCCTTGACCATCGTGTAGACGTCCTGCCGCACGGGTTATGGCATCTGGATACGGCCAGCAGCTGCACTACTTGACCTTTTACCCCCAATCTAGCGTCACATTTCCTGTTGGGTTGCAACAGCCTCACGTTCCCAACCCCAATGCCCGTGCGTCATGCCACCGCAGGAGCCCCCAACTCCCCGGCAACCGCCGGCTAACCGACTTGCAGCCGCCTTCGGCGCCACTCCACCCACCACCCCTCCCGACACCGCCGCTGCCTCTTCTGCAACCAACCCTTCTCCCGAGTTGCACCCGTTTGAGTTCCCTAGCACCAAGTTAAATGCCCACTGCCACCGTCTGCCTGCCCTTCCCGAGAACTACGCGCAAGCCTTCGCAAGTGCGAGCGGCGTGCGTCGGAAGAGCCGGGTGCGAGCGTCCCTCAGCTGGACGAGCGCGGGCACGTGCGCGTCAGACGTACAACTGCAGCAGCGACTGCGACCCAATGCGCAGGAGGAACTGCAGTCGCCAGTGACCCACGGGTCAGTCGGTGACGCGGCAGAGGATACAGCTGCGGATGATATCGCAACACACATGGGGTTGGATGGCAGCAGGGAGGCTGATACGAGGGAGGCGCAGCGAAGGCCCACCATTGCAGAAACGGTGGGTGTAGCAGCGGGGGCAGCGGAATCTCTTTCCGATTCCTTTGTTCAACACAAGCGCCTGCCAGATGACCACGAGCAGCAGCAGTTCGACGGATTCAGCATCATCGGGCCCACCAAGCCGCGTGGCGGTATACCCAAGAAGCCGCGGGAGTCCCGCGCTGCGACCCACGATGGCGTGGCTTGGCAGGATTCGGAGGATGGTGTTGCTTGGAAGGTGGTAGACGCTGCCGTCATAAGCTACGGGGGTGGTGCTGTTGTTGCTGGGGGCGGAAGTCTAATAGCCGGCGGGGCGCCTGACGGTGCCTACATAGGCAACGGTGGGCACGACGGGGCTGAAATACAGCCAGTAGCGACGGCGACTGTGCTTCCGCTTGTTGTGGCGGGTCCGACTGAACAGAGCGGCTCAACAGCAGCATCAGCAGGAACGGGGCCATCAGCAGGCGAGCAACCGGGGCCTGCGACCGCCAAAACAGCTGCTGCAGTTTGTGCCTCCGGCATAGAAGATGTCAGGCAGAGTCTGCTGGAGAAGAACTTCAGCAACCACACCTATGTGAGTGATTTCAGTGAGGGAAGTGCGCGCGCAAGTATTTGCTCTCCACCGGGTCCCGAGGGCCATGAAGGGGATGGCGTGATGAGTCGAATGTGCAAGGCGCTGGGGAACCTTTGGCAGGAGGCTGTTCATAAGTGATGTGGCTGTTTGTCACCTGTCACCTAAGGACGGTTATGAGAGGGAGCATAGCGTGCAGCAAACATGCACGACGACACGTTCACAAGTACGGCAGAGTACGTGAGCTTGAGGGCTGTCAGCGAGGGCAAGGACTACTGTACATTAATGTGTTAAACGACTAGAATGACAACCTTCAAGGGTTTTAGCGCTAAGAGCCGCGAGTTGTTCCAGGTTGGTTGCATTGCGGGTGCTGATGTATATGGGTGGACAGTGGTTGTGAATACATGTGTGCGTTTTGCTGCTAAGCAAGCATCAGGATAGTGTACGGCTCTGGTGCTCTGACATGACGTGACGCGAGATGAGGCATAGCATTGCCATGACGTTGAACCACTGCAATGTGGATTCTAGGGGAGAGTCCTGTTCAGGAAACGAGCCGTGTGTGCCAAAGTAATAACCGTGCGCGTATGCCGTGTAGGGTTGTTCAGGCCGCCGGGACTTGAGGGTACCGTATACAAGTTCGGGTATGCAAGGATGCAACAGTATGAAACCAAAGACAATAATGATACGACGGAAGCAGTACACACGAGGGGCTGCATGGGCGCTATAGTATTTTGCCATGAGCCGACTTTGGCTTTGGAGGTTGACGCAGGAGACTGCGAGGTCCTAATCGATGGAGCTGTGTGTTGCATGCATGAATGGCACATGTTACAAGGGAAGGATGCTTCCTGCACTCCTGCGGTCCCTTCCCCAGGTCCGGTGCATGGCAGCCTGGCTGTGATCGTCAGCAGCTAGCCCTGTTCCCCCCTCCACCACACTCTCATTGTAGAGCCCCCCCTGAGGCTACAATGTCGCTCTTCCTTCCCGCACCAGTCGCGAAGCTCTGAGAGGCCGTTCGTTACAGCTTGAGCCGCCAGCCTCGAGCGTTCAGGAACACTGCCACGACGCACACGAGGGTAATGTAGGCGCCTGCAGTGGGAGAGACGCGTGTGGCAGGTAGCTGACCAAAACGCCTACGAAGTTCGTGCCAGGTCCGGCCGAAACCCGTCCCAAACGCACACCCCAGAGACACCGGCCGGGGGTTTCTCTGGCCCCCCAGGCCAGAGGGGCCCCCGAAAAGAGCCCCAAACAAAGGGGCTCTGTTCGGGGCCCCACAAAGCTGACCTATCAGTCAGACCCACCGAGCAATGCCCTGGCTGGCCGATCCGGAACCTGAGAGGCAACAAGCGGTGGAGTATAACAGAGTGAGCACAAACGATGATGAGCACTGTGGGATGCAGCCTAGATTCCAATACATAGGGACGCAGCTTATAACTGTCAGGCACCAGCTACAGAGGCCCATGGCTTCACACGGCTCTGCACCTCCTACGAGTACATGGTGCGGCTATCGCATGTGCTTGTACGGGAACAGCGAGCTAGAAAATCCACGCAAACAGTCACAAACGCTAGGGGCCCTACCTGTAGCGTATTCATAAACAAGTTCACAGCCCCGGTGAGGAGGTTGGCAAGCAGGAATACGGCTAACTGATTGCGGTTGATGGCCTTTCGTACATGTCGTACGTGCCGCGCATGCCGTACAAACAGAGCGCCGCCCATGTTGCAAGTTGAACCGAGCACGATCCGAACACATCGTCGTCGCGGCCAGCAAGAGTGGGAAAGCCGTGGTTAATGAGGACGAATACCAGCTTGCCGAGACGGCTGTTGTACGACAGTGATATTGGCAGAACGCACCACACCCCAACAAACGGGTCGCCGGGCGCTTCCAGCTACATTGCAACGAAACAAAAGCAGCGCTTTGTATACCCCTACCCTCTAAGCAAAACGCCGACCAGCAGCCACCCCCGTTACCCGTCTTGCCCGCCCTCATTCCCCACACCACCTGCAAGACCAGCGGGCCCCAGCTATCTGCCGAAGGAGGAGCGCGGGAAGGAGGAAGCTGCGGTGTTGGTGTTGATACCCTTCCTCCATCTCCACAACCACCCCCAGCAGGGCCGACGGGTCCAGCAGTAGCAGATCCTCCTCTCCGACTGGCCGCTGCTGATGCTGCTGTCGTGGCTGAGCCCGCCACGCCATTCCCGGCCGCAACCACACCACCGGAGATGCGGCCACCACCCCCACCAGCTGCCCTTCCCTCAGCCGCCTGCATCGCACCGCTCATTGCACCGTCGCTGCCTCCGCCGCTGCTACCGCGGTTACTGTTGCCGTTGACGTTACCGTTGCCGCTGCCGTTGTCTCCGCGGCTGGTGTCCCCGCATGCCCCTAGAGCGGTTTGCAGCGCTTGCCCCAGCAGCAGAGGCAGCGCCCAGGCCACGCACTGCGCTGCAACCCACATTACGTAAGCCGCGTTGCAGGACCTGCGGGCGTGGTGGGTGGTAACGGCGTGGATTGGGGAAGAGGCATTAAAGGAGGGGAGTGGAGGCTTGGTTTGGTAGTAAAGGCAGGGTAGTACGGGTAGTTAAGAAAGCTGTTGGGAGGCAGTACTGTCAGGTGTTCATGCTGTCGTACACGGTGGCCGTACGATGCCGTACATGTTCTTGACTTACCTCCTCGAGATCGGCTCCACATATGCTTCCAGCGCCGCGACTGCGACCCACAGCAACCCATCAGCCGCCGCAAAGTGTAGCACGCATCGCAGAAGCGGTGCAACAGCGGCAACGCGCATCTTCACATCCTCAAGCCACCATTCCCGGTGGTGCTCCCTGTCTCCCCGGCGTCCATCGCAGCTAATTCCTGTTCCTCCAACCTTAATGCCGCCACCTTCAACTCTCTTCCTGGCGACCGCTAGTGGAGGCGGCTGCGATGACTTTGGTACGGCTGCCGTACGACGAGTCTGTCGTACAGCGGATTGCAATGCGAGATGCGTGTGGTACGACAACGCAGCGCCCCACAGGTACAGGGCCCAGAAACCGATGCACGACACCAGCCCCTCCTTGTTCAGGCTGATCAGGTCAGAGTCGCGATGCGGCGACATGACCCATGGGCCCAGGCCGCCTGTGCAATTCCCGTCCGCGGGTTAGGAGTGAGGATGAGGTGGAGTGCGTGTCAGACAGGAAGAGCAGGGCCGAAGATCGCGTCACTAAAGGTGAGGAAAGCGTCTACATGGCTAGTGAAGGCGCAATGGGAATACCTGACCGGCCCCGTCTAACCCTAACCCTCACCCGCTCACCTAGCGACAGTGCCGCCTGGTGCGCCGCTGTGACCGCCACTGCGGCCGGCAGCAGCGCCCGGCTCGGCGGCGGCCCCAGCCGCCCCAGCAGCGAGACCAGCGAGATGGTGGCGAAGAAGTTCCAGTGCACGCCGTACTCGCCCACGTGGGCCTGATGTACGACAAATATGTAAAACGCGTTGTGTAGGGCGCGATGTGCGGGATGCAATGTGCAGTGCGATATACGACGCGATGTGTGATGCATACTGTGGTGTGCGATATGCGTTACCATGGGGGGATGAGGTAGGCGGCATGTATGTTTGGGTTCAGCGGCCGCCGCCCGAGCTGCAGGGTGGTGAGCTCAAATGACACACACATCGTTCAGCCTCCCGTTATCCATCTCCCCACCTCCCTGCCCACCTCTATCCTCACCAACCTGGTAATCCACGGCGCGCACGCTCAGCAGCCGAGCCAGAGCCAGCACCCAACACGCAGCCGCTGCTCTTAGACTGGCGCACACCCTCCGCCACCTGCGCCATGCGGTAACCGGTGCTTGTAAGCGACCCAGAGCGACCCACGGGTCATCCGGCACCAACAGCGTGCCCATGCATGCACCTTTGCGGCGCGACTTACAGAGGTTCGGGCTTCCAAGCCCCTGATGGGCCGCCTAGGCTGTCCGCTGCGGGCCCTGCCGCTGCCAGGCTGACTGCGCCCGCAACCAGGATGATCCCTCCCACACCCAAGTCCATGTAGCCTGTGTGAGGGCGTGGGGGTAGTAATTATGTCAAGATGTAGGGACGGAAGTGTGTTGCGGCAACACAAGGAGTCTTTCGCCAGCAATTCTGTGAGATGGATGATCGCACTGCAATGCTATTAGCCACAGTTGGCATTTGGCTGAGTAGTGGAAAGCCATTGCATGACGAAACATGGACTTGCTTCGTGTCATCATGTGTGTGGGCAATGCGCTTACTTGGGTTTCCACACACCACTCGCCTGTGCCGTACACCTCCGTTTTGGCGTATCGCCGTGGAAATGTACGGAAGTCCACCGCTAGAATGCTGATGCAGGTGGCCAGCATGAGAGCGCCTCGGAAGACGCTCAGGAAGCTGAAACGGCGCGACAGGCAAGCAGCGGTATGGCAGGGGAAGATGATGTGGTGGAGTCGACAATGAGTATGAGGTTTGCAAACTCAGTTAGGAGCATTGCAACACGGCTTTGCATGCGCGTTGGTATGTACCATTATGGGATGCCAACATGCGGTACCGGTAGGCGTCGTTAGGTACAACATCTGGGTCCCCCCCCTCGCACTGCGTAAGTACATATGACGCAGACCCCCGAGGGATTAAGATCTCACTCTTCAAGCCTCCAAGGTACCTTTTCCGTTTGCCGACGAGGTCATCTAACCGCAGTGCTCGCTCTGCATGTGTACGGTCCGGTCGTACGACAGTCCATAACAGGCAAGCGGTCGCCAAGAGCAGGCAGGCGGCGAATGTTGGCCCCAAGGGGATTGCCTCAGTGCAGAGGAGCAGGTGTGGGGATACGATGATCGCCAGTTCCAACACCAATCTGGAAGAACGGGTGTGTAGTTGAGCAGAAACAAGAGCAAAGGTGTGTGTGTGCTCGGCCGTTGGTTTCGCCGGTACTTTATGCGACCGCATACACTGACTGTTATATCTGTAGGCAAACACCGCGAAGCGACACCTACCTGCGCATCGGGGCTTTTGCACGTGTCGCATGCTCGCCTGTAAGTGGGACATGGCGAAAGTTATAACTAATCGTGGCGCTTCCAGTGCATAGGTTCCCACAATATGTTCGCTTACAAATGATCACCGTCAGCGGGAGCGTCGACGTAAGGGCGAAGATTTCGAGCTTTGAAGTGCCCGTCAAACCCGTAACAAATTCCTCCTTCGCTGCCTTGTAATCCATTTGCTGAAGGTGCTTTATTTATTTTTCGCTGTTTCCTTTTACAACCCTAAGGGAGAAGTTATGCAACCGGCTTGGAATTAGTCAGCTACTTTTCGTTTACTTTCCAGGGACCGCCTCTTTATCCAGTGCCGCGTGTATCAAGCGTACATCTTTGGCCAATCGCCAAGCATGGCGTCTTTTCGCGCATAGCGACGGGATCCACTGGAAGTGTCTGATCTGCGCGCATACGGCACGACGGCTCACACACATCCAACTAGGCCTTACCATTTATTCGGAAAGGTCAGCGGGCCATGAGCTCACGGCATCTCTGGGCCTTACAATCCCTAGGCTTTTAATACTCGCTTCCTCCCGGTACCCATGACAGCTTGCCAGGCACCATATGCTAACCTCGAGTCAACCACAGCCTCGCATTGGCACGTGTGCGAACCCCCCACTGACCTAGAGCTGCATGCTACCCTGTCGCCACAGTTCTTCAGCTTAAGCAGCAGCTCCCAGCCCCACACAGCAACCCCTAGTTACTGAGGCTGCTGGGCTGCTCGTCCGGAGGGCGGATGCGCCTCCGGCCTGCATGGGGGACCGTGTTAGGACCGTGTCAGTTGAGCCCCCTTGGGCCTTGAACCCCTTAGCGGAACCATCCAGCACCAGCACAGCCTCCACGCCTCAGTAACAGCTATCCAAGCAACCCAAGCCGGTACTGCATCCCCATCATTGTCCACATGTGCAAACCGCAGCACGTGGTTGTGGCTATAGGCTTCCATTGCTGACGTTCGGCTTGAGTGAAGGCACCGCCCATTCTGCCCCCTGCAGCAGGTTTGGCTTCTCCCAAGTTAGTTGCGCGGCCACGCAAGGCCTGCTATGCCGGCTTACCGGTACACGGCTGCCGATTGCAGCTTGTTGATTGCATGTGATGGGCCGTGGGAGTGGTATTTTGGGCTGCTGCCGGTACCGATGTCGTGGCGCTGGTAACGCTGGTGTCTTGCTGCTGTCCGGGTGTATAGCTCCCTCGGGGAGTGTGCAGTCAAGGCGCCTGCTGGTCTCTCCATGAGGGCATGCGCCCCACCGGTATCACTCGGTTGAGGGGCTCGCGAGGGGCTTGGTTACATGGGCGCGAAGTGGGGCAGGCGTTACACACCCGCCGTCAGGACCATGCAGCAAGGGGGTGATTAGATAAACTGGGGGTGGTCCTTAGGAAGGGGAGGCGGTGGATGCCAAAGAAACAAGGCAAGGATGCGGCAACCAACCCCCGATGGCAATGCCAGGCCAGGCTTAAATGAGTGGTATCAAGATAATGTCCGCAGTGCGAGTCGCATGCAAGAGGGGTTTCCAAAAGCATGGTCCATTACGCAGAACAAACAAACGAGTCGCACCCACAGCCGCAACTGCAGCTTCGCGCCGCGCTCGGTAACTAAGCGCGGTAACTCCATATGAATCCCCAGCTACGCCACACCCATACCTCGCAGCTCTGCGAGGGGTGCAACAGCCGCTATCATTACCGGCATTCGAGGCTGCAACTGCAGCCGCCAATAACCTTCACAAGCCACATCAGCCAGGCAAGAGGCGCACTCTGTATTAATCGTGACGGAAAGCATGTGAGGAGGCCCAACGACAGGTTATTCCTCAGCACGGGCGCGTGAGTTCTCAGCGTAATTATTGGCAAAACATGGAACGCATCGCACGCGCATGTAAACGTTCCGACCCGCAATCCACCTGGTAAGAAGCAACGACAATAAGGCAGTCGTGCATCTCTGCAGTTGTAGCCCGAACCTGCGTTGCATTCAGTATTAACGTACGGACTTGACCCAACAGCTGTCCAATACAAACGGTCAACAGCTTTCCAAGCGCGCAATCATCAACAACACCATGCAACAGACTTTTTGCATGCATGCAGTTATCATGCAGTTCTCATACCAGTATTGGGGAGTCTGCCTAGACTTGATCACGCGCGAAAAGGTCACACAAGCACTTCCCCGTCCCCAACGGCTACTCTGGAGCTTATAAGTCAGTAGTTTTCAGTAGCAGTTGCAATCCCCCACAGTACGTGCGCGCGCATCGGGCGCAATCCATGCAACCGCATGCGCATAGCGTCGGCGACACAATATAACACCACCGTCCGCCAGCACTCTCGCCGCGAGTCAGCACCAACGGCTTCATCATCATGACATCATCTGCATCATCTTCACCCCCCCAAAAACCACCGCAAAAAATAACATACCCAGCATACCCCTCTTCATCGTTATATACATGCCAAACCATCACGCACAATATCGCTATGTACCCTCAGTCCACCAACAGCAGCATCACCAAACCACGCACGCAAACGCACATTTTAACCACCTTCAGCTCTAGCCCTTAAATCGGAACGGCACACACGTAGGTAGGGTAACACATCGCTGCGCACCGGCCGTCGCTGCACACCCACAGCTCCCACCTCCATTTCGTCCTCTTCTTCCTCTTTTTCGCCCACCGCACCGCCCGACGGGAAGCCAACTCAGATGTGATCATACGCCCTTAGTCCCGACAACACCAGGTATAATACCCACAGCCCAAACAACAAGGCCGCAATCGACCACTGCCGCTTCTTGGATCCGCCCAGCTCGCCTCCAAAGTAGCGTGCAACCGCCAACACGATGATGCATATCGTGCCAAACACCGCGTACAACATGATCGCAAACTCCAAGTCGCCCCCAGGTGCGTGGAACTTCTCACCCTGCATGGGCGCGGAAGGGCACGGGTGGGCGGGCAGCCCCGATGTGAAGGCGACACACAAGGTGAGACACGGTGAACGAGGTGAGAACTCATAAAGCATGACCACCGGTATGCCATGGCGGAAGCATTGACATCAGGGGACCCATGCACGCAAACATCGGTTTCCGAGTACCTCCGAGCACCGCCCAGGTACGCCTAAAGCTTACCTTTGCAGCATAATACACAGAGGAGATGGCCCACGGCAGGCCCATCCCCAGGAACACGTTGACGCTGTTGCTGCCGGTGATGTTACCAATGGCAGCGTCCGCATCGGGATCGGCCCTGGCGGCGACGCGGCTAGCGAGTGTGTCGGGCAGGGAGGTGCCGAGAGCGACAATGGACACGCCCACCATCACCGCCTTCAGGCCTGCAAACGGCAAAAGGAAGTGGTGGCGGGGGTGCTGAGCGTACTCGAATATGCGTTGAGTATTGGCAGCGAATCGAGGACAAACCCTAGAGAAGCAACGTGTGTAGCTGCTTGCATGCTACAGCACTCGCTAGCTTACCCAGGATGCAGCCAAACAGGTTGCCAGCCTCATTGATGAGGTACACGATACCCGCAAGCATCATCAGTGCGGCGGCGAAACAGGGGTAGCCGCCCTTCCATTCCGCGGGCGGCACGCATGTGAAGAGGAGAAGCTGTACGACACAAGGGAGAGGAGGGAAGAGGCGCAGGGAAAAGGTTGAGACAGGTATGGCTACCGTAAATGTTAAACAGGTTGTAAGCAAGAGAAGAACGAGAGGGCCCGGGGAGGGGCCTACGCCGCGCGCATGCGAATGCCTAGATCGAATTGCAACCATGGGAGATCCTCCCCCGGTACCCTACCTTCCAAGTAATGTTTACGTAGTGCATGAAGAGATCGCTCCAGCCCAACTCCTCGCCCTCCTCCTCGGGCTCTTCAGGCGAGAAGGCGCTGATGATTTGCTCCCGCCACTCGGACCACACGTTGAATTCCCCCGCGGCCTCCCCCGCACCACTGGCCTGGCGCCTCGGATCCACCTTTAGGCTGCCGTTGGAGAGCTGGCGGATCTCCAGACCCTCCTTCTCGCCGGGCGAGCTTTCGGACTGCGGGGAGGAGTCAACCGGTACTTACGGCATGCGGGATCTTATCGTTTCGCAAGACCGCAGTAAAAGCGGACGGGATAACCTATGAACGGCATGCAGGAGGTATGATTTTCGGGAATGTGGGTGGGAAAGGCACCGAACCTTGGAGAGCCTGCCAGTCTAGGCATTCTAGGCAAGGTAACATGGTTTCGCCAAAGCGCTAATGGTGAAACGGCCACACTTGACAGGCTCCGCACGCTCGCGTACCTTGCCGGTCGCGCAATGATGCCCCACGATGGTGACCTTGCAGGCGTTACGATGCCCCAACTCCGCTCCCCCTTCCGGGTTCTTCAACACCAGCCGCAGCGACTTGTGCATCTCGGGTGCGGAGCTGGGGAGGAGGCCTATGCGGATCTGCATGACCGGGACCAAATCCGGGGAAACATGAAACGTGTGACTGTAAGGCATGCGGAATACGACGACGCATCCTCGAAAGATGCCGGTATGAGCCACCCGCTAAGAAGGGGGAAAGCAACAGCGGGGATCCAAAGCTAGCGACCCTTTTCGGTCAAGCTGGTCGTGCGTTCCTGGTCGAGCATTGCTGCCACTGTGCGGGGTGAATCAGCCCTCCCGCCTCCCCACCAACAACTTGCCTTTTCCGTCTTCTCGCCCGATTCAAACACCACAGTCCCCGATGAAGCGACGTAATCCTGCCCCGCTATCGCAGTCAGGTCCTGGGTCTCGAACTCCACCTGCATTCAGGCGGACCATGTCAGGGAATTTACGGTATAATGGACTTACATCACGAGTTTACGACGCCTGTTTGCGGAGCTGCACAAGCATCGCTATGCAATGTAGACAATGGTGTACGGCACACTTTCGTGTACGACACTTCATTGGACACGCCGGAACAGCAGGATCGGCATGTGCATGTGCAAGCCCCGCGACGGCCGAGCACGCACCTGCACTCGTCCGTCGGCTCCGCGCCGGCGCACGAGTGTGACCTCTACGCTGGCAGGTGGCTTGCCGGTGAACGCCACCTGCGAATAACGAGAGGACAAAACAACAACCCCGGCTTCATTCACCTCCCCTCTGCCCGTTACTCCTCTCTCACTAGCCAGTCGAATGGAAGCATTACGGTACAGCAAAGGGTGCACACCCTTTCTTAACACCCGGACATACATGAAATAACAAGCGGAGGCAAAGAGCGGACGTAGCGCAATCCCACCCCAAGGCAGGTCGGTAATGCTCCTCGCTGCCACCTTGAAAGGAGTCGACCATAGCCCCGCACTTTGCGTGTATTTCACACCTTCACTGCTGCTTACCTCGTACTCGGGTACCTCAAACCCGATGACGCCCGCGTCGTCATCGTCCACAATGGTGACTCGCGCTCTGTTTTGCACGATGAGCGCATTGCAGGGCCCGCCGGGGCACTCCGCGGACAGCAGCACCACACTGAACGACACATCCGGCTCACTCATGTCATCGTCAATGATCTTGATCTCGATGTATTTGTACTTCTCGCCAGGACCGAACAGGATGGAGCCCTCCTTTGCCTGCAAGGACGGGTAAAGGGGTAATACATGCGATGAGGAGAGGCTGTTGCTGCCTGAGAGGTTCACATAACTGACCGGTGGATGTACCTCACGCTGCCGAGAGACAAGGAGCCAGCCTGATATCCCCCGTTTAGACCAGAGGAGCAGCGACAGGTGTATTGGCAATGAACAAGCCACATTATGACCCCCCCCACACACACAAGGATCATACGTTTCGCCTCGCGGCCAGTTATTTTAACACAAGGATCATACAGCTCACCACATAGTCCAGCCCAGCCACCGCGTCTCCATCCTCTGTACGGAAAAAGACGCGCAGCGGGTTGTCCAGCGAACCGCCCTCCGGCGGAACACGTGTCACAGCCACCTTGGCTACCCCAGCGGACTCCAGGAAGCTGTATGCATGGGACCTGGGGGCAGCAGCAGCAGAGGACGCGGGCGCGTATGGGATACAAACCATACAATACAGCCCAGCCGTACAGAAGGGTGCATTTTCATCCTCGTGGGGCGTATGCGGTGCTCTGAAGGCGGTGTCACATGCAGGAAAGGAGCAGGAAAGCCGTACACTGGCTAGGATGGCAAACGGAGGGCAGAAGCGGGTGCACACGTGGGGTGAGCGGAGGCGAGCTGGGGCTTACATAGCATCTTCCACACCTGAACATGACTTGCTCCTTGGTAGGGTCGACCACGGGCGCTGCAGGCGGCAGCCCAAGCTCCGCCTGCGAGAACTCCGACGCAGCCCCTCCGAGCTGCGAGGCGCGGACCGCCCTTTTGTGCGCGTGTCGCTGCCGTGCTGCCATGATGTGGCGGTAGTGCGCCAGCGTGTGCACGGGCGCTCCGGCTGACGTCACGCTCCCCGACAGCGCCCGCAGCGCCTCAGGGGCTGCTGCTGCTGCTCCTGCTCCTGCAGCCGTGGCGGGAGAGGCGCTATCAGGAGCCTCCGGATCTTTCCCGGCGCCTTCACCGTTCGGTAGCGCAAGCACCTGAAGGAGGGGGCATGGGGGGGCCATGGGCACGGGTTTCGCAAGGTTTGGTTAACACCCGCCAGGATCCCTGAACCGCATGCGTCCACCTGGCGTTGTGACCAACCACCCCATTCTGCGCTCTTCGGCACCTAGTGTACCACCCGACCTGCACTCCTCTTGTCGCATTCGATCCACAGCCCAGCCCGAGCCCAAGCCCTAGCGCAGAGGCCACCAAAGTCAGCCAGACGCACCGTGTTCCTCTTCCAGGGCTGCTTATCCATGATCCACGCATGCAGCACCAACACCACATTGAAGCCCAGCGTTACAAACGCCTCCGTCATGGTGATCTCATCCGGCGTCCACCACACGTACACCCCCAGCATCCAAATGTGTGCCCAAAGCGACCAAGCCGCGGTAGTGATGTACACACGCAGCTGGTTGATCCGCTTGTACTGCCCGTCCGGCAGCGCTGTCGTACAAACCGCCGAGATGATCAGGAAGTTGTAGCAGGCGGCCCCGGCGATGCATGCGGGCCCCAGCTCGCCGGCTGGCTTGTCCAGCGCAAGCATGGCTTCCACTGTGGCTAGCATGATCTCCGGCGAGGAGGCGCCCAGAGCCATCAGGGTGATGTTCTGGTGGGCAGGCAGGCAGGCAGGCGGGCGGGTGAGGGAAGCGACCAGGATGACAAGGGGCAGCAAACCTCCACGCTATTGGGATGGGCGATGGTGGATGGGCGATACGGAAAGCGTCGCATGCATGGTTGCATCAGCAGGAGCAGCACACAAACATGAGGATTGTGACTTGACAATCGGTTGGCATAGAGAAGCCTAGCGGAAACGGTTGTCAAGTCGGTGCCCTTTGCTAGCCCGTGGCCTGGAAAGCAGCCTGCTACTCACCGCCACAACCCAGTTCCAAACCGGCTCCTCCACAATGACGACCTCCCCGTTGGCGGTCTTCCGTTTCACTTTCCGCGTGGTGGAGGTGATTTGCTGTGCACAGGGGAGAAACCGGGGCATGCATGCAATGAATGTGTTGAGCGTGCAGCAATGTGGCGGAGCGGAGTTAGTCCGGATGCTGGAGGGGCCAACAGAGGAAACCACCCGAAAGGAGGCTTAAATAGGGGCCCTTCCATAAGAGTAAGCACGTAACCAGCCTCCATGCGCATATCAGGCAACAAGCTTTATGGTTTACTAAGAACCGCGGTGTTGACAACAGTCTGCAGGGGCGAATGTCGCTACCCACCATGATACCGTCCATGAAGAGGTCCGAAGCCAGCGCCACACCCGCGAACAGGTACAACAGGAACAGGAAGTATATCGCTGTGGGGAAGCACGGCGTAACGGGGATTAAGGGTATTGGTGGCAAGTGGGACCGCTATCGGTTTGCCGTTTGCCTTCGACCACGTGCTGCAAGGCATGCGAGGGTGCAGTTTCGAGGCGGAATGGGTGACATGCATGGAACCACTTAGCGGAAGACCGTGGCAGCAAGCCCAGCAACCCGACAGGTGCATCACTACCTAGCATCTTTGCCCAATACCATGACCCACGACTGTGATAGCTGCCAAGGGCAAATATCACACTTTCCAGTGCCAGGTTTCGCAATTGTGCACTCCAGCGCATAGTGCGAAGCACTACTTATATAGCTTCGTCGGTTAGCCTTACCCCCAAGAAGCCATCTTGGCAGAAGGTTGAACCCAGGAAACAAAATCTTCGAGTTGCACACCACATCGTCCTCTCCGCTAAATATAATGAAACCGCGGCCACTGGGCGCTTCTTCCAGACAGGGTCCAACTGCATCACCCTCTTCGCATAAAGGCAATAACTGCTCTAATTGCTTAATTGCTGCGTGTATCGCCTCGCGACTCGCCATGACTTCGGGCACTTGCCTATCGTAAGAGACAACTGTAATCCTGTGATAAACATGCGTGGAAGGTGCTGGACATTAGAATAGGTTATCGTCCGCATTAAACGTTCAGGGAGATGGAAGTCGCAAGCGTACTAATCAACGTCGGACGCGTTCTACCTACGAAAGTATTGCAACAGTATTAACGAATGGTAAGTTTAACCTGCGAAGGAAGCCGCCATGCGATAAGTACGGGCACTAGCTACTCATCTGATTACCCAGTACCCATGGCTGGAACCCAGGGATGAGACGCATTATTTGCCCCTCGTAGACACTATTGTTACTCTTTCATTTGGTTCTTGCTTACAGTTGCAGGAAAGAGACGGCGGTTTCACATCCTGGGTTGAAACAATGAGGGTCCGACTGGTTATGAAATCCCGCCTGCACCCCGTAGGTTAGACACGGGCCCACGCGTAATATCGTGTTTTGTCTTATTCCGGTACTGTCAGCAAATCTGGTCATGACCCCTGCCCCAAACACCACTGAATGTGCACTTTGTTGCCCAAGGCGCTGTTGCCCAGCTTATTAACATCGATGCAAAATATGTCATGGGAAAAGAACATTCTCAGTGCTCAGCCCATTAAAGCTAGTCGGCCTTGCCGGCTTTAGACAAGGAGAACACTACGCGCCCAGAACCAACATGCACTAACGCATTGTATAAAAAATAGGATACCGGTAGGCAGACCAGAAAGGAAACACAGCAGAAACCGTCCCTATCCAGTCCGAAAGATCTTGCATGGCAGACCAGAAACTCCATGGTGCCAAAGTTGGCACACGCCATCGCTTTGAGAAACAGTCCAAACGCTCTGGATGTTTATGCAATGCTTATTGTACACAGACGTACAAGCTCACCGAACCCTCATGTGCATTTCGACGTGCGACCCCGACGCGCGACCGCCTACGGCACCCTATGGCCGCTTCCGCGCAGTCGTCGTGGGAAGCGGCTGCCAGTGCAGACAGGCCGGGTCGACCTCAATCATTCGTTGGTGGGCGTACTTCGCCCAGTGCTCCTGGACGACCCGGGGGTCCGCGTGGATGAGGTGCGACCCCTTCCAGTACTTGATGAGCCCGAGTCCCTAGGGTGGGAGCCAGAGACAGAACACCGTTAGAAACGAATGTCGGTTACCTGGCGCCATCAGTGCAGTCGTGTTCTATGCCTAATACGGTACGTCACTCCATTGCGCCCAACACACACACGCGCGGCCCCTTTCCTCAACACACTTCTCGACGCATGGAGCGCCAGCGCTGCTCCCCCCCCCACATCATTATCACACCACACTTTGGAATTTCTTTTTTCCCCACACACACCTGGAGTGTGTCCACGATGTCCTGCCCGCGGATCATGGTGGCGTCCGACATCTCCTTGATGGACACGTCCCCCTTCACGTTGCGCAGCTGCTCCAGCAGCACACGCGTCCAGTAGCTGCGGAAGCTCACCTGAAGGGGGGGTCAAAGACCATACCGAACCAAAGGAAGCCACAGGTTGGGGCAAGACAATGGGGATAGGAGCAGCAGCAAGGCATTGAGCATGCACCCCTCATGCACAAGGCCCGGTACAAAGCAGGCAGGGGACTGCCTGTGCTGCGGTGCAGCTACTCGCAGTGCCCGTACAAGGAAAAGGTTACAAGGTCTGAGCACAAGCACGCTTTTTTCCGTGAATGTGCAGAGTGCCGTGATGCGCCGCGTCAGAAAAGGCGCGTTTGTGGAGCTGCGGTTAAGCAGGATTTCCCAAAGGGCTAGGTGCCGGTGACTCGGCTAGGGTACCCGTGAGCAGCCAAAATGTTATCCCGCTCCGGGGCCTCGTTCGCGGTTTGCAATCTAAACACTCTTCACAACCCCGCGCCAGCTTACCGCGCCCAGGTCTGAAAGCGGCCGCTCCGGCGTGCCCACGCGCCCCTCCCGCCGCGATAGCTCGTATGCAAAGGCAATCAGGAACTTGCCGTAGCCCTTGCGCTGGTAAGCGGGCAGCGTGAGGATGCAGGCCAGGTTGTAGTCCTCCATGCAGCTCTTCTCCTTGCTGAAGTAGCCCACCTGGACAGGACGGCGAAAGGCGCGGAAGGAATCCGGAACCGGGATGATAGATGCTCGGATAAGCGCTCGTGTACCGTAACAAGACCCCAAAGCTCTTGCGGGCGTCCCTGTTTACCTTCCTCTCTCGCTCACTCGCTCGCTACATGGCCATCCCAGGTTTCTGCTTTCCTAGCCTAGCGCGCTTTGCCAGGGGTATGGCAACGGGACGGCGCAACCCCAGAGGCTCATGGGCGACCAGGGCGACCCGCAACTCACCATGTGGTACCCGTGCTGGTCCCGCTCGCACATCACGTAGAAGAGGAAGGGGTCCACGTCGTAGTAGAGGGTTTTGTGGTCCAGGAAGAGCTTCGACAGCAGGCACAGGTTCTGGCAGTACACCTGTGTGGAAGCCACCGGCACACACGGCATCTTGTGAGAGCTGGCGCGGAATGTATCGCACTAATGAGTCGGCACGGGGGCCCCAAACAGGCAAACTACCTTTGTTCCTGGGTGCATTGCCCATTTTCCACGCCGTTACCACTCCCCAAGCATAGCGCTTGACAGCCCTTGTTACGGTACAATGCAGTTACGGTGCTCGGTGGCTTACCTTGGCCTTCTTGCCGTCCACCTCGAAGACGCTGATGGGCGGCCGCGTGACCGCACCTCCCACGTAGTTCGGCTGTCCGGGCGGCGGCGGCGGCGACCGATAGATCTCGTCGCCTGGAGGAGTGGTGGGAATGGAAGGGCAGCACCGTACACGTTCCGTGAAGACAGGGAGCTCTTAGGGGCCCTACCATGCCTAGGCCAATGAGTGTGGGCAACGTACGTGTGTGCATCTTGGCGCCTTCTGCCATCAACTGCCCCATCCCAGTAACCCCTCTTGCCTACCTGGCGGATGCCGAATGTCCAGTTTCGCCAGGTGCCGCAGCAGGGTCTTCTTTTTCCGGAAGTACTTGAGCGTGTATTCGCACAGGTACAGCTTGTTGGCCGAGGCGTACGGCTCTGGGTACGGCGAGTAGTACCACGTGTCCATCTCGTACCGCCCGAACTCGACGACCTGGGCACATGCATGCATGCGTGCGTGCACCGAGTGTTAGGGGCACACTACCGGTAGCGGCAGGCGTGGAAGGCCTGAAAGGATGGGAGTTTGTTGGGAGCCAAACGGCGCACCACCTCCCTCCTTGTGAGTAGGATGCCCGCACAAAGCCGACGCAACACAGACCGCTGCTATCCCCAAATAGCAACGTCACCTTAACTGTTTGTTCAATAGACAGCCCGTTGCTCGGGGACGCCCACCCTTCTAACCGGCCCCCTCTGCCAGACGCCCCTGACGCAGGGGTTCCATAGTTGCCCCAGACCTCACCTGGATGTTCTTCACGCGTGGCGGGTGGTGCTCCTTGTCGTGCCCATGGTCCGCCCCGTGCTCGTCCTGCATGGAATACATTCAGGGGCGCATCGCGGCGTTGCTCCAGACTCCGGAAGCAGCAGTTGGACTACACTGGAGGCATACCATGCCAAGATTGGAATGCCGGGATATTGCTACGCTGTCCATTGCGTGGGTTGCTCCCTTAAGCCGCGCAGTTCAATGGAATTGCCAAGCTGTGGGCTCCCCATGCCGCTCAGCAAGACACCGTAAGCTATTGCAGGATAGCCACCCAGCCGCTGCTGCTCCAGCATGCCTCCAGCATCAGGTCTGAGCCCAGAGTCCCCTTGGGTGGTCACATACAGGTCTTCGGCTTTGACTTACACTGCGTCGACACGCCATGCCTAATAGCCCCAACCCTTGATAACCACGGCTAAGGACACAGGCACTGCGCTGCTAAGGTTGCAAATACCTACCACTGGTAAGTGATGTGCCTCCTCATACTTGCGCTTCAAGCGCCGTGTCACTTTGAGGTTATTTACATCTCCGGTTGGAGATAGCAGGTCTCTGTTGTGTTATGGGGTGACGATGGGCCTCGTGTCAGTAAGAGTACAGCAGGGCTGTGTTCAGGGGTGAAACCCAGGCTTACCCGCCCATGCTTAAGTTTGGTAGCGTGTCGATGCGGGCCAAGCTCGGCCTCGGAGTTATCGCCCAGATGCCGAGCTTATCCGGGGTGACCCATTCATCAAGGCGTCGGTCCCCTGTGGCCGCGTGGGAATCTGGTGTTGCATCCCGCTCTCCATTCCAACCAGAATGTAGCAACGTAACTCACGGTCAATATAGTGTACATAGTACACAAAGTCGCCCCTCTCAAACCGCTTGTCGACAATCTCGACGGGGTCTGCGAAGATGCCGATCGATAAGAGGAAGCATATGCGAAAGGAAGCCCTAAGAACGTACGTTGTTGGCCGTCAAAGCTAGCAATGCATATGGCCTTTTGGCCAGGCTCGAAGACAGGCTGCGTGGAAGGACGGTTAACCGCGTCAAACGTTAGGGCTGAGGCTGCGCCCGCACGCCTGCGGCTCCAGTCCACCTGCGAAGTCGATGCCCCGCCTTGCTGCCTTGTGGGAGGCCGGACATCGTCGTCCCTACCCTCTGCCATTTAAGGCTACTTATTTACGCTAAAAATATGCAATGTCTATAAGGAGGTCGCCTAGATTCTTCGTGTGCGCGTCTGGAAACTATATTCACGTCATATGATACAATATTGCAGCTTGTAAAGGTTACAATGACGAGGAGCACTGAAGGCGCTTTCCGCCAAATGTCACTTGTACTTGCTCGTACACCATGAACCCATGCTGTGCCTGCGCGACGCGCATGCTATCGTTCGTCCTCTTCGAGCTCCGAGTTGCTTGACGGCAACAACTGCATTAGCTCCGACGATAGAAGCTCCTCGGGCGGAACCTGATAGTCACAAAAACAAAGTTCAAGCTGATGCATCAAGGAGAGGAAAACAAGCAAGCCCTAGATATGCCGGCTTACCTCTGCTTGGTCGCCCGTGAGTGTCTGCACAGCAGCTCGGAACTTAGGATCGCTCTGGTACAGGAATTTCACCGCGAGGTCCAGCTTCTCCTTGGAAACTTGTCGTCCGTTGGCTGCCGCCTCCAGCGTCTCCGCCGCACGCTCGCTCTCGGCTTGCAACTCCAGCTCCTCCGCCTCGTCAGCTGTGGCACCAAGGGGAAATGGTTGGGGATTGGACACCAACTCAAAGCTATGCCGGCAAAGCCCCTTGTCCACGTTGCCCAAGCCTAAAGTACCGGTACCGGTAGTCGGACCATACCCGACGCTCGGCCTCACTGCAATGGCTCGCAACCCCAGCGACTGTCCTGCTCTGCGGTACTGGTAACCACCAGGAAGCAGTTCCCCTCCAGGACCACCCGCTGCACCCCCTCCTCAAGTACGCCCAACACCAGCCGTACTCACCCAAGCTCCCGAACTCAGGGTTCTCGTCAAAGTACGTGTACAGCTTCTCGAACTCCGCATCGAAGAACGGCGGGTCGTACGAGGGGTCAAAGTCGAACATGAGCTGCGAGGAGGGGAAGGACGCCGGATACCGGTAGGGCCGCAATTGCCCAGGGGTAGACCAGACTAAGTTAAGTGGATGTTACTTTTTCCGGTATCCATGAAAAGCAGCAACCATGGTAATACACGTGCGGTGTCCCGCCCTTTCTGTACTGGATGTGATCCCAGGGTGCCGGATTCCGGATGCGCTTCTCACTCCCCACCTTTTTCATGTACGCATCCGTCCACTCCGGCCCAAACGCGGCCTCCAGCACGCGACGTGTCTTCTTGTTCGCCAGCTGGTTCTCGCAGAACCTGTGGCATGTGGCAGGCGTAACACCACCCAGGGGATCAGCAACCACGCGTAACAACACATGCCGCGGATAGCTCGAACCCCGCTGCTGCTACCAGCCTATTCCCTGCTCCTTAGCAAGCGACCCTTGCGGAACGCGGGTAGCCTTCATCCCGCGGTACCCTTGCCCTCCACCCCCCCCCCTCATCATATATATTTTTACCCCTCCTACCACCCCCCATACTCAAACTACTACCGCAACATCATCCCGGCAGCCCCTTTCACCCCCGCCGTACCGCTTCTGCCCCTCCAACATCTCCTCCAGTCGTGCCTCCGTGCGCCGGTCGCCCGGCCCCGCCACCACCGGCCCCGCGCGCAGGGCCATGGTGAGGTGCGCGCGGTGCAGCGCCACCGCGTACTTGACAAAGCCCGCCAGCTCCTCGGGGCTGGAGGGCGAGATGCACAGCGCCAGCGGGGAGAAGGTGGCGGCGCCCCAGGCGGGCACGCGGCGCGCGGTGGGGTCCTGGTCGGCCAGGAAGGTGCGCTGCAGCAGCGCCATGGTCTGCGGGGAGGCGGGTGGCAGCCGGGGTTGGTAGGGGGTCGGGTTAGTGGGGATACCCATTCCGCAGTATTCCGCAGGGGTTGATGAGGGTAAGGAGAAAGAGGTTGAGCAGCCGGGGTGAGGGGAGGGCAGGGAGCGGGCGTGGGCGTTCTGGTCGGCATTGAGGAGGAGTTGGGAAGGGCCGCTCTCTCCGTAGCCCTTGCGTACTACGTATGGTTCGTTGCCAGTTGTCACCCGCTCTCCCCACCTCCATGTAGTGCGGCGGCAGTTTGAGGTCGCTGCGCAGCGGGCAGCAGTCCACCACCGCCAGCGACACGTGGCCGTCCTTCAGCACCAGGTCCAGGCCGAAGATGGGCAGGTCGTAGCTGCAGAGGGGCGGGGGGGAATGAAGCAGAGGGGTGGGGTAAAAGAAGAAATCCCAAGGTAAGGTGTGATGGGGTGTGAGGTGCGGTGAGGTGCGCCGGCGGGTTGCCGAAATGGGACACCATTGGTTGTAGCAGAAGCAACGGCAGCATTGAGAAGATGATGGGTGAGTCGTACAGACGCGTGCCAACGGTACCTGCTGTGGTCCCCTCGCCCCTACACTCCCCATGCGCCACAGCCGCCTTTGCCGCCCCCTTTTTCCGTCACCAACCACCCGCGCCTCAGTCCATCTGCCCTCCCGCCCCTATAGCCCCTCCCACTCACGTGTATCGCGGGTAGACCACCACATGCAGCACCTGCATGCCGTCCTGCCGTACCGCCACCTCCACGTGCAGCTTGCGGAACGCCCGGCTGCAGTACACGCGGTTCTCCATGTGCAGGCGCGGGTAGCTGCGGGCAGGAGAAAAGGCGGGTAAAAAGAATAGCCAATGTCAAAAGGCGGGTGGGGGAGGGGAGGGTTTCTTTTCGATAAAGAGGTAGCACAGGTCTGATATTATGGGCTTTTGCAGAGGCGTCCCCTTTGCACATGCCTCCTACCGCGCCCCTCCAAGCGCGCTCCAGCTCGAGAGTTCACGACCCACGCGCCCGCATCACGCCACACCTCCGTTCGTTGCAAATCATTATATCGTCGGCCGCCCCGGTGTCCCGCACATGTGACCCCTTTCCCAAGCCCCTCACCCCTCGGCTCCCTCCGCCGGATCCGGGATGTCAGCGTAGGAGAAGCCGTCCAGCTGCCTCTGGGGGTCCTCGCTGTCTACCAGGTCCCAGCCGTGCGCTTTCCACTGGTCGACGGGATACAGGTTGAGGTCTGCGACGATGGCAGCGAGGCAAGCTTGTGACACAAAGCTCAGCTGCGTTCCCGATGCTGGGCAACGTCGGCGGCAATACCGGTACATGGCATACATACAGACTGGCGGCTTCTCTCGTGTTCCGCAGTTCCCAGGATCTGGCTTTGCATCCCGCGTTGCTATCCTTCTCCGCTCCCCCTGACCCATGGGTCATCAGGCCCCATACCTGTGTCCAGGAGCTCCCGCCAGCAGCCCTCAATGCGCGCCACCAGGAACTCAATCACCGGGTCAAACATGGCCTGCGACGAGTAACACCATTGCAAGGTTATTGCCGGGGTAGAGCACCGTAGGGTGTGGGTGCCGTGGGTGCAAGCAAACCCTGCTGGGACGTGCGTTGGTACCCTGACACCTGACACCTGACACGTCAATGACCATGCGGACCCAAATTTGAAATGCCCGCTGCTCTCTGAGGGCTGCTCTAACATGACAACCCCCTATCCTGTGGTCTCCTATGGTTTGGTATGGTCGTTGACCCCCCCAATGGTATGGTATGGTCTTTGACCCCACCCCCGCTCCCCAGGCTGCTCAAACAGGGCGCCACCGGGACCCTCAGGCTGCCTCGAAGGCGCGCCCACCTTAAGCCTCCAGCTGCCGATGCCAATAATATCGTTGGCCACAGCGGCCGGGTAGGCAATGGTGGGCACGCCCGTGGACTCCTCCTGCGCAGCGGACCCACGGGGCGTGTCGGATGTGCCACAGAGGCACAGGGGCGGAGGCAGAGGCACATGGTGAGGGGACGTTGCGGGCCAGTATGCGGCGGCACGAAAGGCGCGGAGAGGATGTACGGTGCCGGCCTGAGTCAAACGCTAGCGCCTCTGCACTTCCTTTGAACGCAGTCTGTAGACACTAATGCGTATTGCCGTACAGGACGCGTGTTAGGTGTGGCATCCTAACCCATACACATCTCAATCCGGAACCGCACCATGAGCAACGTGTACGGCGAGGCGACGTGGCGAGGGCCCTCCTCGTACGCTCGTTGAACATACTCGTACAATCCCTGCGCGTCGTACAGTGCAAGGATTAGCAACAAACAATTGGAAGGCCAATGCCGAGTCAGGTTGGGCCAGACGGGGGACCTTGCGGATTTGGATGCCATTGGGGGTCCATCGATACGCCCCCAAAGGGGCTACAACGATGTGCCCCACGCCCCCACATCCCTCTATAGCGACCACGCAGTCCAATCCTGCTGGCAGCCCCCTTCCAGCCGCCATAGGGCCCATAGCCCCCGGGCCGCTCGGGTCATAACCCCCACCCTCTCCGTGTTTCATCGCCGCTCAGTTGCACTGCCCCGCCCGCCGCACCTGGGGATCCTCCCTGAACTCCCGCGTCAGCTCCTCGGACTGCAGCGCCTCCTCCTGCTGCTCCTCCTGCCGCACCAGGTCCAGGATGAGGTCCCGGCTCCAGGGACCCTCCACCACCTCCGCTGCGACCGCAGAGGCCGAGATGGAGGGGCCTTCTTCGCCGGGGGCGGCCCTCAGCGGTGTCGGCTGGCAGCGGCTGCTAGGGCTGGCTGAGGGCGTAGCGGGCGTAGCGGGGCATGGACCTGTACGGAGGAACGGGGTGCAGTGCTTCGGAACGGCGTTCATGCGTAGGGCAGAGGTCTGGCGGACGTGCTGGCTGGCGGCATGAGGGTAGATGGACCCAAATGGGGGCACTGCATGCAGTGGTTCAGGTTGAGCGACAGACTCGGGTTCTGGACAGGTGCAGGCAATGCCTGAGCAGAATCCAGGAGCATGGTGCATGCATATCCCGTTGCTGAGTTCGAGAGGGAATCCAGAACCGAAGGGTTAGGCTGGGGGCGGCCGGCCAATAGGTGAACAGCTCGTGCACGGACGGTCGTGCAACACACGGGCGACGTCGCTGCAGGAAACCCCTGGCAACAGCTATCAGCGAGTCCCTGGACGAATTATTGCCTACTATCCATGATGCTTTAGCTCACATGGTGAAGCTCCAAAGCCACGCCATGAGGATGCTATCGACGCTCTGAGGCCCATGCTGACGACGCTGCGTCGACAGCCACCAGCCGACAGTGCAGTTCTACCGACGTCATGTCGATTCATTACAACTGGTGGCATTTACGCGTTAATTGTGGTTGGGTCGAACACTAAGCGAATTACGTCGACCTTTTAGAGCATGGTTAAGACGAGGCGGCTGAATCACAACGAGAAACAGCTATCGAGAAAAAAAGCTTTTAATTAGCCACTATTCTATCATCTTGCGGCAATTCAGTGGCAGATGAGGAGGTACACCGATGAGGAATTGCGGCAGTTGGCATGAGGCCTCCCAACGATGCGGAATGAAGATGTCCGGGGCCGCTGACTGCGTTCCTTTTCCACGCATACATTGCTTGTTTACCATAGACTTCATAGTTACTGAATACTTTACTTTTCTCTGCCCTCCGTGTTGGGGGATTCAACACATTTAGTAGGTTAGCAGAAAGCAGCAAAAATGGGTGACGCTGAGACTGACAAGAACATTGAGATGTGGAAAATCAAGCGGGTGAGCCTAAAGGGTATAGGAACGGACGGCGGCTGCCGAAGGCGCGTTTTGGGGCTGCGAATTGCCGATGGAGCCGGTCTGCAACCTCGATGCGTTTACACAACTGCAGCTTATCAAGGCCCTTGAGGCGGCTAGGGGTAACGGGACAAGCATGATCAGCCTTATCATGCCTCCCAAAGATCAGGTGCGGTCGCTGGCGGCAGACCCATGACAAGCACTGTTTTCACGTTAGCCCTTCCCTGCAGGTTGCCCGTGTTCAGAAGATGCTTGGCGATGAGTATGGCACAGCCTCCAACATCAAGTCGCGTGTGAACCGCTTGTCAGTCTTGTCGGCCATTACCTCAGCGCAGCAACGCCTGAAGCTGTACAGCAAGGTCAGCTTGTTGATTCGTTAGGCTTTTGTTGTTGCCTGCCATAGATTATAGGGAGCAGCAAAGCCTGTATTCAACATGCTTCCGGCGGCGCAATTTGCAGGTGCCTCCAAACGGTCTGGTTGTGTACACGGGTACCATTATGACGGATGACGGCAAGGAAAAGAAGGTGAACATCGATTTCGAGCCTTTTAAACCCATCAACACGTCGCTGTACCTCTGCGACAACAAGTTCCACACGGAGGCGCTGAACGAGCTGCTGGAGTCCGACAACAAGTGCGTTTGGGACGGCGCTTCCAGGGGAAAGAACCTAGACGTTATTGTGCGTCGTTGATGGAACATGCAACAAGGGGCAGGGCGCGGGAGCTTCCAAAGGGGATCGGCTGGGGTATGCGGTCATTAAGAAGGCGTCTGCTGGTGGCATGCGCAGGTATGGTTTCATCATCATGGACGGTAACGGCAGCCTGTTCGGCACGCTGTGCGGCAACACGCGCGAGGTCATGCACAAATTCCTGGTGGACCTGCCTAAGAAGCACGGCCGTGGTGGCCAGTCTGCTCTGCGTTTCGCCCGTCTGCGTGTGGAGAAGCGCCACAACTACGTGCGCAAGGTGCGTAGCAAGGGCTCCTACGGGTGCTGGCTCAGCAGCGGAGGAAGGGACCAGCGGTGTTAGAATGCATTCGGGCGGCCCTAGACGGGGGTCCTCGTGTGTGCGAAAGCGGCAATAACACACAGACCGCAAGACGGGAAGGCGGTCCCTGGTTGTTTTCTCTCCCTTGGCATGGCCGCATCCTTGACAGCAGCTGGTCCACCTCAACCCTGCAGGTTGCTGAGCTGGCGGTTCAGTTCTTCATCACCAACGACCGGCCCAACGTGGCGGGTCTGGTGCTGGCGGGCTCTGCGGACTTCAAAACGGAGCTCAGCCAGTCAGACATGTTTGACCCGCGTCTACAAGCGGTCGTGCTGGGCGTGGTGGATGTGTCGTACGGTAAGTGCAGCATCGGGATGTTTTGGATGGCGGGTTGTTACCAGCCAGGCGTTGGCTGATGCTGCCAGGCAGGGTTGGTCCTGGCATGTTGGGGGTAGGGGTGGTCGGGGTGTTGAAAAGGGGCTACTGCATGTGCTCCGGGCGGATTACCAATTTCCTGCCTACATGTGGCAAGAGATCAAATGGCTCCAGCCCCAAAGAAACACCACCGACCGCACACGGCCCATCCTTCCTCGGTTGGCGGGTCGCCTAAACGTCGTTTGGCACAGTTTTAGGAAGTCTGTCAGAATGCATTTCGGGCGGATTACCAATTTCCTGCCTACATGTGGCAAGAGATCAAATGGCTCCAGCCCCAAAGAAACACCACCGACCGCACACGGCCCGTCCTTCCTTGGTTGGCGGGTCGCCTAAACGTCGTTTGGCACACTTTTGTTAAGCAGGTCAGTATATATTTCGGGCGGATTACCAATTTCCTGCCTACATGTGGCAAGAGATCAAATGGCTCCAGCCCCAAAAGACAACGACGACCGCACACGGCCCGTCCTTCCCGATTGGCGGGTCGCCTCTGTATCGTTCGGCACATACTTCTGTAGATAAACAGCTTGTATTGGGGCGGATTACCAATTTCCTGCCTACATGTGGCAAGAGATCAAATGGCTCCAGCCCCAAAGAAACACCACCGACCGCACACGGCCTGTCCTTCCTCGGTTGGCGGGTCGCCTAAAAGTCGTTTGGCACACTTTTGGACAGTCAGTCAGTATGCATTTCGGGCGGATTACCAATTTCCTGCCTACATGTGGCAAGAGATCAAATGGCTCCAGCCCCAAAACAAAACCCGTGGCCGCACATGGCTCGTCCCTTTAACTATTGATAGGCCGCTTTAATTGTCACGAGCACAAAGTATCGTTTTCATTCTATAGGTATAGCGGGCGGATTACCAATTTCCTGCCTACATGTGGCAAGAGATCAAATGGCTCCAGCCCCAAAACAAAACCCGTGGCCGCACACGGCTCGTCCCTTTAACTATTGATAGGCCGCTTTAATTGTCACGAGCACAAAGTATCGTTTTCATTCTATAGGTATAGCGGGCGGATTACCAATTTCCTGCCTACATGTGGCAAGAGATCAAATGGCTCCAGCCCCAAACTAAACCCCGGCTGGTCGCACACGGCATGCCAGACCCTCACTGACAGGCCACTTTTCATACCAGGATTACGGAACATGTCGAAAGTATTGGTTCAGCAGCAGCACTGCACGTAACTGCGCGCTGCATGGAAGGGTTGCATGCATGGCTTGGTGCTCTTTGTTACCAACTCGTCATGCATGTCGCCCCTGCCCCGCCCTGTCTCATGTGCCGTCTCCCAGGTGGCGAGAACGGCTTCAACCAGGCCATCGAGCTGTCCGCAGAGATGCTGGCGAACGTCAAGTTCGTGCAGGAGAAGCGGCTCATTGGGCGCTTCTTTGAGGAGATCAGCCAGGACTCGGGTACGTACCATGGGCCGATACGCACCACGGGCCGAGTCAGTGTCGGGCGGGGTCCGTATGGGATGGCAGCGTATCCGGTGTACGGTGACGAGGCTTTGCCCCCCGCATTGCTATTGTGAATCAATCATGATAGCCAGAGCTGAAGGGTACGGCAAACGCACGTTTGCCCGGGAGTGTTCGCATTCTCGCCTATCTCTCCTCGCCCCATGCACCGCCCGCAGGCAAGTTTGTGTTCTCCGTGAAGGACACCATGCAGTGCTTGGAGATGGGCGCCGTGGAGACGCTGATCGTGTGGGAGAACCTGGACTGCGACCGCTACGAGCTGCTCAACCCCTCCACGCAAAAGACGGAAGTCAAGCTGCTCAGCGCCGAGCAGGTGCGCGCTGGCCCCGGTGACCGTTGGCGCATGCAACATGGCTAGCTGATGGCTGAAAGCTACGGGGACGTACCGCTGCCCGGGCTGCCAGTGCCTGTGCCTTCCTCGTCACCACGAGGGCGTTATAAACTCGCTTTGATCTTATCTTATAACCGTGCAGCTTTCCTTATTTTCGTAATCGCTTACCCCTTCGCCGCTGCCCTGCCTGCGCAGGCCAAGGACACGTCGCACTTCAAGGACAAGGAGGCGGGCTGCGACCTGGAGGTGCAGGACAAGATGCCGCTGCTGGAGTGGTTGGCCAACAGCTACAAGAAGTTTGGCTGCACGCTGGAGTTTGTGACCAACAAGTCGCAGGAGGGCTCGCAATTCTGCCGAGGCTTTGGTGGCATTGGCGGCGTCCTCCGATACCAGGTGAGAGATGGTTTCGATCTTTTGGTGAGGGGCACCTGTAATTTTCTTCGCTGGGTGAACAGCCCTGCTCCTACCTTCCATCGCCGTACGAGTGGGACCTGTCTTTTCCGCTGTAACTGTACTCGACCATGTTCAAGTTTGCAAATTGTTTACGACGTGCCATCGGTTGGCCCCCAACTTCCCAGGTCAACTTGGCAGAGCTGGATGTGGACGAGGACGAGGGCAACGACGCCCTCTGGAGCGACGACGACTTCTAAACGGCCTGACGGTGGCTTGACGTGCAGGATGCGTTGTTGAACTATGGGTTGTTGAACTGGGACATTACGGGGTTGGGGAGGCAGAGCTGCCTGCGGCCTTTTATCTGCCAGGAGCGTAAAGGGGGCTCGCCCTGATGAGGCAAGGCCCTTACCTGGGTGCCGGCTGTGCTACAGCAGATATTTCCGCTGTCCAGTGACCCTGAACGGGGGCGGTGCTAAGCTGCTCGATGTGGGTGCGGCTCCTATTGAGGTGCGTAGCGCTGAACGGTGCATAGCTAGGCCTCTGCCGGGCGGCTGAAGCAGCAGGGTGGTCAAGGGCAAGACGGGGAAATGGGGTGCATACGGACGCCAGTTGTGGAAGTGGCCATAGGCCTCACGAGTTGGCGACATGGGAGGGCTTCTTCCTTTGCATCTTAACCATGTATGTACGACGGACACAATGACTTTTACCATGCTTTTGGCGTGACAATGGTGGTGGTGGCGGTGCATTAGTAAGCAATCTGGTGCACCCCTGACTCACATAGATGTCTAGTAGTATTGTTAACGTCTTGCTGGGGGTGTTGCCCGCGCAAGACAACCGTTTGCTCGCCTGGGGAACGGCATTCATGCTGTCGAGGTGCTAGACGACAAGATGTTGCTTTAAATTGCCTAGATAGTAGAGAAGCAACCATTGCCTGTTAGTGGCAACCAGATAGTTTGTTACGCAGTGCAGGGTATTTCCACAGGCTGAGCAATTGCCTTGTTGCGCAAGGGCGGATGTCCTATAAACTGTGCGACATCCTTTCACATGGCGCTGCATGGCGGTGACGTTTTACAAATGAGAGCTTTGTGTGCAAGAAAGTTTGTATGTTGTGGTCGGTGCAGCAAGCAGCAACACGCTTGCTGCGTGATTGGGAGGCACTATGATTTGTGTAGCTGTTTGGAAACAGGTGTTGTGGTGCCCCTGAAGTCTTGCAGCTTGGGTAGGATGTACGGGAGACCCGCATTCGTATGCATCCTTAGCCGCGTCTTCCTGTTGCCGCTGTGGTGCAAGGGTTCAGGATGGCCGCCGCTGTCGGGCTGTGGGAACGGTCTGCTGCGCTTTCCCCACAGCCCTGCAGCGGCGTACATGTAATCCTCATCCTCCGAGCTTATCTGATACAGTTTCAGCGGCCTGGAGCTACTCAGGTTGAGCGACAGTAAAGACAACCCTTGCTCGTCTAGCAAAGCTTCCAGCCATGCTCGTGTAGTTATGTATCCGTATCGAACATACTGCCACCCTTTATCTACGCTAAACCTTATGCGGGACCATAAGTGTAAGGCGGAATTGTCGTAGGAGTCATACCCTGAACAGCTGTGCCGTACTAGCGTTAGTTGACGACTCGTACTTCCTGAAGGTTGCAATACAACGGAGGCCTTGTCATCCATACTTCAAGTAATTAGCTACATACTTCTTAGGTAGCCGCAAGCGACAGGCAGGCCTGCGTCACATTGCTGTCATAGCACTTCCGCAGCCTTTGGCTTGGCGATTGCTACCAAAACATGTCGAGCAAAAAGAAAACTTTAGCGCAGGAGCTTGCCGAACTATATAACCCTGCGCCGACAAGAGGTGCGTGTTGTTTTCTATACACAAGGCTCGCTTGGTAGACGAGTTATTTTGACAAGTTGTTTCCTACGTCCGCGCAGAACATGACCCGGATGCGTTGGACCTTGGCGATGGTGCCAAGCTTGCATCCGACGATGAGTATGAAGAAGCACAGCGAGCTCCCTCCAGGTACCTTGGGATGGTCGCGTTGCCATGTTATCATCGTTATGTCCATACCCATATCAAACAACAGCGACACATATTCTTAACTCGTGGGCTATTCGATTGGCGGCGCCTTGTCCATGCGGTTGGCCCAGGGACCTTACATGGGCAATTCTTATAGGCGTCAGCGCATATAAACGTATGCAATGACCGTAATTCCCTTCCATCCCGGCGGGGAAAGGGAAGGATGTCGCACGCTGAACCCCCTGCATAACACGGCATCCTCCCATCTTTTCTGAACCCACGGCGGGCCTGAAACAAGCCACCCCTCTCCTTTACCCCTGCCAGGCGGGCACCGGAGAAGAACATGCTTCTCCGTGGCGATATCGCGCTGGAGGATGCTGCATACCGCGGCCGCAAAACATCTCGTGCTGCGATGTTTGGAGAGCAGGAGGAGGAAGGGGACATGAGCGACGATGACGGGGGTGAGTCTTGCACTTGAGTCTTGCTTTGTTGAGCGAGCCAAGCCAAGCTAGTTTCCACTCCGGGCGGATTACCAATTTCCTGCCTACATGTGGCAAGAGATCAAATGGCTCCAGCCCCAAAGAAACACCACCGACCGCACACGGCCCGTCCTTCCTTGGTTGGCGGGTCGCCTAAACGTCGTTTGGCACATGCTCATCCTCCCTAGTGTTCATTTTGCACTTGCGTCCATCCTCTTGCCGCAGCGTTTTTTCACAAACTCATGCGTGCGCATTGTCCCTTATAGCAGCTGTAGCTGCATACTGTAAGTTGCACGTCGACTACCCTAACGCAGATGATGAAGGCGGGGATGTGGATTTGGACCTAGGAGGTGGCAGCGGCGATGACGGCTCTGACGATGAGGACGGTGGGGACGCCGGGGCCGACAGGCGTGCGACTCCGGGGTTAGCAGGGCCTAGCGGTCGCAAAGCAGCAGCTGCTGCCAACGGGAAGAAACCAGGCAGCAGCAAAGCTGCGCCAAGTCTCAGCTCAGACGACGGAGAGGACGACGACGAGGACGATGATCTTGCCAACGGCTTGCTGCCTTCCGGCTCTGATGAACCGGGGTCTGACCTGGACCTCGAAGGCGCCGACGGCACAGCTGACGGCACTGACGACTTTGACGAAGACGACGACGTAGACGGCGATGATGACATGGACCAGGGTCAGAAGGGTGGGCGAGGGGACAGCGAAGCCCGGGCCGGGCCCCGGCGGCCGGCTGCAGCAGCTCGGGGGGTCGCGGGCAGGGGAGAGGGCGGGGAGCTAGAGGAGCTGGAGGCGGAGTACGAGGCGTTGCAGGCGGAGGACGAGCAGCAGCTGGCGGCGCTGCGGGAGAAGGGCGAGCGGGACCGGGTGAAGGGCGCAGCGGTGCGCAACCAGCAGGTGCGTGGAGGGGGGTGGGCGGTGGGGTCGGGTGCCGGTGTGGAGTGGATGGGGGTGGTATGGGGTAGAGTAGGGATGGGCAGATAACGCAACCCGTCAAATAAGCGGAAACAAGTAGGCTTATTGAAAGGGGTGGGAGTTCACTGGGCGAAACCAAAATGCGCCTGAAGTGGGACGGGCTGTTTGACGGTACCGGTGCCCGCAGGTGCTGTACGAGCGAGCGCTGGAGCAGCGCATCCTGCTCCAGAAATGCCTGCAGGCCAGCAACGGCCTGCCGCGACCCGACACGCACGCGGCGCTGGTGCGAACGCAGCCCGACGTACGCGAGGGGTAGGTGGGGGCGCGCTCTGGTGGGCGGGCAGCTTGCTCTGCCCGTGAATTGTTCACCGTACAGTTTGAAGCGGCGGAGGGCGAGTGTCGTCCTTTGGTCGAAGTGTACAAGACTACTTTGGTGGCTTTGTAGGCGCTACTGGTATGACCGCACCCCCCACCCACTTGCACCCCCCACAGGTTTGCGCAGCTCGCTGACGCCGCTCGCGACACGCTGTCGCAGCTCCTGGACCTGCAGCACACCCTCATGGGCCGCATCTCGGGCATCTCCCTGCCACCAGCAGCTGCCGCTTCCGGCCGTCAGGACGCCGCTGGAGCCGCCAGCGGCAAGCGGCCACGTGACGAGGACGACGACGACGCTGAGGAGGAGGAGACCGCGGGCGGTGCTGCGGGGCCGCTGGGGCTGGATGCCCTGTGGGAGCGCATCAGCTCCCACCACACCGCGCTGGCCCCCTACCGGGACGCCTCCCTGGACTCCTGGCACCGGCGCACCGTGCTGAGCTCCGGCAGCGGCGCGCTGCGCAACAGCGGGCTGCGGGCGCTGAACCAGAGCATCAGCAGCCAGGTGCAGGCGCTCATGCGGGACCCAGGTGGGGTGGGGAGGGGTGGCGTTTGGAGGAGCAGCAGCGGGGTCGCAGCAGCGGCGGGGCTCTTGCGGGCGATGCGGCAGGGCTCCCACTGGCACAACCCGATGCGCTTGTTAGCTTGTCGGGTTGTATGTTGGTGCTGAGGCTGCATGCGGGTTGCATCCTGCCCGCCGTTTCCATGCTGCGTAGGAGCAGTTGCTCCGAAACCTGCTGAACTACAACAAAACCTGGTCGTAATGCTTCCTGTCCTTCCTCCAGTTCCTGCCTTACCCGCATCTGCCCACACCCACCCACACCACTCCCCCTGCTGCCCCCCCCTCCACAGCCAAGTTCATCAAGCGCACGCGGCTCACGCTGTCCACCTGCCCTCGTGTGCTGTGCGAGCCGTCACGCGGAGCCGCCGCAACCTCGGCCCTGGACGAGGACGCACTGCTGGGCCAACGGGAGGGCGACGTGTCGGCCGCTGCTGCTGCTGCGGGGTCAGCCAGCGTGGCAGCGGACGTGGTGGAGGAGGAGCGCGATGGCGAGACGTACGACGACAGCGAGTTCTACCAGCAGCTGCTCAAGGAGTTCCTGGACAAGGGCATCGCGCAAGGTGCGATGCGATGCCGTGCGTCGCGGTGTGTTAAGAAGACTGCCCTGCGGTGTGGTGTGGTGTTGTATTCCGTGTACCGGTTTGTTGTGTTGGGCTGCTGGGTGCAGCCGTAGAGTTCTAACAGTTTGGAAGGGCTAACTGGGCCAACTGGATGCGGGGTGAAGTCGATGTTGCGGTAGAGGAGAGCCTGCATTCGTGCCTGTGATTACATCACCTTCATGGCTGCATGTTGCTGCCCCTGCGTTCTGCTGCGCTGCAGGCGCCGCTGCTGGCGCTCCCAAGGCGGCAAAGAAGCGCAAACAGGTGGACCGACGAGCCAGCAAGGGGCGCAAGCTGCGGTACCACGTGCAGGTGCGTGTCGCGTGGGGCCTTTGTGGATAATGGTGCTACGTCTGCTCCTTCCGCTAAGAAAGGCTGCGCGCCTCACAGACGTGGGCCTTACGTAGTGTACGGCAGTATAACATTGCATAGGGCGCGACCGCACAACCGCCCGTCTAGTCAGAGCCGCTGACATGGAGAGCCTTCTCTTTTGCGAGTGCTGTCTCTCCCTTGCTGCATGTCATGTCATGTTTTGTGCTCTCCTCCCGCCTTCCCCGCCCTCAGGAGAAGCTGGTTGCCTTCATGGCCCCGGTGGACTTCGAGCCGCCGTCCTTCGCGGCCAACCTGTTTGCCAACCTGTTTGGGCACGCGGGCAAATAGAGTTGTGTGGGGAGAGAGGGGGTCACGGTTGGCATTGTAGCTCTCGGGATTGCGGCGGCCTGCGAGAGCGCCTGCCGGGTGCCTGCCTGCATGGTTGCATGGTTGAGCGGTGTAGCTTGGGATCGCGTGTGGGTCGAGGGGGAACACGTTGGTGCACATGCGGCTGCCATGGCCCGCGATGCGCTTATGTAAGAAGCACAGAGACTATGTCTGTCATAGCCCCGGGAGTTTCCATGAGAAGGCGTGAGATGGGATACGGCGCTGAGGGAACAGGGAGCCTCTTAAACCAGCCATCAGCCGGTTTGATGCACCACCCCACGTAACATTAAGTAGCTGATACGGTGAGAGGTCGCAGCTCGGACATCCGGATGCGGCGTTGTTCAGACCAGTATCCTGTAGCCCACTATCCGAGACCTCGACTGCAATTACACCTGTGCAAGGGAAGGGAGAGAGTACGGCACCCTGCAGCATATCGCGGGTACCGGTACATTGCTAGCCTGATCTCACTTTCATGGCCGTAACTTGGCGTAGCAGGGGTACCGTATGCCCAAGAGCTGCAGGGGGGATCAGCACGCGACCATGAGAGCAGGTGTAACGCAGAGCCGTGCGGGATAGAGGAAAAGGAGCGTGTGGGGTCACAGCTATCAGTGCCGTTTATAGCGTTTGGTCCCCAAGCGTTTGCTGGTGATAGCGTTAGACACCAAGCGTAGGATGAGCTCCCAGCTTTTGTTCTACACGTGCAAAGCTTATGTCACTCGAGCGTCAAAGGGTATTGCCGTACCGTACAAAGCTGTGACCATGTTACAGTGTAATTGCTATTAAAGAGTATTGCTGGCAACGCATGTCCTATTTCCACAGTGAGTCAAAGTCCATCACCTCGTCAACGCTCTTTCTTGTGCTTCCGGTAGTTGGCTAGCTGTTATCAGAATTCGAAGCATATACACAACAACTGTGAAACAATTATGAGTCCTCTTGCCGCACCCGCTGTATCGTCTCCCTTGTATGGAGGACCTCAGCCGGTCCTGCCGGGGCATGCTCCCAACCACCGAGCCTCGGAACTTCCCAAGGAGTTAAAGCAACATGAAATCATCAGTCCTGGAAAGAATGAACATGAAATTGTCGCGATGGGCGACTTTGATACTGCTTCGCTGCGCCGGGCTGCTAACTGTTGGGGCAGGGTGAGCTACGATGGTAGAGCTCGAACCCTCCCCAGCATGGCCAGCATTTCTTGAGGAGTTTTACGGCATGATCATAACAGGGCTTTACTGATATAGATTCATTCCTGTGTTAATGCGTAGATGCAGCCCCGTGTCCAACTCCACCCTCGCTCTGAAGCTGCTAGCTAGGTGGTAATTGCCATAACGCGCTCTGCACACCCTTCGCCCTTCACTTATTTCCGACGACAGGCTATGATTGACGACCCCACCCTTACCTGGCTTACCGACGGCAAGTGCCCTCAACGACTGGTAACCTTCTTTGATCGCTGCGCCCTCATGTTCCTGCGCGGCACAGCCGACCGCAGCTGCTGCTGGGCCCTGCAGCCCACCTCCTCTTCCCCCTCCGCAGGTACGCGTATAGTGCCACAATCTCTCCTCGCTGCCATTCATGGCTTGTCGTTGTACCGCATCCTACAAACGTCACCCTTGTCGGCATCGCAACCGTAGCCTTCATTCCTTCCTCTTAGCCCTGTTTACCCCTTCCGCTGAACATGCTCAAGACGGCGGTGGCAGCGCGCGGCCGGACCCGCTGGTGGTGTGTGTGGCCAGTGAGTACCCGCGCACCTACCCCGGCACCCTGGCGCTGCTGCGGGGCGGGCTGCTGCATGTGCTGCTGGCCGTGCCCAGCCTGAGCACCATCAGGGTCTTCGGCCGGCTGATGCACACCTTCGACACGGCCAAGGAGGAGTTCTATCGGGTGCGTTAAGGCATGGTGGGAACTGGGAGCCAGGGGGGATTTCTCAGTTACTGGTAGTTCACCCACCTCGGTAACTGGTCGCGGTCGTTGGTTGAGGAGGAATGCGCACGTGCATTGCGCCAACAATCCGACAAGATAATAAGTAAGCAATGCTCGGCCCCCTCCTGACGGGTTTTGTGTGCAGGAGAACGGCCCCTTCCTGTACATCACCTGCTTTGGGACGGACCCCGATCACCAGGGCAAGGGTCTGGGCTCCAAGCTGATGCGGGTGGTCCTGGCGCACGCGGACAGCCGCCGCATGCGAGTGACGGCGAGCGCACCGTGATTGTGTGGATTCATGTCCATGTGGTTCTCCCTCTGCGGCTTCGCGCACCTAGGTCCCGGACCGCTCAACACAGCAACGCGTTCCGAAGTGCTCTTGACATGTTCGTAAGACGCACTGCGTTTCTATTTGTCTTTCTCTTATTTTCTTACGTCTGCCCAGGAATCATGGCGTCTGAAGTCCGAACACATACAACTGCCATGCCGCCGCCATTCCTTCCTTGCCGCTGTGCCAACGCGTCTGCTAAGATGCAGCATTCCCACTTTGTTTTTCTGGTTGCTTCCTCCCTGCCTGCAGACCGGCCTACCTAGAGGCAAACAGCGACGACAGCCGCCGCTTCTACGAGCGTCACGGTTTCAAGGTACTGCGGGAGCTGAGTGCCGCCCCCGGGGCGCCCAGCGTCTACCTGATGGCTCGTATGGCGGCGGAGGAACCGCGAGCAGGGTGATGCGCGCGGTAGCGGTGTCGTGGCGCGGTACGGCAGGTACTGCAGGTGCTGCGTGGGGGCCATGCGGCATGCATGGCGTCGCGAAGGGCGGAGGCAGATTAAGTAAGGCGTGGCTGACTGTGGAGCGCTGGCAAGGGCTATGTGCAGATGAAGGGTTGTAGGGCTCCGGTTTTGAAGGATGGGAGCGCAGATTATGGCTAGTAGGAGGTAAGTAATGAAGTGACATATAGTGGTGGGCAGGCAGTTGGTTAGACGGACAGGTTAGACGGACAATGAGGCACTGAAAGCAAGCTGATGTGGGGGCATAGAGCTATTTTGCAGAACTGCTCTTACGACGGGGGTTAGCTATGCCCAATATCCTCGCAGGCTTCGGAATGCGCATTTTGTTAATTTAATAAAGTATTTCACTCATTCATCCGTCATGCTGTCCTGACAACAAATTCATGCGTCCTTGCTTGCATCCTAATTCATGAGTTACGAAATAGCAAGGGTGCGAAGTGCACGGATTTTGGGTTTGGTAGGACCCCATGCGTCACGTTGGCGTTGCCGTACATATCTTCTGTCATATTGCTTGCAGGGTTGCAGCGTGGTGCGGACTGAAATTAAAGTTGTTGGCGTGTGTATGTTCAAATAACTGGCGTGTGTATGTGTGCATGGCCGTTTTTGGGAATGGCGTGCAGAGGCATCAAAGGCCATGACAGGGTTGACGACCGGTATTAACATTTACAGGTTGGTTAGAGTGTCCCTACCCGACCGCCTGATGCCACTGAAGTGTGCTGTAGCTCTAAGGGCTGAACTGTAATTTTGTTGATACGTGGCTGCGCCATGAGCGGACATTCACTGACGGCTTCAACCGTTCGCAATCCTTGCCAACAGCGCACCCGCGGAAAGCCGTTAGGTCATTCTATACATGTATCTTAGGTTTCTATCATGTGCCTCAATTGCACGAATTGCGCTACTTCCGTGCCGTACGATGGACTCCGGCGGGCATTCGCACTTATAGCCTGGTCACACGACGTTAATTTCTACGTTACGTTTGCGGAAAATTGACGTGAACGTAAACGTAGACCGGTCAGCGGTCACATGACAAACATAGGGTTACGTTTTTGTTCTACGTTAACGCAGGCCAGAAACGTGAACGGAGGGGGTAGGGGATCCGTAACTTTTCCTCCTCTCGTCCTCCTTCCGCACGCGGCCTTGCAGCCCCTTGTCCTCCCACCGCCCATCATCACCCTCATGCCATGACCCACGGGTCGCTCCTCAAACCGGTCCCCCGGCCCTTGCTTCTGGTGTGCGTCCCCCCCTTCAACTCCATGTCTCCGTGCTTCCTGCATGCTTCCTGGGTTCCTCCACTCCCACTGCTTCAACCTCACCTGCTTATCCCTTTCTTTAACCGTCGGCCCGTTACCTATTTCCCTTCAGCCTACACCCGCGTCAGTAGATGTCTGGCAGCTCGCCCCACTGCCTCCGCTCCCGAGCCCGCCAGTACTCCCCCCGGTACTCCCACACGGCCCCCGGCTGGGAGGCGGGCTGCGCCATGTCCTTGGTGCCGAACAACACCTGTGCAGCAGCAGGGGGGCCAGGCGAAACAGGAGGGGGGGTAGGTCAAAGGAGGGGAGTACGGAAGGAGAGCCAAGGGAAGAGGAGGTGATTTTCGACGGGAGGTCAATACCGTACTCAGCGGAAGGGCTCGGGCAGCAGTAGCAGCAGCAGCAGCTACAGGAATCGTGATTGAGCCCTCAGCTGAGTCCCTGACCGTTCCTAATGAGTCAGGATGACGTATTCATGGCGGCTCAGTATCTCCCTCCCACTCCTCCTCCTTCCCCTCCCACCTGTCTGAACCACCTTGGCTCGTACTCCTGCCCCGCCTCCTTCCGCAGCCTCCGAGCGGTGCGCTGCTTCTCCTCAAGACGCAGCTTCTCCTGGAGAGGGGGTTGGCCGGGGAGTGAGGGAAGTGAGAGAGTGAAGGAAAGAGGAATGGAGGGATGTGAAGGGTGCAAGCGCCGGTAAGCGGATAGGGGTGACGTTCGCCCGCTCGCCTTCTTCACCCTCCTACTCACACCCTCCCTACCTCCTCGGTAGGGGCCACTAACCCCCCCTCTGCCTTGTGAATCCCTGCCTATTTCCTTTTCGTTTTTTTATGGTCTTAATTGGTCCAAAATTGACCCTCCTCACCACGCACATTCCCTCCCTCACTCCCTCCCCCCCACACACATGCCCAAGCCTATGGTAAGGTTGCTCCATAATTGGTAAGTTCGGTAAGTTTAGCTCGCATTTTTTTAACCACCATTTCGGCTCGACTCACGGTTGATTCCACCAGGGATTATCAGCAACTTGTATCATTATCACACCACACTTTGGAAGTTCTTCCCTCCCCCCCCCCCACACGTCCCCACCCACCGACGTGGCGCGGTTCCACTCCCCCAGCTCCAGCGCGCGCATGTCGGGTCGGAAGCGCGCGTCGGTGGCCGGCAGGTGCGGCACCACGGGGTCCGCGGGGTCGTTGAGGGTGAGGGCGAACCTGGGGAGAACAAGAATACCGGTACCCAATGTGTTGAACGAGGGTGGGGGAGGCGGGTGGGTGTGTGAAGGTAGAGAAGGAGTGAGAAACGCAGTTGAAGCGAGAGGTAGGGTGGGAGGAGAGGAGGATAAGACTGGGTACAGCCGCCATCTACTCCGCACTTACTGCCCTTCCTCTCCCTCCACCCCGCCCCTGACCGCATCCGCTCCAACAGGTCAACCCCTCCTTCCCTCTCTTTCCCCCTCAGTCCCCACCCACCAAACGCGGTATATGTATCCCTATTTAGTCCCCACCCACCAAATGCGGTATATGTATCACTATTTAGTCCCCACCCACCAAATGCGGTATATGTATCACTATCAGCTCCCACCCACCCACCCACCCACCCACCGTGTCATGCAGTACTGCTCGTTGGGGTCGGGCAGCTCGGGCGGCTTGCTCCAGATGAGCAGCGGCTCGGTGGTAGCGGGAAAGGAGGAGGAGGGGGGGCCGGCGGCGGGAGGGGCAGAAGGAGAGGAGGAGGAGGGGGGCGCGGGCTGCGGTGAGGCAGCTGCAGGCGGGGAGGCGGGGTAAGTAGAGCCGGAGCCTGGGGCGGAGGGGTTGGTGAGGTCGGCTGTGGAGGGGGAGGCGGCGGACGTGGCAGCAGCAGCAGTGGATGCATCCGGGCCTACGTCCGTAGCGGAGGCGGCTAGGGGAGATGCGGCCGCTGCTGCGGGTGCTGCTGACCCATGGGTCGCCGCTGCTGGGGCGGCAGAGGGGGGATGCTGTGAGGCGGAGGTGGTGGTTGCTGGCGGGGCTGCTGCTGCCGCCCTGGCCGCCGCTGCCTCGGGCGTGAGGGAGGCGAAGAGGGAGGCCATGGAGGAGCCGTTGATGCGCCACACCTGGGGGATCAAAGACCATACAAACCATAGGAAACCACAAGTTAGGGGGAGGGGGGTGAGAGGGGGAGTGGCAGGTTCACCTAACTCCCCGTACCCTCGCCTAAACACCCATCAGGTCTTCCTCTCCAAGTCCTTGTCGCTCCTCCATGCCAGCCCATGCACCCCACCCCCCCTCCATCGCCCCTTCCCTTTCCATTACAACGGCTTGGTTTCCCCCTTGACCCCCTCCCCTCCCCTCCCCACACCCCCTACAATCCCTCCCTCCCTGCAGCCCTCACCTCCCGACCCGCTGCGTCGCACACCACCCCCTCGCACTTGCCCCGCTCCTTGAGGTAGGGGTAGCCGCGGCACGGCTTAATCACCACACGCGCAGCGTCGCCTGACGGGGACGGCGACATGAAGGACTGTCAGCTGCCTCAAAACCTGGAAAAGCAGGGCATATAGTGCAGGGCTGCTACGCCCGAACAGGGAACACAAATGCAGGCAACGACCAACGATGCGGGATGTTGGGGGAACGGGGGCATGCAGTGGGGCGCATGTTGAAACGAACGTCTGGTTCAACCCCCTTCCCTCTCTCTTTCTTTTTCTCCCCCCCCCCTCCCGCTCCCCCACCTGTTCGCATGTTGCGTATCCTCATGTCGCAGGATAGGTCGATCCAGAAGCGCCCCAGGATGATGTCGTTGATGACCAGTGTGCCCAGGTTGCACCTGCAGGGGGGGCGGGGGGGGGGGGGGCGGGAGGGGGCGGGGGGGTAAAGAGGAAACAACAACTAACTGACTGAGGGATAAGGCGTCAACATGGGGCGGGAGGGGTTGGGGGAGGGGGAGGGGGTGTTTGCATGGGCATTATGTGGGGGAACGGAGGAGGGGGGTAGCGCGTAGGAGGCAGGGCGGGGCCCCTCCTGCCCCACCTGTACTCCTCCCCGAACGCCTTCAGCCTCAGCGACATGTGCCCGGACAGCACACAGTCGATGGTCTTGCCCCAGAACTTGGTCTTGGTCTCCACCTCGCCGTAGAACTCGTAGCCCTGGGGGCCTGGGGGCAGCGGGGGGGGAGGAGGGGGGAGGGGGGGAGGCTGGGGAGGGGATGATGGGGAGGAGAGGAACACACAGGTGACGGGGGGAGGTGTAAGATGGGGCGGAGGGTGGAGCACTCGCCACCCCACATCTCTTCCTTCCTCTCCCTCCCCCGCCCCTCCCCTCCTTCCCTCCCCCCCTCCTCGTCAGTTTTCAATATGTTTACCCCTTCCCTACCTGCCCCCTCCGCCACGAAACACGACACGGGCGGGTGGTGGCTGACCTGCTCGCAGATGTACCTGGGGGGGGATAGCGGGGGTAAAAGAGGGAGGGATGAAGCGGCGGGGGCCAGCAGCAAGCATGTAGCAACGGGGATGATGCAGCCGGGATGGAGAGAAGCCGGGAAGTACCCCTGTAAGAAGGGGCCGACAGGCGAACCCGCTGGCTACCTGCTGGCTTCGGATCACTCCCCCTAAAACAGCCCTTAGCATAGCCCCTCGCCCACCCCCCGGGGGATGCATGCATGAGGCCACCCGAGCCCCTCAAGCTCTCCAACAAGCCAACACAACACGCATATGCTCCCCTCTTCCCCTTCTCCTCACCTCCCTCTTTATCCCCCCCTTACCTGGCCCCCCTCTCCCTCCCCTCCTCCCCCCCCCTTACCTGGCCCCCCCGTCCGGCGCCTGCCACTCGAACGTCTCCCCCAGCAGCGGGTTGAAGGGCTTGTTGTCGCGCAGGGGCTGGCTGTTGTAACCGGCTACCAACCAGCAGCTCACCTGCAGAGGGGGGGAGGGGGGCGGAGGGTTGTGAGGGGAGGGGAGGGGAGGGGAGGGGGGGCAGTACAAGGAGGCGATGGGAGGACCCATGAGCCCGTTCCTAACCGCCTCCTCTCCCTCCCAACTCCCCAATCCACAACCCTAGCTGTGTTGCCGCGTGCGGAGCCCTCCTTCATCCCCCGCCCCACCAGCATGAGCCGGTCCAGCGGGTCGGGGCAGACAGCGGCCTGCTCCAACAGACTGCGGTTCTCGAGCACCTCAGCCATCCTGACACGGGGGCCGGAAGGGGGGCAGGGTGCAGGGTGGGGGTGCAGGGCGGGTGTGAGTACGATACGTGCAAGGTAGCGGGGGTGAGTTGAGATGGGGCCGCACGTTAGGTTGCGGAGGCATAGCGGTGGCAGAGAGGGGCTGAGGTGGGACACATAACACAGCAAACACGGGTACGGCGCACAAGACACCCACGCCCCACTCCCCACCCGCCCACTGCCCACCTCTGAGTGATGGACAGCGGCTCATTAATGGTAGCAGGCATGGTGATCTTGGTCAGGTCGCGACCGATCATATTCTTCAGGATGCTCCAAATGGAGAAACCGCGGCCCAGGGGTTTCGGAGCGGGCAGCCGGCAACGCCCCTCGTACGGCCGTCGTCCGGCGGAGGAGGCGGCGGCCAGGGCAGGAGCCCCGCTGCCGCCGCCGGAGGCGCTGCCACCGTCAGGGGCAGTGGAGCCGGCGGCTCCGCCTCCGCCTCCGCCGCCACCTCCAATGGCTGCTGTGGTGGCTGCGTCGGTGTCTATGTCATCGTATTCGTCGTACTCGTCGTCTAGAGTGGCGTCCGTGTCCTGGGGGGTGGTGGTGGGGTGAGGGGGAGGGTGAGGGGGTGTGTGGAGAGGGGTTTGCTAGGGTGCTGCGTCTGTAGTAGGTGGAACAGGACCCCCAACGGTTGGGTTGGGTTGGGGCGGCTGTGCCACCGCCACAACAGGTGACAAGCTGCTGTCATTGGAAAGGATGGCAAGCAGAGGGATGGAGAGGAGGGGCCCCATGCACCGGTAGGGTAGTGGGTACAAGTACTGGCACGCACCACCTGATCGCAGCCGTCACCTCACCTCGCCTCTGCCCCTGCCCTTGCGCTTGCCCCCCTTGCCGCCCCCCTCCTCGTCCTCCTCCTCCTCTTCCTCCGCGTCAGGTGGCGGGGGGGTGTCCGCAGCCAGCAGCGTCTGCAGCTGCGCCGACTTGCCGTTGGCTGCGATGTACTCCACCTAGGGGTGGGGGTGGGGGGGGGGGAGGTGCGGGTGCGGGGAGTAGGTGCGGGGGCAGGTGCATGGAAGGCAAAGTCAGGGCGGTGAGAGGGAGAAGGTCGGGGCAAGGCATTGTGTGGATAGGGGTGAAGTGAAGACGCTTTACCCGCAGGCCAGTGCTGTGCGTCGTGATGTGCATGTCCCGCAGCCCTCCTTCCCCACACCTCCACACCTCTACCTACCCCCTACCCACCTGCCGCACCACCTCCAGCGCATTCAGCACCTCCGCCTGCTGCGCCAGCTCGGCAGCGTCCTCCTCCTCGCCCTCCTCGTCGTCCTCCTGCAGGGGACAGACGGGGGGGAAGGGGGAAAAGAAACAGCATTCCCAGTGCAGTGAACGGTGTAGGAGAAGGTAAAGGAGGGTAAAGGCGGGGAGATGCGGGGTTGCCCCACATGCCCCACGCCATGCTGACGTCAACCGGTGTGTCAAAAGCATGTGTAGCTGTACGGCTCTCAGCAGGCGGTGGCTAAGCCAGAGAGGGAACAAGGAAACGAGGGAGGGCGCGAGCACCCCCTCTCCCTCCACCATTTTCACCCCCTCCGCCCCCCGCACCTCCTCTTCCTCCTCCCCCCCTGCCGGATAGCTCCCATGCGCCGCGTAGGGCGCCTCCTCCTCGTCATCCACCCCCAGCCGGTGGTGCAGGTGGGGGGCGTCGTCATCCAGGATGGAGTAGTCCACGCCTGCATGTGCACACGGGTGGGATATGGATGGGTAGGACATGGGTGGGACATGGGCAGAGCAAAGTGCAGCTCGCGATGGTGGCAGGTGGTGGCAGGACACCAAAGGGGGGATTGCCCCTTTCACCCTCACCTCCCTCCTTCCCTTCCTTCCCCCCCATTCACCTTCCCTTCCCCCTCACCCTCATCAAACGCCTCCACCACATCGAATGCGTCCTCATCCGCCGTGCACGCGCTGCCGCCCTCACTGCCGCCGTCCTCCTCCTCCTCACCGCCACCCCCCCTCACCGCCCCACCCGCCCCGCCTCCTGCCAAGGCCGCCAGGCTGCTGCCCGCCGCGCCCCCCGGCCCCCCTCCGGCTGCAGCGGCCCCCGCGGGCCCCCCGGGGGTGCTCAGGCCGCGGGAGCGAGCGGCGCCCTGGCGGAGGGCGCTGGAGCGCAGGATGTTGACCGTTCTGGGGTGGGAGGGAGGGGAGGGGAGGTAAGGGAGGGGGTAAGGGGAAGTGTTAATGGGGTTGATTGCAACGGGAGGGGGGGCTTCGCCTCCCCCTCCCTTCCCCCATCACTCTTCAACCCCCCGTCCCGCCTTTCTATGGTCACGGTCACCGCCTCCTCGTAACGGCTCAGCCGGGCCCTCCACCCTACACCCCCTCACTTGTTGAGCGCCCCCTTCACCCCCTCACTTGTTGAGCGCCCCCTTCACCCCCTCACTTGTTGAGCGCCCCCTTCACCCCCTCACTTGTTGAGCGCCGCGTTCTCCGCCTCCAGCGAGGCGATGCGCACCGCATCCGCATGCAGCGCCGCCCGCAACCCCTCCACCAGCGCTACCAGGGCGCCGGACAGGCTGGCGGCTGGGGGGTTGGTAGGGGGCAAAGTGGCAGGTGGTAGGGGGCGGGGTGGGGCCAGGAAGTGGAGAAAGTCCCTGTCTTCACCTTACCCATACTCCTGCCCCGACCGGGTTTGGCATGCCTAGCCTCAACACTCGTCACTCTCCCTCCTCCTCTCACCACGTCATACAGCTCGCCTGTTTCTTCCCCCTCCCCTTTCTCACTTCTCACCTGGCGGCCCGGGGGCAGCAGTGGGTCCCCCCCGGCTGCGACTCCGGGTCCGCACCAGCAGCCGCTCCACCATGCCCCCACCGCTGCCTCCTCCTCCACCACCCACCCCACCACCCGCACCGCCGCCTCCAAGTCCCTCTGCTCCGAAACTCGCCAGCCCCTCTAGGAACGGGCCCGCCGCTGCCGCCCCCAGCTCGCCCCGCCGACCCGACAGAGAGGGCCGGCCCGAGCCGGTGCCGGCGGGGGAGGGGCGCAGGAGGGAGGAGGACGACTCCGCAGCTGCAGCAGCAGCAGCTGCAGAGGCAGCAGCGGCGGCGCCAGGGGTCTGTCGGGCTCGTGAGGTGTGCAGCGGCAGCAGGGGGCCCGGCAGGTGGCCCAGACCTGGGAGCAGGCGAGGGGACGGGAGAGGGGGCAGGGCGGGGTGTCGGGGAAGTGAAGGGGGCGGGAGAGGGGGCCAGGCGAGGGCTGCCGCCGAGCTTGGCGAGTGGAAGACGTCCGAACGCAAGAACAGGGATGAAGCGTCTCCAACCCTCCCTCCGTCCTTCCCTCCATCCATGTACCGCCTCCTTCAGGTCCCCCAGCCCCCCTCCCCCCCTCCGCCCACCTGCTGCCACCCCCGCCATCTGCGCCCCCAGCAGCCCCACATGCCGCTCCACCTCCCCCACCAGCGGCGCCAGCTCGCCCAGCCGCTCCGCCAGCGCTGCCCGGATGCGGCGCCGCTGCTCCGCGTCCTGCTCCACGGCGGCAGCGGGCGGCAGCGCGCCGGCGGGCAGCGAGCCGGGAACTGGGGGAGGCAGGGAGGGAGGGAAAGGAGAGGAGGGAAGGGGAGGGTCAAAAGAGACCAAACCATACAGAGGGAGGCAGGGAAACCAGGAGGGAAGGGGGTTGCGGGAAGGAACGCACGTTTATTGCGCTGGCGTGGGTGTGGTGTGGTAGCGACGCCTACCGGCTGCGCGTGTTGCTCCCACGCCGTGGAAGGAAGGAGGAGCCACCAGGATGCAACCGAACAAACCTCGCAAGACCAATACCCAAAGCCCCCAACCTTATGCCGCCCCTTACCTCCTCCTCCGCCCTCTCCTCCCTCCGCCGCTGCCGCCGTGAGCGACTCCACCACCTCCTTGTGCTTGCGGTAGGTGGCCACGCTGTCGCGCAGGCACGTCAGCCAGGGCTGCCGCTCCTCGGGCCGCAGCACGCGCAGGAAGATGGTGCCGGCGGGCGTCACCAGCCGGATCTGACGCGGGTGCGAGTCGTCCTGGGACGCAACTGCGTCACACAGACTGGTGCTCCACACCTGTGCATGAGAGGTGGAGAGATGGGAGGCGGGGAGGGCTTTGTGGTCACATTTGAGGGTTCGAAACTCCCTTCCGTAATACAAAGGGGCGTTTGTTTTATTAACGGTAAGTGGAGAAGAGTTGGAAGAGGAAGAAGACCCAGATGGCGACGACAGCGGCAAAACCCCTGTGACGACAGAGCTCCTGTGCCCAACATACTCGGCGCCCCATGTCGTACCGCGTGCCGTACCTTTCCCTTCATGTTCGCCCGCTTGTAGATCAGCAGCACGCCGGGTGCCTCCGAGGCCACGAAGTAGCGCCGGTGCCAGCGCTTGAAGTTGCCCAGCCACAGCCACATGTAGGAGGCGGGCGGCATGCCATCGCGCTTGAGCCGCAGAGCAGTGGTGGCGTACCTGGAGGTGGGGGAAGGGGGGGAAAGTTGGTTTAGGCTGAACAGATATAGCCAGAGCCGTGCGGGCGCGCGGGGGAGGGGTATAGAGGAAGCCACCATGCAGCGGTAATATGGTGAAGGCAAAGCAGTCGGCTGGGCCGCCCGGGATTTGAGCCAAAGATTTGGGTCAGGCCTGATTTGGGTCAGGGCCGATTTGGGTTAGGCCTGATTTGGGTCAAGGCCGATCTGGGTCAGGCCTGAATTGGGCCAGGCCCGATCTGGGTTAGGGCCGATTTGGGTTAGGCCTGATTTGGGTTAGGGCCGATTTGGGTCGGTTGCGGGTCAGGCCTGATTTGGGTCGAACGCGGGTCAGGTACCCAAGGCAAATAACTTCCTGGATGTCTGGGTTCCCACACACCCAGTCTCCCGCCAGCCCACCACCACCGGCCCACCTGCCCATGGCCGCTCCCGCCTTGGTCCTTGCCATCACCCTGAAGGGCGTGGCGAGGTAGGAGAAGGGGTTGACCGGGTGGTTGGGCGGGTTGAACGCCTCCACAGCCGCCGCCGCAGCCGCAGGCGCTCCTGTGACGCCGCTGCCGCCACTACCGCCACCTTGAGCCCATGAAGAGTGTCCGCCGCCTCCGCTGCTTTCCTCCCCCCCTGACAAAGTACCAGCACCCCCACCCCCGCCTCCGCCGACTCCAGGAGCGAAGGTGGTTTGTTTCTTCCGCACCAAGTTTCCGAAGTTCAGGCGCTGACCCAACTGCTGCAGTCGGCCGCGACCGACATGCCCGGGGCCGACACCGCCGCCTCCGCCGCTGGCGGCGGCGGCAGCAGCAGCCGCTGAGGCTGGTGGCGCCGCCGCCGCGACTCCGGAATGAGAGGAGCTGCTTTTGACTGGCGGCGACGACGCCAAAACGGCTACACCGCCGGAGTCAGATGATCGAGATGTGCGGCGGTTCCAGTTCGGGGCTCTGCTGCCGCCGCCATTCCCGGCGCCGCCGCCGGAGCCGCTGCTAACGTGGCCTCCGCCGGCGCCACCGCCACCCGTGGAGTATGCCGCGCCGCCGGAGGCGGCGGCAGCGCCGGCACCACCGTCAGAGTGGTTGATGGGGCTTGTGGGTGCGGAGGCGACGGGCGGAAGCGAGGACGCGGAGGGCGCGTGGGGCGGGAGGGGCGGCGGAGCACCGCCGGCGCTGGCGGAGGCGACGTGAGCGTGTCTGCCGCTGACGGATGTGGGCGTTGGGGCGGACGGAGGCTGGGAGTGGCTGGGTGAGTGGGAAGAGTCGATCGGGGAGGAGGCGGAGGCTAGCTTGGGTGGGATGGGCATGGTTGGGTTATAGCTGTTCTGGTTTGGTTTGAGGCTGCTTCAAAATGAGGAGAGCAAAGGCAGGAGAGTGGAGATGGCGTGGAAGGGCCTTATGAGGCGCTGGCGTTGCACTGCTACCGCTTCTGATGCTATTTCAGCAGCTTCGATGGCTGGTGTTCAGAATTCAGAGGTAGTTCATGACGCCGGCCCCTACGAAATGATAAGAGCGTTTGCTGGCGGCAAACGTCTCTCTGCGAGACGCGCCCGCTGTCCGAAAGCACTCTGTCAGGCGCTTAAATAGCTCCAAAATTAGGCCTTAAGCAGCGCTCATGAATTAACCCCTCCATCACGGCTTCGCCTAGCAGCCTGGGGTTGAGCGCGCGGAGGGCGTGAAGAAGAAGCGGATTGGCAGTTGCTCCCAGGGCTCGGATTACGGAATGTCGTTGGGGCTAGATGCAATGTTTGGCCCGCAAATCCAATCCTTATTGTGCGATCGGCGGAGTAGCGTAGTATCTCCCTTCGTGGACAGTCAAGGAATGTAAGGAATGCGCGTCCCCCTTGAAGCAATCCGCGCAGACTGCTCGATTCAAAGCCTGCAATAGAGTAACAGCTGCTTGCCTGTCAGGTCTCTTTGGTCCAAGCTGAGCTATCTGCGTCTGCACCGATGTAAAAGAGGTCGAGCCTCTACAGCCCTTGCGTGGCGTGTAAACCTAGCAAAGCAATAGTTGTGTGGTACATTACGGGTGGCGTAGAAAACTAAATAATCAGCGGTATCCTACGTCTGGATATACCCGCCAGCGGTTTGGGAAAGGTGCTCCTTGCGTGAGCGCACATACACAAACGTTTGGCAGCTTACCCTTATATGTCAAGGCTTAAACGACCTATATGGATGTGTAGCGAGCGACAGAAAAGCACTGCAGCTGTTGGCTAGGCTGTTGTAACCCTTATCCTAGCCCTAGGGCTAGATTGTTGTTTGATAATTGCTGTGCACTTGAACCTAACTCATTACATACAAATGTTGGTAATCTCTGCATCCCATTATCAATGCTTTTCCGGGAACTCCATGAGTGCACTTCAACTGCAGCTGCGGTCAGGTGCGTGTACGGTACCATGCATGTTAACCGCTGTCCAGGCTTTCCTATGACCCCGCGTGTCAATAACTCAGTACCCAAACCTGTGGGCTATCCTTATCCCCCATGATGCCTTCCCCTCTCCTTCCCTGCTGCCCTCCTTTATTCCCCAGCAACAGAGGGACGGATCACAATGTCCGTAACGTAACACGGCACCATCTAATGGCCGCCTCTGCAACGATATAGCGCAGCACTCCTCTCGCACACGCCCAGTTGGGGTGTCATTCCTCCATGCAACCTACCTCCTCTCCTCCAATGCAACCCACCTCCTCCCCTCTTGGACAACATCGATAAGGACCGCATGTGGGACAACTAGCATGCCCGCGTGCCTGCCGTACTGCGCATGTACGGCACGCCCTCCTCTTTTCCTACAGAGCCGACCCAAATCGCCAAAAAGGCATGAGCTCAACTGCCTACCCGCCTACTGCTGCTGCTGCTGCTTTAAATGCGTTCGTTCGTTATTAATCACCTATAGTGGGTAGCGACCCAAGAGACACACGCAAACACACATGGTATACCAACCAACCAACCAAAACGCAGTCAACATAACAGCCAAGGTAAAACGTGACAACCTCAGATTTACAACACACTCGCACAATACACATGTCTGACCAGTTTTCTTAACACACATGTCTGAAGGTACGACAAAAACCAAGCAACCCGAAGAAGCACCACCAACAAACGAGCACTTGCGCGCCTGTCGACGTCATTACACAGCAAGAATTTGGCAGGAGAGCAACAACAAGGCAGAAGGGCAGCAATGAGGCGCCTAATGGGAGTCAAACCGGTATCACTCCCAATGCCTTTTTGAGCGTCGCCAGATATCCGCATAACGGCGGAAACAGCGCCACGTCAACCGCGATGCTGCCTGGGAAGCCAACAACCCAGGAAGGGGGAAAGGCACTCGGCAGCTTTTTTGGGAAACATTGTGTCCAAGGGTCCCAAAGTCCGATACTGTGAGTAGACACCCATCTTCCTCGAGTTGGGTACGTGGGTAGCCAACTGGTCAGACCCCCTCGCTGATCCGACCCCCATGCATGGATCCCCCCTTGGAGGCCTCGCCTGCAATGTGGGCAGCGCTGGCTCACAAACGCAACATGCACTACACCGCTGGGTCCCCGCAACCTCAACGTGCCCACTACAACGCGTCTAGACCAAAGACGTCCCTTCCTCCCAAGATAAGAGGCAACAGCAGCAGCGGCATCAGCGGCGACCGCCTCGTCGGCGGCAACATAACCGCAACCACTCCCACACTAACAACGCTGTCCGATGCATTGCAATCCTGCGTTTTTATCCATTCATTCATCCGTCCATCCAATCATTCGCTCCCACTCTCTACGTATGTGCGCTGCAGCCACTCGATCACTCACTCACCCCTCCGCATCACACTCCGCATCGCTCCCCTCAACCATAGCACATCCGACATTACTGGGTCCGTACGCAACAAGCCAGTTAGTGTGCCCCTCACAACCGGCGTCTAACACTGGACAGCTATACCTGGAACCTTCGCTAGATCACCAGCAACACAGTAAAACCCGCCAGAAACGCATAGGTACAATAGGTGTAACAACTACCATGCTACCGGCTAGTGCTGTGGCTGTTATCGCTACCGTTCACATCTGCAAGGCAGGCGGCAAGCGACTGCCTTCCCAGCCTGCGCTGTGCTGCTGCCTCTGCTGCTGCAGTGCCCTCACCGCTACCGCTGTCACCGCCACTGCTGCTACCACCGTTGACAGCAGTGGAAGGGGAGGGAGGTGGAGGAGGCGTTGATCGTCGCAAGCGCCCTGCTGCTACTGCCCTGCTTCTACCACCGGTCCTAATGCTGCTCTTCCGCACACGCCGCTTGGTTCGGCCCCTCTTGTTCTCCTCCACTTCCTCGCCGAAATCCTCACCCACACCCCTATCGCCGCTCTCCTCCTCCTCCTCGTCTTCAGCAGCCTTAGCCTCCTCTAGGGCCGCCTGTTTCCTCACCAAGCGCTCCAGGAAAGGCCGGGCCAGCCCACCCGCAGGGTCCAGCTGCGCTACCGCCCATGCCAGATCGTTCAGCCGGTACGAATGCTGCTCCGAAACCAACAACGCGGGAAGGAGCTGTTTCGTACGTCCGAGTACGGCAGCGAGCCAGGGTGCGGGCAGCTGGGCGTCCAGGAAGGCCAGGCAGTAGAGGATGCTGATGAGGTCGGCAGGACTGAGGGAGGGAGGGAGGGAAGGAGGGAGGAAAGGGTGGTGAGGAGTTTGGGGTGGTTAGCATGGGGTCAAGCGAGAACCGGGAAGCGAGGGTTCACAGCCGCTGTGCTGTAGACAGGTAGTTCAGCCGAAGTCAACCGATGGCTGTCAAAGAAACAACGCATGGACAGGTTGTCCATGCAACAGAACCCCATAAGTCCACGTCCCCCGCACCCACCCACAAGATCCACCTCTTACCAGCACGCATGCAGCTGACGAAGCACCTGCTCCCCAAACGCACCAACCCAGGCCGGCGGCAGACGGTGTCGTACCCGGGCCAGCCCCTCAACCAGCAAGACTAACTGCGTGGGACCCATGGAGCGCAACGACCCATGGGTCGCGGGCAGCAGCGCTTGCAGGGCTCCGGAACCCGTGGTAGACAGCAGCGCCGGAGGGTGGCTGCCCTCGTGGATTGCCGTACCGAGGGCCCAGACCAGGTTAGCGAGGTCCTCCGCGCGACGAACTCCGAGGCTGTTGCTGCTGGGGCTGGCGTCATAAGCCCGATGCCCAGCTGCGACGGCGGTGCCTGCAACCTCGCCGCTGGCGTCCAAATCAGGCAACGCCGCCAACATGGCAGGCAGGTACGACACGTACGATGACAGCCATTCGTACGAGGGCACGTGACCCAATTGTGCCATAGTCCACGGCAGTCGCACGAACAGCTGCGGAGGTACCTCCGCCAGCGCCTGCTGCCCTTCCAACGCTGCGGATTCGACACACTGCCACCAAGCCGGCGGCGGGGCCCGCCGCACTAAGGCCCATGCCGTACACAGCTCCGCAACCAACGCCGGCGACAACACCGCCGCCGCCAGCGCCGGCAGGAGCTGCTGTTGCAGCCGGAGGGCCACGTCAGCTGCGGGAACGTACTGCAGGGACGCCAGGCAGCACACGACGCGGCCGACAGCCTCCGGCGGCCACTCGCCGCTGCCGCTGCCAGAGGTTGCTTCCGCACGCCTGCTGACATAACGTGCGATGCCGGCCAGCCAACGGCTGCTGGGGGAAGCACCCCAGCGAGCCAACGAGGATAGCAACATGACTAATGCCGTAGGAGCAGCGGGGCAGTCGGTTACGTTTTCAACGTCGCCGCCGCCAGCCCCCCAGAGCGGCGGCGGCGGCGCCGCCGCCGCTGGAGCTAACGCCGACAGCAGCTTATGCAGCGGCTGCTGGACGATAATGGAATGCGCCATGGCTAGTACGCCTACCGCCCAACCCTCCGACTGCGGCGCTGCCGTGACCCATGGGTCAGCCAAGCTCTGCAACTTCGTCAGCGTCGCAAGCTGCTGCGCGGGCTCCGCCGCCGCCAACTCGCGATGCAGCTGCGCTGAGGCCGCCGCCACGAGCTCACTCAGTACCACCCTTTCCGCCGGCGCCGTCACCAACGACGACGTTACCGCCGCCGTCGGCCCCGCCGCTGCTGGCATCAGCACTTCATGCGTCAGAGGCTCCGACGGCGTCTCCGCCATCCCGTCGCCATCATCGTAGTCATCCCCCTTATCTTCCATGCCGCCGACGTCGCCATCCTGATCCTCCCATCCCAGCCCTAACCGCTGCAGCTCCGCCACCGCCGCCAGCACCTCCTCCGGCGGCAACCCGCCCACCGCCACCGCTGCAGCCAGTGCCGTTGCGTAGTTCCGGAGCCAGCCAGCCGGCGGCGGCGGCCGCAGCGCCAGCCGCCGCTGCAGCTGCAGCGCCATGCAGAGATGCTGCGGCGGCAACGTCTGCAGCCGCCGTGCCGTACAGTCATACCATGCGGTAACCCAGCTAGGCCCCGGCACGTGACCCATGCAGGCCAGGCATGCTAGGAGCTCAACTAGGGAAGCAGCGGACACGCAGGATTGTCTTAGCTTGGGTGCAGTGGCGTCCTCAAAGGCCGGGAGCCAGTCCGGCGGCAAGGTGAGGTCCCGTACGGCAGGAGGCGGCGGAGGCGGACGAGGCGCTAGGCGCGGCGGAGGACACGGAGAGGACGGGATTGCTGTTGGTGATGCCGAGATGGAGGGCTGGAGGGCTGTGGAATGGGAGTCGGCAGAGTTCTGTGAAGCGCTGGTGATGCTGTAGACGGTGGTGGAGGCGGTGGCGGTGGTAGCGGCCACCAAGGCGCCAGCCAGGTCTAACAGCAGCTGAATGGGCGCTGAGGGCAGGGAGCGAAGGGAAGCTGCCAGCAGGGCTGTTACGGGGGGCTGCTGCTGCTGCTGCCGCGCCCTTATGCGGTGATGGTGAGCTACCTGCTGCTGATGCTGCTCCTGCTGCTCCTGTGTCTGGAGGTCGTCTTCTGCGTCTGCTGCTCGTACGGCTGCTACGGCTGGTACGGCAGCTGCTGTGGTTGCTTCCGTGGAGGACGCAGCCATGGACTGCAGCTCCTCAGCGGGTGCGTACAAGGCACCCAGCAGCCGTAACAGGGACTCCAGCTCCCCGCTCGACAGGCCGTTCAGCCGGCCGCCAAGCCGCGACGCCAAGCCATGCAGCCACTTTGCCGGCGGTCGGACGTCCATGCCGTACAGCCCCTGCAACAGCCCCAGCGCCGCACGCGCGCTGCAATTCCTGCCGCTAACCCGCACCACGGCATCACCCACCGCCTCCCGCGCTGCCTGCGATATCGGCATGTACCCAAGCCGCGCCGCGGCGCACAGTGCTTGCCCAACATTGTACGACTGCGTTTCGTCCAGATCCGCTCGTACGATTACTCGTACGAGCGCCGCCACGAGACGGCGCCTCGGCGCCGTGACCTGTGGGTTCCTGGGCGAACGGTCGCCGTCGCTGTCGTCATCCGCGGGCGTGAGGCCGCTGCCGCCGCATGTCGTTGCTGCCGCCAGGTATGCGAGCACCTCCGCCGCATGGCTGGGCTCCAGGGAACCCCAGTTGAGCATGTCGGCAACACGTGACAGTACGGCGTCGTGGCAGCTCCTGCTGACGCCGATGCCGCTCACTGGGACCAGCAAGGAACGCAGACCCATGCAGATCGCGGCGAGGTCGTTGACGGCAGCTTCCGGCAGCGCAGCTGCAGCCGCTGCGTCAGCAGCCGCCAGGAACGCTTCCGCCACCGGGACAGCATCATCGCCAGCGCCGCCGTCGCTGCCGGCGCCCCTGGTACTGCAGCTGTTAGCCAGGCGGCCAACACTGAACAGCACGGCTGCAACCTCAACAGGTTCTAGCTCCGCCAGCAGCGGCGCCGTCGCCGCCGTAAAAGCATGCAGCCACTGCGGATTGACCCGTGGGTCAATCTGCGAGTAGCCTGCCAACGCGTTACACAGCGCCTGCCGCCCCACGGCGCCCTCCTCTGCACGCGCCTGCAGCGCCGCAGTCCACTCGTCCAGCCAAGCCCCCGACGGCGCCTTGTTCAGCCTGGCTAGCGACCACATCATGCAGGAAAGCGCTCGAGCAGGTGCATGCGCCAACGTCACGCCTGACGCCGCTTCGTGCCATGCGAGCAAGAGATCCCGAGGCGGCTGTCGCAGCCCCAGCCGCGCACAGCCCCAAAGCGACATGGTCAACGCCTGCGCCCCCGCCGACCCACGTTCCCGCCGCAATCCCGACGTCAGCGCTGCCAACACCATCGACATGACGGCGTCGTCTAGCCGCACGTCGAGTACGGCACATGCCCAGAGAATCGTTGCGAGGGTACGGACATTGCCGCCGATGACGGAGCCCGCGGCGGCAACTGCCGTACGTTGGTTTCGCTGCTGTGCCCCCGTCAAGGCGCCGACCAGGGCTCGCCGCACCACCGCCAGCCAACGCGCGTCCGGCCGCAACCTCATCGCTGCCAGCGCCCAAAGACTAAAGCTCAGCTGCCGAGCGCTGAAGAACGGCAGCAGCTGCACACTAGCGGCCTCGAACTCCCCCACCCACACCGGCCCCGGCCGCAGTCGCAGCCTTGCCATGCCCCACAGCGAAACCGCCAGCGACTGCGGCCCCGCGATACCCCAGAAGTGCCGCATCTTGGCAGCCAGCAACGTCCCCGCGGCCCTGACGGCCTTGGCCGCCGCCAACGACGACACTGGCGGCGGTGGCAGAGCGGCTGCCGCCACCGCTGCCGGGCCCAGCGGCGGCGGCGGCGGCGCGGGTAGCAGCGGCTGCAGGACGCCTAGCGCCCAGAGCATGCAGGAGACCGTTCGGTGGTTGGCATGCGGCATGAGTCCGGGCAGAAGTTGCAGCAGGTAGACCAGCAAGTGTGCGACGCCGGGGTGTAGCATGGATTGTCCTTGCTGCTGCTCCAGCTGCTGCTGCCCATGCCCCTGCTCCTGCTCCTGCTGCTGATGTCCCCCTGGGTCGGGATCCGAACCCGGGTCTGGATCCGGATCCACGGGAAGCTCCCGCATGAACGGTCGCAACGGTGCACCCAACGGCAAGCCAGCCAAGGTGGCGGCTCTCTCAGCCTCTTCCGTCGCTGCGGAGAAGGAGGCGCCGCAGGTACCTCCGTTGCTACCGCAGCTGCATGGCTGCCACCGCCCCCCCGCATCTCGCCTCAACCCCGTGCCCCGACACTGGTAGCGGCCGCTGCACCCACCGCCGCCGCCGCCGCTGCAGGGCTGCCCAACCGGCACACACCTCCCAGCGCCACCGCCTCCCGACGGCGTCGCTGCCCTAGGCAAGCGCAGCAACAGCGCTGTCGGGTCCGCTCTGTGCAGCCTGGCAAGCCGCACCAATGCAGCACCCAGATGGACACAATCCAGGTCGCCAGCCGCCGGCGAGCCCCACGCCGGCTGCTGCTGCTGCTGCTCGCCCTGAACCCCCGGCGGCAGCGGTCCTGCTAGTGCTAATCGTCCAGCTCCCGCTGACGCCATGCCGCTGCCGCCGCCGCCACTGCTGGCGGAGACGGCGCTGGCGGCCCGCAACCCAACCAGCTCCGCGATCCGACGCCAGTCCTCAGCGCGACTCAGCTCGGTCGTAAGCTGTTTAGGACACAACAAAGCCGGCTGTGGAGAGTGCCAGTTGCCGTTGGCGGCTGCGGTTGGAGAAGCGGACAGCACCGCGGTTGCGACAGGCCCACCGAGGCTCGGGGAGGCGGTGGTGCTTCCGCCATCGCCCCCGCGGGGCCCGACGGCAGCGATGCCGCCTGCAGCGGTGGGCGGCGCACGCCGCATTGGCGGCGGTGCCAGCTTGAGCTGCTGCCCTGACTGTTGTGGGGAAGCGTCTAAACTGCTGAGACTCCTCGTGACTGATACCATCGCTGCCGCCGCTGCTGCTGTCGCCTTGGTGGCTGCGACAACCGTCACTGGGTCACCGGGCAATGGACCGGCGGTAGCTTCGGCAGGCGAGCAAGCTTGCGCTGCCGAGGCGGCAGAGGCAACGCCACCCGAGACGTCACCACCAGAGGTCGCCGGATGTGAGCAGGCCCCATGCGAAAGGCTAGCTTCTAGTCCGTGCGTGACAGCGCTCGTACAACCAGGATCCGTGGCCGCGGATGCGGGGTGAGGAGAGGAGGGCTGCTGGGCCCCACAGGACGCCTGCGGCCCCGTTTGCATGGGCGAGGATGGGGGGTGGCTGGGGATACGGCTATCAGCGAGCGGCTGAAGCTCGGCCGATGTTGCAGCCGAGCCTTGCAGCGGCTGGCTTCCATCGCCGCCTGCTATTGCAGCATCAGTGTTCCCCTGGACAGCTGAGGCTGAGGAGCTTGGGGGCGATGCATGGTTGGGGCGGTCCGTTGCGTCTGTCGCTGACGCGCTCCCCGAATGGAGCTGCCCCTGCCCATGCATGTGGTGTTCATCATGCTCCTCGCCATGCTGCTGCTGCAGTTGCTGTTGTGCATGCTGCTGGCATGGGTGCTGCTGCCGTAGGTCCCCCTCACGGCCCCATGCGGGCGCTGAAGCGACCGCGCCACCGCTGTCGGTCCCGGCCTCCCTTCCTCCAGCCACGACAGTAGCATGGGGCGACCCGCCTGGCGACCCATGCATCTCCGCTGCCAGGACGGCTGCCTCGACTGCGCGCGCCAACGACCCGCCTGGCGACCCATGCATCTCCGCTGCCAGGACGGCTGCCTCGACTGCGCGCGCCAACGACCCGCCTGGCGACCCATGCATCTCCGCTGCCAGGACGGCTGCCTCGACTGCGCGCGTCAAGCTCGCAAAGCCACCAGAGGAGCTGATAGTTGAGGACGGCAACTGCACCTCGGCCTCATGGCCTTGCCCTGCCGCTCGACCTTCGCCTCCTCCTTGCCCTCCCCACTGCTGCTGCTGCGGAACATCCTCGCCATGTGACACGCGCTGTGGCAAATGCAGTCCATTGCTAGCGTCCTCGTCAGCTGGGGTTTCGAGAGGTCCAGGATCCAAGCCGGATCCAGCGCCATTTGACCGGGGATGCAGGTTTGACCGCAGCCAGCCGCGCAGACTGGCGCCGCCACCCTCCAGCCATCGGGATACCGTGGCCGACAGGTCTACAACCACATCAAATGGGAGACCCAGAACGCCCTGGTTCGCAACCGCCTGTTCCTCCTGGTTCTTCGCTGCTGCAGGAAAGTTTCGGTGAGCTCCGTTGACAGCATCCTGCCGTTGCTGCTGGGGCTGCGGCTGCAGCGGTGACCGCAGCTGGGATAGGATGTGCTGGTTGCGCTGTGCTTGGTAGGAGCTGTGGTTGTGGTGATGGCGAATGCGGCCTTTTTGGGTTTGCGTGCTGCCGCTGCGGGTGCCGCCTCTGCAGCTGGTGCTGGCTGTCAACGAGACGTCAGTGACGCCCTCGCGCCATAGCAGCGCGCCAGGCGGGCTGGCAGAGACTGTTAGGCTTTCGGCTGGGTGGTCAAAGCCATCAATGAAGAGTGGCTCCGAAAGCTGCAAGTCATCACCCAAGACCCCTGGACGAACCTCCCGATACCGCCGGGAGCTATGCGGGGTGCTGCTTCCTGGGTGAGAGTCTGCAGGTGCTGCTGCTGCACGCGGAGCTACAGGCGTGTGCGAGCCCGCCTGCGCAAAGTTGCAGGCACCATGACACGGGGTGGGCTCGTAAGGATGGGAAGCGAAGACGGCAGCGTGTAAAAGCGTGCCAGAGAGTTAACCACGGATTTCCAAACAGATGTTGGCTACAAAAGGTTGCAGTAGTGAAGGCGACGGGTCGATCGCCGGCCGCCGTGCTTACCCTAGGTCCTGATGCTGCACCAGCATGACGCGAAGCGAGACGTAGCAACGGGCTCGATGGATTACATCTGTGACGATTCATGGGGTTCGCGTTAAGGATTTGGAGAGCTGCGGAGGTCTCCATTCACGTCAACACCCAAATTGTGGCTAACCTGGAGGAAGATAATAACTGGGCCGAATATTGTTTACTTTCAATTGGTGTCAAATTCGTGGCACCTGCCCTCATTTAGTACCCAGCGCTGGACATACTGCCAGCCGCCGGCGCTTCTACCGCAGTGGCCAATAGAACTTGACCATAAGCTAATTCAGTATAAATTAATTAGCTCACAAATCGATGTAGAAGCGAAATTGGGTATACTTTTCCTGTCCTCCCGACAGGCATGTTACAGTGAAAAAGGATGCCGTTACACCGCAACAGTTACCGTGCCGCAACACTGTATCCGAAGCCTATCGTTACGTTTGTCGGAAAGCCTCCGCCTTTGCAAAATTGCATCCTCGGATACGGCACTGACAAACGCAAGTAAAGTTAAAGCATCCTATCTCCGGACGTCTTTTCTTACGTCTTTGTAACTCTTACTTTTCCTGGCATTTGAGAATTTCCTAGGCGGTCTTGGCTGCTTCAGGAGGTCCTGCTTTCAGGACATGTCCCACCTGGCAAGTATGTCGGGGCGGGACACGACTACGCCGTGTTATCATATGTACGCATGCCACCGGTTTTGCTTACATGCAAGTAGTTACGATATAATACTTCATTTGTGATCCACCAAAGGGCAGACCCTAGGGTCGCGGGTGTGGCGTGCCTTTAAATCGTGGGCTGTAGGTATGTCGATGTTAGAGCTCTATATAGGCCTGGTCAAAGCATAATCGATGCACTTTCACGCTACCGGCATCCTAGGGTTGGCAACTTTGGTAAGCAGCAAAGCCCAAATGCACATTCCCTGGGCTCTCGCCGTTGCATGAAATGTTGCCTTCAGAAGCACCGATATTACTCTGATGTCCGAGCGTGACGTGGGGCCGTGAGGGCCGCTGTTGACGGTCGCCTGTCATTGAATCCCTCAGCTGCTGCCTAACACCCTTGCTACCGCTTCGGTTTTCCGCAATAGGATTCTAAGTGATCGGGACGCGACCCCAATTACTGCACAAAACACAATCCTTCTTCGCGCCCAGCCGGTCATACATCTTACCACGCATCTTACCATCCGTGTTCGTACCACCAACACCTGCAAGCACAACACAACCGTATTGCAACCCTCAACACCCCTCCGTGGAAGAGCTGCTGCTGCGCCGCACTCAGCCGCGAGTTCCCTCAACCCATATCCTACTATTTGTAGCCAAAATGCGGCGGCTCTCATCAGCTATACCCGCCAAGTACGGTTACAGGAGCCGACGCACCAACAGCAACAACACCACCACAGCTGCTGCGCCAACAGTAAACTGCAGGGCTGCAGGCAGCAGCAGCGGCAGCGGCTCTTTCATCAGGCGGCGCCAGCCTCTGATGCGATTCCTAATGCTGGCCGGGGTAGCCTTCGCCGCTATCACCTTCCTCCTGCTCGCACCTACCGTCAGCGCCAGTAAGCGTACACCGCCAGAGTGAATGAATGGCCGTTAGTGCCTCATGTGAACTAGCAGCACGGGTTTGGGTACGTGTGACATACCGTATACGGTAGAATGGAATTATAACGAGGGTACGGCAAGCCGAGTAGTCACGCTGTCGCTTGCAGCCGAATTCTTACACTGCCCCGTATGGTTCATCGTCCGTGATCGCTCACACATTAACACGAGGCTCGGTTGCACGACACATGCTACCGTCGCTTCTGACGCTTGTGAACAGGCCGAGTCATGCCGGCTGGGAGCGGACGCCAACTGCACAGGTAAAGAGCAGTCGTGTATGCCATGCGCGCCTTATAAAGGTAATGTTAGGGGTGGGAGTCGGCCTGAGCTCTTGAGGCTATACCGGTACTGTGTGCGGCAGATGCCAACCCAGCATGAAAATGTGAGTGACGCATTCCTAGTGGCCCCAGTTGCTCTCCTGCTGGGTCGGTTGGTGGGCCTCCTGCGCATGGACCTTTCCAGCTTTCCGTACCATACATTACTTTGTTGTACATCCCTCCATTCCACACCGCAGCATTGGCGGCCTTCCGGGCGTTGGCATCGATGGTCTGCTAAAGGTGTGTCGTGTGCATGCGTGGGTTCGTGCCAGCGGCTGGCATGTGCGCGTGCCGGGTCGGTGGGTCGGTGGTTGCAGTTTCCAGTGCAGTTGCTTTGGTTAGTAACGGTGTATTTGTTGCTGTTGGTTACAGCGTGCTTTGCTCTTGCTGTGCGCTTGTCCGTTGGCTGCCGTTAGCTTGTTTTGATTTGAGAGGTGTACGGCAGTGTTCGCGAGCGCGGTCTTGCCGAGGCACCGAGCGCAGCTCGGTGCTCTCTCGGCCTCCATGGTGTATGCACGCACGGCCTTAGTTGTGTAAGTTCTAGGGCAGAGTTCCGGAGAGCAATAATAGATACAAGCATAACGTGCATACGTCGCGCGACTGCCTCCTCGCGGCCATAACTGCGCAGCCTGATCAACTCCAGTTGTGACAGGTGCGTCGCAAATAAAGGGCCGACTCTCCAACCAATCTTGGCTCTCACTATGAAACGCTACCACCAAGCTATGCGAGAATGCGATGTGCCGTACTGAGTGCAAGCGGTTTGCCTGGTGCACAAAGCGGGCTGGTGGGCGGTGGCCGCCTCAAGCGTGTGCCATCCGCCCATCCCTCACCAACCCACGCCTCCCTTGCAGTATGCCAAGTACCTAAAGGACCAAGCAACACCCGCACCTGCACCCGCATCTGCACCCATACCGGCGGCCGCCCCAGCGGTTGCATCACAACCCGCCGCGGCAGCCGCCGTACCTGCTGCCATACCCGTCGGTAGTGCCGTGGTAGGTGGGAGGTCACAGCGACAGGACGACCCTTGGGAGGATGATGCCGCGGCGCATACCTGTACCAAGAAGGCTGGACAGTGGCCTGGAATTCCCTGCTCGTCCCATCCCTCTTTCCTTCCTGCTGCACGTGTGCCCCTACCTCCCCACCGCCAGGGCAACAACGCTGGCCTATCTGCCGTCGGCGCCCTTTCAGCCCTGAAACCCGCAACCGGCGCGGCGGTTCCGCTTCCTGACCCGGTGGCCGTGGCCGCTACCAAGGCGCTTGGGCTGCAACCCTCGAGCTCCGGCGGTATCAACGTCGTCAGCACCAATCCGGTGTCGCTCTCCAATCCCATTGGTACGTCCCGCTGGCCCAGGCCCGCAATGCGTGCTGCTGGTCCTTGCGCAGCATGTCGGCCGTGGCCCCGCGTGGTTGTGTACCCATTAGCAGCTGACAGCGCGAGGAGGCAAATGCACAGCCCAAACCAAATCCCCCGTCTCACGTGCGACGCTGTACCCAAATGCTGATGTGTCTGCCCCCCGCTTTCCGGTTTCCCATGGTGTGGCATGGTCCTGACCCATCTTCCCTTGCGATCCCTGGCATGTCGGTGCAAACGCCCGTCCTTAACGTGGATGGTCCGCGGCTTTGTCGAACAGACTTGTACGGAGGGAACTATAACCACGTAAGTAGCGCGCAAACGGTTACATGGCTGCGTTCTCGTCACCTTTCAGGTCTGACCACTTGCTCGAGTACATGCTGTAACAGTGCACGTCTTCTGCTCAGCCCATGAGTTCGCACAAGCGCTTAACTAATGAGGCACAGCAACCGGACGTACGTTCCTTGGTGCCAGTATGTATGGGCGTCCATGCTCCCTTCCAAGCAATCCCTCCTCTTCCCATCCTGCCCTGCTATGCAAACTGTCCTGGGTCTCGGCGGCGGCCTGTGTGCTTGCCGTACAACACCTACGGACAAACCGCCAACTGCCAACTTCGACCAACACCGCCAACCGCCCATTGCGGATGTGCGCTCATTTCCCTCACACATCTGCCTCCGCAGAGGGGAAACGAGGTGCGTGGTTGGCGTTATGTTGGGGCCGCAATGCCATTGCACGCCCTATGACCGCAATAGCAGCCCCGATTACACGCTTCGTTGCTGCTCATAAGCAACACCAAAGTCTAACGAACTGCAGAGAGAAAACTGGTAACTCGTGCCAGTACTATCAGCACTTCCTAGCATGCGCTTGCGGCAACTCATTCCGGCATGACGCAACCGTCCACTCCCGTCCAACCTTTCCCGGCAGGCGGGAGCCGCGGGCAGGTGATCCGTCCTAATCAAGCAAGGCGCGCTTCTGAGTCTGCACCCCGTTAAGTCATCTGGCTACACCAGCAGCGGAACTGGATTGCGTCTTGGCAAATCACATGGTCAGATGCCTTTATCTGACGCCTTTGGCTGTACGGAGATACAGATTCGTGTGGCAACACCGGTGCGCATCAGCGGGCGAACCTGAAAGACCTGAGGACTTCGTTTCTGATAATTTGGCTGAAATCGCTACGCATATAACGCTGGTAAGCCCTGCCGTAACAGCTGTTCCCAAGGCGCGTATTTCGTAGTTGTGAGGCGCTGAGAGGGGAGACGTGAGAGAACTGGGAGGGCGCATGTTGGGCCGTGACCCTGCAACGGTACGGCAACTAGCGCGGCAGTGCCACAACATGGATCCAGGGGCAAAGTATCTGGAGTGGGCTTGTAGGGAAGCTACGAGGAAGAGATATTGGTGGTTGCTGGGTTTAGATGCATTTGGGCGGCACGCATTGAATGAAGGACTAAATGAAGTAAACGGCCAGTGGGTCCAGGCTGGTTAGCACCATTATAGGCTCCGCATTCGTCGTTCGGCAGCACGGGGGGCGGGAGTGCGGGACAATAATAATAGGCGTGATTGACTGGCGAAGCGAAGCGGCAAAAAAGTTGGGGCGGAGGTGTGGTTGCACGGCATGGTGGAAATCCATGCACGGCATGAACAATGAACACATGATACGCTTTGTTGCAGATTGAGACAATGAGGGTTGGCGTGTATTTGGGGTTTCGGAGAATGGGACCGTGTGTATTAGGCAGGTGGTGGTAGCCAATCTACGGTAAAGATAACTTCAAAGGGTTGCCACTTAACGGCATGCAGGACTGGAGGAGAGGAGTAAAGGGACGGCAGCAACAGCCCAAGACAGCTATGGTAGGGACGTGCATGTTAAAGAGTGTTTGGGGGAAGCTGGTGGTAGCATTTTGACACATGTTCGAGGCGCGGTCCGACAAAGGCCTTTCCCTCATACCGCATGCCCCAAGCGAAGAAAACACGCTATGCGATCCACAGGTGCAATGTAACTTAACGGCACAAGCTGTACAATAGTAACCGTTGTTTGGCTCATTGAAATCGACTTATACGAATATCGGAGAGTACCGGTATGCGATTTTTTATCGGAGAGAGCCGTGTTAGAAGTACGGTACAGCCAGGTCGTCTCGTACCCAGATCGGAAGTTCAAGACGCCACCCGACAATCGGTAAGGGAAATGGGGAATCCTAGTGCTGCTTTTATGGCACCAGTCCGTATCGACTAGCTTTAACCGTTCAGCGTTTTAACCCTACGAGTCCATGGGTTTCTTCACTAAATGCTTCCTTGCTGGAAATGCGCACAAAGCGACAAAAGACTCATCCAATAATCCAAAACAGTCGCTTTCAATAGTAGCCGAAGTTCTGCCGCCTCGGACAGCTGTGGGACCTCCTTCGGGCATCGTCGGCAAGGAAGGTATCCATGCGCAAAAACTGCACATTGCAAAGGAACAAGATGAACAGTTCCGAGGCCAGAGCAAAGACGGTTCAGGTGGTATTGGTGTCAGTGCCGAGGAGGTAAGCGAAGTGTGGTAGCGGTTGCTTTGCCTAGGTTCATCGTCCCCAAAATGACCATTGCATGTTGACTTTGGCACAGAAACACGCTGTCCTGCAAGATGCCATCGCCGTTGAGAGCCCGCCCTGTGGCGTCAGCCCCGTAGCCTCTCAGGTGCAAACAAGGATACCTCAAGTGCTTGATTACTTGCTCATGCTGCATTTCATAGTACATAGTGTAAAGTGTCGGAACGGTAAACGCTGATATCCTAATAAGGGTACCGGTACGCCCGTGCATGCAGGCCCAGCAGCAGCTTCGCGACGCTATGGTTCTTGCAAGCTCGCCTGCGACAATAACGGTTGTCACGCATGATGGCATCGTCCTTCACCAGAATCCTCAAAGCAAACTATACCTGGGCGAAAGAGACACTGTCGATGACGAAGATGTGCTTGGACTTATCTTCTCCTTGGAGCCTGCGAAGCGCATAAGGATGATGGAGGAACTGAGCCGGGCAGGCGGCACGGGTGTCTGGAAGGGTAAGACGCCGGGTCGGCATGTATTCGCCCTCTCCGTTTGGGAAGCCACTGCACGTTGTTGGCCCGGGCACCTGTACTACATCTCAACGCATTCAATCTGCCCCTGCTGCAGCTGTTGTGCGCGTTCCGCCAACCTTGAACCGCCAACCAACGGACGCGGTGTCAATTTGTCTTTCAAACGTGGAGATGGCTGCTGCTGACTGCTCGCCCGACTTCCTTGACGGCCATACCTACGTGTCGCACAGCGGAGTGAACAGCAACCTCCAGCACGGGGAGCGTCTCACGCCCGCCAGCACGACTGGAGGAGGCTGGCCATTTGGCGCTGAAGGCAAGTCGGGCGCCGCTGCCATGCAAAAATGGACGTTTGTAACGCGGTTGCGCTTGGTCCGGAATCTCCTATGTAATCGAATGGTTCCTTCCAAGTCAACCTCATCCCACCACAGCTCCCACCGCGCCCAACCCACCCAGCCCACGCTGACCTTACCCAACCTGACCTAACCCTTTCCAGGCCGGTCCACGCTTGCGGCCGACTTCCTGAGCAACGACGACCTACGGCTCAGCTCTGGCATGCCCTCGTCCACCTACCGACCCAAACGGGTGGTTGCGACGGCAACCGGCATTATTGCTCCTCCCTCGGCGCTGGGAGCAGCCAGCGGCGTTCCTAGCCCAAATGTGACGGGTCTCCGCCAAGGCGACAGCCTGACGATGGCCACGACCGAGGGCCCAGCTTCTCTCATGCTGGCTGGAGGCTCCAACTCCACCATGGGCAGTCACCCGCTGGCCCGCGGTTGCACCGTCGCCAGCACAGCCGCGTCGGCGGCAGTTCCAGCTGCTGGCGCCGTCGAGCAGTCAGAGCCTTCTTGGCTATGCCGGCAGCGCGCTAGGACGGCTACTGGGATCACCGCGGCTGGCGGCGGTCACCATAACCCCCGCCGCCTCGATAGCTTTACGTTGTCGGCGGGAGGCGGCACCGCCACGGGCGTGGCGGCGCTCCGAGCGGGTTCTTCCAGGCTGCTGCTGGCGGCTCCGGTTGGGCGGGTTGACAGCAACAACCGCATGGGCAGCTTCAACGTGTCGGGTTCGTTTGATCAGACGGTTGGCGGAACCAACAGCTTTGTGCAGGATCCGCTTGGTAAGGAAGCGATGTTGGTTGGGTTTGTAGGTCACTTGACGAAACTTCATAGTTTGAAAAACGTGTTCAACTGCTGTGGTATGCAACAGTACAACAGCGGCCTGCTGTCTTGGAGCATAGACCCCAGGAGTTATTACAACTGTCGACTAGTATTTGGCTTACTGACATCTAAGGCCCTTGCTGGCGCTGTTGAGCCCCTATTGCTGCGCTGCTGTGCGTAGACTTCAACAGCTTCATTTACCTTGGTCCCTTCTCCTCTTTCCCTTCCGCCTGTCCCAACCCAAAGCGACCTCCACCTTCGCGACCCTCGTGGGCAGCGCGCCTGTCCCCGTTCCACCGCCTCCCAACAACGCCGCCGCCCGCAGCCTACCCGCCCCCGTCGTGCCCTCCGCCGCTCACTCCCGCGGCCCCGACGGAGCTGCTTCCATTTCAGCAACAGGCTCCGAAGCCTCCGCAGCTGCGGCAGCAGTCGCTGCCGCAGCTGCTGCTAACGCCCCCGCTGGCTGCCCTAGCCAACGCCGGTTGCCCCGGCGCACGGCCTCCTGCATAAGTGCAAACGTTAACTCGGACGGAACGCTTGGCCAAGGCCCTCCATCCCAGCGCACGGGCATTCCGTCCATGCCGGCGCCTGCTCCGAATGCATCTCGCGCTCTGGCGTTTGCCTTGTCACTGGGTACCTCGCCTCTCCTTCAACAGCAGCAGCAGCAGATTACTGCCGCTCAGCCCTCGCCCCGTGGTCGCGTGCCCGTGGTTGGCCTTCGTCCCGCATCCAGCACTGCTACAGGCCACTTCATGCTGAACACATGTCATTCTGGCCTTCCATCCGCGTCCGCCGCAGTGGCAAGTTTGAACCCACGGCGCAACACCATGTCGTTTGACTATGGTGGGAGGGCGCTTCTGGCACCCAGGGGAGCCCCCCTGGGAGGGCTTTCTGCGACTATGGAGCCCGCCTTTGCGAGCGAATGCTGGGTTGAGAATGCGGCTGGTGAGTGTGCTGACAACCTGAATCACTGCGTCGGCGGTGGTCCTTGCAAGGCGGGCGTGGACAGCGTTGGTGTCACTGGCTACGGTTCTTTTAATGGAGGGCGCAACTGTGCTATCAATGGCAATGGTGTGGAGGACTCGAATCGGAGCTTGGGGTCCATTGGCGCTTCCAGCGGCAACCATAGACTGCGCCCGCACAGCGCTTTTCCCCGTTTCAACTCCTTTATTCACCATGTCAGACCATCAATGTCCATGATGGGGATGCAGCAACAGCAGCTACAGCATCAGAAGCTGCAGCAGCAACAGCAGCACTCGGTTGGCGCCCCAGCTGCTGCAGCCACTGCGGCGGCCTCGAGCACTGCGGACCTGGGAGCGGCTGCTGGACTGCCTCCACCGACTGCCAGTGAGGGCAAGGAGGTGATGCATGAGTCGGAAATGCAATCACCCTTCACCTGTGGTCCCCATCTGGGCACTGGCCTGAGCTCCGGTGGCGGGGTGGGTGTGCGCATGTCGCTTCTGAAGGCGCTTGCCTTTGACGAGGACGCGGAGGTCGCTACGGTGCCAGGCCTGTCCCCGTCAGATGCCATGCCGACCGCGACTGCGTCGGGAACGGACGCTGGCAGCGCCGTGGGCTCTAAACAACCCTCGCAGCAGCATTGTGAGCGTAGCACTGGAGATGGCGGGGCTTCGACGGGTGCGGCCGCCACAGCTGCTGCAGCCCTGGAGGTAGGAAGCGCTGTTGCAGCAGCGTCACAGCAGGGATCCAAGAAGCAGCTACAGCTGCCAGAGCAGCAGCTGCTCCTTCTGCCTCAGACTCAGTCGCAGAGGTGTCTGGCGCAGCAGATGTCCCTGGCACAGCAGAAGTCCTTTACGAAGCAGCAATCGCTTCCGCAGCAGCCGTCACAGGGACGCGTGACGGATCCCTCGCCAGCCGCTGCGGTGGAGCCCGAATGCTGGCACGAGATGTGGGCAACGGCGGCGCAGGACCCCGTCTCCCAACGTGACGTCATCATCCTCACGCAAACGGACGTCACGGCAAAGGTCAGCCACCAGTGCATGCCGGCACTTGGATCCCGACGCAGGTCCCGACATACAGTAGATCCCAATCTGGGTATTATCTGGGTATTCACAGTATTATGGCCATGCGTGCTGTTGTTTTGTGCATGTAGGCTGTCGCTACTGATTTGCTCACGTGCGATATCAGACCTAGGCTACCATGCCCAAGACTTCCAACCATCTTCCTGTGTCCTTTTGTATGAAACACGTTGTTCGTGCCACATGCTGGATTGCCTAAAATCCCAAAACTTACCTCCCCCAGGTGATTGCGGAGCGGCATTTGGCGCTGGTGATGGAGACCGAGCACCGGCTGGTGGAGCAGCTCTTCCCGCGCCACATCCTGCAGTACATCACAGAGGAGTGGACATCCAACTCGGCCGCGGTGAATGCCATGACCGGGAGCGCCGCCGCCTCCGCGCCCGATGGTGCCCACGCAGGTGGCGGTGCAGGGGCTGAGGGTCACAAGGCGGCAGGGGCTGGAGCTCCTCCGACCAGCGGCCGAGGTCAGCGGTGGCGACCCGTGGTTCGCGACTGCAACGCGCTGGCCACCTGGCATCCTGAGGTGGGTAGTGCTTTAGTGCCATACATGGTATTACAGCCTGGTACAACCTGGTAGCGCTGTCCTTGTTGGTGAGGTGGAGTTGATGGTGCGTACATTTTGCGTAGCATTGTGGCCCGTGCCTTACCTGGCATGCTGTTCTAGGTGGGGGTGGGGGTGCGGTCGGGTCTTCGTAAGTGGATCGTCTTGCAAGGTTATCCCAAGTGCCTTTCCTCTTCACTGACGTCGCAAAAACGTAACGCATTCCTCGTCCCGCATGCATCCGTTTCACAGGTCACTCTCCTGTTTGCTGACATCAAAGGTGGGAGTCTTAAACTGGATAGGTCCTGCGGTTGTGTGGGCTAAACTACAGCCTCTCTTGCCCGTCTGACAGTCTGCTACCGGTATGCTGCTATTAGCTTCATGCTCTCCCGTCGGCTGCACAAGCAAACTGGCCAACCCCGGTCCTGCAGGTTTCACGCCGCTGTGCAAGGAGGTGGAGCCGCGGCAGGTAAGAAGAGCTCTGCTGACTTGGCAACAACTCCGTGCTCACTTGCTTGGTCGGCTTTACGCCCTGGTGGATTAGCCTGGTCGTCCTCAAACACTACCCTGCTTCATACGCCTTCCACGCAGGTCATGGCACTGCTCAATGCGCTGTACTCGCGGTTTGACGCCATGCTGGACACGTTTGGTGTCTACAAGGTACGTTGCAGGGGTGCCAACTTCACACCTGCACGCTCGTGTCTCGATTCTCGCGGGGCAGTGCTGCTTTGCTTGGAGCTCCGGTGCAGGCAACCACCCATCCAGTTGTGAACAGCCGCTTCCCAACCATGTTTGGTTTTTATTTCTGCTGCTGCCGTCGCAGTCACTGCCTTTGCTCCCTGGTTCACACCTTGGCACACACTTGCTGGTTGAAACAGGTGGAGACCATTGGTGACTGCTACTTTGTGGCGGGAGGGCTCATCTGCGAGGATGAGGATGGAATGGCCGCCGTGCGGGACTGCGGCAGCAAGGAGGACCCCCTGCATGCGGAGCGGGTGTTTATGTTTGCCAGGGTGGGGTGGGTGGCTGTGGATGGGCGGGGTTGAAGGTTCTGAAAGATCGGCCCTTGGTTACACAGGCATGCATTGATGAGTGTTTCTGCGTTAGCACAAGTGAGGCAATCATTCTCGGGTACATGTCGGGTGGGTATGGGTCGGGACATCGTATGAGTAGCTGCTCCGCGATGCACTGTCCGCAGGCCATGCTGGCTGCAGCACGGGAGGTCCCCATACCCACCAATGGAGAGCCGGTCGAGATACGCATCGGCATCCACACGGGCCCAGTCGTCAGCGGCGTGGTGGGCACCCGCATGCCGCGCTTCTGCCTGTTTGGTGAGTAGATCAAAGGGGGGGGCGCTTGGTAGCCTGACATGGCATGCATGTGTGCGGGCAGAGTGAAGGACAACGAACGTGAATGCAGACAAGGTGTATGGGCCCTGGGAAAGGTGCATGGGCTCTGTTTTCCTTGCCACTGTTCGTCCAGCCTTGATTGCAACACGACATCTTGTAAGCCATTGTGCGCAATGTCGCTCCATCAATTGCTTCCTTTGTGGTTTGGCCCGCTCGTCCACTTCTTCCCACGTCTAGGTGACACCGTCAACACGGCCAGCCGCATGGAGAGCACGGGTGTGCCGGGCGCCATACACGCCTCCCAAGCTACCTACGCGAGACTGCAGCGCAATGAACAGTGGCAACCCACGGGCGGAATCGAGGTGGGTTACCGTTGCATCTAAGTACATGCCATAGTCAGCAGAACAGTAAGTAGTCCCCTGACCGTCCTCACTTGCAGCATCACCAATGATGGCAATACCTGCAATGTGCCCTACCAAAGCTTGCTTGTGGCTCAGGAACGCTTGTCCAACTCCCTGCACCACCGCCTCATCACCCCCAGGTCAAGGGCAAGGGCCTCATGCAGACCTTCCTCTGGCGCCCCGCCCATGCCGAGGAAGCCCCCAGCCTCTGCTACCTTGATGCCGGCGGCAGTGAGGACCCGCAGGTGCAGGCGCCCGCCTCCTTTGCAGGCCTAGGCTTGGAGCCTGTGCAGGAGGTACCGTCGCCGCTGCAGCTTCCTGAGCACCACAATGAGGGCAGCACCCAGCAGGGGCCCGGGGACGACGCCAGCGGTGCCCCAGACAACTCCGTGACTAGCAACCCCAAGGGTTCGGGCTTCGTGAACTTCTTTGAACGACTTTCATTTGACGGGTTTGGCATAGCGCGACCGGAAGGAGCCCCGAGTGCTGGTGCTGGCGCTGCTGATGGTGAAAATGCAGTGATTGAAATGGTGTAAGCGTTTGGGCTCAGTGGAGGTGGAGGCGGCTCAGCGCCGGAAGCTTGCCGCTTCTCCGGCGTTCAAGGAGCAGGGGATGGGCACTGGCACCTCTCAGAACGGCAGGAAATAGTGGCTACCCTTCGTAGTGGCATGCGAGCGGTCCGTTAATGTGCATCAAGAATACATGGTTCAGCTTGCGCATTCTGTAGTAACATGCGTCCATTACGCTCTTTCTGCCATTCGGCCGTTTATTACCTGCTATTACATGGGTTTTACGTGATACGATCTATTAGGTTCGCGCATCATTAGTGTTTCACAACTTTTTTTGCCGAGCGCGCGAGGGTGAATGGGGTGGAGGAAAGCAAAGCATGGTGCGCGAGGAATGTAGGCTTTGGTTGGGAAGCACGAGCAGGAAGCAAATGTATTTCTGTCATGCATTTTATGAATTCTGGCATGCAGGGCAGGTGTGGTGTGTGGGTTTTAGGGGATCCTCCGTTGATCTGGGAAGTCTGGGTTTCTCAGCCGCAAGGGCCATCCCCGTGCGGGCTGTGTTGGAAAGACTATCAAAATCTGCATGCCATTTAGATGTTGATGTCGAGGCAAAGATGAACATTGTTTTAATGAGGTCGTCCTGCGCAGATGTCAAGTGAAGTGAACGTTTTTTTGGGTATGATGGTTTCCCTATTGGGGCGTTGGGACTATGTACTTGTCCCTGCTTGACCTCGCGTAAAGGTAGGCATCTCTAATCCCCAAGCATAAATGTGGGCCGGGTAAATCGCTGTCCTAAAGACCCTGTTGCATGGGATAGTAATCAAGTAAATGAAAGGTGATGAGCTGTGATTATGCTTAGGTTGTATGTTCACCTGATGTGAATGTTTGTGTATCATGCGTGTGTAGTAAAAGTAGGGTATGTATGTGTGCTGTGCCTGTCGTTTGTGCTATGTCAGTGTCGTTTGTGTAGTGCCCGTATGTCAGGTTGTTACAAAGCGTTCTACCCGTCACCCGTTTCTTACAACGGCGGGTGGTGCCCTGTTTGTCGTATGCTTAATTTCTGGGAGTCGTGGACAGCTGTTGTTGCGGATTCGGTGAGATAGCGATCCCCGATCTGGGTGATTGCCAAATGCACCAGCATTGGAAGGCATGGTTGGACCACCATATTGAAGGACAACCACACCATCACTCGAGCAACCTGGGGTTTGTGCTGTATGGTTGCTTGCAATTTTGCACCTGGTTTTCAAGGCTAAGATGGAACAAGACGTCTCTTTCGGTTATTGTGGCTATTGTCGGAACTTGGGCTCAACTGGCATCCTGGCTGTCAAAGTGGGGGGCATCAGCATCACTTCCATCAGAGCCTGTGATGTGTGTTTGCTGAGCAGTGCAAGTACACCGGCGTTGTTGACTTTCTGATATGTTCTGGTGACTTAGAAGCTCCTGCTACAATGGTAGTACGGCTTGGGAAGTGAAAGAAGCATGCTTCCTGGTAATACATGCCCCCTCATGCACGTGCGACGGCGCTCGCGCTTTGATGTGGGAGTTGCTGGGTTGGGAACCCGTCCTTCCCTGGTAACACCACGCCGCTTTAAGTGTGTGGCCCCCGGCTCTGTAGTATGCTATAGCGTTATAGCTGGGTGTTGGTTGGATGTTCGAGAAGTACTGGTGACTTTGCGTTGCCAAGCCTTTATTGGGTCTGTGACGTGTCTGGCCATTCGGAGTCGTGTGGTGTTTCAGTTGCAGCAGGTACCGGTATTGATGTGAGGTGCAAATCATAGGAGTACTGCAACTGCCTTGCAACTGCCGCAGGAGTTCGGCTTGGGACGTTGAAACATGTGGAACGGTGTGTGAGAACCGTGGCCCATGTTGCGTCCTGATGTGTACCGTGTATTGCATCCACATTGGGTGTGTTGAGACTGGTGCGCGGGTGTTGATTGGTGGTCGGGTGGCCTAATTTGTGGCATGCATGCATGCAAGCTCTGCTGCGGCTGCTGCAGATTCTGTCCTGTTTTGCTGTGGTGTTCATGTATCATGAGGTGGATGTATGCTCGCGGTCATGTGAGTGGTATGGCATCAGCAAAGGATGTCAAAGCACGTCTGTTTTTGAGCTTTGTACCCGCTTTGTGCTGTTGTGTATGTGCGTTTTGGACGCTGCCGCTGCTATGCCTGTCGTTTATCACTTGCGCGGCTGTTTTCGCCAATGGATAGTCAGTCGATGTGGGTACGGATTGTACGGGAACCGTATTGTGCGTTACCGTATCTACCAATGCTACGTTCTCTCATCTTCGGGCGTTCCATCTGGCCATTAGCAGGCTATCGTTGTTTGTTTTGCGGCCAGCTGCTTAAGGTTGTTGTTGGTTACTGGTGATCTTGTATAACACTTGCAGGTGTTGTGGTTGTCTTGCTCGCATTGGACGCAACAACACCGGTCCTGGCGAGGATGGCAATGTTTCTGTCTGTAGTCGCGGGTGACGAGTGAGATGCTGGAACTGGTGCTGGAACTTCCCATAGGTTGGCCCATCAATTGGGGAACGTTCATTGGCCTGGAGAAGTGGACCTCCATGGCATATGGCATGAAAGCGGCGGTAGCAGCTGGTATTGTCCTGAGGGTGGTTGCTGTAAGCATTGGTCATTGCGCTCGCTCGGTTCCCATGGTGATCCTGCTGCGGGGGTTGATGTATACTGTTGCCGTTGTGGTATGCATGCTTGATGAGTTGGTCAGAGTCCTTACCTGGTAGTCCTGTAATAAAAGAACACTGAAAGAACTGTGCCGCTGAGGAAAGCAAGCCGTCGCTTCTTTATGTGAGGTACCGGTCCTTAGGAAGCAGAGAGGCATGCCGTGAAGCCGGAAGGAAAGATGCATGCATATAAGGGTTGGCCTTCCTAAAGGAGCAGGAGCTTCCCTACACAGGTATGTAACGGTACTGCTCACACAGACTGTGTCGACAAGGGTATTGAATTAATTATGCACGGTGCTGGAAGGGCAAAGCGGTAGGGGCTGGGGAGAAGAAACTAAGAACGTACGTGGGGGGGGGGGGTAGGTCGTCGGAGTGCACGTCCGCGTTGCAAGGGAGTAGTAGCCTACACCACGAGAAGTTGAGTATGCCGCTTAGTAGTAGAAGTCCAACTGGTAAAACTGAGTGCTTTGTCTGAAATTACCGCCCCAACGGTGCAGTCCATAATTCTTTTTCCAACGGAGTACAGTACGGGCGGTTTCGGTTCGGTATTGAGCGGCTAGCACCACAGGCAAATACATACGCAAAATTGCAAAGAGCGCTGCACTAAAACGTTCTTGCTGGTGGCCATACAAAGCAAGGCGTGCCAACTGTAAGCCGGCAATTGGGCGTTGCGATTGGGGCGCCACACCTTCCTAAGGATATTCCTTTATAAGCCCGAGACAAGGGTCTTGAAGCCGCTCTTACTTTTTAGCACCTCTTTAACTGCAAATGTCTTACGACGAAGTAGAAATTGAGGATATGACGTGGAACGAGAAGCTGCAGGCGTATACTTACGCCTGTCCTTGCGGCGACTTGTTTCAAATCACCCTGGTAGGTTGCATATCAGCGGCAGGGAGCCTAGGAAACGAGTACTGCCTTGACTGGGTTACGGAGCTGAAATCTCTGCCGCGGCAGGAGGAGCTTCGAGCAGGAGAGGAAATTGCGAGATGTCCAAGCTGCAGCCTGTACCTCACCGTAATATACGATCCGGTGAGGCGGAAGCATGCCACACCGCTTATGCCTGCCGGGTTAAGTGCGGGTTGGGCACGCGCCTGGCGATTGGAGCAGGGCCTTGTCATAAAGCCCTATGCGATAAGGCCAAGCCCGGGTCTCTAATAGATGCTGGGCTCTAGCTGCGTGGAGCTGGTGCCTGGCTGGCTGGACACTGGGTTTGGACGCTTGGTGGGGGGCAGCGAGCTTAGCCTGCCCTGGCTACACCTAAATTACGACCACATGGACTAGGGTTAGAAATCGCGTGTGAACCTGAAACTAGCCAGGAAGAGCCCTTGCGTTCACCAGCTCGGGACCCCACGTGCCCGCAACCGTCGCTAGCGTTGGCGTCCTGCTGTCGTCCTTTGCTGCGTGCCGCGGTAACGGTTAACCGTCTGTAACCTTGAATGAACCACCGCCTTCCCCTCTTCCTGGCAATGCCCTCCAGGAGGACTTCCAAGACGCTCAACCGCCGGGAGAAAGCGGCAAGCAGCCGGTTCCGACGCCCGCTGAGGTGGAGGCGCATTGAGCTGTCAATAGCCCCAGCCCCAGCACCAGCCGCCACACCCAAACCTCCCCTAATATCCCAAGTCGTTTGCCAGGCAGCGGCCCTGCTATGGAAGCGTGCTTGCCTAAATGTGCTAGCCAACCCACTTCCAAGCAGCGACCGGGTATCTCAGCGTGTCTTAGGGAGCCAGGGAGTTGTCATCCTTCCAACTGCGTGAAGGGCGTCATGCCCAGATGGGGCCTGCTGGTGCAAGTCCATAGCTGCATGGCAGGAGGGGCAGGGCAGTGGTGTTGTGCTGTGGTGGGGATAGCAGCCTGCTTCTTGATGAGCGGTGCGCATGTCACTGATGTGGTAGAGCTACGCAGCGCCGCATATGATGTTGGGGATGTACACACGCGACGGACTGGAGAAGGAAGGGTGCATATTTTGCTGATGTTTAACATTCCGTTGTGCTGATAGTCCTAGTGGCTTCGGGAAGCTGGGAAGCGTGTGAAAGTAACCGTGACTGGCCGCTGCGTTGTTGCCCCTACGGTAGGAGTCAGGTGGTGACGCTGCGTTGGGTTTTGGTTTATTGATGGCCATGACGCTGCGTTGGGTTTTGGTTTATTGATGGCCATGACAAGTGCCTGGGGCCTCCAACGTATGATTCCCCCCTAAGAGCAGCCTTTGAGTATCGTTGTGTGAGGCCCTAGCAAGGGGGGCGTCGAGAGATACATTTCATTGTTTCTATGCATTGCTGCCGCGCGTCTTGTTGCGCCGGAACACGTCTGCGGAGCCGCCTGACGGGATCTTCATGCTGCGTCGAGTCGCTTTGTACGGGTGGGCGGACTACATTTCTAGTTGTGTGGAGAGGCGTGTGCAAGAGTTAGTTGTTTTGGTTAGGTTTTGTCTTGTCGGACAAGAAACGCCGCCGTGCATTTTTTAGGAGCTATTACTAACGTGTACTCCGCGGAACAGGATTTGGCCATAGCCGTGTTTAGACGTTTGCAGGCTTGCTTAGCCATGGGCACAGAAACGTCGCCGCATGCCCGTGGTCACGGAAATTATGGAAGCGGGGGCTCTGTCAACGGGGGTAACGTGGACACTAGGGATTGGCATGGTTATCTTTCCTGCTTTTGTTGTGAGCAGTTGACTTCCGTGGCGGTTCCTTCTTCCCTCCCGAGAGGTTTTTCCTAGCTCAGTGTCATTTCGCAATGTGGGATGCCCGTGCAAAGGAGTAGTGGACGTGTAAGTTAGGACTTTTCCCAACGTACCTTTGTGTGTTAAGAAAACTGGCCGCCCGTGTGTCCGGTGTGTGCACCCTTGCCGACCCCTTCGTCTCTTACGGTGAGTACGTCAACCAAGGTTGAGAAGAGGTGCAAATGCGCTAGAAGGTAGATAACGTTCTCCCGTGAATACACGTCACCAGTTGGCGATGCGCACCTTACATGCAGTGGGCCTTTCGAGCACCAGGAACGGCGCCCCACTCTTAACACGACCCACTCCCTGACACAACCATGGACCACATTGCATGAAGGTTTCATGGAGCCCGGTATCTGGACACTCGCTGTCCGTGACAGGGGATGAGAAAGCCGTGCCGGCTGCCTCCGCTCCACCCCACGCACCCATACACGACACAAGATTCAAGCACCATACGAACGGCCAAGCGCATCAATTCCACTACAAGGACGCATGTCTAATCAAGCCCACAAAAGCCATCACTACGAGGACATGCAAAGACAGTGCATTAATACGGTACCTGCGGAATGGAGGAGGACGGTGCACCGTCCGTTGGAAGGTATGGGGTATGAAGTGAAATCACTCGGGCTTTGAACCTCACGGACTTCTGGAAGAGGAATGCCAGATACGCCTGCACATGAATCAATACACGACACGGATGAAACCTGCCTGACCCACATGGCTCTCTTACGCAATACCCTGCCCCTGTCTTGCAAAGGAAGCAAAACTCCGGATGCCTATGACAACCAACAACGGTAATAGAGTGACAGCGACAGGCATGGGGATGGCGTAAACCGCTACCCGGCGGCGACCCCTCGATTGCTAACGCACCGCTGCTGTGCTGTTTATTGAGGAACCAGCCAACCACCTTCACCACAACAACAACTATGGCAACCAGTACAGGAGGCCACACAACCGATGGCAGCGTAAACGCATATCCTAGTCGCTAGACACTACGACCGTACAGACCTGTCCCTGTCCGCTGCAAACCCATGGCAGCTACGACAGCCCTCCGAAAGGGGGCCCATTGACTACCGAACAACGTGCTCACTCCAACCTGCCTAACCTCATACGACATCAAACCTGCAGAGGCCCAGCCTCCACGGCCACTCCACCCTCACCACCTCACAACCCGCTGCCCTTCCAAGGGACTCTTCCGCCTGCCCACATCCAAACCAATCCACCGCAACAAACACAACCTGCCACCGTAGCTGCTTAGGGCCTCTGAGAAGATTCAACTCGTCGTCCAGTGCATGCCTCCCTCCAAGCTGCACCACTGCACATGGTCAACTCGTCGTACGATACTCCGAGTTACTAGATTACTGGGTGGTACCAACCAGTACACACACTGAGTAGTACCACTGTCACTGTCATGGTCACTGGGGAACGTCCACATGTTCCAGTGCTGCCCACCCCCCAGGAGCGCCCCCATGAATGCCAAAGCCCCGCGCCTCTTCTTTTTGCCAGCAGGCCATCAGGCAGGCGCGACAAAGTAGGCTGACGGGACTCACATGAAGAAACCAAGAACTTGCTCCGAAACACACCGTGTGAAGCAGTCGGTTCGTAATGAAGTAGTAAGGTAGTAAGCACACACAGATGGCTTGCCAAACACCCGGGCTCTTCCGGGTCCCTACTGCCGGCGGCACCAGCAGGTGTACGGTGTATAAATGTTTCCCAAAACGTGTAATGAAGCCCAGTCATGAAAAGGCCGTACAAACTACCAGCGGACGTGTAATCTACCTGCCACGTTAATGCCCTATCTGCAGTCAAGCCTTGGTGGCTCAGGAGAAGTAGTATCTACCCGCACACATGGAATTGAACGGACAAGCCTCTTTCAGCCAATCGGCCGTCCCATCGCCTCGTGTACGGCATTGGGTTTTTTGACGTTGCCTACACCCCACTGTTATCCCGTAAACTCCTTTCAAGCATCCCCCGCACGTACGCATACGGCATGCCTCTTTGTTCGTACCTCTACCCTACAATCCTACTCCTTGTTAGCTTTGTTCTTATCCAGCACCGGAACCGCAGCAGTCATCTTACCGGCGCTGGCAGTCGGGCCACTAAACATGGTTCGCATCGCCTGGGCCCGCTCGTGCGGATCACGCAAGTTCACTTCGTACTGAACGTACGAATCCTTGGCCTCCGAAATCCAAGTCGACGAGGGGACCAGGTTGACGCCCGTACGCGGCCCCATGGGAATGGAGCCCCGGTCCAGCATCTTGCGCTGGTTCTCCGCAAGGTTGGCGGCGGCGCGCAGCTGCACCAGCAGGTCTGCTGTGTCACGTGGCGCGAACTCGTTACGATACACCGTGTCACCCTTGGGCTGCGGGAAGATGGCGGTGGCGGGGGCAACAAACCCGGCCGGTACCGGGTACGCAGCCCGCAGCGGCGCTGCAGCCGTGTAGGGGTTCACCATTCCGTACGGGCAGGATGCGTCCACGTACTTGATGGGACTGGCCTTGTACATCGCGGAATTCGGTCGCGCGCGATCCACACCAATCTTCCCGCCGCCAAAGGTCTCAGTGTAGTGCGAGATCTCCGGTCCGGTACGGCCATGCGGCCACGTCAGCGGCGCCTTGTTCTTAAACACGTTGGTTTTCTCGAAAATCGGCTGCGGCCCTTTCGATGCCCGGCTCAACGCAGCGCCTGCGGTAGCCGGACGGCGCGAGGGCTTCAGCGCCTTCGCACCACCGCCGCCTCCTCCATCCTCCGCACCTTCATCCGTGCCACCCAGGGTAAGGTTCACCTTGTTGGGCTTGAGCTCCGCAGCCCCCATGGCGGTAGCGGGGCGCCGACCCGCCCCTCCACCACCTCCGCCAACCCGACGCATGGAGTCCACGGCGCCCATCGTCCTCAGCTTCGTGTTGAGCGCCATCTTGGCGTCAAGGCCGTCATCCATGCGGCTCATGGGGCAGTGCACCGCCTGGCTGTGGCTGCGCGTGCGGTCAAAGCAGGGCTCCGCGACCGCGTGCAGCATGCGGAAGGCCTCCAGAATATCGCGCTTCTGCTCGTCGTCAGCCACTTCCAGGATGGAATCCAGGTCCTGCGCCTTGGCCTTGGTCAACAGGTCTCCAAAGTAGGACTTCTGGCGGCGCATCCATTTGAAGAACTCGCGTTCGCGGGTGGCGTCGGCCTCCGTGCGCGGACGCACGACCTCGTCATTGACGGTGTTGTAGGTGGTGCGCATGTAGAGCTTCGCTGCCTCGTCAGCATGCTGGAGGGCAGATGGGCATTGGAGGGGATCAATACCGGTATGGGTGGATGGGGTTTGATGAGCACTCAGAGTTGATTGGGGAACGAGAAGCTTTGTAGTCAAGGTGCGCCCAACATTTATAGGCGCGTGCCCCAAACACCTGCCAAGGCAAGTCTAGGTCCAGATGCAAACCCTGCTCCCGCCGGCGCCTGATTCCCAGCCGTCCTTGCTGGCATCCCTTTCTAGTTTCTGCCCCTGCTCCAGCCCCGGCCCGAGCCAGCCGCTTCCCAAACAACACCCAAGCGCCGCACTACCGGTCACCCACACGCCCCCAATCCCTAACGCCCCCCCCACCCGTTCCCTCGCTCACCGCCTTGAGCGAGTCGCCCCACTCGCTGATGAAGGTCGAGTTGGGCACCGGCTCAATCTTGGTGTCCTCGAGCGCCTGGTTGTACACCTCGGGGTAGCAGCTGCGCAGGTTGTACGACTCCTGGTAGTTCGTCACGTGCGGCGGGAAGGGCACGAATCCCTTGTCGGGTCGGGCGCCGCCGGAGGAACCCGTCGCCACTGGCGGTTTGGGGCCCGCAGCGCCGGCGGAATTAGCCGCGGTGGCAGCAGCCACAGCAGCAGCGACGGCGGCGGCGGCTGCTGAGTGTGTAGCTGCAGGGGGGTTGACCGTAGGTGCTGGGTAGCCGAGCGTGGCAGCAGCGGTGGCGGCTGCTAGGGCGGCTACGTTGGTAGCAGCGGCGGCGGTGGCGCTGCCTGCTGTTGCGGCTGTGGAGGAGGTGGCGCTGGTGACTACAGCGGGTCCGCCTCCGACTGAGTCTAGGGCTGAGCTGTTGATGCCCGGCATGGAACGCGAGTGCGAACCCATGGAAGCTGCACGGCGGCGCACGGCCGCATTTTCAATAGACAAGAGCTCCCGGTCTCGGCCGGTGGTTGTGGAGGTGCCGCCGGCGGTGGCAGCCGCGGTGGTTGCTGCTGCATCGTGGCCGTTGACACCGCCTGGTGCGCTTTGCGGCCTGTCAACATCTCCCTCGAGGAACCTTTGCTGCTGCTTTTGGAACTTTTCTTGCTCGAGCGCAACTTGCTGCTGCAGCGTTGCTAGAGCGGCTTGCGTTTCGGCACGGCCGAGGGCGGCACGGGTTGCTGTGTAAGACCATCCATTGGCCGCAACTGCGGAGGCGCCTCGAATGAGCGTAGGCGTCCGAGTGCCGTTGTTTGCCGCTGCGCTGGCGCTGCCTCCACGCTTTTTGAACTTATCAAGCGTAGCATTTACAAAGCCAGCGTGAGCATCGGGGACCTTCTTCGACTCCGAGATGGACCTGCACATGCGGTTGTGACACGACCGAGAAGCAGAGTCGGAATATCAGGGAACGAAGTTGGCCGAGGTAGCTACATTTGCGCAATCAGTTCGCTGCAAGAACCTGCGCTTTGGCCAGCTTAGGGCCACAGACGTGTTTCCAACGCGCATGCTCTTAACACCCAATCGGGGCAAAAACCATCAGCGATTCCTCACCGAATGGACTCAAACACGCGTTCAAATCGCTCCCGGTCTGCAGGCGTGGCGCGGCCAATCCATCCTTCAACCTCCTTGCTAAATAGCTCCTTTTTAAAGGTCTCGTTCAGAGCGGCAGTGGGGATATGTGCGGCGGTGGCCATTCGCGATGCTGCCTGTAAGACAAGAAATGTTATGGAGCAAGGCTACGCAGTTGCAGTGAAGCCAAAAAGCACGAGACGGGCCATTACGCCATGGAAGCCTCGTGCAAACTGATAATGACAAAACCACATGCTAAGGAGTCAGCACAGACATCGTTTGCCATCCTAGGTGTTTGGCCACGGGGGCACACAACACACCCCAGGTAGGGGCATCAACATTTGGACGGCCGAACAACTGGACAGCGGTCCAAACAATTGCAGGTATAGTCCAGGAGTGGTTGGACTATTGCTTCTTACCTATGGGCAAGCTTAATTATATGGCAGCCCACGTCTCGCCTCCGCCCACCGTTTATCCTAAGCGCAAGCTATAATGCATAAAGCGGTAAATTCTTACCAAATACTAAGCAGAAAGTGGAAGTTTATACTAATCCGCGTCGCTATGCAAGCGCTAGCTATCCTTGTCTAAGAAATTTCAAGTACTGTACTGCAACACCTTTGAGGCAGGTAAGACACAATCTTGCATTTCGTAACTTCAACGTATGGCATTATCAAGCTGTGATGGTACAGTGCGTTTACGATGATCTAGTCATCGCTGGCCTCCTAGCCATGTCATGGGGCATGGTGCGTGCAAATGCACTTGCTCAGGCTATACAACGGCAACGGCACAGGTATATTTGCGATTAGTTATTTATATAAGTACGCTTGCAGGTAAGCATTAAAACGGCTCTCCTTGTGGCTTTCCTTTCCAGCATGGAACACAGTGTCTAAACACCTGACAACCCCGACGCGCTGTATACATTTCCTCTCAAAAACTACAAATTCCGCATGTGTAAGAGCAGCCCCGCATGCTTTCTATATTGATAAGCCACGGCATCACAACCGCAGGTAGGGCACGGGTGCAAGTTGCAGTTGTGTCAAGTGCACCATGCAGCTCTGCAGTTCAACCTAGCACGGTACCGGTAGACGGCCGCAATGGGACCCATAAGGGCGGAAATTCATCTGCGCCAGCTACAACTGCATGGCGTGCACCCATAAAGAAACAACAGCACGTGACATTAGAGAACAGACGTGCAAACCTGAGGGGCTCGGAAAGTGCGCCTTCATCGAGTATCCAGGTGCCGTATCCAGCAACGGTTACATCCTAGGCCCACTAATAGTACAGGAACGGGCCCAACGTTTTATCCTGTCCTCTATTCGTGCCCTGATGCAGAGTTTGCTTTACCGGTATTGGCCACATGATTGCTTTAATCCCGGCGAAACGGTGCCCTGCCACCTGAAGTTGGAGAAACAACGACAGAAGCACCAGAATGCGAGTATTGCAGGGTAGTCAGCCAGCCACCAGGGTACCCATGTGGCGACGTGTCATAGCCACGTTCTGAAGCCAGTCAGAACAAACAATGCTTGCCTTCACTCCCTCTCGTCGAATGGATTGTAGCTTACAAGCGCAAGGCTCAGAAATTGCCCACCCGATTGCTGAAATTCCGGTGTACTGCTGTACAGTGCTGTCGATCCTTGGTGAGTTTCTTGGACTGGATTTGCATCCGGAACAGGGATCTTATTTTTTAAGGACGCATGATGTATATGCTTGATTATACCGCTTGGATAAATGCGACCGTGTCCAATTTACGACGGACGTCGAGGCAGAACTAATTAAGAATAGCGTAGCAGATTTTGAGGGAGAGCTATTGCAGTGTTTTCCATAGCTTGGCATAGGGAGATTGATACTTTTCGAAGTGCATTGCTTTAGTTTGCTGTCGTCCGGGAGACTTCTTCTTCCATCTTGCATCACGACGGTTATGGGAGGCTTTGCCAGTATACACCGAGGGTGTAACTGTACAAAAGACGCTCAGCAACCTCTGCCACCTCAACCCGAGCCTGCCGGTGGGTTACGGCACTATCGTTTGCTGTCGTTACCGCCTTTTACTCAAAATAGGTCATCGTTTTAAATAATACTAAACATAGTCTGTTTCCTTGTTGTAACCACTTCTTCTTGTCGTCGCAACCACCTGGTCATATTACTAGCGAACGCAGCCAAGCACACAAAGATGGATGAGGCAACAACGGCCGCTGAGAGCAACGGCGGGGTAGATGAAGCACAGCTTGAAAGCCTACGTGTCAAGGACCCTGACGTGAGTTCGCGCCTCTTATGCCAACAGCAACGCATACTTCCTCACATAGATGTTTTGAACTGTGTATTCTATGTTTGCATCGTTTTGCTCTGGGTATCGAGCAGCGAAACCACGACGGGCCGTCTCGTTTGTCAGCATCGTTGTTGGCACTAGGTTCTGCAACGTAATTGGCATATAGCACCGTTAAGCACCAAAGTCCAGCTGTTTATCGGATGTCCATCGGAGCAACTTGCCTTTTTGGCAAGCGGGGGCGTACTTGCCTTAAAGCCTTTAGGCCAAGCGCAGAAGTAGCCGTAGTTCATCAATACTTATGCTTGCCCCACCGCGTTAGAGGCACAAGGGAACATGTACTGTCATGTTTCACAACAGCCCATATAATTGCCCGTCCTATCCTCCGCGCCAACGTGCTTCTAGGGGAGCTTCTTCTCTTCATTCCACTCTCCTCCGCTGACCCCTTCCCGTATCTCCCTCTCCTGGAACCCTACGTCCTTTGCAGGCCTGGAAGGGCGACTCTCCGCGGCCCCGCTCTGCTCTCAAGAATCAACCGCAGCATCCGCAACAGCAGCAGCCGAAACAAATCGCAGAGGGGCGCGAGGTGACTGGCAGCGCCGGCGGGGCCCGTCCCTCCATGGAGGCCTCGCCCTCACGCCGCTATAACCGCAAGGTGTCCTTCCAGGTGCGCGGAGCAGCATCCCCAGGGCACCCATCTCTATCTGATCCACCCTTCACGACCTCTGCTTTCGCGGCCCTTTTCCGCCTCTCCCACGCCCAGCCCATTACCCTCACCCCCTAGTTGTTTCCTCTTTACCCTCTCATCCTTCTCCTTCCCCGTGTTTTATCATGTGTCGGTCTGTGTTGTTTTTTATGAGTGCTCGTGTTGTGCTGTTCCTGCTGTTGGCGTATGCCCCACGGCGCGGTGGGTCTCCACCTCACCTTCAGCAGCCTCCACACATGCCCAAGCCTATGGTAAGGTTTCTCCATAATTGGTAAGTTCGGTAAGTTTAGCTCGCTTTGCTTTCACCACCATTTCGGCTCGACTCACGGTTCATTTCACCAGGGATTGTCAGCAACTTATATCATTATCACACCACACTTTGGAATTTCTTTTTTTTCCCCTTCTCTGTCCGCCCTCCCGTAGCTGAACGGCTTGGGTCCCGTCCCCGGTCTTGAGCTTGGCGGCGAGGAGGGCGGCCCGCAGCATGCGAACAAGCGGGTGCGGGCCAGCGACGAGTTTTCCATGCCCTACCTGGTCGACAAGTTCTACTCCAAGGTGGGACCCTGGGGGGCTGGGAGCTGGGCTGGAGCTGGGTTTGGATGCCTTACTAGCGGGTAGTTTTGGGGCAGAGCACACACGGAATGCGGCATGCTGGCCTTTCCTGTGCCGTGCCGCAGCGCCGTGCGGCTAGGTTTTATCACCTGGTATTAGGGCTGTTCCTCCGTGCTGCTGCCGTGTGTGCTGCCCTTCCTGCGACCCTCCTGCTCCTGCGTCCTCCCCGTGTCTCACTGCAGCTTAGTTGGCTAACTCCTGCGTCCCTATCGCCCTCCTCCTCTTTTCCCCAGGTGCTCAGTGTGGAGCAGATGCGTCCCTTCTTCGAGGGAGTGGATATGACGAAGGTGGGCGCGGGGAGGGGGACAGGATGGGGAATGACGTACCGCGGTAGCTCTTCCACCCTGATGTACACAAGTGCAAGGCATAAACACAGTACACGGCGTCTGTCTTGATGACGCACCGCTTCTCGCACCTGTGGCCAACCCCCCTTTTCACCATGCCCTCCCCCCGTCCCGCTCCCGCACTCCTCCCCTCTTCCCGTCCTCGTGTCCGCAGCTGAAGAACCAGCAGGAGGCGCTGATGCTGCTGGTGTTTGGGGGGCAGGAGCTGCTGGAGGTGAGGGGGCCCAGGGGAGCGGGAGGGGAAGGAGGTGGAAGACAGGGAAGAAGGAGAAGAAGGGCCGGGCGTTGATTAGGTGACAAGCCTCTGGAAGACTGGGGAGGGGAATACGTGGAAGAGAAAGGGGCTATGCATTGGAAGCCCATGGCTGTTGACAAAGCCCAGAGCGCTCCTGGTTCAGCAGGGCCCACACATGCGACTGAGATGGGTTTCCCCTCCAACTTTGAGGTTATGAACCGCCTGTGTTTTGTGTCGCCTCCGCCTCCCCCCCTCCGCCCCCCCTCCAGGACGAGCTGCCGGGGCTGGCTGCCGACCTGCGCCTCATCCACCTGCACCTGCTTTTCGAGGGACTCAACCTCACGCACTGGCAGCTCTTCGCGGACAAGTTCAGCGAGGTAAAGGAATGGGGCGGGGTTGCGTTGGTTGGCAATCTGGACATGCGTTGGTGTGGGGGGTGGGTGGGACTGAGGGAGCCGCCGCGCGACATGGGTGTGCTTGCATGTGCTTGTGTGTGAGCAGTGGGTGGGTTACCAGCTCATGTTAGCTTGGACCTCAGCCAAACACACATGTAAATACAGTTTAACCCAGTACAGCAACACTAACGCACACCATCTTGCGTGCGTGCGTTTCTGCTCCCCCACTTGCGAGCAGACGTTGGACGAGCTGCCCCAGATCCCTGAGGACGTCAAGCAGCGAGCCAAGGGCTACATGGCCTCCACCAAAAACTACTTCCGTCCTATCGAGCCCCATGAGTGGCCGCCCAAGGTACGCGTCTGTGCGGCCCATGTGTGTTCATGTGGGATATAGGGATAACGCATCAAGACACGCAAGCGAGACGCAACAACTCAACCGGCGACCGCTTGACCTTTTCCCATTCCCTTCGCACTCCCCACCTGCATACCTGCATGCATGCTCGGACTTCAGGCTTTTGCTTTTCCTGACACCCTCTCGCCGCCCTCCGCCCGCTCTCCCGCCGGCAGGTCGTGTACAAGGGCTGGACCAAGCGCAGCTGCCCCTTCCACTCCCCAGCGGCGAACGCCAGTGCATCCGCGGGAGGAGAGCAGGCGGCCGAGCCCGGCAAGCAGCAGGACAGCAGCAGCAACAACGACCACTCCGACTTCATCCTGCCGGGCTTCAAGGTGCATACCGAGGATGTCAATGGTAGCGGCAACGGTGCCAATGACACCAGCAGTCCGCCCCTGGAGTCCTTGGGAACCACGGTGGGTATTGCAACGGGTGAGGGGAACAGCTGCTCCTCGCTGCCGGATATGCTGGTGGGAGAACGGCTTGGAAGCGTCTCGCCGCCGGAGGGGTGGAGCGCGCTTGATCAGGCACCGCCTCCCGAGGAGGAGGAGGAGGAGGCGGATGTGGAGGTGACGCCTGTTGAAGCGATGGCGTGAGGGAAGGGGGTTGGGGTTGATAAGAGGTTGATAGGAGGTTGATAGGGGAAGACGCGGTTGGTGAAGAGGTGCGGCTTAGGTTAAATGTAAGGGGCGGTTGTTGGCGGTGATAAGGTCGCCGGGCTGGTGCTGCTGCTGTGGCTGAGGCTGAGTCATGGAGTTGCTGCTATGGAAGGGGAGGATGGGGAAGGTGTAGCATGAAGGGAAAGAGGGAAAGTAGGAAAAGAGGAGGAGGGTTGGGAGGGAGCATGTGGGGCTGTTGCATTTCCGCCGCCATGGGTGTGAGTCATGTAAGTAATTTGCATGAGATGCCATGAAGGAGGCGGACGTCTACGCGACGATGTTTGCATTTGGCTGACCACTGGTATTCTGGTATTCCTTATTAATTGCCATATTAAGTTACCATATGGCCTAGACACGACGGCGCAGCTGACTGAACCGGATTGGATGCATCCTAAGCAGTTACCGGACCTATCCTGACGCGCTTTCCTTTTGAACCTGTTGTCATGCAGGCTAAATAAGTTCCAACGTATTACGTGTTTGTGTATGTCACATGCAACCTGTTCTTTTTTGAGATTCACTGGCCGAAAACCTGTGTACTCGCGGCGATACCCACATGACTGGGTTCTACGCCTTTAAACTGCCGGGTGTCAATTAGTAATCTGCTTTTACGGGCGACTGGTGCAGGTTGATGTTTTGCATCTGTTAGCTACATGTGCAGCAGAGGGAATGGCACTAGCACTGGCGAACAGGCGTTGTGTCTGGTTTTGATGTGTGTTTTGGAGTGTACTATTGGGGCAGAAGAAGACTGGGTGAGGGGTCTTATGCCGGGGCCCGAGGAGGGTAATTGACGGGGGACGTGAGGACGCTACTGGTGGGTCAGGATTGCGAGTCTGCTATACGAGTCTTTGGTCTTGGGGTATATGCACTGCCGTTGCTGTTGCTGCCTGTTACTTTATTACTGGTTTGAAGACGTCGTTTGCGGCAGCTAACGCGTTTTGTGCCGTTGTGTGCTGTCTGTACTGGTGTACGACATAAGGTTTTGGCGACGAGCGTGAGCTTTCTCCCCCATACACATCAACGTCTAAACAACGCGGCCACATCAACAGTGGCACCATGTTTGTCTGGTCGAGTGATTTCCAACTGTGTGAATGGTGTCGCATTCGTATGTGTGTTATGACGTGAGGGTGGCTAGGAAGGCGGAAACGTGTGTACGTGGGGTTCGGACCTGACTGTCTGCGGTGGTGCTATGCTGCCCGGTTTGGGGTCGCTATGTATGCACGGTCTCACGGGTCCCTTCTGCAATCCTAGACCGGCACGGGTGAACTGTCACTTAACAATGCTCATTAAAAACGCATCTCGATGGGTGGATGTGTTGCATGTAATCTTGGCTGGTTCTGGCTCCGATACACACTCGTATCGAGTAATGGGGCTGGGACAGCTGGGAGGGCCCCGACAGGGACACGACGGAGAGCACCGCGAGTATTACACCGGCGTGCCTTGTTAGCTGCAGGCGTTCCCTGGGGCAACTCCGCTGCAGCGCCAGTTTTAAAAAACCTGGCCGCCAGTCGGAAAGAACTGTGATTGTCGGAAGATGAAGTCCCACACAGAAACGCCACAAGTGAAGTACAGAACAGTGTATGTACGGATGGCACATGGCTGTTGTGCACAACGCTATGCCTCGCTTTAAGCGGTCGATGCATGATACAAGTCAATTAGGCTATAGGACCTGAAGGGGAAGGAGTCGCTTGGTGAAACCAGGCCAGGTTATGTCAGGAGCGCAACGAAAACATGCCGCCGGCCACTGATGGGACGAGGAACGCTCACAGCTGCCCATATCACTACTCCCCGTTGGTACGATAAGCGGTACGACAACGCAGCTCTGAAAGCCCATGCGTACAAATACATAAGGACATCGCATGTAACTTTACACCTCTATTCTAGCTCCAAACCATCTCTCCCAAAACCAAGCGTACGATTCCTCCCTAAGCTATATCCCTTTCCATTACAACATGGGAACTGCATGCCCAAAAGGAACCCCTGCGGCCCTCGGCCGTGTGTTCTAGTGCCCCTTACTGTGCTTCCTCTCCGCCCTCAGCAGCCCCCTCGTCGCCCTCCGCCCCACCATCACCGCCGTCCTCCCCCGCCGCCTCTCCCTCGCCGCCCTCCATCCCCCCCGCCTCCGCCGCCTTCTGCGCCTTCAGCTCCGCCACCTGCTTCCGCGCCAGGTAGCCCCGCATGTGTGACTGCACCAGCACCGCCGCCTCATTCGCCATGTCCTCCGTTACCCCCTCCGGCAGGTCAAACCCAGATGTCCCCGCCTCGCCACCCTCCGCCTCTGCTGCTGCAGCCGCCTCCGCCTCCGCCGCCTCGGCCTCCACCTCCTCCCGCGCTTCCGTCTCCGCCGCCTCCACCACGGCTCCCGCACGCATCACCGCCACCTCCTTCCTCGCCTGGTAGCCCCGGAACGCCGCCTGTACCCGCGTCGCCGCCTCATCCATGGCCTGCTGCTCCGCAACCGCCGCTGCCGCCGCCGCCTCTTCTTCCGATATCGCAGGAGGCTGGGGAGGCGCCGCTGAGCCCGAAGGTGGCCGCGCTGCGCCTGACCCCGGCCGTGCCGACATCGGCCGCGCTGAGGGTGGCCGCGGCCCTGGCGGTGCCACTGGGGTCTGCTGCTCTAGCAGCAGCTGTGCCGCGCTGTCAGCTTTGGCCTTGGCGACGCGGGCCTCCAGCTCCGCCCTGGCGTCCTCATCCGGCTGCGGCGCGGCATCTAGAGGTGCCACTGGTCGCGCGTTGATGAAGTCCGCCTCGTCGTCTTCCTCATCGCCCATGAGCGCTGGGTCCCACTCGTCTGGCAGCAGCACTTTGGGTTTGTTGGGGTTGTTTTGGAGCAGGTATGTGGCCACAAAGGTAATGGCCTCGAACTTGTCGGCTGAGGGTTTTTCGCGGGCAAGCGCGGCGAGGGCTTTTGAGAGGGCGGGCTGCAGGCGTTTGGCAATGTAATCCGCGGCTGCGGTGGCCTCCGTGACGGGGTCAGGGATGAGCGCGGGGAAGTAGAATTTTATTTCCCGCGCTGCGCTGGCTGGTGAGTCGCTGCCGTGGGTAGCGTTTTGGGTGCCGTCCGTGCCGTACAGCGCGCGGAGGCTGTGGGGACAGGAGAAGGTTATGGGAAGTAAACGGTTACAAGAGGTGGTTGGGTGCGGAGTTGAGGGGTCAGTCGCCTTGCGGCAGGTTCGGAGCAGAGCGTAGAGCATGGTAGTAGCCCCTTCTGTCCGGGTAAGATCCCCTTCCCTACCATTTGGGTTGTTCCGCGCGCGCCTTGAAGACGTTTGTGGGTCCCATGAGTGCTCGCCAAGCAAGGATGGCCCCCGGCTTGGCCAGCACCAGCGCCCAAATGGGACCGCTAGTCATGAAGTTAACCAGCTTGGGAAAGAACTCTTTCCCCTTGTGCTCGCCATAGAACTCCTCGGCGCGTGCTCGCGTAAGCTGTAAAGGACACGCATGCCGCGGGGCCGACAGTTGCACATTAGAAAAGTGGCAGGGAAAGGCTGAGAGGGAGTCTTCTTGAAGACAAATAAACGTATGTTGTCTGTCCCTGAGGCTCTGTGATTTTCGGCTATGCCATGCCCATTGCTTAGCTCCAAGCGCACGTAATCTAATAGGAATGAAGCTTCGAGACCTTAATATAGCCTTACCTGCATCTTTTGCTTTGCTATAATTGTAAATCCGTTAAGCTCTATAAGCTGCATAATCTCGGACGCCTTCCCCGCGCGAACTGCATCCGGTTTAATAAGGGCCAGCGTCTTCTCTAGTTCTGCCATTGCAATATATTACGAACAAATAAAGTAAGTCAGGCAAGGTACACCTAGTTTCCAAGTAATGCGTAGCAGCAAGGAAGTTAGGTTGGTCAGCGCCTAGAACGCGTATGGCTGATGTTGCTGGTGCAAGAAGAAACCTGCTGTTGGAAGCGGCAAGGGTCGAAGTCCTTGCGAACTGCCGTGCAAAAGGCCCATTTAGATCTTGCGGAATCCTAATCGTCGAAGTTGACTGGCTCTCCCTAGTGCAGTGTGTACCTCGGCTACTTCGGTTGTTTTGAAGGATGAGTTCCATGCCATGTCATCTTCCTTGACCCTGTGGAACACCAACTAAATAGAGACGCAGCAGACTTTGCAACTAACATAAGCTAGCCGCGTATCATAGTATTCTTACGGCCAAAGAAACATGGGCAAGAACGACTTCTTAACGCCTAAGGCGGTATGTCCTCCCATGCTTGCTTTACTCATAGTGCAAGGAGAACGCTTCCAAGCCTTTTCTGTTATATGCGGCAGCGCTTCGCTGTTTAGTGCATGCTAATTGCCTTGCGGCGGATGTTTGGCGTGCGCAGATTGCCAATAGGATTAAGTCGAAGGGGCTTCAAAAGCTGCGATGGTACTGCCAACTCTGCCAAAAGCAATGCCGCGACGAGAATGGATTCAAGTGTCACCAGACCAGCGAGGGCCACAAACGCCAGATGGAACTGTTCGGCATGAATGCGCACCGTGTTGTGGAGGGCTACTCAGAGGAGTTTGAAAGTGCCTTCATGGAGCACCTGCGTCGTGCGTAAGTAAACAGGATAAGGGAGCGGCACACGCCCTTTTGCGAAACAGCTTTGGGTTGACGGCAGCTACCTTCCATCGCTTTAACATCACCACACATCCCACGCCGCACCTCCTTCCTCCTCTTGGCCGCCCCACAGCCACCCTTTCTCCCGCGTGCTTGCTAAGAACGTGTACAACGAGTACATCACGGACCGCCACCACGTGCACATGAACTCCACACGCTGGCTCACCCTCACCGAGTTCGTCAAGTACCTGGGCAAGAGCGGTAGGGGTGGGGCAAAGAGGAAGACCCTTAACTAGCTGTATGACAGAGCCAGGGGGCCAGGTGAAGGGGGCCTGGGGCTCAGGCGACTAGGCGGAGGAAGAGGCCATGGGTTGGGCTAGTTGCGCGGCAAGGGGTCACAGCTGGGCCTGGCCTACCAGGGCGACGGCCATCAGGGTAACGGTGGGGGGGGGTCGGGTCCGCTGCGTGGGCTTGCAGCTGCTTGCAGCTGTGTTTGGAGGGGCAGCTCGAAGCTTTCAATGCTGGGCCTTATCGCGCATAGGGATGCGGTGTGCGGCCGACAGGAGTTACGGAGGAGGCGTGTTGTTGCCTGGCTCCCTTCCCTCCCACGCGCATGCGGTCCGGCTGCAGGTCAGTGCAAGGTGGAGGAGACGGAGAAGGGCTGGTACATCACCCTCATACACAAGGTGGGGACCCGTGGGTCGGTTTGGGTCGAGGGATGGGCCAGTGAGTTCGGCCAGCGGGTTAAGTGATAGGGCTAGAAACCCGGGATGGGGCGGGATATTTGCGGGATGTGCGGATGCGGACCAGAGGAGGGTCCAACTTCGTCTTCCTTTCCCTGGTCTCCCCTCATCCTCCGCTCCCCCCTCTGCTCCCCCAATGCGTGCAGGACCCCAAGATGCAGCTGGAGGAGGAGCGGCGCAACAAGCGGTCCGAGGTGGAGCGGGAGGAGGAGGAGCGGCACATGGCGGCACTGCAGGAGCAGGTGCGGGAGGGGAAGAGAGGGGGAGGGGGAGGAGCTGCGAGGTTGGGCTGTGAGGGGGAGGGGCGGCGCAGTTGGGGCTGTTGCGGTGGTAGGGGGAGGGGCTGTTGCGGTGGCGGAAGGAGGGGCACTGCAGCAGCAGGTGGGAGGGGAGGGGAGGGGAGCAGCAAGCCGTCCTTGACGTTGGGGCGCGATGCAGCCGGGTGCCGTGTGCTGCTCGCCCGCAGCCACCCCATGGTGTTGCCTCCCACCACCCCATGCTTCACCTTTCATGTCTTTTCGCCCCTCATGCTTCCATCCAGCTGCTGCTGCTGCTGTGCGCCGTCGTGAGGGAAGTTCCTTATCTCCCGCTCATTTCCTTTTGCCCTCCTGCTTCCTGCTCGCTGACTATCCCCGCCCCTCCCAACCCTCCTCCCTCGCCTGTCAGATCGAGCGCGCCAAGCGCGCCCGGCTTGAGAAGGGCGAGCCGCTGAGTGAGGAGGAGGAGGACGAGGAGGCGCACTGCCTGCAGAGAGACGAGACGGAGGTGCGGGGGGGGACGGGGACGGGGACGGGGCCAGGGAGGGAGGTGGGTGAAGGAGAGGGGGCCGGAGGTGGGGGAGGGGGAGCACGGGGCAAGGGAAACAAGGGGGCCAGAGCCAGCGCGGTGACAGCTGGAAGCTGGATGCTTCCGGCCTTGCCGACGGAAATCTTCATGTAGGGCAGTGGTAGAAGGCATGCCACGTACCTGCCCCTCACCACCCACCCTCATTATCACACCACACTTATGGAATTTCTTTTTCACCACCCACCCTCCTTCCTTCCGTCGTACTACGGCAACCCCATGCATCCGCAGGGCCCCATCAAGCTCAGCCTCGCCGCACCTCAGCCGGCAGCAGCGGCCGCAGCAGCAGCAGTTGCAGGCGGGGCAGGGACGTCAGGAGGGGCAGTCGCGGCGGGGCTGGGGCGGCTGGGGGCCGCAGCGGCCCGGGGGCTCCCTACGGCGGCTCCCGTCAGCGTGTTTGGAGACGATGAGGGTGAGGCCTTGGGCTCGCTCGGTCGGGGTATGTGCGCCGCTTTGGTTGGGGGGGCGCTGGTTGCGAGGGTTGTCTAGGTGGTGGTTGGTGGCTCGACATGGGGGTGTGGGCATGCACGGGGATGCGGGCGTGTGGGATGTGGTGGGAGGCTAATCATAGCAAGGCACGCACGCTGCTGGGTTATACCTTGTATGCTTTGTGGCTGCGTGGTGATGACGGCTCTGCAACCCCCACACGCCCTCCTGGCTGACCATTCGCAACCTTTCTCGCGCCAGACATACCTGCCCATTTCGGATTCCTTTCCTGTCCTCTTACCTCCGGCCTGATCCGCACCCCTCTGTCCCCCACCCCCGCACGCGTTGCCTGTCACCCAGATGGGGAAGCAGGTGGTGGTGGTGGTGGCAGACCCACGGGTCATGGCGGGCCAACACACAAGCGCAGCAAGCTGGACGAGCTCATGCAGGTGGGATGGAGGTTGGAGGGTGGGGACAATAGAATTAATAAGTGCAGGGGTAAAGAGGAAACAACTAACTGACTGAGGGATAAGGCGTCAACATGGGTTGCAACATGTGAGCCAGCCTGGGGGGAGGGTAACTGCCGGTACGACTCGAGGACGCTGCCGAGGAAGCTGCCTGGGCTTCATGTGCGGACGTGTAACGGCTGCACGGCCATACGTCACACTACCATACTCACCAGCGCTGCCCGCCCAAGCCTCCCACTGTCTGCCCCCTCCTCCTCGATCCTCCTTGTCTTGCGTTGTCAAACACCGCATTGGGCATTCCTCTTGCCGCCCCACCCGCAGGCGGAGCTGCGCGCCAAGTCCAACGCGGCGGCCTCCTCCTCCTCCGCGGCACCCGAGGGGGGCAAGCGACTGGACTACTGGTGAGGGACGGCGGAGGCCTTGTGACCCGCAGCACTACAGCCCTGCAGCTCTGAATCCTGAAGCTCTGAAGCAGAGGCTTCTCTAACTCCTCGTCATACATATCCAGGTTATCCACCGTTTTCCCCCCATCCCCCACCCACCCCGTGCCCCCAGGCTGGCTCCCGGCATCGTGGTCAAGGTGCTCGCCAAGGAGCTCAAGGAGCATGGGTACTACAAACAAAAGGTGAGAGTATGAAGAAGGAAACCAGAATGTGTGGGGGGGTCAAAGACCATATCAAACCATAGGAGACCACAAGTTAGGGCAAAACAATGGGGGTAGGAGTTGGCTGGGTGCCACAAGACAAAGGGTTGGTTAGTATTCCCTACCGATACCGGGTCCGCGTTGCTGATGAAAGGTTGACACTCCAGCGAGCGGGCCGAAGAAAGCTGGCTGTTCTAGTTGTCTATTGCTGGGAATGCTGTCAAATTTCGGTCACCAAGGCCCCACATGTGCTCGGCGTGACAAGGAGGCAGGGCCGGAGAAAAAAGGGGGGGGGGGTAAAAAATATATATGTGTGTGTGGGGGAGGGGGGGAGGGGGGGGGCGGGGTGGTGTTGGGCAGCTCTCAGCTGCACTGGGTTCTCCTCCCTGCCTCACCCAATCTACGCCCCCTCTTCTCAACCGCCGCCCCCCCCAGGCCCCACGCCTCAGTACGCCTCCAGGGCGGATACCCCTCCCAGCCCCTAACCTTCTTTTCCGAGCCTTTCCTAACCCCTTTCCCTCCTATCCCTCCTCCCACCCCCCCCCTCCTCCTCGCCCTCCTCACCCCCCTCTGCTCTCCCTCCCGCTCCACCCCTGCTCCCCAGGGTGTGGTGGAGCGGGTGGTGGAGCGCTACGTGGCCGAGGTGGCCATGCTGGGGGACGGCGCGGTGGTGAGGGTGGACCAGGCGCAGCTGGAGACCGTCATTCCCTCGCCCGGGGGGGCGGTGCTGGTGGTGAATGGAGCGCACCGGGGCTGCAGGTGGGGAGCGGGCTGCGGCGGGGGGAGGGGGAGAGTTAAAAAGAAGGAAACTTGGGCGGGGGGCGTGTGGTATATGTGTGTTCGACATAAGCAGGATGGGAAGTGGTGGGTCCATCACCGCGGGTTGCACCTGATGCCTTCACCAACTGTGCCGTACCGTGCCGTAATCCTCCTCACTCGTCGGCCTCCTCACTGTGTTCGTCATTTTTCCTTATTTTTGCCCCCCCCCCCTCCGGCAAGTCGGAAGGGGGGGTCCATCGGTAAGTCTCTTGGGTTGCGCGTTTCTACTGTAGTGTCTCCGGCAATGCGCTCACCGCAGGACTCGGGATTCGGGATTGGGACTCCGTTGATGCACTTATCTACATCATTCCCCCTCCGGCCCCCTTACAATACGCTACCCCCCTCCGGCCGCTGCAGGGGCACGCTGCTCTCTATCGACACCGCGCGCTACCAGGCGCAGGTGCGGCTGACGGAGGGGCCGGGTCGCGGGCGGGAGGTTTGGCTGGAGTACGAGGACGTGTGCAAGCTGGACAGCGGTGGCAGCAGCGGGGGTGGCGGCGGCGGTAGCGATGATGGGAAACACGGTGGAAGCGGTGGTGGTGCCGGGGCCGGCAGCAGCAGGAGGTGATGTTGCTAAGGGGCGCTGTGCGGGCGCTGTCGTAGGGTACTCGGCAGCTGCGGCGGTGGCTGGTTGCGGTTGCTAGGGCAGCTGTTGCCTTGCTGGTGTGCAGACACTCCCTCGCACCGCTGGTGTAGGCGTATGCCGGTAGGCGTGTGCAAGGGAGGTATGTATGTGTGGTCCGGCCGCGCTTTCCGACCCAACAAGCTGGCCTACCAGCAAAGAGTGCACACACTACAGCTCATGCGGTTCTATGGTGACATCATCTTCCGGCAATCACAGTACGTTCCGCCTCGCGGCCAGTTTTCTTAACACACGCTACAGGTAGACCACACCCGCATGTTTAGGCTTCCTCCGTGATGAGGCACACCTGACTCCGTGATTACGTATGTACCACAGGATTGAGGCATGTAGCATGCGACTCTGCATGGGATAGCTTGGTACTTGGCTGGTTTCATGCCGGCTGGTGTAAAGCCTGCCATTGACAGCTGGGGCCATAGGCTGGTATCACACCTGTAGTGCTGCTATGTACCTGGTGAGGTTGGGGTTAGGGGCTGGTTTCAGTCTGCGCCAAATACGGGCATCCCGATGGCTAGTGTAGCGCTAAGGACGGGAGCGGGCGAAAAGGCGCGTGTGCGTTAACAGTACTGGCGAATGTGTGTAGCTGTAAAGGGGACTTCGCAGCGCAGAAACGAGGGGGCAAACCAAGAAGAACCATTCGAGTAGGGCGACATGCTCCTGGCTGGGTAAGAACAAGCTACAGGCAAACAGCTGCTGCAATACCAACGTTGCAGGGATGTTTTTTCACTGTCAAAGAGGCTGTGGGGCAAGACCGACATCCTTATCTTTCCTATCACTGTTGCGCTGAGTAAGAATCAACGCTTCCAAAGGCTGCCTTTACCTAGTTCCCATCATCGCTCGCCGCCAACGCGCCTTGCCTGATGAAAGGCTGTTGCTCCCAGTCAAACAGCTGAGGCAGCAGGCAAGGCTTTAACGAAACTCCCGAGTTTTGCAAAGAAAAGAGCTTGTTATTGTTAACAAGCGGCCGGATAAGCCAGCAAAGGTACAAACTGACGGCCCAGCCAAGAGGTTCCTGCAAGGTGATGCATCAGCCTCGAGGCTCGGTAGAGATAAACACATATATTGGCTTAATTTGATAGGACGATCATAACTCAGTGTGTCACCATCGGATGCGACATTGACAGGACACCGTTTCCTAACCGCCATCCACGTTTCGCAGATAAAAAGCAAGAAAATCCAAGATGTCTTCACCTAATCACAAAGAAGCACTCATAGTGTATAATACGTCTACTTTCATAGGTGTTCTACTTCGCGTTAATCATCGAGCGCCAACCTTATTCAGGCGTCGTCCGCGCGCGAAGGGCAGGTCTACGCGGATTTAGGCAGGAAGACAGTTAAAGAAATTAGCTTTTTAGGATTTCAAGAAGTCGGCATCTACGTTTGCCGTCCAAGGAGCTGCCAAGGAGTGTGTTCCGACTGCGCATCTTCCGTCGTGTCTCACTTTTTCTTTGGCCAAGAACGCAAATCCTTCATTCTGTTATGATGGTAGCTACTAAGACTATGAATACTGATGTGGACGGCGAAGACTTCGACTGGGGCCAGGGTCTGGAGTCGCAACTGTCGTCATTTCTCGGCTTAATGGAGCCAGGTTCAAGAGACCTAACGCGCAACTCCGATAAGAGGCCCCCTCAAGTTCTTCAAGAAGAGATTCGGCCCGACGTGCGTGATAGACAGCTTCGAGGGGCAAAGGAGGCGACCGAGGCCACGATGGATTCCACGGCCACCGACGTGCGGGCAGCCTCTCCCTCCGAGGCGGCAGATCTTCACGACGTGAAGAATTCTTTTCCCTCAGCGACCGCGCCGCCAAGCAGCGCCGCCCTGAGCGCCGCCCTGACCGCATCGAGTGCGGAGGTTGGGCAACAAGAGCGACGTCATGATGAGGATCCTCCGGTTTGCCCTGAGGGACATCCTGTCTCCGGAAAGAGGACTTCAAGCTCTTCTTGTTCGAGCGATGTGACAGGAAGCAGCGCTGGCAGCAACATCATGCCAAACCTGGGAATTCGGGTCGCGGACGCTTGCCGTGCCACAGTCAGGGTGAGTTGCAACGGTTCGCGCGGGTGGACGTTGTCTATATGAAGCTCCATGCATTGCTTTGTATGCGTGTGATGGGCTGTCGCTGTGGGGTTAGAAACCTTCTGGCAGTTTGTAGTTCTGCCTTTCTTGAAGCGATTCTTTGCGCTTACCATACTTGTTTGATCTGCTTTCTGCGCTATTTGGATAGCAAGTTCTGTATCAAAGCACCGTTGGCTGCTTGCAACTTGCATCTGCAGCTTTTTCCTAACTTGTAGTAATTGGGGCTTTGGCTTGGGTTCTCACTAGATTTGTTGCACTGTTCTTCCTCTTTCCCTCCTGTAGGACATGCTCCGGGAGGTGCTGCTGCAGACGTTGCCGCTGCAGGTAGGTCGAGGGGACCAGTGTCGCGCGCATAACTCCTCCGCGGTCTGTTCGCGGTCTTACCGTTGTTGCGTTGCTTTACAAGGTTTGCTCCCTACCATTCCACATTTGGAATACGCTTATAGTGCGCTTACGGTATGGCGACACGCACCGTCTTCACACCTGTAACCCACAACACCTCCCCCCCTTCAATTCCAATACCTCACGCTGCACAGGACGCCGCCGACGTCCTCTTCAAGGTCGACAGCCACCCCAGCTGGCATGAGATTCGTACAACCGCAACAGCCATCGTCGCCGCCGCCCTGGCAGGCGACCACGCCACTCTCAACGCCACTGCCTCCGCCGCTGGCAGCGGCGGCGGCGCCGCCCCCGCCACCCTTCCCCCTCCCTACCGCGGCAGCTCCAGCCTCCCCGCCACCCCCGCCAAGGGCTCCCCCGCCTCGCCCCACACCGCCCTGCCGCCGCTGCCCCCGCTGCCGCCACCCCCGCCGCCGCCGCCGCGTTCTCCGGCTTCCGACGTCGCAGGCGGCGGCTCCGGCACCGCCGGCGCCCTGGCGCCGCTGACGCCAGCTCGCTCCGCCCCCACGGGCGCCATCCCCGGCCCGGCTGCGTTCCTCGCCAGCGGCGGCGACGGCTCCGTCGACCCGCGCCAGTCGACCTTCCTGCTCAGCCTGCTGCAACAGCACCCGAACCTGGTGGACTGCCTGAACCAGAACCCCCACCTACTCAACACCATCCTAGCCATGTCAGGCGGCGGATCCGGCACGCAGGAGGCAGTCAACGCAGCCGCCGCCGCCGTCGGCGCCGCTGTCGCTGCTACTGGCGGCGGCGGTGGCACTGCCGCGGGCAACCCCGGTGGCTTCGACGACGCTGGCGGCTTCGCTGCCACCGGACTGTTGCCGCATCTGGGTAGCCCCCTCAGCGCCGGAATGCGGTCGCCGCCCTCGCTGACGTCCCCCGCACAGCACCACGCTGGCGGCGGGCCCCTGAGCATCTGGGGCAGCCCCCTTCCGACCCATGGGTCACCCCTGTCTAGCTCCAACGCTCCCTTCGGCAACCCGCCGACCCACGGGTCACAGGGCAGCGGATTGGAGGCCATCCACATGCTCATGGGCGGCGGCCCCGCAGGCGGCTCAGCGGGCGGTATCGGCAGCGGCCCAGGCGGCGCTGCCACCGCTGCTGGCGGCTTGGTGCTGCAGGGAAGCGACCCAACGGCTGCTGGGTACAGCTGCAAGACGTTTGAGGAGCTGAGTCCCGCGGTTCGCGACAAGATCCAAAGCGTGCTGGACACCTGCGGTCCGCACATTCGGGTGAGCGGGCATTGCATCCTTTGTATGTGCAGTCGTTCAAATTGTGCCTGTATTTTATGTATGGAACGGTATGTCACTACGGTAACGTAGTCAAAACGCATTTTCCTTTGGAGTGAGCGCTGCTACCAAAGCGGACACTTGATTTCTTCCCTAAGCATCGTCCTAACCCTCGTCCTCTCTCCTGCTGTACGACATCTGTTCTGGCCCAGGCGGAGCACTTTGACGCGGGTGTACGGCACTGGCTGCTGCAGCTGCAGCTGCTGTTCGGTGAGATCTGCGCCGTGTCGGCGCTGCACGCCATCGAGACGGCAGCTAACCTGGAGGTGGGGGGGGGCACGTCCTTGTCGTGGTTCGTTTGAAGTCATGTGGGTTGTGCGTTGTGCGGTCGTGGCTGGCAGTTAGCCCCTCGACTGGCTTCCCTGCGCGGCTTCTGGCGGCACTTGCTAGGTATGATGGGTAGTTGTTCGTTTGGGCCGCAGAGTGACATGTTAAGCCCCAACGCTCACCCCCTTGGTAGCCGGTCCCCCACCCCATCCACTCACCACCACCGCTCCACCTACTCACCCGTGCCCGCATGTCGACCGCCACAGGGTGTTCGCCGCATGAAGGCCTTCATCACCACCCGCCTCATCGACCACTACGAGCAAATGGTGTGGGCGCAGGGTAAGTCAGTCAAGGACTGTGAGGGGAGGCACGTGGCGCATACCGGTAAATCCCGGTAAAGCCCAATCTGAACTCGTGACGTTTCGTCCGGCAATTACAGTACGTTCCGACTCGCGGCCACGCACTTCCCTTAACACACTTCACAACACACACAAACACATAATCCACCACGCACATTCCCCACCTGTTCCCCCGCTCCCTCCCTCGCAGACCCCCAGGGCTACGCCATGCGCAAGCTCACCCCCGACCTCATTGCGGTACTGGAGGAGCTGGTTCACTCCGACAAGGGCCTCAAATGGACGCACTTCGACCCCAAGGTGCTCGACACCATCCGGGAGATCCGTACGCCCGATGCCGTACGCACCCGCCTGTCCAAGCTGTGCGCCCAGGAGCTTAACGGCGTTCAGAACGTGCCCGCCTACCTCTACACGCTGCTGTCGAAGCGCGGCAAGACCGCCAAACAGGCGGCCGCGCAGAAGCAGATGCAGGAGCTGGCGTTACGGCTGGCTGCGGTACAGGGTGTGGGTGTGAGTGGCATGGGCGTGGGCAGCATGGGAGGAATGATGGGCGGCGGCATGGGTGTCGGCGGCGGAATGATGGGCGGTGGGGTAATGGGTGGCATGGGAGGTATGGGCGGCATGTCGGCGGCTGGTCTGGGTGGGTTTGGAGGCCTGGGAATGGGTGTGGGTGGCGCTGGCGGTGCCGGCGGGTTCTCGGCGGGAGGAGGAGGGTACGGAGCGGCTGCTGGGGGGCCGTACGGCGGCCCGCCGAGCCCTTACAGTGGTGGCGGCGGTGGCGCCGTGGGATCAGCGGGTTTCGGGTCGCTAGGCGGCGGATACGGCATGTTTGGGATGTGAGCAATGGGCGTTGCCTTTATCCTGTGTGTATGATTGCTCATGATGGCTTCAGAGCCGTACACTAGATGTTGGGAAGCTGGTTAGCGAGACAGTTGTTGGCGGAACGGAAACCGTCAAGATGATAGCATGATTGAGGCAGCATGACGCTGTGGTTGTTTGGTGGAAGGCCTCTGTTAGCCACACACCATACATGTCTCAGTGTAGTTGCCGTGCCAATTACTACCCGATGGCATTACGTAATGAAGCATGGTTTTACATGGGAAGTAGTAAGCTGTGGGAAACGTATGTCTCTGCCCAGGAGGCCCTTTGCTACGGGCCGCTGGTAGGGCGCGAATGACGATTGGGGTACTGGCGGCGATAGCAGTGGCTGCGTTCTTTAGCAAGCGGGAGGTTGGTCATGCGTGCTCGTGCTTCGCGCTTCGCGCTTTTCGTAAAAATACATTTTTGGGGTGAGGACAAGTTGGGGTGGGGTGAGGAGGGTTATGTTGACCACTGCTATCGCTCTTTGCGGGCAAAGGGCTGGCCAGGGAAACGGGAAAGTTGCTAAAGAGACGCATGGTTTTGAGGACGGAGGGGGGATGGAGGGAGCTGGGATAGATGGCGCCGTTATTTCGTTACACGCGCAATCAGCACGCACATGCGCTTTCAACGGTTGTCAAAGTTGCATGTTAGTGTGGCTGTGGATGTGGCTGTGCATGTTTCGTGCGGTTAGGCTGTTTGTTGGTAGGCTTTTTCTTCGGGCGACGGCGCGCTTGCGGGATGTTGTGGTTGGCTTGGGCGAAGCACAAGCGTCAAAACTTGTGGCAGTGGGCGCTTTCGTGTACTGGGTGTGTTAAGGGATTGGGTTGTCCTTGACTCAAGCGGTCTGGTGCGGGCGCATGGGAAAGCGAGGTACATGTTTAGCGTTGGCATTCGGTTGTTTCGGTTGGTGAAGGTTGGTTGGGTTCCTTAGCTCTCCCAGGCAGGTAGCACAAGCAAGGTTTTGCATGTGAGGTCTTAGCGCTGCGGTCGCTGTGGCAGGTAGGATGTGCTTTGTTACAAGCTGCTCAACTGACCCATGGGTCGGTTGCGTCAGTGACCCCCGGGGTTTGTCGTCTTGGCGGAGCGAAAAGCGGAGAGAAATGCGGTGGTTGTAGTACCGACCGTGCGTTACTTCCTGGCGGTGGAAAGCGGATCGCAGCGGGCTTATTGTTGGTTGCCCGGTTGCTGTTGTATTGGGTGCTGTTGTATTGTACCGATTGCAACTCTGCGGTTGGCGGATCGGTTTGGACTGTCGAGTCGCCTCGGAAACCTGCCGTGGGGTCGGGCTGAACTGGATGGGCCGGGCGCACTTCCCAGTTCATGCGTTGCGATTTGGACCCTCGAGGGATTGTTTTGGCGGTGCCAGAAAGCCGGCAACGGAGTGGGGGGCGGCACTCCTGGCACCGCAGAAATCTGGTCTCTGGTTTCTGGTGCCGTGCGGATGCGCGCCTGGGCTGTCTTCCTTTCCTGTTGGGTCGATTGGGTCGGTTGGGTTTCATTGGCGTCTAGCGGTACATGGGGACACATGCAGGGTGGGCCTGTAGAGCGCACGGTGGCAGTCGGGACGGATTCGTAGCTTCCTCGTTGCTCGTTGGCACTTGTTGGGTAATGATTGTTAAGTGGGTGAACAGTAGTCGCTATCTGCCGATAAGTCTTGCCGGTATACTAAGCCGTGGACCATTTGTTTTAGGACCGTTGGTTGTGCGTAGTACGTTACAATAATTCGTCGTAAAATAGATTGTCGAATACTCGCCGGTTGCTGTACAATCGTATACGATGGAGGGTGTGTATGAACGTGAACTCCAAGGGTTGACGACCTTTGAAGGAGAGGGCGCGGGCGAGAGTTGCGTTGAATCAGCTATATAGCTGCATCATGCTAGCAGGTTGGGTCGGGAGTGGCAGGCGGGTTCTTAATAATTGGTGTGCTGCCGCTGCCGCATCGGGATGCTGTTGTCTTATTGTCATCGCAGGTTGTCCGCGCAATACGAAGCAAGCTCGGCTAAGCGCCGTGCCTAAAGTTGTTGATGTTAAGAGAACTGGCCGCGAGTAGGAACGCACTGTGCGTGTCTGAGTAAGAGTGGGTTTGCCTCGAGAGTCATCTTCGCATTTGTTTCATTTGTTCCTTTCCCTGCGCGGAATAAGCCGTCCTAAGTAGAAGATGTTGGGCCCTTAGCTGTTCCCGTCTGGCGGAAGTATCTTATTCGGTGGCTCTTTCCTTGTGGCCGAGCTGGTTTGTATTCGGGTTGGTTCGGGAGAGATGTTCACTCCTGCGAAGGTTACGACATTCCCTGTGAAGATGTTGCAAAGCCTAACGATGTACTCACAGGTTGTACGGACTGTACGATATTGACGTTCGACATGAAATGTGGGATACCTGGAGGGCTGCATACGGGTCTAGATTATACAACATGAAATGCCTCTACCGTGTTGACTTCAGTTGCTTGCGTGTAGCCTTCCATGTGGAGAGGAGGGTGCGCTTGGGCGCGCTGCGACTTGTAACATAAAGACCGTATCTAAACGCCGCATGCACTGGGTTGCAGGTGTAGGCTCTTCGGACTGCTTTCCGTCAGACATAACCATACAAATTACCATTCTAATTGTGTTGGGGAGCTGAAGACGTACGGCACTTCTCACCATAAGACCAGCTGAACCAATGCCACCAAAGGTCGCTTGAGAAGCGGCGGGAAAATAAATTACTCCTTACACACGTGACAGGGGACTTTGCCCATGTCGACTGACAACATAACGCCCCGGATATAGTCTGCCCCTGCCAGCCCCTTGCTTTACCCCCATGCAGACTACGTTTTTTGGTTAGAACGACGCCTCCGGCACACTCCTTTGCTAGAAGCCGTCCCCCGACGAAATCCGAATGTCAAGACATTATCAGACACCCCAATATAGCCTAGTATGTGGGCGTAGTACAGTCATCGGTCCCCTCCACTGCCAGATCGCATGCCTCAACCGCAGACAGGTGAGAGCCGACTTGCCCGCGGCCCCGTAAGTGCGGAAATAAGCCCATGTGACGTCACTTCTTGATAACAACAAGAAGACCAGGAAGACCAAAGTGCGGCCGCTACAGCTCGCTAGTCTGTATGCATGTTTGCCCATATTCGTCAATCATCCATCCATGTCTCCACCTATTAGCCAAGTAACCCATTGCCTGATATAGCACCACCCAAAACAACGGTGCTTTTTGACGCAATGCCACTGAAAACAACCTACGCAACTGGAGGCGCATGGTTGGTTGCAAACGCATGTTGCGCATGTGACTAGGCAGCCACCCCATCATCCGTCAGCCGGCAGCCAAGCGTCCCAGCAACCGCACGTACGAAAAGGAGGGCTCGCCCCCTTCCTTTGCCTTCTCCCCTCGGCACAACTGACCGAAGAAGAGCGGGAGCAAAGACATCATGCAACGGAAGCATTGGGCATTAGCACAGGCAGGTGGCATGTTCATGACCATCACATCCTGCATCCCTGCACCCTCATTTCCCTCCGGCCCCCTCACCCTCTGCCGTACAATCCCTCGACAGAACTCTTGGCCCTTTTGTAACGAACCCTCTGCAACTATTAAGCTCCGACACCGGACAACCGCAAGCACCGCAATCACCCTCCTCCACGTGCCTGCAGTCCTGCACTCCACTGACACGGACGTCGGACATCCAGTCGTCAACCTCGAGCAGTACGGCAGCAACAGTCTCCCAATCCCTCCAAGAGCCCAACAACCCACCCTGAGAGAAAACACATGACCTCTCAGTAACCCCAGTATCCCAGCCCGCCAGCCGCACGTCAGCAAGCCACTACCAGTGGAAGAGTCAGAACCATTGCTTCTCCCTCCATCTGCATGCGCTGATTGTAAAAGGCAAGCTGCCCCTTGCATGCAGACGCGAGGCTGCCAGGGTAGCCCCTTACATGAGGGGCAGCGCTGCCGTACCCAGGCGCTCCGCCAGGGCCACGTGGGCCCGCAGCAGGTCGGACAGGTAGGTCGCCGTCATGGCGTCCTGGAGGTGAGGAGGCGAGGGAGGAGGGAGGAGGGGGGATGAGGAAAGACCGTGAGCATGGGGGTTCAATGAGGACCATCATTAGAAGGGGGCGAAACGCTTCGTAATGTGCCACTTGGGTCGGTTGTCCCTTGCCAGCCTCCCGCACCCATGTTGCAACTCTTCAAGGACCACTGTCCCTCTGCTGGCCCCTTCCTCACCAACTGCACGCTCTACAGAGGCGCATGCATCCATCCATCTGCCCCGTCCTACCCCACCCACACCTGCCCTCCTCCTCTCCCGCTGCTCCCAGCAATGCAGCACCGCCCCACTCCCCCGCTGCCCCGGCCCCCAACTGCCCATCGTCTTGCCCCAAGATGTGATTTCCTATGGTTTGGTCTAATTGCATCCCCGCACTGCCCGCCCACCTGCACGCTCTCGTTGAAGAGGCGCTCGAAGTCGGGCCGAGCCAGGTGCGGCACCAGCGCCAGCGTGTCGGCCAGGTAGCGACCGATGGCGGGGTCGCCAGCCACCTTGCCGGACTGCAGGAGGGGGCGGGAAAATATATAATTGAAACAGGGGGCGGGAAAGGTAGGATGGTTATGCAATGAGTCGTGGCAACTTTAACGCTGACCGTATCATGAGAGAAAGCGCACAACGGGTGTATGTGGGGCTTGCAGCGTTCTGCCGTACGCTGGCTTCCTGGGCAGTTGGCAGCCCCTGTATAGACGGCATGTGGATTCACCATATGCCGTATAGACCCCGCCGGACCCCCGCAAGACGCCTGCATCCCGGTCCCTCCGCCGCTGCTGCTGATGCCGCTGCTGCACCGTTGCTGCTGCTGCCATGCATGACCTCGACCGTGATGTCTCAAGCTCTCACGCTTTTGAGCGTTAAGGACTCCTTGCGTGCATCACCACTCCCTTTTTTCCATCCGGCTGTCGGGCCACACCCGTCGTGCTCTCCAGGTATCCCGCCACGCTGACCACTTTTCCCAGCCCCTAGGTCCAAACGCCCCCTTGCCCCCGCCCCTCTTTCTACTCACTACTTCTCCGCCCAGCGCCCAGGTACCCCCCACAGTGCGCCTCACGCACTCCCAACGCCCCCACCGCCACCAACACCAATGGCCATACCCCCCCTCCTGCCATAGGCATCCACTCCTTCAAAACCCCCTACAGCATGCCCGTGACGTTCCCATGACATTCCCTTTTCCCGCCTCCCTTTCCGCCCACGCACACACCCTCTTCACCCCGCTCACCACGACGCTGTCCACGTACTCCGCCGCCCGCGCCACCAGCTCCGCGAGCCGCCCCATGGAGGCCCCCAGCGTCTCCGACTCCTCGCTGAATGACTTGTTGGCGGTGTCCTTCTTGGCCTCCGGGCTGGGGTCGTTGAAGCCCGTCAGCATCAGCTCGGCTGGGAGGAGGAGCAGGAGAGGAAGGAGGGGAAGGGTGCAAAGGGTGCGTGGTTGGGGGGAGGGGCATGGGGAAACAGAGGGAACGGGGGAATGGATACGGAGGCGGGGGGAGGGTGCAGCCCCCGGGCCTGGGCCTTGACCCAGGATTTCAAAACGGGCCCCTCGTCCTTCCCAGAGGGGACCTACTTCCAACGCGCTCAATGTCGCCGTAGATGGTGTCGCAGGGGATCTCCACAAACTCCGTGGCCAGCGCCTTCTCGCCCAACGCTAGCGTGCGAGACGTGTACGCCTGGACGCTGAACTTGTCGTCTTTAAGCGTGGTATCGACAACCATGTGCACCTGGATGATGAGTAAGGCCGCATGCGAATTGTTACGGATGGCCCATGCGCTGGGATACCAAATCCAGTACCGAACGCAGCCAGAGCGCTGAAATTACTCACGGGATGCGTCGACTCCTTGCTGTAAAACTCCTGGATCAGCGCATCGCTGTTGTAGAGCTCCGACCCCGTGGCAAACCTACGTGCCCAGCGCTCCAGGTGAGAAAACAGCTCGCTAGAAGCGCCCAAGTGGCTCACTCCGCCGCTTACCAGCCGACGATGGCCTCGTGCGGCGCCACCTTTTGGTGCAAGTCAAACATTGTCTTATGGTGTACAACGTCCACCATGACTTGCTCCGAGCTCTCATTGTGCGGCACCACGTAGCAGTTCTTAACCTCGATCACATTGTCCACAACTACGCCAAGCAGTGTGCCGATCACACGGTCCTGGTGCTCCTTCCGGCGGGTATAGGCATCGCAAATTGCAAATAGAACTACGGGGTGGACTTTGACAGAGACATTGCTGCCGCTGGGCATAAGCACGGTTGAAGCCATCGTAATTCAACCGTCAAGTTCAGTAGGATAGTTCAAAGTTCACTACGCCACGTGTAAGGGAGAGCGATAGGGCGTGCCCGCGCAGTTGAGCCGCGGCGGCGCCTTTTTACCGTACAACCCGGTTTCTGAAATGCCAAAAGCCTTGTCCATTTCAATCTGAAGGTAAAGACCCTTAGCAAGGATGCTTGTCTTTAACAATTAAGATATAAAGTGCTAAATAGAATGGAGTTGGTTAACTCTCCAACATTGGTTAAGCACAGCTTTTGCCTGTTACCTTTGGAGTAGTCAGTTGGCGTGGGGGGCAGCCGTGACTGCTTGGGAGAAAGCGGGGCTCTGGGCGCGTGGGCTACCTGTATTTCCCTGAGAAAAAATACCCATTTTTCATGCTGCAGTTTACCCATGCATGACAATGGTGCACCTTGGCGCACTTCCCAAAGTAAGCTCTTGACATGCTGCTTGTGGGTGATGGACTTTATAGTACGTTACCAACCGACTGGATGTGGCACAGGGGTGGCGCTTTCATACCCTTGGGAAGCGCCACCCCTTGGGTCCTTCACCCTGCCTTCGCTTTAAGATGTCAACTACCGGTAGCTTTCCTGCGCTTGCTAGCACTATACATGCTCCCTTCCGTCGATAATAAAACGGAGCGTTGGCCGCAGCAGGAGGTGTAGGCTGTAGGGGTTGTGTTTTGGCAGGCTGGTCACACATACCACACGCCCCAATCCACAAGCAGCGCCAGTGTCAATGTCTGCCCTAGTACTGTATGCTCTGCCTTCATGCCTACAAGCTACACCCGTGTCCATATGCGCTAGCACCATGAACCCCTCGCTATAGGAGTTGTTTATAGCGTGTATGGGTCGCTGCATCTTCGGAAGCGCTGCGCCGCTACGAAGATGCAATACTCCCAACTACTAGTTTCAGCCGATGCAGCATATAGTCGCCCCATTACATCCTCACCGCTGGTGGCGTAGCTACCCGTGCCCCCGGGGTCCGAGGCGCTGTTCATGTACAGCATTAAAACAGGTCAGGCATCTGTGTTCATCATGCGTTTGGTCCACATGAGGTATCAGTAATGATAACGGTCGCGGATTAAAGTCCGCCCGCAGGACTGTGTGCACCAGCAGGGCCAAGTGCGGTGTAGACAGCCTGGCATGTATCTGTTAAAGCTGGGTCAGACTAGGAAAGAGCCGGAGCTTTACAAGGGTCACAAAAAGCGGTAACAGGATTAACGTTTACCAGCGTTGCCAATTGGTTCACAGGTGCAGCACCCTGCCTTGCCAGGCTTTGTTGCAGGCTGCAGCAAAGCATTTTTGCACAATGAATTGTCAACACTTGCTTGAAACCCTGCAGTTTCGCACAACGGTTATCCTGCATCGAAGCACACTTTGTACGACGGGCAAAGGACAGGTAGCTTTGGCCCTCATGCCACGATACCCCAGAGCATATGCGTATACTCCTATACACATACATGTGCGGTAGTTGCAAGGCCTACCATTCCCATATACCCTTGTCAGTGACCATCGCAGCCTCCCAACCTGGGTGTCTTGAGCCCGGTTCCGGGCGACCAACTGGATAAGTTGCATTACGGCTCTGAGCAACTGGAGCACAGGAGCTGGAGGACCTGAGCGGCCGGAGGCAGAATGAAGGGAAAGCGCGAGGTTGGTGCGAAGGGTTGGGACCGGGCTGCACCCCTGCGTTCTGGCGGCGCCATACCGGGCCTTGGCATGACTGCTTATAGCTCATGCATGTCGTGGAGAGCTGGATTAGCGGTAGCGTGCTGCGCTGCGCGTGGGCGACAGTTTCACCGGGGCTCCCCGGTGGCTCGGCATGTGTAGACCCCTAGCGCTTAAGCCGTTAGCGAGAAGGGCGGGCCCTATGGTTCATAACTCCCATCAATATGAATAAGTATTAGTTCGTTGGTGAGTGTTATGCAACTATGGTTGGTATGGCCGTTGCTGGCCATCCCCAAGCCGCATCCTTCCAACGGGTCTGGGGTGGGCCGCGGCGAGGCCCCAGCGCCCAGACGCCCCTTCCAAGCTATTCCTGGTGCCTGTTAGTATACATTTTGCGACCCCCTGGTTGAAAGCCAGTATGGTAGTGTCAGCGACTTGTAATCCTGAGCGGTACTCTGCAGCGGTACCGTCTGCGCACTATCGCGTTACCCAGAAGGCGTCTGAAGACGGGCGCTCCTTAATCACCTTATATCGGTCTTTTTGTTTGCATAGGTGTGCTTTTAGACACTTACGCAACCCGGGCAGAACCCTTCCCGCTGGCAGCCCTCCAGCCTTGCCTGACAGGTTTCCTGTCCAAACCGAAATGCACGCATGGCGCAATTGTTGTCGCGTCATTTCATCTCACGTATCCCTGACAATAAAATTAATCTCTTATGTTGCACCCAATGCCTTCGCTGTTACGCCTGTCGCGTTAGTCCTGGTGTTTGCTATCGCCGCGCACACTGACTGGCGCGATGACCTACGCCTTATACCTGCACATACAACGGTCTGTTTCAAGCCAACCCGCTGGGCAAATTTTGGCCTTTTCGCAAACCCAAACCCTACACGCTCCCGCTTGCTTCGTCGTACAACCCACGACCTTCAGTTCTTCCTACAACCCACCTCTTGCGACATTGCGCCTGCCTCAACCCCGTAACACCGCTAAGGCACGCCAAGGTGTAGGCCACGTCAATCACTTTCTTCTCCTCGTGCCCCTGCCGCAACACAACCATCGCACAGGTCTACACGGCCGAGCAGCTGTACGAGGAGCTTTGTTCGCGACTCTCCGTATCCGACAAATGGCTCGCGGAAAACCACCCTCAGCTGCTGCGGGCTGCGGACGCCATGGTAGAGTCGCTGCAGAAAAAGGAATCGTACGGCGGAGGTATAGCGCAGGTACGGCAAGCTACGCGTACTCAACCACGACACGCACATAGCCCTTACATGTGATAGCATGTGCTGGATAGGTGGTTTCCAGTGCCTGCATTTACTGTTGCGACCCGGTTTTCGATGCATGACAACGCCTTTCTGCCGGCAATTCCCTGTAGCGTGCGGCTCACCTCGCGGCGCACCTCAAGGCCACGGACCCCTTCCTCGCCGAGTGGCTCCAGCGACATAAGCCCCCGCAGCAGCAGGAGCAGCAGACGGAGGAGCAGCAGCAGCAGGTCGATGCTGCTACTGCCGCCAGCGCGACTCGTGTCCCTGAGGCCGACGCTGCCTCCGCCGCCGCCGCAGCAGCAGCCAACGGTAATGCTAACGGCATTCAGCAGAACGGCGGCTGCTCCGCCGCCGCAGCTGCTGCGGAGGGCGGTCTCGCCACAGCCGTCAGTGACGCCGATGCTGCGGCCGCAGGGGCTGTGACACCCGACCCAGATGGGGCCGCGGGCGCTGCTGCGCATGCGGGTGCGGGCGCTGCCAACACAGCAGGCACCAGCGCTGAGGCGGAGGGCGATAACGGGCAGCAGCAGCAGGATACTGAGCAGAAGCAGGAGGAGCAGCCCCGACAGTCTCAGCAGGGCAAGAAGCAGCAGGCGAGGAAGGCCGCCGCCCGCAGCAGCCCTGAGAAGGAGCACGGCAGCGGCAGAGGTAGTGGCAGCGGCAGCAGCAACGCCAAGGCGGCTGCCGACAAGAAGGGCGGAGCCGCAGTGGCCCTGGAGTACCTGACAACCACCTATGGTGGGTGGTCGCGCGGGCACACGTGGATACGTGAACGCGCTTGTCAAGGGCATTGCTGCGTATTACCTCGCCATGCGTTTGGTGCCATGCACTTAGGGCTAGACTGGGCTTTTGAGGAGGCCGGGTTCTCCGCTGCTTACTGACACCATGCTATCCCTTTCCTCTCTCCCTCCCTTCCCTCCCAACCCTGCAGCCCACCTCCGCGAGCAGCGCACCCTGGTGATGGGCGAGCGCAAGGACCGGCTGCTGCGCGAGGTGGCGGCGCTGCGGCAGCTGCGGGGCGGCAGCATCAACGTGCTGCGGGGCGCGCGGGCGGCGGAGACCAGCGTGGGGGACCTGCTGGCGGCGCTCAAGGCGGCGGACAGGGATGCGGGGGAGGAGGAGGGGAAGGAGGAGAAGGGGAAGGAGGAGGGGGTGGTGGAGGGGGCTGCAGCAGCGGCGCCGGAGGGAGGGGACCCCATGGAGGTGGAGGGGGTGCAGGGGCAGGGGCAGGAGCAGCAGGGCTCTGCCGCTGTGCCGACGTCAGCAGCCCCAGTTGCTGCTGCCGCCGGGGGAGCTAAGGCTGATGCTGGGAAGGCAGCCGCCACTGCCGTGGGCAGCAGCGGCAAGGACAAGAAGAAGGGCTGCGGCGGCACGGGCGGTACGACCCGGCTGCCCGGCTACCTGGACAACCTCACCTGCATCGTGTGGGAGGACTGGCGGGTGGGTCGGCTGGCGGGAGGGCTGCCCTGGGAAGGGACGTGCGCATGACCTGCGCAGGGGGGCGCTTGGGAAGGAGGCGTAGTGCGGAGCTGCAGGTGTTACCGGTAGTCACGTCGCTGCAGGGGTTGCTGCTGCCCTGCTGTCCAGGCAACCAAGCACCTGCCCCACCCGCCCTCCTTTCGCTTCCCCTCTTTTCCCCCTCCCCCCCCGCCCCCCCGCAGATCCCCGAGCGGCTGGGCACGCTGCTGCGGGCGGGGGACACCGTGTGTGTGTATGTGGAGGTGCACTGCAGGTGCGCAGGAGCAGCAGGGAGGAGGGGGCGGGGGCGGGTGGGGTGGGGAATAAAAGATAAGTGTAGCAACGAGGGGGCCAGGGTTAAGGCATGCAGCGGGTCAGGGGAGATAGGGGTGCATGTGTGCAGAGGTGCACCCCGGGTTATGCGGATGGTGAGGCTGCCGGTGGTTGGGTTCAGTCACGATCACACGGCGGAAAGAGATCAGGTAAACCAGGGCTGTGTGATTTGTGTACCGCACTTCCCTCCCCCTGCTGCCATCCTTACCGCCCCTCCCTGCCCCCCCTTTCCCGCCTCCAGGGACGGCCCCGAGGACACCCGCCTGGCCATGAGCCTCAACACCTTCGTGTCACTGGCGCTGTGCTCGCAGAGGCTCATCGGTGAGGGGTGTGTGGGCGGGGTGTTGCAACGAGTTACTACTCGCAACGGTCTGTACGGGATGTTGTAAGACAGGAAGAGTGCTGGTGACGTGGTGAGAGGGGCCGGCGGCACCGGAAACCACTGCTAGAATGGTTAAGAAGGCACCCCTCCAACCTCCACCCCCTCCCTACACCCCCATGCACTCATCATTCTTACCCACCCCCCCATGCAGCCGAGCTGTACCAGGACATGTTCATCACGCCGCAGCGGGTGGCCGCCGCGCGCCCGCAGCGCAAGCGCCCGCGCACCGCCGCCGAGGAGACGGTTCAGAGCCTGGACGAGTCGCCCGAGTCGCTGGACTTTGTGGACTTTGTGGAGGCGCTGCACCGGCGCATGCCGCTGCGGTGCGGCTGGATGTACGCCAACGCCATCATGCCCACGCAGCGGGAGTGGGAGCGGGTGTTTGGGACGGAGGTAGGGGGGGAGTGGGTGGGAGGAGGAGCAGTGGGAGCGGGTGGTGTGTGAAGCTCTGACGGCTGCGCTAAGCAAGGGGCCTATATGGGCGGAGGGCGGGGACGAGCAGGCGGGATCTGGGGGGCGTAAACGTGCACCAGCGTGCGGTCATGGAGCTCCCACCTTTGGTCGTACCCACCAGCTACCCCCCGCCCATCCTTTTGCTCGCTCCCATGGCTTTCCCTCTGCCTCATTCAACACATTGGGCCTTCTTCTGTTCTCCCTCTGCCTCCCCCTTTCCCCCCGGGCAGGCGGGTCGTCTGAGCGGTCTGTACGAGGGCGGTCCGCAGCTGGACGCGCTGGGCCGCGCCTGCCTGGCCTTCCACCGCAACCGCCACGAGAGCCCCGTGCTGGACCTGCATGCACTGGCGCGCCAGCTGAAGGGGCGGCAGGGGCCGGGAGTGGGAGCAGGAGTGGGAGGAGAGGGGCAGCAGCAGGAGCAGTGCGGCGGTGCAGGCAGCAGCGCAGCAGCAGCAAGCGATGTTAGAGATGCCAACCCCACTACCACCACCACCACCACCACCACCACCAACCTCATCATACGTGCTCCGGGCGACAGCAGCCGGATCGGCATCAGCAGCGGCTGCGGCAACGGCAACGGCCCTAGTGGCAGCAACTGCGGCCCCAGCGGCCCCAGCAGCAGTGCTGGTGCTGATGCTAGTGCTGGTGCTGGTGCTGGTGTTGGTGCTGGTGCTGGTGTTGGCGGGGTGGATCTGGGTCACCTGAGCTGCTGCTGCGTGGCCGCCATGTCACTAGCGGATGACTTCCTGGGGGAGCTGCTGCGGCAGGCCACCGCGGGGGCAGCGGCGGAGCAGGTGGCGGCGGTGGCGGCAGCGGCTGCTGGAGGTGGTGGCGGCTGCGGAGGCGGCAGCAACTGCAGCAACTCAGCAGCAGCAGCAGCAGCAGTAGGGACGGCAACAACAGCGGGGGTGCAGCGTATGCAGGTGGATGCAGGGGGGTGCAGTGGCAGTGGCGAGGGCGAGGGTGTCGGTGGTGGCGTGAAGCTGGAGGAGATCAAGGAGGAGGAGGAGGAGGAGGAGGGGGGAAAACGCAGCCCTCACATACCAGTAGCAGAGGGCGGAAGGCCAGCGGCAACCACGATGGCGGCAGCGGCGCTGGCGGCGGCCATGGAGGACGACGGGGAGGAGGACGAGGTGATGGTAGCAGTGCGAGCGGAGCTGAGGTGGGTGGAGGAGGCCTCACGACAAGCTGAGGCGGAGGCCCTGGCGCAGGCGGAGGCGGAGGCGGCGAGGCAGCAGCAGCAACACCGAAAGCGGTCTCAGGGTGGGGTGTCTGCAGGCTGCTGCGGGGGAGCTGGCAACAGCGGGGGCAACAGCAGCGGCGGCAGCGGCTGCTCCAGCTTCCCCGGCGCCTTCTCGCACCAGCTGCAGCTGCTGCCGGGGGTGTTCTTCTCCTACTACATCGGCAGTCAGGCTTTCACCAACACATCGGTGAGGGCGGGAAAGAGGAGGAATGATGTAACACAGGCCCTAAACAGGCCTCTCGAGATGTCTTGAGGCTTCCCTTTAGGGCTTGTATGCTATAGCCTTGCTACAAAGAAGTATGCGCAGCTCCTCCAATGCTCCCCTTCCCTCCTCCTCTTGTCTGCCACTATCGCTCAACGCACTGTGTCTTCTTCTCCCCCCTCCCCTCCGCACTAGCCTCAATTAATCTTTACCCCTCCCCTCCCACCCCTCCGCAGTGGCACGTGGAGGACTTCCTGCTGCAGTCCATGAACCTGATGCTGGTGGGTCGGCCCAAGGCGTGGTGGTGGGTGCCGCGCGACAAGGAGGCGGACTTCATGCAGCTGCTGGACGACTACTGGGAGAAGGAGGAGTGAGTGGTAGTGGTAGTGGGGGAGGGATTAATGGGGAGTGGGTGTGGTGGGAGGGGGAGTGTGGGCGGCGGCTGAAGAGGGTGTGCTCCCGTCGGTACAAAACCGACCCATGGGTCACGATACTGACGACTAGGTGTTGTTTCTGTACTTGGTTGTGGTTGATCATGCAGGTGTTTAGCTTTAGAATCCTTTTGTGTACATCAACCCTTCATGCATATCGTACAGCCGCCTTCCTCTGCCCGTATTACGGCGTTTCGCAACCCCCTTTTGCTTCCGCCTTCCCTCGCCTCATCCCTCCGCGCAGCATCTACACCAAGTGTGTCCCGCTGGCTTCCGAGACGGTTGATAAGCTGATCAAGATGGGTGTGAAGCGCAGTGTGCAGCTGCCGGGAGCCATCTTCATCACCAGCCCAGGTGGGTAAGGGCTAAGGGGGCATACCGGTACCCAAACCCAATTCTCTATCCACACGTGGTGGAGAAAACGTAGGAGCCCACTGGGGTGGGGCAGGACAGGGAAGAATGGCCGGGCGAACAGAAAGGAGGTGGGGGGTTGATTGATTGATTGTAATGCATAGCTGGAGTGGTTGCGGTATAACGCCTCCTCCGCCTCCTCGCCCCCCTCTCCGGCCCCCAGGCTACGCCTTCCACACCACCATGTCATCCGGCTGGTCGCTGGCGGACTCGGCCAACTTCATGGCAAACATTGTGGGCAAGGTGAGGGGGAGGAGCAGCAATCGTTGGTTGGTGGCAGTTGCGGTTGTGCGCTTCATGGTTACCCTTCACTCCTTTGCAAGCATGTGGAGGATAACGCCACTGCCCCCCACTGGCCCCTGCTATCCTGTCCCCCATTCCCCCGCAACGTCCTAATGTAAAGGCCTGTCAGGAAGACCCCGGCCTTGCGGATCATGACGGAACCCATTACGCTCCCGCTCCGCTCTCTTAACTTGCCTAAACAGGACATGCACGTGCTGGAAGACGAGCGGCCGCTGGAGCAGTACCCGGAGACGGAGGGTCGCACCTCGGTGGGTGAGTGGGTGCGCTTCACCATGCGGCGGATCGAGCTCATGCGCGCATGCAACGACCCGTCGTACAGCCCCCGGCCCATGACGCGAATCATGGAGGAGGCGCTAGCGCGCAAGGCTGCTGCTGCTGCCGGCGGTAAGGGCGGGGAGGAGGGTGAGGAGGAGGCGGGAGGCAGAAGCAAGGCGGAGGGGAAGGGCAAGGGCGGCGGAAACGGAAGCGCGAAGCGTGAGGTGAAGAAGGAGGGGGCTGCTGGGGCAGGGACAGGTGGGGTGAAGAAGCAGTCTGGGAAGAAGGCGGTCAGGAAGGAGCAGCCGGAGGAGCGTACGGCGGCAGGTGCTGCGCAGAAGAAGACGGAGGCGGCAGCAGCAGTAGCTGGTGGTGGCAGCGAGCGGCCACGGCAGCGGCAGCGGTGCGGCAGCAGCCACCCGCAGCAGCAGCAGCCGCAGCAGCCTGAGAAGCCGCAGCAAAACGGAAAGCAGCAGACTCAGGCGGCCGCTGAGGGCCGCCGGCGGAGCGGAGCGCAGACGGCTCGGCAGCGGTCGGCCCCGCAGCCCACGCCAGCTCCGCCGCAGCCGCTACGGCGAGCTGCATCGGAGGGGCTGGCTGCTGCTGCTGTTGCGGTGGCTGTGGCGGATGGAAAGGGAACTGCGGTGCGGGCAGCGCAGACCTCGCGGCCTGCACGGGGGCAGAGGGCGCAGCGGGGTCTGCGGGCGCAGCTGCAGCAGCAGCAGCAGGAGGAGAAGGTGCTGAGTGTGCAGCAGCAGGGAGGGGAGGAGGCGCTGCAGGCAGGGGCTGTGGCGTGTGTTGGGGCAGTGGTGCAAGTGGTGGAGGGCGCGCAGGAGCAGGAGGAGCAGCAGCAACCGCAGCAGCAGCTGCAGCAACCCGCGGAGAACAGGGGGGATCTGATGGACGTGACGGCCAGCCTGCCGCAGACGCAGGAACAACCCACCCAGCCACCACCACCATTGCAGCAAGCCGAGCAGCAGGAGATGTCCCTGCCCCTGCTTCAGCCGCAGCACGCCCAGCAGCAGCAGGAGGCGGAGGGGGCTGTGGTGGTTGGGGAGGCGGGGACGGAGAAGGACGGGAAGCAGGAGGAGGAGGGGCGTGCCGTGTTGTGCATGGAGGCCCCCCAGCCTGCTGCTTCGAGGCCCGAGGAAGAAGAGGTGGCGGAGGTGGTGGGTGGGGTTGTTCCGATGGAGGTCCAGTGGCGGGTAGCTGTTGCATGAATGCGGGATGAGGGCATGAGGAGGGGTGCATGAGGACATGAGGAGGGGTGATGGGGGTTACACTCCCGCGATACGCCCGCCTGCCGTCATGAGAGTGCTGGGCAGTGTGCTGGCAGTAACAGGTAGTGGTGAAGGATGAGTCTCGAACGTCAGGATGGAGCCTGGGTTGTGGCTGCAGAGTGCTGTGCTACTGGTGCAACATCTGTGGCAGGCTTGGGTTGCAGGAACGGTGCTAGGGTTGAGAGGAGCAGTGGCTATTGGCGAGTTGAGTGGCATTGCCCGGCTGGAGTTGTCTTTTAATAGGTCACGTGTGTTGGTTAAGAGGGAGAAGGGGGCTTGCAAGGGCTGAGGGCAAACGTAGTGCAGTTGTCCCACGCACTAAAGGGTCCGCCAAGCTAACAGAACGGGCTTGACACCGAGCTTGGCGCCTACTGGTGCAAGTCAGAGCCTGGTCGCTGGCGCATGCGGACCTATCCTGGCTTTTTGGGGGATCCTGTCGACGTGCTGCTAGTGGAGAAGTAAAAGCGACGTAACGGGTTTCCGTACAACTGCATGGACGAAGAGTGCAGGTTAGTGTCCCTGACGCGCGGCGTGCGTTGAGACTGTCCTTGACCGTTGCTTACGGCGTTTTGACTCCATGTTACCTCCACCTGAACCTGCGTGGCATGCATGGGTGTCCGTGTGTCTAGCACGGCATCTGCGCATGTCATGTCGGATGGGGCGCTGTTCGGGTGCGGTGGCGGACACCCCACCCTTGACGATGCTTGCATGGCTTATTGACGCGTTTACGGTGCATTGGTATGAATAGATGACGTACAAAGAGAGAAAGTGGCTGGTATGTTGCATTTGTGCTGCCTAGGGGGTTATATGTTGGTTTTGTACATAGAGGTTTGCCCAAGGCACGAATTGGGTGGACGCGACGGTATGCATTCTTGTCATGAAACGACAAGCTGGGAATCAGTACGGTGATGCTCGTCATCTGAGAGCACAGTAATAGCTGATGTTTGGTGGGTTGTCCCGACAAAAACGGGCATTGTATGGGTGGGACGAATGCGCATGATGCGTCGACTTAGCGTAATAGGCGGAATCAGCCGCGTTTTGTGGCATGGGATGGGTGGTTGAGCAGTCATGCTTGCCACGACATCCCACGGCGTCCCTGGCTCGCTATGAACCTCATGCTCCCTTGGCGCGTTGTATGCAAGCAACATTGGCTGCAAGTGCCATGTGGAGTTGAAGCATGCCTTTGGTATACACAGCTATGGCACATTGCAAAGTGTGACGGGACTGTAAACGTTGCCAACTTTCCCGAAGAAGGAAGAAGCAACGGGGCCCTTGCGTGGCTCAGCACACTTTACATAATGTGATTGACCTGTTCGCGCACTCGGTATGCCATGGCGCGCATAAACGGTGTTGCCCATTTGGGGCTAAACGCAGCGTTAACATCAGACAAAATCTTACAGCCACAAGAGCCCTGGTATGATTGATTTCAATACCGTACGGAGCTACGGGCTCAATGCAGGTCAAGCCATGGAACGTCATATGTCATAAACCGCACATGCTTGAATGGTTTTTAATGATCCGTCACAAACAAAACGGCCATTCACCGTACGCATCATAGGACGTACAATGGCACTAAAGAGGATAGAGGATTATAAACCTTATACTGCACTTAACTCCGCCTGTCTTGGCCTCCAAGACGGCTTACAAGCACACATCTTGCGTAAAGCCTGCGACTTACTAGTCGACGGGCAAGTCCTAATCATCAGAAGGGGATCATGCGTCCAAACCACCAACCACAGGGCCCCAGGCCAAACAACTGCCCACCAGTGCATGAACGGTCAGCAAATACAGCAACAGAAGATCAGGGTTGCTTTCGGCCCAAACAACTCCTACGAAGACGCGCCAGTGGCTCCTGCATTGCGGCAAGCTACGGTACGAGCATGTACGCACATCCGCCCACATCGTACGACGTGGGTAGAGCCCCCTGCGGGTTGCCATGCAACCTTCCCCACCTCCATCACACGCTTTCCCCAACACTGGAACCATTTCAAGCCTCAGCAGCACTCGGCGACACAAGCCACGTCATGCACACGGGGGCGAGTCCTGGCATCTCAGCAACATCCCAAACCATGCACCGGCTCAACCTGCTGTCGCTGTCATCATTTTCGTACTACAACAAACACTGTACTGCAACAGCAACTCAGTTCGCGCACGCATGTTTGCGCCGCGACTAACCACCCAGGCGTGTGACATCACCTAGAAAAGGAAAAAACGAGGAGGGGTCAAAGGGTCATTGTTCGCCTCCAACCTATCTGAGGCCTGCGGCCTTACCTCAACGTTTTAACATCCACCCGTCAACCATCATATCGGTAAGCCATCGTCCCGCATGCGCAATACTCGTTAGTGGTGTTAGGTCCTAACAAACCTCAGAACAATACTTCGGCTTATCACAACAGCAGCCCGGCACCATGACATGCCGGCGGGACTGCAACATGTCCCAACAAAACGCGCTGGGAACAGAACTCCGCTTCCCGAGCATGTTCGCAAGTGCGGTGGCTTCTCCATCCAGAGTTCAACCGTCGTCACGCCAAGTTCGTCCGTTGCTTACTGTTTCATGATCGGGTGGCACACCTAACAGGCTGTCCTACATTTCCCCTTCCTTGGCAAACCCTCTACACCCTTGTAACGATAGCACTCTTGATAACCCTAACCTACACTACAAAAACTGACTGCCGACGCACGCACACGCACAGCGCGCGCGGAACACGAAAACCTGCTGGAATGGCATGCATGCAACCAGGAATCGTTCATGCTTAGTAGTACCCAGATAAGGTATGGTGTGTCAAACACCCTCCTATCACGCGTACATGACCGCTTCGTCATCGATATATCTTCGTCTTCCTCCGCCCTCTTCAAGGGCTTCCTAATGTCAACATACCCGTACACAATCCAACTCGAAACCATTCATCAATCTCACAAATCATCAGCATCACCGTGCATCAGAGCAGCAGCAGCACCAGAACCCTTAAGAACTTCCGTACAGCTCAACCCCGTACAATCAATAAATCTCGTCACACCCTACGTATCTCTGGCATGTCCCACCGAACGTGCCTCCTTGTCTTCCGTCACAGCAGTCCTCCTAGCGACCCTTCATCTTCTTCCTAATTTACACCATCCTCCTCATCATCAACTCCTACACATCGCTTCCTCTACGTGCTCCCCCAGGGCCCCACTCCCCCCTGTGGGGGAAGTGATCCCTCTGAGGCAGGCCTGGCCGCATCACCGGACCCGCTGCTTCCTCCCGCGCTGCCTCTGCTGCTCCCAGCGGGGCTCCCCTGCGCGCTACTGCTGCCAGCGACACTTCCCCGACCGCCAGCAGCCGTGACGCTGTTGCTGCCGGTGCTGCTGGCAACACTTCCCCGGACAGCTCCGCCGCGGCTGCTGCTTCGGCCGCCAAAGCCGCTGCTGCTGCTGGTCATAGCGCTGCCGGGCCGACGGCGTTCGGAGGGCGGCACAGGGCCCATCACCAGCGCAATACCGCTCACGCGTTCATCCTCTGCTGCTTCATCAATGTTGGGTACCGTAGGGCTCGTCATGGACAGCGGGTTGTTGAAGAACGCTGTACGACTGGACGCGGTTGACTTTGTTTGGGTTGAGGAGCCACAGCTCAGTCGTACGGAAGGCACGGGCGGCGTCTGAAGCGAGCTGACGTCAAAGGGAACGCCGCCGCCGCTGCCGCCGTCGGCGCCGGAAAATCGCCTGCTGAAGCGCCACCCGGGCAGCGAGGGCGGTGAGCTGCCAAGGGCCATGAAAGTTGCTACCACGTCATCCTCGCCTTCCATGGTTCCGGCAGTTGCAGCCATGGCGTTGATGTTGATGACGTAGCGGCTGCCGGGGCGGACGCCGCCTAGTTCGTCCTTGGCTGGACTCCAGCGCTTGCGGCGGTAGTAGACCACGAGCGCTAGAACCATGAGGGAGAGCAGCGCAAAGCCCACGACGAAACAGACGATGATGGCCACCTGTTGGGATGGGCGGGTGGGAGTAAAGCGGGTTCGGGGGCGTCACGGTGGGCGGGAGGATGTGCTGCGCGGTAAGGTTGGAGGATGGAGAATGCGAGCGCCTAGGGTTAATACCGTTACGGCAAGAGTACGGGTACATGCATCAGCGTCGTAAGCATCACCAGCAGGGACTGTCTGGGCCAACGCACGGCTGTAGACACGGCTCTAGACTACTCTGTACACTTTGTTAAGTCCTTGGCACTCACCTGGCTATTCGTGAGGGCACCTCCTTGCGCTACATTTTGCCCAGGCGGCGAGTTCTGGCCGTACTGGTTTCCAGGGCTCAATCCAGGTGACGGCGGCGCGGCGGCGACCACGGGCGTCTGACCCACGGGTCCAGGAACGATGTCATTCGCCTCAGCCGCAAGGCCCTGCGTGCATGCGCTGCGGGACACCAGCTGCACCACGCAGGACTCTGGCAGCTGGCCGGATAGCGCGCTTGGTGCGCAGATGTCATCCACGGCTAGGGCGTCCGGCAGGCTGAAGTTCAAGTAGACGCCGGGGGAGGCGATACCAAGGGCCGAGGTTCGGGGCAGGGTGAGTGCCGCGTTACGCAGGTACATGAAGTTGGGAGGGTTGGATGCTGACAATGCCGACGCGGTTGTGTTGCTGAGGAGCAACTGCAGGTAGACCGGCTGTGGGAGTTCCGCTAGCCACTTGCTGCAAGCCGCTGTCGTACCCGCATCCAGCGCACTGTTGCCGTACAAATGTACGGCAACAGAAGTACGACCGGTCGAGGCTGCGAAGGATCTCCGGATGGACGTCACCAGGCAACCGGACGGCCCGATCAACGACACTGAGGACAACGACGACGGCGATGAGGAATTCCATGTTGTGTTGAGTGTTAGCGTTGACGCCCCAGTGTTGGCTGAGCAGAGTGCCGCGCCAGAGGCCAAAGCGGAGCCCGACGGGCCTGTCAGATCAGGTGACAGTACCGTTGTTGAGATTGCGCTAGAGCTCCATAAGGCTACAACCGCGTTGGCGCTTCGTGTGGTAGTTACGTTGGTGGTTGCGGCGTCGGCCAACTGCCGGCGGCCTTGCAACCGCGCGTTGAGCTTCAAGAACGCCAGGGAGAACAACACGCTAGAGCCCGGTTGGACGTCATTGACGATGGTTACCGTTGGCAGCACGGACTGCGTGTACGGAACCGCTTTCACAGTTTGTACGACACCATCATCCGACGTCCGCAGGGCACTTGTGACGCTGGCAACGTCTAGGTCGCCGCCCATCACTGCAGGATCCACGACTAAGCTCCAGCCTTGCAACGCGGATGCCGCTTCGCCCACAGCTACCAGGTACGTTACGACAAAGTGTGTCGTATTCTCAGCCATGTCGTACATTGATATGTCGTACCCGGATGAGAACCAGCCGACCACATCACTTGGCACGGAAACCGGAATCACGGCGCCGGAAGGCAACGTGAACATGGGGCCTGTCGGTGGTGGCGTCATCAGCTGCTGCGGTGGCGGCGAGGGCTGCTGCGGTGGCGGCGAGGGCTGCTGCGATAGCGGCGGTGGTGGCGGCGGCAGCAATGTGGATGGCGATTGGCCCGGAGGATCTTGGCTGTTCGAGTCGGGGCTGTTGGGGCTGGGGCTGGGGCTGGCGGAGGTGGGTGGTGGCGAGGGGCTGGGCATGTTGGGGCTGACAGTAGGTGGTTGAGAGGGGGGCGAGGGCGGTGGGTTATCGGTACCAGCAGGGGGTGCGGAGGTAGTGGGCTGTGCGGGTTTGGGTGGAATTGGAAGCGGTGGAGGGTGTGGTGCTGGTGGGGAGGGTGGGCTGGCGGACGGGTGGGAGGCGGGGGAGGGAGGTGGGGGATAGACAGGACTGGGTGGAGGTGGGTAGGCGGGGCTAGGTGGTGGAGGGTAGGCGGGGCTAGTTGGAGGAGGGTAGGCGGGGCTAGGTGGAGGAGGGTGGGCGGGGCTAGGTGGAGGAGGGTGGGCGGGGCTAGGTGGAGGAGGGTGGGCGGGGCTAGGTGGAGGTGGGTAGGCGGGGCTGGGTGGTGGAGGGTAGGCGGGGCTAGGTGGAGGAGGGTAGGCGGGGCTAGGTGGAGGAGGGTGGGCGGGGCTGGGTGGTGGAGGGTAGGCGGGGCTAGGTGGAGGAGGGTGGGCGGGGCTGGGTGGAGGTGGGTAGGCGGGGCTGGGTGGTGGAGGGTAGGCAGGGCTGGGGCTGACAGAGCCTGAAGGAGGGGGCATGGGGCTGGTGGCTGGCGGGTAGGGAGGGCTGCTTGCAGGGTGACCGGCAGGAGAGGGCGCAGGGCTGGGTAGCGGTGGGTAGGCGGGGCTGGGGCTGACTGGGCCTGAAGGTGGGGGCATGGGGCTGGTGGCTGGCGGGTAGGGAGGGCTGTTGGAAGGCTGGCCGGCAGGAGAGGGCGCAGGGCTGGGTGGAGGTGGGTAGGCGGGGCTGGGGCTGACTGGGCCTGAAGGTGGGGGCATGGAGCCGGGGGCTGGCGGGTAGGATGGGCTGTTTGTGGGATGGCCGGCGGGAGGGGCTGGGGCCAGCATGGGGCTGGGGTGCGTGTCGGGCGTCGGCGCGGGCATTGGACCCGGAGGGGGGCTGGAACCGCTGGGACTGGGGCTTGATGTGGGGCTCGGCGGGAGGGGGTTGGGGTATCCTTGCTGGTTGGGTGGAGGTGCGCCGGATGGGAGGGGGGCGGGGGGCTGGGGGTTATGCGCAGGTGGCTGCTGTGGGGAGGGAGGTGGGCTGGAGGTGGGCAGTTGTGGAGGTGAGGATGAAGGGGCAGAGGCCGGCGGCGGAGGCGGCGGGTGAAGCGTTGTTCCAGGGACTGCTGGGGGTGGCGGGGGTGGTGGCGGTGGCGGCGGTGGCGGTAGCTGGAGCTGGGGAGCTAAAGGTGGTGTTGCTGGCGGTGGCGGCGGCGATGGAGAGGACAGGTGGGTTTCTGGTTCTGGAGACATGGGCGGAGGCGGCGGAGGAGGCGGTGGCGGTGGCGGCGGCAGGGGTGATCGAGGTGGCGGCGGCTTGGGAGCTGTAGGGGGAGGGGGTGGCGGTGGCGGTGGCGGCGGTGGCGGCAAGTCGGCAGGTGGGTAGTCGACAGGTGAGTTGTCGACAGGCGGCGAGGCGACTGGATCCGGCGGCGGTGGCCGCGGCGGCCGGGGCGGTTTCGGCGGCGGCGGCCTTGGTGGCCTTGGAGGCCGGGGTGAGGGTGGGTGCGGCGGAGGCGGTCGCGGCGGCCGTGGCGACGGTGGAAGTTGCGGTGGTGTGAGGGGCGACGGTGACGGCGGTGGTGGTAGTAGCGGTGGGGGCGGCGGCGGCGGGGGTGGGGGCGGCGGCGGCAAAGAGCTTGGCGCAGTAAGTGGCGACGACGGATCCGACGGCGGCTGCGATGATGGTGGCTCGGGTGTCGACAGAGGAGGAGGCGGTGGCGGCGGCGGCGGAGGTGGCGGCGGCGGCGGCGGAGGTGGCAGCAGTGATGGCAACAGCGTTGATGGCGGCGGTGGAGGGGGTGGCGGCGGCGGCGGCGGCGGAGATGGAGGAGGTAGCAGAAGTGATGGCAACAGCGGCGGCGGAGGCGGCGGCGGCGGTAATAGAGACATGGGCATTACCGGAGGTGGTGGCGGATGCAGTGGCGTTGACGGCGGTGGTAATGCTGGCGGCACGGCTGGGAAGGGCGGAAGTGGCGGCGGTGGCGGGGGCGGTGGAGGGGTTCCAGGTGAGGTTGGAGGGCGTGACGGCGGTGGCGGCGACGATTGAGGTGATGGTTCTGGCGTTGGAGGAGGAAGAGGTACGGGCACCGGCGGCGCTGGTTGGGAGGGAGAAGGCAGCATGGGCGGTGGCGATGCAGGCGGTACGCTGGCCTCAGCCGCAAGCCCCTGCGCGCATGCGCTGCGGGACACCAGCTGCACCACGCAGGACTCAGGCAGCTGGCCGGATAGCGCGCTTGGTGCGCAGATGTCAGCCACGGCTAGGGCGTCCGGCAGGCTGAAGTTCAAGTAGACGCCGGGGGAGGAGATGGCGCGTGCAGAGGAGCGTGAGATGGTAAGGGCCGCATTTCGCACGAAGGAGAAGCTGGGAGGGGCTGAAGGGCTGGGTGGAACGGAGGCTGACATCACTGCGGCTGTCTTGCTGCTCAGAAGCAGCCGCAGGAAGACCGGCTGATCAAAGTCAGTCAACCACTGTGCGCACTCTGCCGCTGTGCTCGCATCCAGGCCTGCGTTACCGTACACACGTACGGAAACTGCCGTACGTCCTGTCGCCAACGAGAAGGAGATCTTGATTGCGGTCCTCAAGCAACCGGTTGAGCCCAGCAGGGGTACGGACGGCCGCGACGCCAGCGAGGCTATGCCAGCACTTGTACTGCAAAGTGACGCCCCGGTTGCAAGGTCTGCGCTGCCAGGACCTGTTACTTGGGACGGTACCACCGTTACGACAAGTGTCGTGTTGCTCCAAAGTGCAACACCGCCGCTAACACTACGGTTCGTTGTCGTACTGTCAGCCATCAAATGCCGCAGGTGGTGTCGCCCATGGCCGCCGGCAGGGATCTTGGGGAAGGCAATGGCGAACAGGGCGACAGTGCCCGGAGCCACGTCGTTGACGATGGTGAGGGTTGGCATTGGCGACAGAGTGTAGGGAATGACCGAGACAATTGACACGCTGCCATCGCTATCGGTTCGTACGGCAGTCTCCACCGCATTGACGTCTAGATCCGTACCCATCGTCGCGGGGTTCACAACCAAACTCCAGCCCAGCATCGTGGATGCTGAGTCACCGACAACAAGCAAGTACGTCACAGTGAAGTACGACGCATCTTCGTAAAAGTCGTACACAGAAATGTCGTACCCAACAGAGCCGATGGGTGCAATTTCGTCTGGAAGTGGTACCGGGATGACGGCTTCCCCTGGCCAGTTTGGATCGATGGCGCTGGAAGGTCGTGGAGGCGCCGTATACCACTCAGGGTAGAAAGCGGGGAATGAAGGCAATGACGTTGGGTGGGATGGAGGCGATGCCGGAGGGCTGGGTAGGTGCTCTGAAGGCGGCAAGGGTGCGTCTGCAGGTGGGATGGTTGAAGGTGCTTGCGGAAGAAAGGTGGGCGGCGCTTGGGATGGAGGTTGCGGCACTGCTGGGCTAGGAGGTGCGAGGGTGGGTTGTAAGGTGGAGGGTGGTGGAGAGGTGCTGATAGGGCTGGGGCTGGATCTGGGCGGCGGAGGGTAGGACGCGGGCGTGGGTAAACTGGGGCTGACAGGGCCTGAAGGTGGGCTAGTGGCTGGCGGGTAGGGAGGGCTGTTGGAAGGCTGGCCGGCAGGAGAGGGCGCAGGGCTGGGTGGCGGTGGGTAGGCGGGGCTGGGGCTGACTGGGCCTGAAGGTGGGGGCATGGGGCTGGTGGCTGGCGGGTAGGGAGGGCTGTTCGAAGGCTGCCCCGCAGGTGAGGGCGCAGGGCTGGGTGGAGGTGGGTAGGCGGGGCTGGGGCTGACAGGGCCTGAAGGTGGGGGCATGGGGCTGGTGGCTGGCGGGTAGGGAGGGCTGTTGGTTGGCTGGCCGGCAGGAGAGGGCGCAGGGCTGGGTGGAGGTGGGTAGGCGGAGCTGGGGCTGATAGGGCCTGAAGGTGGGGGCATGGGGCTGGTGGCTGGCGGGTAGGGAGGGCTGTTGGTTGGCTGGCCGGCAGGAGAGGGCGCAGGGCTGGGTGGAGGTGGGTAGGCGGAGCTGGGGCTGACTGGGCCTGAAGGTGGGGGCATGGGGCTGGTGGCTGGCGGGTAGGGAGGGCTGTTCGAAGGCTGCCCCGCAGGTGAGGGCGCAGGGCTGGGTGGAGGTGGGTAGGCGGGGCTGGGGCTGACTGGGCCTGAAGGTGGGGGCATGGGGCTGGTGGCTGGCGGGTAGGGAGGGCTGTTGGAAGGCTGGCCGGCAGGAGAGGGCGCAGGGCTGGGTGGCGGTGGGTAGGCGGGGCTGGGGCTGACAGGGCCTGAAGGTGGGGTCATGGGGCTGGTGGCTGGCGGGTAGGGAGGGCTGTTGGTTGGCTGGCCGGCAGGAGAGGGCGCAGGGCTGGGTGGAGGTGGGTAGGCGGAGCTGGGGCTGATAGGGCCTGAAGGTGGGGGCATGGGGCTGGTGGCTGGCGGGTAGGGAGGGCTGTTGGTTGGCTGGCCGGCAGGAGAGGGCGCAGGGCTGGGTGGAGGTGGGTAGGCGGAGCTGGGGCTGACTGGGCCTGAAGGTGGGGGCATGGGGCTGGTGGCTGGCGGGAAGGGAGGGCTGTTGGAAGGCTGGCCGGCAGGAGAGGGCGCAGGGCTGGGTGGAGGTGGGTAGGCGGGGCTGGGGCTGACAGGGCCTGAAGATGGGGGCATGGGGCTGGTGGCTGGCGGGTAGGGAGGGCTGATGGTTGGCTGGCCGGCAGGAGAGGGCGCAGGGCTGGGTGGAGGTGGGTAGGCGGAGCTGGGGCTGACTGGGCCTGAAGTTGGGGGCATGGGGCTGGTGGCTGGCGGGAAGGGAGGGCTGTTGGAAGGCTGGCCCGCAGGAGAGGGCGCCGGGCTGGGTGGAGGTGGGTAGGCGGGGCTGGGGCTGACTGGGCCTGAAGGTGGAGGCATGGGGCTGGTGGCTGGCGGGTAGGGAGGGCTGTTCGAAGGCTGCCCCGCAGGTGAGGGCGCAGGGCTGGGTGGCGGTGGGTAGGCGGGGCTGGGGCTGACTGGGCCTGAAGGTGGGGGCATGGGGCTGGTGGCTGGCGGGTAGGGAGGGCTGTTGGAAGGCTGGCCGGCAGGAGAGGGCGCCGGGCTGGGTGGCGGTGGGTAGGCGGGGCTGGGGCTGACTGGGCCTGAAGGTGGGGGCATGGGGCTGGTGGCTGACGGGTTGGGAGGGCTGTTGGAAGGCTGGCCGGCAGGAGAGGGCGCAGGGCTGGGTGGCGGTGGGTAGGCGGGGCTGGGACTGACAGGGCCTGAAGGTGGGGGCATGGGTCTGGTGGCTGGCGGGTAGGTAGTGCTGTTGGAAGGCTGGCCCGCAGGAGAGGGCGCAGGGCTGGGTGGAAGTGGGTAGGCGGGGCTGGGGCTGACAGGGCCTGAAGGTGGGGGCATGGGTCTGGTGGCTGGCGGGTAGGTAGTGCTGTTGGAAGGCTGGCCCGCAGGAGAGGGCGCCGGGCTGGGTGGAAGTTGGTAGGCGGGGCTGGGGCTGACAGGGCCTGAAGGTGGGGGCATGGGTCTGGTGGCTGGCGGGTAGGGAGGGCTGTTGGAAGGCTGGCCGGCAGGAGAGGGCGCAGGGCTGGGTGGAGGTGGGTAGGCGGGGCTGGGGCTGACAGGGCCTGAAGGTGGGGGCATGGGGCTGGTGGCTGGCGGGTAGGTAGTGCTGTTCGAAGGCTGCCCCGCAGGAGAGGGCGCAGGGCTAGGTGGAGGTGGGTAGGCGGGGCTCGGGCTGATAGGGCCTGAAGGTGGGGGCATGGGGCTGGTGGCTGGCGGGTAGGGAGTGCTGTTGGAAGGCTGGCCGGCAGGAGAGGGCGCAGGGCTGGGTGGCGGTGGGTAGGCGGGGCTGGGGCTGACAGGGCCTGAAGGTGGGGGCATGGGGCTGGTTGCTGGCGGGTAGGGAGGGCTGCTTGCAGGGTGTCCGACAGGAGAGGGCGCCGGGCTAGGTGGAGGTGGGTAGGCGGGGCTGGGGCTGATAGGGCCTGAAGGTGGGGGCATGGGGCTGGTGGCTGGCGGGTAGGTAGTGCTGTTGGAAGGCTGGCCCGCAGGAGAGGGCGCAGGGCTAGGTGGCGTTGGGTAGGCGGGGCTGGGGCTGACTGGGCCTGAAGGTGGGGGCATGGGGCTGGTGGCTGGCGGGTAGGGAGGGCTGTTGGAAGGCTGGCCCGCAGGAGAGGGCGCAGGGCTAGGTGGCGGTGGGTAGGCGGGGCTGGGGCTGACTGGGCCTGAAGGTGGGGGCATGGGGCTGGTGGCTGGCGGGTAGGGAGGGCTGTTGGAAGGCTGGCCGGCAGGAGAGGGCGCAGGGCTGGGTGGCGGTGGGTAGGCGGGGCTGGGGCTGACTGGGCCTGAAGGTGGGGGCATGGGGCTGGTGGCTGACGGGTAGGGAGGGCTGTTGGAAGGCTGGCCCGCAGGAGAGGGCGCAGGGCTAGGTGGCGGTGGGTAGGCGGGGCTGGGGCTGACAGGGCCTGAAGGTGGGGGCATGGGGCTGGTGGCTGGCGGGTTGGGAGGGCTGTTGGAAGGCTGGCCGGCAGGAGAGGGCGCAGGGCTGGGTGGCGGTGGGTAGGCGGGGCTGGGGCTGACTGGGCCTGAAGGTGGGGGCATGGGGCTGGTGGCTGGCGGGTAGGTAGTGCTGTTGGAAGGCTGGCCCGCAGGAGAGGGCGCAGGGCTAGGTGGCGGTGGGTAGGCGGGGCTGGGGCTGACTGGGCCTGAAGGTGGGGGCATGGGGCTGGTGGCTGGCGGGTAGGGAGGGCTGTTGGAAGGCTGGCCGGCAGGAGAGGGCGCAGGGCTGGGTGGCGGTGGGTAGGCGGGGCTGGGGCTGACTGGGCCTGAAGGTGGGGGCATGGGGTTGGTGGCTGGCGGGTAGGGAGGGCTGTTGGTTGGCTGGCCCGCAGGAGAGGGCGCAGGGCTGGGTGGCGGTGGGTAGGCGGGGCTGAGGCTGACAGGGCCTGAAGGTGGGGGCATGCGGCTGGTGGCTGGCGGGTAGGGAGGGCTGGCAGGAGAGGGCGCCGGGCTGGGTGGAGGTGGGTAGGCGGGGCTGGGGCTGATAGGGCCTGAAGGTGGGGGCATGGGGCTGGTGGCTGGCGGGTAGGGAGGGCTGTTGGAAGACTGGCCCGCAGGAGAGGGCGCCGGGCTGGGTGGAGGTGGGTAGGCGGGGCTGGGGCTGACAGGGCCTGAAGGTGGGGGCATGGGGCTGGTGGCTGGCGGGTAGGGAGGGCTGTTCGAAGGCTGCCCCGCAGGTGAGGGCGCAGGGCTAGGTGGAGGTGGGTAGGCGGGGCTCGGGCTGATAGGGCCTGAAGGTGGGGGCATGGGGCTGGTGGCTGGCGGATAGGGAGTGCTGTTGGAAGGCTGGCCGGCAGGAGAGGGCGCAGGGCTGGGTGGCGGTGGGTAGGCGGGGCTGGGGCTGACAGGGCCTGAAGGTGGGGGCATGGGGCTGGTTGCTGGCGGGTAGGGAGGGCTGCTTGCAGGGTGTCCGACAGGAGAGGGCGCCGGGCTAGGTGGAGGTGGGTAGGCGGGGCTGGGGCTGATAGGGCCTGAAGGTGGGGGCATGGGGCTGGTGGCTGGCGGGTAGGTAGTGCTGTTGGAAGGCTGGCCCGCAGGAGAGGGCGCAGGGCTAGGTGGCGTTGGGTAGGCGGGGCTGGGGCTGACTGGGCCTGAAGGTGGGGGCATGGGGCTGGTGGCTGGCGGGTAGGGAGGGCTGTTGGAAGGCTGGCCCGCAGGAGAGGGCGCAGGGCTAGGTGGCGGTGGGTAGGCGGGGCTGGGGCTGACTGGGCCTGAAGGTGGGGGCATGGGGCTGGTGGCTGGCGGGTAGGGAGGGCTGTTGGAAGGCTGGCCGGCAGGAGAGGGCGCAGGGCTGGGTGGCGGTGGGTAGGCGGGGCTGGGGCTGACTGGGCCTGAAGGTGGGGGCATGGGGCTGGTGGCTGACGGGTAGGGAGGGCTGTTGGAAGGCTGGCCCGCAGGAGAGGGCGCAGGGCTAGGTGGCGGTGGGTAGGCGGGGCTGGGGCTGACTGGGCCTGAAGGTGGGGGCATGGGGCTGGTGGCTGGCGGGTTGGGAGGGCTGTTGGAAGGCTGGCCGGCAGGAGAGGGCGCAGGGCTGGGTGGCGGTGGGTAGGCGGGGCTGGGGCTGACTGGGCCTGAAGGTGGGGGCATGGGGCTGGTGGCTGGCGGGTAGGTAGTGCTGTTGGAAGGCTGGCCCGCAGGAGAGGGCGCAGGGCTAGGTGGCGGTGGGTAGGCGGGGCTGGGGCTGACTGGGCCTGAAGGTGGGGGCATGGGGCTGGTGGCTGGCGGGTAGGGAGGGCTGTTGGAAGGCTGGCCGGCAGGAGAGGGCGCAGGGCTGGGTGGCGGTGGGTAGGCGGGGCTGGGGCTGACTGGGCCTGAAGGTGGGGGCATGGGGCTGGTGGCTGGCGGGTAGGTAGTGCTGTTGGAAGGCTGGCCCGCAGGAGAGGGCGCAGGGCTAGGTGGCGGTGGGTAGGCGGGGCTGGGGCTGACTGGGCCTGAAGGTGAGGGCATGGGGCTGGTGGCTGGCGGGTAGGGAGGGCTGCTTGCAGGGTGGCCGGCAGGAGAGGGCGCAGGGCTAGGTGGCGGTGGGTGGGCGGGGCTGGGGCTGACAGGGCCTGAAGGTGGGGGCATGGGGCTGGTGGCTGGCGGGTAGGGAGGGCTGTTGGAAGGCTGGCCCGCAGGAATGGGCGCAGGGCTAGGTGGCGGTGGGTAGGCGGGGCTGGGGCTGACTGGGCCTGATGGTGGGGGCATGGGGCTGGTGGCTGGCGGGTAGGGAGGGCTGTTCAAAGGCTGGCCGGCAGGAGAGGGCGCCGGGCTGGGTGGCGGTGGGTAGGCAGGGCTGGGGCTGACTGGGCCTGATGGTGGGGGCATGGGGCTGGTGGCTGGCGGGTTGGGAGGGCTGCTTGCAGGGTGGCCGGCAGGAGAGGGCGCCGGGCTGGGTGGCGGTGGGTAGGCGGGGCTGGGGCTAACTGGGCCTGAAGGTGGGGGCATGGGGCTGGTGGCTGGCGGGTTGGGAGGGCTGCTTGCAGGGTGGCCGGCAGGAGAGGGCGCCGGGCTGGGTGGCGGTGGGTAGGCGGAGCTGGGGCTGACTGGGCCTGAAGGTGGGGGCATGGGGCTGGTGGCTGGCGGGTAAGGAGGGCTGTTGGTTGGCTGGCCCGCAGGAGAGGGCGCAGGGCTGGGTGGAGGTGGGTAGGCGGGGCTGGGGCTGACTGGGCCTGAAGGTGGGGGCATGGGGCTGGTGGCTGGCGGGTAGGTAGTGCTGTTGGAAGGCTGGCCGGCAGGAGAGGGCGCAGGGCTGGGTGGCGGTGGGTAGGCGGGGCTGGGGCTGACTGGGCCTGAAGGTGGGGGCATGGGGCTGGTGGCTGGCGGGTAGGTAGTGCTGTTGGAAGGCTGGCCCGCAGGAGAGGGCGCAGGGCTAGGTGGCGTTGGGTAGGCGGGGCTGGGGCTGACTGGGCCTGAAGGTGGGGGCATGGGGCTGGTGGCTGGCGGGTAGGGAGGGCTGTTGGAAGGCTGGCCCGCAGGAGAGGGCGCAGGGCTAGGTGGCGGTGGGTAGGCGGGGCTGGGGCTGACTGGGCCTGAAGGTGGGGGCATGGGGCTGGTGGCTGGCGGGTAGGGAGGGCTGTTGGAAGGCTGGCCGGCAGGAGAGGGCGCAGGGCTGGGTGGCGGTGGGTAGGCGGGGCTGGGGCTGACTGGGCCTGAAGGTGGGGGCATGGGGCTGGTGGCTGGCGGGTAGGGAGGGCTGTTGGAAGGCTGGCCCGCAGGAGGGGGCGCAGGGCTAGGTGGCGGTGGGTAGGCGGGGCTGGGGCTGACTGGGCCTGAAGGTGGGGGCATGGGGCTGGTGGCTGGCGGGTAGGTAGTGCTGTTGGAAGGCTGGCCCGCAGGAGAGGGCGCAGGGCTAGGTGGCGGTGGGTAGGCGGGGCTGGGGCTGACTGGGCCTGAAGGTGAGGGCATGGGGCTGGTGGCTGGCGGGTAGGGAGGGCTGCTTGCAGGGTGGCCGGCAGGAGAGGGCGCAGGGCTAGGTGGCGGTGGGTGGGCGGGGCTGGGGCTGACAGGGCCTGAAGGTGGGGGCATGGGGCTGGTGGCTGACGGGTAGGGAGGGCTGTTGGAAGGCTGGCCCGCAGGAACGGGCGCAGGGCTAGGTGGCGGTGGGTAGGCGGGGCTGGGGCTGACTGGGCCTGATGGTGGGGGCATGGGGCTGGTGGCTGGCGGGTAGGGAGGGCTGTTCAAAGGCTGGCCGGCAGGAGAGGGCGCCGGGCTGGGTGGCGGTGGGTAGGCAGGGCTGGGGCTGACTGGGCCTGAAGGTGGGGGCATGGGGCTGGTGGCTGGCGGGTTGGGAGGGCTGCTTGCAGGGTGGCCGGCAGGAGAGGGCGCCGGGCTGGGTGGCGGTGGGTAGGCGGGGCTGGGGCTGACTGGGCCTGAAGGTGGGGGCATGGGGCTGGTGGCTGGCGGGTTGGGAGGGCTGCTTGCAGGGTGGCCGGCAGGAGAGGGCGCCGGGCTGGGTGGCGGTGTGTAGGCGGAGCTGGGGCTGACTGGGCCTGAAGGTGGGGGCATGGGGCTGGTGGCTGGCGGGTAAGGAGGGCTGTTGGTTGGCTGGCCCGCAGGAGAGGGCGCCGGGCTGGGTGGAGGTGGGTAGGCGGGGCTGGGGCTGACTGGGCCTGAAGGTGGGGGCATGGGGCTGGTGGCTGGCGGGTAGGGAGGGCTGTTGGAAGGCTGGCCGGCAGGAGAGGGCGCAGGGCTGGGTGGCGGTGGGTAGGCGGGGCTGGGGCTGACTGGGCCTGAAGGTGGGGGCATGGGGCTGGTGGCTGGCGGGTAGGGAGGGCTGTTGGTTGGCTTGCCGGCAGGAGAGGGCGCCGGGCTGGGTGGCGGTGGGTAGGCGGAGCTGGGGCTGACTGGGCCTGAAGGTGGGGGCATGGGGCTGGTGGCTGGCGGGTAGGGAGGGCTGCTTGCAGGGTGGCCGGCAGGAGAGGGCGCCGGGCTGGGTGGAGGTGGGTAGGCAGGGCTCGGGCTAACAAGGCCTGAAGGTGGGGGCATGGGGCTGGTGGCTGGCGGGTAGGGAGGGCTGCTTGCAGGGTGGCCGGCAGGAGAGGGCGCCGGGCTGGGTGGAGGTGGGTAGGCAGGGCTCGGGCTAACAAGGCCTGAAGGTGGGGGCATGGGGCTGGTGGCTGGCGGGTAGGGAGGGCTGCTTGCAGGGTTGCCGGCAGGAGAGGGCGCCGGGCTGGGTGGAGGTGGGTAGGCAGGGCTCGGGCTAACAAGGCCTGAAGGTGGGGGCATGGGGCTGGTGGCTGGCGGGTAGGGAGGGCTGCTTGCAGGGTGGCCGGCAGGAGAGGGCGCCGGGCTGGGTGGCGGTGGGTAGGCAGGGCTGGGGCTGACTGGGCCTGATGGTGGGGGCATGGGGCTGGTGGCTGGCGGGTAGGTAGTGCTGTTGGAAGGCTGGCCGGCAGGAGAGGGCGCCGGGCTGGGTGGCGGTGGGTAGGCGGGGCTGGGGCTGACAGGGCCTGAAGGTGGGGGCATGGGGCTGGTGGCTGGCGGGTAGGGAGGGCTGCTTGCAGGGTGACCGGCAGGAGAGGGCGTAGGTCTGTGGGGTGGAGGTGGGGGATAAGCCGGGTTGGGTGGTGGAGGATAGCTGGGGCTGTGCGTATTGGAGCCGTAGGGCGGGGGTATAGGGCTGTAGATTGGCGGGCTGGGCATGCGAGGAGGCACGGCGTTGGGTGGGTCTGGAATCGTGCTGGTGGGCGGGGGTGCCGGCAGGTTGGGCACTGGAGGCAGAAATGGCATCGGGGGACTCGGGGGCACCGAAGGGGAGGGAGGAAAAGCCTTGGGAGAAGGTGGCAGGGGCTTCGGACTGGGCCACGGTGGTTGGAGCGGAGTAGGGGGAGGGGGCCTAGGGCTTCGCCGTTTCGGAGGTGGTGGTGGAACGGGACTTGGAGGTCGGGGCGGCGGGGGCCTGGGGTTCTTAAGCTTCGGTGGGGGTGAAGGACTCGGTGGTGGATTCCTTCTACTTGGGCTGAGCGGTGGTTGGGATGGTGCTGGGATGCTAGGGGGGCTGGCCGGTGGCGTAGGTGAACGTTGGGGGCTGGGCGGTGTCAAGAGTGGTGGGGATGAAAATGTTCCACCGTTTGTAGGGTTGGGCGTCGGCGCAACAGGAGGGCTTGTAGTCATGTTTCCGTCTAAAGGCGGCGGGTGGACGGGGCTATTGCTGACCGGGCCTGAAGGAGAGGGCATGGAGCCAGGGGCTGGCGGGTAGGGAGAGGACGCGTCGGGATGGCCGGCGGGAGGGGACGAAGGGCTGGGAGGAGGCGGATAGGCAGGGCTGTTGCTGACCGGGCCTGAAGGAGAGGGCATGGAGCCAGGGGCTGGCGGGTAGGGAGAGGACGCGTCGGGATGGCCGGCGGGAGGGGACGATGGGCTGGGAGGAGGCGGATAGGCAGGGCTGTTGCTGACCGGGCCTGAAGGAGAGGGCATGAAGCCAGGGGCTGGCGGGTAGGGAGAGGACGCGTCGGGATGGCCGGCGGGAGGGGACGATGGGCTGGGAGGAGGCGGATAGGCAGGGCTGTTGCTGACCGGGCCTGAAGGAGAGGGCATGGACGAAGGGGCTGGAGGGTAGGGAGAGGACGCGTCGGGATGGCCGGCGGGAGGGGACGATGGGCTGGGAGGAGGCGGATAGGCAGGGCTGTTTCTGACCGGGCCTGAAGGAGAGGGCATGGAGCCAGGGGCTGGCGGGTAGGGAGAGGACGCGTCGGGATGGCCGGCGGGAGGGGACGATGGGCTGGGAGGAGGCGGATAGGCAGGGCTGTTGCTGACCGGGCCTGAAGGAGAGGGCATGAAGCCAGGGGCTGGCGGGTAGGGAGAGGACGCGTCGGGATGGCCGGCGGGAGGGGACGATGGGCTGGGAGGAGGCGGATAGGCAGGGCTGTTGCTGACCGGGCCTGAAGGAGAGGGCATGGAGCTAGGGGCTGGCGGGGAGGGAGAGGACGCGTTGGGATGACCGGCGGGAGGGGACGATGGGCTGGGAGGAGGCGGATAGGCAGGGCTGTTGCTGACCGGGCCTGAAGGAGAGGGCATGGAGCCAGGGGCTGGCGGGTAGGGAGAGGACGCGCCGGGATGGCCGGCGGGAGGGGACGATGGGCTGGGAGGAGGCGGATAGGCAGGGCTGTTGCTGACCGGGCCTGAAGGAGAGGGCATGGAGCCAGGGGATGGCGGGTAGGGAGAGGACGCGTCGGGATGGCCGGCGGGAGGGGACGATGGGCTGGGAGGAGGCGGATAGGCAGGGCTGTTGCTGACCGGGCCTGAAGGAGAGGGCATGGACGAAGGGGCTGGAGGGTAGGGAGGGGACGCGTCGGGATGGCCGGCGGGAGGGGACGATGGGCTGGGAGGAGGCGGATAGGCAGGGCTGTTTCTGACCGGGCCTGAAGGAGAGGGCATGGAGCCAGGGGCTGGCGGGTAGGGAGAGGACGCGTCGGGATGGCCGGCGGGAGGGGACGATGGGCTGGGAGGAGGCGGATAGGCAGGGCTGTTGCTGACCGGGCCTGAAGGAGAGGGCATGAAGCCAGGGGCTGGCGGGTAGGGAGAGGACGCGTCGGGATGGCCGGCGGGAGGGGACGATGGGCTGGGAGGAGGCGGATAGGCAGGGCTGTTGCTGACCGGGCCTGAAGGAGAGGGCATGGAGCTAGGGGCTGGCGGGGAGGGAGAGGACGCGTTGGGATGACCGGCGGGAGGGGACGATGGGCTGGGAGGAGGCGGATAGGCAGGGCTGTTGCTGACCGGGCCTGAAGGAGAGGGCATGGAGCCAGGGGCTGGCGGGTAGGGAGAGGACGCGCCGGGATGGCCGGCGGGAGGGGACGATGGGCTGGGAGGAGGCGGATAGGCAGGGCTGTTGCTGACCGGGCCTGAAGGAGAGGGCATGGAGCCAGGGGATGGCGGGTAGGGAGAGGACGCGTCGGGATGGCCGGCGGGAGGGGACGATGGGCTGGGAGGAGGCGGATAGGCAGGGCTGTTGCTGACCGGGCCTGAAGGAGAGGGCATGGACGAAGGGGCTGGCGGGTAGGGAGAGGACGCGCCGGGATGGCCGGCGGGAGGGGACGATGGGCTGGGAGGAGGCGGATAGGCAGGGCTGTTGCTGACCGGGCCTGAAGGAGAGGGCATGGAGCCAGGGGATGGCGGGTAGGGAGAGGACGCGTCGGGATGGCCGGCGGGAGGGGACGATGGGCTGGGAGGAGGCGGATAGGCAGGGCTGTTGCTGACCGGGCCTGAAGGAGAGGGCATGGACGAAGGGGCTGGAGGGTAGGGAGGGGACGCGTCGGGATGGCCGGCGGGAGGGGACGATGGGCTGGGAGGAGGCGGATAGGCAGGGCTGTTTCTGACCGGGCCTGAAGGAGAGGGCATGGAGCCAGGGGCTGGCGGGTAGGGAGAGGACGCGTCGGGATGGCCGGCGGGAGGGGACGATGGGCTGGGAGGAGGCGGATAGGCAGGGCTGTTGCTGACCGGGCCTGAAGGAGAGGGCATGAAGCCAGGGGCTGGCGGGTAGGGAGAGGACGCGTCGGGATGGCCGGCGGGAGGGGACGATGGGCTGGGAGGAGGCGGATAGGCAGGGCTGTTGCTGACCGGGCCTGAAGGAGAGGGCATGGAGCCAGGGGCTGGCGGGTAGGGAGAGGACGCGTCGGGATGGCCGGCGGGAGGGGACGATGGGCTGGGAGGAGGCGGATAGGCAGGGCTGTTGCTGACCGGGCCTGAAGGAGAGGGCATGGAGCCAGGGGCTGGCGGGTAGGGAGGGGACGCGTCGGGATGGCCGGCGGGAGGGGACGATGGGCTGGTGGGAGGCGGATAGGCAGGGCTGTTGCTGACCGGGCCTGAAGGAGAGGGCATGGAGCCAGGGGATGGCGGGTAGGGAGAGGACGCGTCGGGATGGCCGGCGGGAGGGGACGATGGGCTGGTGGGAGGCGGATAGGCAGGGCTGTTGCTGACCGGTTCTGAAGGAGAGGGCATGGAGCTAGGGGCTGGCGGGTAGGGAGAGGACGCGTCGGGATGGCCCGCGGGAGGGGACGATGGGCTGGTGGGAGGCGGATAGGCAGGGCTGTTGCTGACGGGGCCTGAAGGAGAGGGCATGGAGCCAGGGGCTGGCGGGTAGGGAGGGGACGCGTTGGGATGGCCGGCGGGAGGGGACGATGGGCTGGATGGAGGCGGATAGGCAGGGCTGTTGCTGACCGGGCCTGAAGGAGAGGGCATGGAGCCAGGGGATGGCGGGTAGGGAGAGGACGCGTCGGGATGGCCGGCAGGAGGGGACGATGGGCTGGGAGGAGGCGGATAGGCAGGGCTGTTTCTGACCGGGCCTGAAGGAGAGGGCATGGAGCCAGGGGATGGCGGGTAGGGAGAGGACGCGTCGGGATGGCCGGCGGGAGGGGACGATGGGCTGGGTGGAGGTGGATAGGCAGGGCTGTTGCTGACCGGGCCTGAAGGAGAGGGCATGGAGCTAGGGGCTGGCGGGTAGGGAGGGGACGCGTTGGGATGGCCGGCGGGAGGGGACGATGGGCTGGGTGGAGGTGGATAGGCAGGGCTGTTGCTGACCGGGCCTGAAGGAGAGGGCATGGAGCTAGGGGCTAGCGGGTAGGGAGGGGACGCGTTGGGATGGCCGGCGGGAGGGGACGATGGGCTGGGTGGAGGCGGATAGGCAGGGCTGTTGCTGACCGGGCCTGAAGGAGAGGGCATGGAGCCAGGGGCTGGCGGGTAGGGAGAGGACGCGTCGGGATGGCCGGCGGGAGGGGACGATGGGCTGGGAGGAGGCGGATAGGCAGGGCTGTTGCTGACCGGGCCTGAAGGAGAGGGCATGGAGCCAGGGGCTGGCGGGTAGGGAGGGGACGCGTCGGGATGGCCGGCGGGAGGGGACGATGGGCTGGGAGGAGGCGGATAGGCAGGGCTGTTGCTGACCGGGCCTGAAGGAAAGGGCATGGAGCCAGGGGCTGGCGGGTAGGGAGGGGACGCGTCGGGATGGCCGGCGGGAGGGGACGATGGGCGTGGAGGAGGCGGATAGGCAGGGCTGTTGCTGACCGGGCCTGAAGGAGAGGGCATGGAGCTAGGGGCTGGGTGGTAGGGAGGGGACGCGTTGGGATGGCCGGCGGGAGGGGACGATGGGCTGGGTGGAGGCGGATAGGCAGGGCTGTTGCTGACCGGGCCTGAAGGAGAGGGCATGGAGCTAGGGGCTGGCGGGTAGGGAGAAGACGCGTTGGGATGGCCGGCGGGAGGGGACGATGGGCTGGGTGGAGGCGGATAGGCAGGGCTGGCAGGGCTGTTGCTGACCGGGCCTGAAGGAGAGGGCATGGAGCCAGGGGATGGCGGGTAGGGAGAGGACGCGTCGGGATGGCCGGCGGGAGGGTACGATGGGCTGGTGGGAGGCGGATAGGCAGGGCTGTTGCTGACCGGGCCTGAAGGAGAGGGCATGGAGCCAGGGGATGGCGGGTAGGGAGAGGACGCGTCGGGATGGCCGGCGGGAGGGTACGATGGGCTGGGTGGAGGCGGATAGGCAGGGCTGTTGCTGACCGGGCCTGAAGGAGAGGGCATGGAGCCAGGGGCTGGCGGGTAGGAGGGGCGGGTAGGGTTGTTTGCAGGAGGAGGATATGCGGGACTGGGTGGAGGCGGATAGGCAGGACTGGCTTGCGGGGGATAGGCTGGGCTTGAGGGCTGGTACGTGGGTGCAGGCGGAAACGGAGGGCTGTCCGTTGGGTGGCCTGCTGGCTGGGGCGCTGGGAATGCACCTGGCGGCAGCACCGAGTAGGGGATCTGGGGCGGTGAAGGCGGTTGAAGCGTAGGAGGGTTGCTTGCTTCTGTTGGTGATGGGGGAGGTGATGCTGGGTTGTGCATGGTTGGAGGTAAGGTCGGGGGCTGGTGAAGGGACGGAGAAGGCGAAGGGGGCGCGGAGGTCCAGACTGGCGAGGGAGGGCGCGTGATGGAAGGCGGTGGCCGAAGCGTTCGAGGAGGGGGGAAAGGTGGGGGCGACGGAGATGGAGGCTTGGGTGTGAGACGGAGTGGCGGTGGAGAGGGGCGCTTGGGTCTAGGGCTGAGCCGGGGGCTTGGTGGTCGAGGTGACGGGGGTTTCCTTACCAGTGGGTCCACCGGAGTAAGTGAAGGCGGTGGCGGAGATTTGATGCCTCCAGGAGGCGGCGGCGGCGGTGGTGGCGGTGGAGGCGGTGGTGGCGGCGGAGGCAACGGAGGTGGCGGCGGAGGTGGTGGAGGCGGAGGCGACGGGTAGAGATGCTGCGCATCGGGGAGTGGCGGGGGCGGGGGCGGCGGAGGCGGAGGCGGCGGTGGAGGTGAAAAGTCGTAATGGGCCATATGAGGAGGTACTAGGGCGGGCCATGAGGGCTGATGGAAAGGCGGCCGAGGTTCCGGACTGGGACGAGTGGGCGTTGGTGGCGGTCTCAACTTCGGTGGCTTAGGGGATGGGGGCTTGGGGCTCCTCGCAGGGGGCACTGGAGGGGAGGGTGGAGCAGGCTTGGAAGAAGGTGGCAGGGGCTTGGGACTGGGGAGCCTGGGTGACGGTGGTTGGGGCTTTGGCGGATACTGGGCTGCTGGGGCCAAGGGGCTGTCTGGTTCCGAGCTGGGAGGGGGTGACGGAGGTGACAGCGGGCTTGACGGCGCCGGTGGTGGCGGGTCAAGGTCCCTCACCATTGGAGGCTGAGACTGTTGGGGCGGAGGTGGGTTAGGGCGTCGAGCGGCCGGCTGGACGGGTGGTGGGAGGTCGGGCGGCTTAAGGTCCGGAGGGGATTGGGGCTCCAGAGGCGGTGATGTGGGCTCGGGAGAGGGTGGTGAAGGGTAGGAAGGCGGGTAGGAGGGACGGAGCGGTGTTGGGTTGGTGGGCGGTGAAGGGTAGGAGGGTGACGGTGGGTACTGTGGAGGCGGAGGGCTAGGATATGCGGGCGGCAGGAGTGGTGGAGTGGAGGGAAGGGGTGAAGGCGGGAGCAAGGGGCTGGGAGTTGGCGGATAGGGGCTTGGGGGGGAAGGCGACGGCAACGGTGGAGGCGGAGGAGGGGTGGGGGCAGGGGGATGTCGCGGTGGGCGTGGAGGGGCCACCGGAGAACAAGCCTGCTGTTCTTGGAATCCACCTAGGGAGTCCGAAATCTCGACGCCCGCGCTGCAACCCAAGCCCAGGGTCTGTGTTAACAATGTGACAGTCCCGGTATCCTGGAGCTCCTCGTAGACCCAGGTGATGGCGTCCGGCTCCGTGGTTGGAGGCCAGAGGCCCTGTGCCACAATCCGGTCAACGTCAAAGAACACGCATTGGTACTGTTCTGACCAGCCGGGGCTAGCACGAATGGAGGCCAGGTGCTGGGTGACGAGCTTGGCCAACAGGTTGCAGTGCGCGAGGTCAAAGCTGGACTGGGATGTTGACGTGGACTCGGCTGCGAACCTTCTCAGGGAGACAGCGCGCAGGACTGTGACGTTGACATGGACTGAGCTGATTGATTGAGGTGGGGTGGAAGGTGCCGGCGGTGGAAGGGGTGGCGGCGCCGGCGGAGGGGATGGCGATGGGGGTGAGGGAGGCATGGGCTGCGGAGATGGGGGTTCTGGGGGGAAGGGAGGCGGGTCTGGAGAAGGAGGCGGCGGTGGGGGTGCATGAGGACGCGATGGTGATGGCGGAGGGGGTACAGAGGGAGGGAATGGATCTGAAGGCGGAGGCGGGGGCGGAGAAGGCGGCGGTGAGGGAGAGGGAGGCGGGCTAGGAGAGGGTGGTGGCTGGGGCGACGGAGGCGGTGGCGGGGAAGGCGGCGGCGAGGGAGAGGGAGGCGGGCTAGGAGAGGGTGGTGGCTGGGGCGACGGAGGCGGTGGCGGGGAAGGCGGCGGTGAAGGAGAGGGAGGCGGGCTAGGAGAGGGTGGTGGCTGGGGCGACGGAGGCGGTGGCGGGGAAGGCGGTGGCGAAGGAGAGGGAGGCGGGCTAGGAGAGGGTGGTGGCTGGGGCGACGGAGGCGGTGGCGGGGAAGGCGGTGGCGAAGGAGAGGGAGGCGGGCTAGGAGAGGGTGGTGGCTGGGGCGACGGAGGCGGGGGCGGGGAAGGCGGTGGCGAGGGAGAGGGAGGCGGGCTAGGAGAGGGTGGTGGCTTGGGTGACGGAGGCGGGGGCGGAGATGGCGGTGGCGAGGGAGAGGGAGGCGGGCTAGGAGAGGGTGGTGGCTGGGGCGACGGAGGCGGTGGCGGGGAAGGCGGTGGCGAAGGAGAGGGAGGCGGGCTAGGAGAGGGTGGTGGCTGGGGCGACGGAGGCGGTGGCGGGGAAGGCGGTGGCGAAGGAGAGGGAGGCGGGCTAGGAGAGGGTGGTGGCTGGGGCGACGGAGGCGGGGGCGGGGAAGGCGGTGGCGAGGGAGAGGGAGGCGGGCTAGGAGAGGGTGGTGGCTTGGGTGACGGAGGCGGGGGCGGGGATGGCGGTGGCGAGGGAGAGGGAGGCGGGCTAGGAGAGGGTGGTGGCTGGGGCGACGGAGGCGGGGGCGGGGAAGGAGGCGGTGAAGGAGAGGGCGGCGGGCTAGGAGAGGGTGGTGGCTTGGGTGACGGAGGCGGTGGCGGGGAAGGCGGTGGCGAAGGAGAGGGAGGCGGGCTAGGAGAGGGTGGTGGCTTGGGTGACGGAGGCGGTGGCGGGGAAGGCGGCGGCGAGGGAGAGGGAGGCGGGCTAGGAGAGGGTGGTGGCTGGGGCGACGGAGGCGGTGGCGGGGAAGGCGGCGGTGAAGGAGAGGGAGGCGGGCTAGGAGAGGGTGGTGGCTGGGGCGACGGAGGCGGTGGCGGGGAAGGCGGTGGCGAAGGAGAGGGAGGCGGGCTAGGAGAGGGTGGTGGCTGGGGCGACGGAGGCGGTGGCGGGGAAGGCGGTGGCGAAGGAGAGGGAGGCGGGCTAGGAGAGGGTGGTGGCTGGGGCGACGGAGGCGGGGGCGGGGAAGGCGGTGGCGAGGGAGAGGGAGGCGGGCTAGGAGATGGTGGTGGCTTGGGTGACGGAGGCGGGGGCGGAGATGGCGGTGGCGAGGGAGAGGGAGGCGGGCTAGGAGAGGGTGGTGGCTGGGGCGACGGAGGCGGTGGCGGGGAAGGCGGTGGCGAAGGAGAGGGAGGCGGGCTAGGAGAGGGTGGTGGCTGGGGCGACGGAGGCGGTGGCGGGGAAGGCGGTGGCGAAGGAGAGGGAGGCGGGCTAGGAGAGGGTGGTGGCTGGGGCGACGGAGGCGGGGGCGGGGAAGGCGGTGGCGAGGGAGAGGGAGGCGGGCTAGGAGAGGGTGGTGGCTTGGGTGACGGAGGCGGGGGCGGGGATGGCGGTGGCGAGGGAGAGGGAGGCGGGCTAGGAGAAGGTGGTGGCTGGGGTGACGGAGGCGGTGGCGGGGAAGGCGGTGGCGAGGGAGAGGGAGGCGGGCTAGGAGAGGGTGGTGGCTTGGGTGTCGGAGGCGGGGGCGGGGAAGGCGGCGGGGAAGGAGAGGGAGGCGGGCTAGGAGAGGGTGGTGGCTGGGGTGACGGAGGCGGGGGCGGGGATGGCGGTGGCGAGGGAGAGGGAGGCGGGCTAGGAGAGGGTGGTGGCTGGGGCGACGGAGGCGGGGGCGGGGAAGGAGGCGGTGAAGGAGAGGGAGGCGGGCTAGGAGAGGGTGGTGGCTGGGGTGACGGAGGCGGTGGCGGGGAAGGCGGTGGCGAGGGAGAGGGAGGCGGGCTAGGAGAGGGTGGTGGCTTGGGTGACGGAGGCGGGGGCGGGGAAGGCGGCGGTGAAGGAGAGGGAGGCGGGCTAGGAGAGGGTGGTGGCTGGGGCGACGGAGGCGGGGGCGGGGATGGCGGTGGCGAGGGAGAGGGAGGCGGGCTAGGAGAGGGTGGTGGCTGGGGCGACGGAGGCGGGGGCGGGGAAGGAGGCGGTGAAGGAGAGGGAGGCGGGCTAGGAGAGGGTGGTGGCTGGGGTGACGGAGGCGGTGGCGGGGAAGGCGGTGGCGAGGGAGAGGGAGGCGGGCTAGGAGAGGGTGGTGGCTGGGGTGACGGAGGCGGGGGCGGGGAAGGCGGCGGTGAAGGAGAGGGAGGCGGGCTAGGAGAGGGTGGTGGCTTGGGTGACGGAGGCGGGGGCGGGGATGGCGGTGGCGAGGGAGAGGGAGGCGGGCTAGGAGAGGGTGGTGGCTGGGGCGACGGAGGCGGGGGCGGGGAAGGCGGCGGTGAGGGAGAGGGAGGCGGGCTAGGAGAGGGTGGTGGCCGGGGCGACGGAGGCGGGGGCGGGGAAGGCGGCGGTGAAGGAGAGGGAGGCGGGCTAGGAGAGGGTGGTGGCTGGGGCGACGGAGGCGGGGGCGGGGAAGGCGGCGGCGAGGGAGAGGGAGGCGGGCTAGGAGAGGGTGGTGGCTGGGGCGACGGAGGCGGTGGAGGGGAAGGCGGTGGCGAAGGAGAGGGAGGCGGGCTAGGAGAGGGTGGTGGCTGGGGTGACGGAGGCGGTGGCGGGGAAGGCGGCGGTGAGGGAGAGGGAGGCGGGCTAGGAGAGGGTGGTGGCTGGGGCGACGGAGGCGGTGGCGGGGAAGGCGGCGGTGAAGGAGAGGGAGGCGGGCTAGGAGAGGGTGGTGGCTGGGGCGACGGAGGCGGGGGCGGGGAAGGCGGCGGCGCGGGAGAGGGAGGCGGGCTAGGAGAGGGTGGTGGCTGGGGCGACGGAGGCGGGGGCGGGGAAGGCGGCGGCGAGGGAGAGGGAGGCGGGCTAGGAGAGGGTGGTGGCTGGGGCGACGGAGGCGGGGGCGGGGAAGGCGGCGGGGAAGGAGAGGGAGGCGGGCTAGGAGAGGGTGGTGGCTGGGGCGACGGAGGGGGGGGCGGGGATGGCGGCGGGGAAGGAGAGGGTGGTGACTGGGGCGACGGAGGCGGGGGCGGGGAAGGCGGCGGCGCGGGAGAGGGAGGCGGGCTAGGAGAGGGTGGTGGCTGGGGCGACGGAGGCGGGGGCGGGGAAGGCGGCGGCGAGGGAGAGGGAGGCGGGCTAGGAGAGGGTGGTGGCTGGGGCGACGGAGGCGGGGGCGGGGAAGGCGGCGGGGAAGGAGAGGGAGGCGGGCTAGGAGAGGGTGGTGGCTGGGGCGACGGAGGCGGGGGCGGAGAAGGCGGCGGGGAAGGAGAGGGAGGCGGGCTGGGAGAGGGTGGTGGCTGGGGCGACGGAGGCGGTGGCGGGGAAGGCGGTGGCGAAGGAGAGGGAGGCGGGCTAGGAGAGGGTGGTGGCTGGGGCGACGGAGGCGGGGGCGGGGAAGGCGGCGGTGAGGGAGATGGAGGCGGGCTAGGAGAGGGTGGTGGCTGGGGTGACGGAGGCGGTGGCGGGGAAGGCGGTGGCGAAGGAGAGGGAGGCGGGCTAGGAGAGGGTGGTGGCTGGGGCGACGGAGGCGGGGGCGGGGAAGGCGGCGGTGAGGGAGAGGGAGGCGGGCTAGGAGAGGGTGGTGGCCGGGGCGACGGAGGCGGGGGCGGGGAAGGCGGCGGTGAAGGAGAGGGAGGCGGGCTAGGAGAGGGTGGTGGCTGGGGCGACGGAGGCGGGGGCGGGGAAGGCGGCGGCGAGGGAGAGGGAGGCGGGCTAGGAGAGGGTGGTGGCTGGGGCGACGGAGGCGGTGGAGGGGAAGGCGGTGGCGAAGGAGAGGGAGGCGGGCTAGGAGAGGGTGGTGGCTGGGGTGACGGAGGCGGTGGCGGGGAAGGCGGCGGTGAGGGAGAGGGAGGCGGGCTAGGAGAGGGTGGTGGCTGGGGCGACGGAGGCGGTGGCGGGGAAGGCGGCGGTGAAGGAGAGGGAGGCGGGCTAGGAGAGGGTGGTGGCTGGGGCGACGGAGGCGGGGGCGGGGAAGGCGGCGGCGCGGGAGAGGGAGGCGGGCTAGGAGAGGGTGGTGGCTGGGGCGACGGAGGCGGGGGCGGGGAAGGCGGCGGCGAGGGAGAGGGAGGCGGGCTAGGAGAGGGTGGTGGCTGGGGCGACGGAGGCGGGGGCGGGGAAGGCGGCGGGGAAGGAGAGGGAGGCGGGCTAGGAGAGGGTGGTGGCTGGGGCGACGGAGGGGGGGGCGGGGAAGGCGGCGGTAAAGGAGAGGGAGGCGGGCTAGGAGAGGGTGGTGGCTGGGGCGACGGAGGCGGTGGCGGGGAAGGCGGTGGCGAAGGAGAGGGAGGCGGGCTAGGAGAGGGTGGTGGCTGGGGTGACGGAGGCGGTGGCGGGGAAGGCGGCGGTGAGGGAGAGGGAGGCGGGCTAGGAGAGGGTGGTGGCTTGGGCGACGGAGGCGGGGGAGGAGAAGGCGGCGGGGAAGGAGAGGGAGGCGGGCTAGGAGAGGGTGGTGGCTGGGGCGACGGAGGCGGGGGCGGGGAAGGCGGCGGCGAGGGAGAGGGAGGCGGGCTAGGAGAGGGTGGTGGCTGGGGCGACGGAGGCGGGGGCGGGGAAGGCGGCGGTGAAGGAGAGGGAGGCGGGCTAGGAGATGGTGGTGGCTGGGGCGACGGAGGCGGGGGCGGGGAAGGCGGCGGTGAAGGAGAGGGAGGCGGGCTAGGAGAGGGTGGTGGCTGGGGCGACGGAGGCGGGGGCGGGAAAGGCGGCGGTGAAGGAGAGGGAGGCGGGCTAGGAGATGGTGGTGGCTGGGGCGACGGAGGCGGGGGCGGGGAAGGCGGCGGGGAAGGAGAGGGAGGCGGGCTAGGAGAGGGTGGTGGCTGGGGCGACGGAGGCGGGGGCGGGGAAGGCGGCGGTGAAGGAGAGGGAGGCGGGCTAGGAGAGGGTGGTGGCTGGGGCGACGGAGGCGGGGGAGGAGAAGGCGGCGGCGAGGGAGAGGGAGGCGGGCTAGGAGAGGGTGGTGGCTGGGGCGACGGAGGCGGGGGCGGGGAAGGCGGTGGCGAGGGAGAGGGAGGCGGGCTAGGAGATGGTGGTGGCTGGGGCGACGGAGGCGGGGGCGGGGAAGGCGGCGGCGAGGGAGAGGGAGGCGGGCTAGGAGAGGGTGGTGGCTGGGGCGACGGAGGCGGGGGCGGGGAAGGCGGCGGTGAAGGAGAGGGAGGCGGGCTAGGAGAGGGTGGTGGCTGGGGCGACGGAGGCGGGGGCGGAGAAGGCGGCGGTGAAGGAGAGGGAGGTGGGCTAGGAGAGGGTGGTGGCTGGGGCGACGGAGGCGGGGGCGGAGAAGGCGGCGGCGTGGGAGAGGGAGGTGGGCTAGGAGAGGGTGGTGGCTGGGGCGACGGAGGCGGGGGCGGGGATGGCGGAGGGGAAGGAGAGGGAGGCGGGCTAGGAGAGGGTGGTGGCTGGGGCGACGGAGGCGGGGGAGGAGAAGGCGGCGGCGAGGGAGAGGGCGGCGGGCTAGGAGAGGGTGGTGGCTGGGGCGACGGAGGCGGGGGCGGAGAAGGCGGTGGCGAGGGAGAGGGCGGCGGTACCCCTGGGGGTGCCAGAGGTGTTGGTGAAGGAGGCAGAGAGGGTGGCAAGGGAGGCGAGGGAGTTGGAGGCCGTGGCGGCTTGGGAGGTGGCCGTGGTGGAGGCTTTTTCTTTGGAGGCGGTGGGGATGGCGGCCCTGGTGGTCTAGGCGAGGGCGGCATGGGTGCAGGTGATGGCGGTGGGTGCATGGGAGGCGGTGAAGGTGGAGGAGGGGAGGGTGCAACCGGCGGTAGGGGCTGCAATGGAGGTGGTGGCGCCGGGGGTTGTGGTGGCGGTGACGGCGGCGGCAGTGCCGGGGGCTGTGGTGGAGGAGAGGGCGGCGGCAGCGCCGGAGGCTGTGGAGGGGGTAAGGGCGGCGGTGGCCGTGGCGGCTTAGGTGGTGGCGGCCGTTTCTTTGGTGGTGGTGGCCGCGGCGGCCGCGGCGACGGCGGCTGAGGCGTCGACGGCGATGGAGGCTGCGGTGACGGCGGCAGAGGCGGCCCCGGCGGGGGTGGCAGCGGCGGGGGCTGCGGTGACGGCGGTGGGTTCTGTGGCACCGCCGGCGGTGGTGTGGGTGGTAGAGGTGGCGGCAGCGCCGGAGGCTGCGGAGGGGGTGAGGGCGGCGGCGGCCGTGGCGGCTTAGGTGGTGGCAGCCGTTTCTTTGGTGGTGGTGGCCGCGGCGACGTCGGCGACGGCGGCGATGGAGGCAGGGGTGACGGCGGCTGGGGCGGCACCGGTGGCGGTGGCAGCGGCGGGGGCTGAGGTGACGGCGGTGGGCGCTGTGGCACCGCCGGTGGAGGTGTGGGCGGCGGCAGCGGTGGAGTTGGCGGCGACAGCGGTGGCTGTGGCAGCGCCGGGAGCGAGAAACTGCCCAGCAGGCAGCATAACGAGCTGTCAGTGCCCCCGTTGAAGAGCGCAAAGTTGCAGGAGCCCTCGTTATAGCACATCTGTTGCAATGTGGGGCAGGGCGCCCCCAAGGTGTAGCACACCTCTGCGCCCGCTGCTTCTGTCGCATTCCACTGCAAGTTGCTGAGCTTCAGCTCCACCGAGGGGCCCGCACCGTCCACCCATTGCCAAGCCTTGCCGGACTTCCCATTAATGCTAACGCCAACAATCGAACCCGCGCACTGGGGGTCTGCAGGAGGGAGAAGTGGCACATGGGCTTGCGAAGTTCAATGGAACTTTGTAGGGCAGTGAGGGAGAATACTACAGGAGAGTTCTTGAGCTCCCCGCAGCAGATCAGGGCACATGGGGAAGCAATCCAAGCGGCAGGCAAGGACAGACTCACCGACTTCCAGCTCTATTTTGTTGAGGTCGGATTGCACTGCATTGCAGCACTCGCTAGCACGGCTACCGTCCTCCAAGCCATCGCACGTCCTAATTGGGACTACTTGAAAGCAGGTCCGGATGGTTCCGTCCTTCTGTGGGCCGTGAAACATAATGTGTCAAGCATACGATGGTTAGGGAAACAGAAGCGTGCAGGCGCACAAGGCACAGACGTGCTGTCGTAGCAACCAAGTGCAATGGCGCGCCCGGGGCTCCATGAGCGTGGGGAGTGTCCCATGGGTCTGTGCTATTCCCATTCTTGCAGCTTCCCCTAACGTGGAGCTGCTTGTGATGTCAATATTTCCGGAGTTCCCTGGTTATCTCCACTAGCCCAGCTGCTGGCATGTACCCTCCGCGGACCCTACCGCCTGCAGCTGAGTATCAGCGGACTCACCAAGCGCCTAGATCTCGAGAAAGCTAGCGTGTAGGGGTTGTTGCTTGCCCCCCTTCCACATCGGCAGTACGGGAACTGCGCTCGCCTGCAGGCACCATGCACAGGGGTCGGGGGGTGGGCTAAAGGAGCCATGTGCAGTCAGTCAAAGAAGCCCGCGCTCATGTCGCTATTTGGATGGACATGTGCATGCGGCGGCAGCCACAAGACGCATGCTGAGGAAGCAGGGGAGCACCAGGTCCCTAATCCGCCCACCCTCACTCGCTTAGCCATCGCGGCTAGGCCATACCCCCTCTCCTGCTCCTCCAGGAGCCTCGCGGCTAGGACCCATCCCTTCTGGCCAGGCCCCAGTGCATACAAGATCGTGCATATAATTTAACGTACGTTAGCTGTGTGGAGTCCGAGCGAGTGCTTTCACCAAATGCTTCGATGTAGTCACCGAAAGCGGAGACTGCTTGGGAGTCTGCTAGGGATAAAAGACCTGTTGGAGGGGCGACAAAGAAAAAAAGGGGTCAACTGTGTGGTTGGGGTTGGAAGGGCAGCAATGAAGGTCGCTGGCATAAGAAAAGACAAGAAAAGCGCGAGTGGGGTGCTGCGAAGGGATGTACGGTGCTCGAAACGCACCTGCGACGATAAGAACCAGAAGCAGCAGCACCCCCACGGCAGACCCGCGGTCCGTGGGATGCTGCTTCCCTCGCATTCAGCAGGATCCCTGCGCAGGATAGAGGGTAAAGGGCATGCATGCTCTTGCAATAAGCCCCTTCAAGGCTTCCATCGCTCGTCCCCGTCGCGCGACGGCAGCTGTGAAGACAGGTACGGAGCATATTTGATGCGCCGACAAACAAAAGAGATGACGCGAAGTGCAGTGTTATGCATGTGACAATAACTGTCCAACAAAGAAGGGCGAACCTAGCAATGGCATTGATGACACATTGGGGCAAGAAGACCAGCCGCTAGTGCTTTGCGCACTTCGCCTTGATAAAACTGATTTACTGATAGCGGACAGCTAAGCTCCCAAGATGTTGCACAAGGAACAGGCCGGACTAACGCTGTCTCACCGTTAACGTCGAGCCAACAACTAGCCGGAAATTACAAGAAGCGGCATGCATAGTCCATAATACTGCTAAAAATGTTCCCTATGTTTCGGCAATGAAAGGCTCATTTCGGCGACTCGTCCGTGGTGGGCGGAGAGTGCCTTGCTCTAATCGTATATTACAGCGGCTAATAGAAGGCTTAACGTTCGTCTTTAAGGAACCAGAACAAATCTGGAAAGGAGGAAGCTCTGTCCTGGGCAAACAAATGTACGGCAGGCGAAAGAGACCCAAATGCCAATTTGATCAGGCGCAGCCTGCACTGCTTCATTTACACAGGTTACAACATTTGCAAACTAAGGACTTGGTAAAGGCAAATCTTTGTGCCCACGTGCAAGTATGCAGTACTTGATACTTCAATTCTCATTATCGGCATTTCCTTACCTCTTTATTGCGCAAACCGTCCAGCTGTGGTCTGGAATGGCTTGCGACCTGTATAGCCTTGGACTCCCCAGCCCTAGCCCCAGCGCAAACCTTCGCTCACCACGTGTTCAGGAACTATACTATTTTCATTCATTCTTATCGGCTACTTGTAAGCTTTGTGTTGTTTGCTTCTCTGTATGCATTGTTCTCCGCTAGACCCTATCGGAACTTATGCCTGGTATCGGATGCCTATGGAGCCTCGATTTTGAAGGAATGTGTTTCACCTCTTCTGTCATAATGAGCACGCTCGGGCACAACAAGGCGAATACGCTGTCGCCTGTTGACCTTGGAGCTTGGGGCAGCAAGGTGTCTTCTACCGTATGGCAACTACCATTTCGGCTTGTAGGCTATTGTTACTTCGTTGGTGTTTTCATGGTCTAGGTACCGTTATCAACAGCTGCATCCCCGATCACCCATTTTTGTGCCATATCTACGCTGGCTCCACTTCATGCATT